TTTGAAGCAGATCTCTGCTTCTGTTACTGGTGGTAAGGTGATGATGAAGAACCATTATCATCATCATCATCATGACGAAAATCAAATAAAATTCAAGACCAAATGGTCAAGCAGCAAGAGAGCGAGCGAGCGAGCGACAGAATCATTATATTCAGACAGCAACAAAATAAAGTTCGAGGGTCACAACACACACACACACACACACTTTTAGACAACAGCAGCAGTGTCCAATGTCAGTGAGCAGATGCTGCGAAAAAAAAACCTAAAATATTGCTGTTTTCAACAAAAAAAACAATAATCTAACCGTCAGACGTATGAAGCCAATAAAGTGAGATAGAGAGAGATACATATAGAAAATATTTGCCGCTCGCGCGACAATCGACATATGGTCTCGAAAAAAAAATCAAACCCAAATGAACCCTAGGACACCAATAAACACGCAAACACACACACACACGACAGCTGTCGATTTGGCTCGTGTTAGCGCGTGACTTTGATCATCATCATCGATCGATCGATGATGGTCAAATGGTGTTGTTCAACAAGGCCAAACAATGGTATTTTTATTCATTCATCCAAATAGCTTCTTGTTGTTGTTGTTGATGATGATGATGATGATGATGGCACGTGGTGTTGGCTACATATTATGGAACCTTAGGTTCTTAGTTCCATAACCATAGTAGGGAATAATAAGTTCCAGAAATTGTGTGTGTGTGTGAGCGTTTTTTCTAAGACACCACCTCTCCCTCTTTCATCATTTTTTTCACCCATATTTCTTTCTTCATGATTCAGGAACAAACAAACAGTAATAATACAACAATAAAAAAAAATATAATTGAAATCCCGATATTTGAAACATTATTACAGTCTCAGTCTTTTGCCATGCGACCGGCATACGTTCATTGTCGTTTTTTTATCGTATTATTTATTTATTGTCTACCCCCTCTTTATCTGATAGGCATATGTCTGTATGTACCTGGGTGGACATCTGTTCGTATTTTTTTTTCATCCTGGTTGTTGTTGTTTCTAGATTTCTAGGCCATCGAATTTTTGATTCATCAATTGTTGAATTTGATAATAAAAATGAGGGGGAAAAAAATACCCATAGATGGTCGTGTGGCCCTAAATGCAGTATTTTTTTTTTTGTTGCCGAATGAACAAATGTTGTCTATCGGTTATAATTTCGTAGACAAAATTTTCTATCCAGTTCCAGAATCAAGCAACAACAAGCAGAAAATTGCTAAATACATTTTGTAATTGACAAAATTTTCATCATCATCATTATTCTTATGATGATGATGATGAAGATGTCACCTGATTTTCGTTTTTTTTTCATCACATTTTTCTGATAATTTATCATCATTATCATCATTTTGATTTTATATTACGAATATGTACTGTTGTAGGGTGGTTGGTGAAATTTTCTTTTTTTTTTTTGTTGCACCAAATTATATGATTCTCCATTGTCTTTGTTGTTATCTTTTGATTTTCATAAAAAAATTTTTCAATGATTAATGATTGCAGAATGCACAAGTTTTATGAAATTTTCTGTTTTTTTTATTCTCCTATGTTTGATTGACATTTTTAGCAAGAAATTTTGAACTAAATTTGAAATCTTTGATCTTAAATACCTGCTGCTGCTACTGCTGCTGTTATTTGCTGTTATCCAGGTAAATGATTACCATTAATAGAAAAAAAATCGTGGATGACAAGACACTGCATAACGACAAATCATTGGGCATCGAACCCTGAATGAAAATGAAAATGACCTATGTCATATTAACCTCGTTTTTTTTTCGTCCATTCCATGATGATGATTTTTTTTCGTTGTTGTTGTTGTTGTTGTTTTTGTGTGTGTGTGTGTCCAGTTTATTGTTCATTCACTGGACACTGAACTCTTTTTTTTGTCGCTTCCTCCCTCCCTCATAAGCAAAAAAAAAGATGATGATGATGATGGTGTGTAGGAGGAAAAAAGAAAAACGATAAAAAAAACTGGATTCAAATCGGTCATACCGATTTGGAATAACCGCCAAATCCCGTTATTATTATTATCATTTAAAACAAAAAAACGGGAATCTCTCTTTATAAATAAGAGAAAAAAAACCTGTTCTTTTCTTGAAATTTTCTTGCAAACAAATCCAAAAAAAAAAAAAAAAATAACTGAGAAAGAGAAAAATTGAAAGAGAAAGTCTTGGCGTAATTTCTATGATGATGATGATGATAATAATAATGGTGGTCAATAACCCTTGTATGAGAAACTTTAATAATAATAAAATGGGCAACCTCAATATTATAAGCCTTCGTTGATTGTGGTATGAAAGTTTTTTCGTTTTGTTTTGTTTTGTTTTTGGTTTTAATCTTGTTTTCTGGGTTCGGTTTCAAGTGAAATTCATGATGATGATGATGATCTGAACAAGGAGAAGTGGGACGATAAGCCATTTTTATCATTATAATGAATTGAAAAATAAACAGAAACAGAATGGCTTATTATTAGTGTGGTTTGTAGTTAATTTTTTTTTCCTTCGTCTTAGTCTTGTCGGTTAATGCTTTAATTACCCGGTTTTTCGATTTTTTTGGTCTTAAATCTAACAAAAATATCTATTATGCTAACTATTGCCTAGATTTTTTTTTCTCATTTTCAGATGGTGTTAATTAAACAAATCGAATGGTTCCATGGTAACCACCATCAATTGAAAGATCATTGGCGACATTTATTTTTTTTCGTTTAAAAAAAAGTTGCCGCGCAATCTTGTGTCTCTGTGTTGTTATATTACATTATTATTATTATTCAATGCACATAGAAAGGCTATTTTTATAAAAATAAAAATAAATTTCCGCCGGAAATTGATTGAGTGTGTGTGTGTGTGTTTTTTGGCCAAATTTCCGTAATGTTACCAAAAAAAAGTGTCGATTAATGATTGTTGTGTGAATAGATCAATTTCCGTATCGTATGTGTGTGTGTGTGTGTGGCTATGTGGATTATTATAATGGAACTATCTAACAATCAACAACAAAAAAAAAAAACAAACTTTAGATTTATCAATCCTTGACCATACTTTTGGATTTGTTTGTTTGTGTGTGTGTGTGTGTGCAATGCATTTTTTTAAAAAAAACATGTCCGGTCATTTTGATTGTGTGTGTGTAACCGGAAATTATTTTCCACAAATCCACCAATGATTCTTTAATTTGTTTTTACAATTTTTGAATGTGTGTGTGTATGTTTGCTTGTTTGTCATCATCCGGATATGTGTTAGGTAGCCGTTTTCTTTTTTTTTTGTTGTTGTTTGTAAAATGGTTTCATTTCCTTTTTTTTCGCTGTTGATTGTTCTTTGGCCTGGGACCTTTGACCTCTTTATGATGATGGTGATGATGATGATGATGATACCGCCTTACTTATTATTATCTATAGAAATCAGAATAGGGACCATCTACTTGTTCGATTGTTATTTCCCTTTTTTTTATCATTTTCTTTCTCCGTTACCTTGCCCCCCAATCCCAATTTTGTTGTATATATACCTTTTATTATTTGTTTCAGTTGTATGTGACATGTTTAAAAATTTGCACCGAAAACCGACATAAAACTGATTGCCATTGCCAAAATTGTAAGTAAAAATAAAAAAAAGGCTAGGCCATTTGGGGCTAGGTCTTCTGTTTTGTGTGTGTGTGTGTGTGTGTGTGTAAATGTGTTGGTAAATTGAAATTTTCAAAAAAAAAGAGGAATACAAATACAAACATCTGTTGCATGTTGTTCAATGAATTTTTTCCCCCTTCACATTTTCCTTTGTAACACCCTCCCTCCCTCTATTTTGTTTGGTATATTTAAGATATGAAGAAAAAAAAAGTAAAAATAAATCTCAACACAATGTATTCTCCAAAAGGCATTGATGGATGAGGAAACAAAGTGGGTGGGGGGAGATGATGATGATGATGATGAATTTAAAAATAAAACCCAACACATTATTATTGTTTTTTTTTCGGTATTCGGGCAAAACAAAATAAGAAGTGAGGAGGAGGATGAGAGAAAAATCGTTGTTATTATTATTCACATTCATTCATTCGATCAACAGCTGTCCATTTACTTTACTCATTGCTCTTTACCTATCTTTATTCTTTTTTGCAAAAATTTCAAAACACAGAAAACTTTCGACATAAACACAATATAAATAAAATAGCGAGAGAATGAATACTACAGGTATGTTGATGATACTCTTTCGATATAAATATCTGGATCACATTTGGATCGATTCGATGATATGCGAGGTAAAATAAAGTTATCCTGTAAAAAAAACACAAACACACACACAGTTATTATTATCATCAAACAAAAAGAGAATGGGCGAGAGAGAGAAAAAAATATCGAAACTGAGAGTTTTACATTATCAAGAGAAATACGAAAGAGACCACGGCTACGATGATGATGATGATAATCGTTATGAGACCAAACGTGCGTGGCATGTTTATCGTTTAGTTTCGTTCGTTCGTTTGTTTGTCGATTTCGAAATGTGAATGATGATGAGTGTGTGTGTGTGTGTATATGTGGTTGAAATGAATGAATCTTTCAAATGGTAAAAACATTTGAGTGTCGTAGTTCAATGGTGTTGGTCATATGAACAAAAATCATCAATTCAATCGAACACTGATTCTGATGATTTTTTTGTTGTTGTTGTTGTTGTTGTTGTTTGATTGTTTGTATTGATTTAGTTTAACGGAATCGTTATTTGTTTTTTGTGCTCGTTTTTTTGTATTCATCAAAATTTGAAATAATAACCGTTATAATATTCGAGATTCATTCGTTCATCATCATCATCATCGTCATCGATTAATCGATTAATCGATTAATCGATTGTTTTTGATGTATCTGTGTTTTTGTGTGCATGCACGTTTGCAGTAGTAATTTTGTTGTTACACGGTTTTCCGTTTGTTTTTTCTGTTTCTGTTATATTTCATCATCAATCCTCGTGTTTTTCTCTCTCTCTCTCTCTCTTTGTGTGTGTGTTTGATGCGTTTTTTTTGTCATTCGTTTGTATTTCCACATCACCAAATTCCGATGACTTGATTGATTGATTTTTTCTGGTCTCAAAATGTTTTCTTCGTTTGCTGATTGGTATGATGATGATGATGTGATGAATTTTACATTTTTCTAAATGAATGAATTCTTTTTCCTTTTTACATTTTCATTTTTTTTTCTTTGAATTTTTTTTTTCATCATTTCAGGTCGTCACAACAATCGGCTGTGAATACACAACAACAATTACAAGGAACATCATCATCAACGGATGTACAATTTCATCAGCAATTAACAATTTCTTCATCAACATCATCATTAAATAGACATGATCTTGAATCACTACCAGAATTATCATTCTATTCGATTGGATCCAATAATACAACATCATCATCATCGTCATCATCCACTAATAATCATCATCAATTTATAATCAAAGATAATAATCAAATATTATTACAATCACAGCAACAACAACAACAGGTGTCAATTTATCCAACAATACAATTATCAACTTTGGCCGGAAATCGAAATATTGAAACACTTGTACATCATCAACAACAACAACAACAACAACGGCCATATCTATCGTATCATCAACAACGGCAATCATCATCATCATCATTGCCATCAATAGGTGCTATTTCATCATCATCATCAACATCCACAACAACAATTGTTCCAACAAATCGTTTACGTTCATTGATACAACAACAACAAAACAAGTTATCGGCAACAGCAAATCTTCAATATCAACATCAACAACAGCAACGAATAAATCAAACGAATCAATTGAAATTGAAACAACAACGACGTACAACAATACATCGACAAGCTATAACCGCTACAAATCAACATTGGACAATCAATAGTATTTGCTGTTGTCCATTTAGTCAAAGATTTCCGCATTCATTTTATCAACATCATCGTTATAAATTGGATAATCTAATACGACATAATAATAGTTCTTGGCCATCGTCATCATCCACATCGTCAGATTCATCATCAATATCGGCTGCAACATTATCATTAAATCGTTTGATTGCTGCCGATTCTCGACAACAATTACAACAACAATCAATATCGGATAATCAATATCCATTTTCAAATATCATAATGGGACAAAAATTTAGTAATTTTATGGGTAGTAATAGCGGAAGTAGTAGTAGTGCTGCTATAATCAATTCAACAACAACAACAGCAGCAGCAGCAGCAACAATGGCACCTATAGTCAATGATATTGGTTCGATGGTTGTTAATAATTCAAATAAAACTGTGATGCGTGATCATCATTATCAACAATCATTACCATTCCATAGTACATCACCATCTCATCATCATCATCATCATCATCAGCATTTTCATCATCATCAAGATGTTTCACCATTTACACGTTCATCATCTACACAATCAGCGTCTTCTTCCGCATCATCATCGCCATCGATATCCGGTACAAATTCACCGGCATCAATGTCACCATTACATAATAACCATAATCATAATCATAATCATCATCATTCTATACAGATGATGAATGATACATCATCAACATATCATTTTTGTTCAAATAATGGTCATTGTGCCTTAGAAGAACCAGAAAGACCTGATAGATTAGATTCATTATTGGATATGCCACCGGCATCATTACAAATACAGAAACAACATGGTTGGAATGAGAATGATCGTTCATTAAATATAATTGTTGTTGAACAGGATCCACGTATTGTACATCGTCATCCTGTTGCACAAAGTACAGATTGTGTACGTGGCCTAATAGGCTATTCAAAAGGTTTACATGTATGGGAAATTAAATGGCCATTACGGCAACGTGGAACACATGCATGTGTTGGTGTTGCAACCGCTGAAGCCGCCTTACATTCAAATGGTTATCATCCATTGATCGGTGCAACGGGCGAATCATGGGGCTGGGATCTTGGCCGTAATCTATTATATCATGATCTTAAATCACAGAATTATGGTCGTCAATCACCACGTGATAATAATAATTATGGCCGAATTTATCAACATCAATTTGCACATGATCCACAATTTGTTGCACCAGAATCATTTTTAGTTGTATTAGATATGGATAAAGGAACATTATCTTATATGGCACATGGCCAATATTTAGGTATTGCATTCAATACTGATGATGGTATTAAGGGTAAAACCTTATATCCAATTATTAGTTCAGTATGGGGACATTGTGAGATTACTATGCGATATATTAATGGATTAAATCGTAAGTAAATCATATCAATACCAATTATTATTATTATTATATAATCATTATTACTAAGACATTCTATTTTCGCTTTCATAACTCTAATGATTATAATGATTATAATGATGATGATGATGATAATAATAACTAAACCACTTTCTCTTGGTGTGGTGGTATAGCTGTTATTATTATTATTATTATTATTATTTATACATGTTTATATGACCATTTCAGTCATGAAAAACAAAAATTTTGGTAGAAATATCCAGTCTTCCTATTTTGGTCATTTTTATTTATTTATTTATTTTTGATTCATCAAAAAAAAAACTAGTTTCTCTTTTTTTTAGTTTTGACTATATATTTGTTTCATTCCACATTCTGGTTTTTTTTACCGTTTTTTTCTACATTCATTTATTTATATAAAGGGAAATCAGGAAAAAAAATCTTAGCAGAAGACTTGTTGTATATTAATGATTTTGACAGTAAAAAAAATAAAATATAGCCCATCATTGATGAAACGACAGATTTATTCGTCGTCTGTCTTTATTCATCTGTGTGTGTGTGTGATGGGCGTAATTTTTTTTGTGTGTGTGTGTGTGTAAATAAAAATAACGAAAATGAAAACAAACGGCAGTGTGTTGTGTGAATTCATTGATCTGACGATGATGATGATGATGGCTCCAAAAAAAAAGTTGATTCTATTCGATTTTAATTTCATTTCTATTCATTTTTTTCTCTATTTTCTCTTTTCAAATATAGCAATTAGGTCACCAAACCACTTGTTGTTGTTGTTGTTGTTGTTGTTGTCTAGTTGTTACTAGTCTACCATATAAATACCGTTTTTTTTTCATAAGCCCAGAAACGAAAAAAAAAAAAAATCCACATGGGCGCTTTAGTTATTTATTATTTGTATATATATGTGGATATTGCTTCATTTCATTCAATACCATAACGCATCATCATCATCATCATCATCATATGTGAATATATTGGACTTTATTTTTCTTTCGTAGTAGTAGTTGTTGTTGTTGTTGTTGTTGTTGTCGTTGTTGTTGTTGTTTTCATCATTCATTTTCTTTTTTTATTTCGTTCGTTAACATCACATCATTAGATATTGATTGTTGTATTATTTAATAGTATACATGTGAGTGCAAACTATAAATTTTCCCTTTTCAATGATGATGATGATGATGATGATGATTTCCACATTGTAGAAATCTTTGGAAATATTGTCATCATCATATAGTATAAAGACCTGAATGAATTGAATGGAGCCATAGCTCATTCACACCTGGATATATTCATCAATGTTGATAGTGGTGGTGGTGGTGATGGTGATGGTGTGATGTTTGATCACTTTCTCTTTCAAAATCACAAAACATTACCTATCTATCTGTGTGTGTGTGTGTGTGTCAGTGTTTTTTCTTGTTTCATTTGATTTGATGATTCAAATGATGATTGACAGTCTATGAATATTTCTCTTTTTCTAGAAACGAAATGTTTCTATTTTTATATTCATCATGTTTGATGATGATCCATTTCATTCATCATAGTTTTTCTCTCTCACTTGGATTCAAGAAAAAAAAATTTATTTCTATCTTTTCAATATTATATCATCATCATCATCATTAACATGTCAATATGTTGTTGTTGTTGTTGATTGATAATGGGTTGATGATCGAAATGGATGAATTGGCGACAAACATGAAGAAATGTTCAGGATTTTCTCTCTCTATTTTTACTTTTTATTATTTCATTTCATACGAGAATAAAAGTATTGAAAGTTAATGAAAAAAAATTGGATTCTTGTGTTTTACGATTCTCGTGTTAAAATGAAACAAAATTTTCCTTAAATTAGCAACAGGTTATTATTAATCATCGTTGATTATACATGAGGATATCCTGTTTTATTTATTTTTTGTATGTATTACCGATCAACAGCGAACAATGGTTTATCGATTATCATGATGATGATGATTTTAATCGATCAACAATAGTTAATGACGTCAAGTTTTTTATTAATATTTTTTTTCGTTTCTATGAAAGTTTTTTTTTTGTTCACCATAACGATGATCATTCATCCATTTCCTTTTTTTTATTTTTTGCGAATTTATTCCCCTTTTTGCATCTTTTTTTTTGATCCATTAGTTTTTGTTGTTGTTGTTTCTGGAACATTATTATTATTATTATTATTGTTATTGTTGCCTGGTGTACGTAGGTTGATGATGATCATCGTATTTCATTCATACTTTGAGCTAATCGATTTCAAATTTTGAATTGAATTTTTTTTTCAAAAAAAAAATGATGTATAATGGTAAACAGAAAAAAAGTATTTTTACCATTTCCGCCATCTGTTCACTAATTTTTTTCCATCATCATTACCCAGTGTGTAAAGAGAAATGGATGATTTTCTGAATGAAACGTGCTATTCACTCTCTTTGTGTGTGTGTGTATGTGTGTGTTTGCACTTCGACCTCAATGACCCGGGACTCGACTTTTAGTATGAGTGTGTGTGTGTGTGTACTCGACAGCTTTTGAGACTTTTTTCTGTTCTGTCTTGTGAAATTATATGAATGAAATGAAATGAAATTTTTTGTTCTTTGGTCTAAGACGTATTTCGTTTCCTGTTCAGTTAGCTAGTTGGTTAGTTAGTTGATGAATATTATAACCCTGTATTCATTCCAATGACCTTTGACCGATCCCGATTTGATCTGTAATCCGGTGTCGTCATTGTTGTCGTCTCTCTTGCTTTTTTTCCACTTTTTTTCACTAATGTTCTTATCGGATGTTGTTGTTTTTGAAAAGAAATGCTATTGGAATGAAAAAATGAATATAACGAACAAAAAAACCAAAAAAAAAAATCGGAAACATTTCCTTGAATTCCAGAAAAAAATATGTTTCAATCAGTGTATGTTGATAAAACCAAACCAAACCAACATCGAAGATTTGATTAATCGTTTTTAATTTAATTATCACATTATCCAACTGTAGTATGACAATTGTACTCTTGGGAACTAGTTTCGTGTGTTCCATTCAAGAATGATTGATTTGACCATTGTGAATTGAAAACGCGTGAATGATTCTCTTGGAATTTGGGATTTTCTCTCATTCTAAGAAGAATGCAATATAATTGTCTTATTATTCAATTAGCCAAAGAAAAACCAATTCATGATATCAAGTCTATCATGTTTCACAATGGTGGTCAGTGTGTGATAAACATAACGGCCATTGTGATTAATGGGATTTTATTCACTTATTTTAAATGATTCAATTTCTTGAAACTAATTTCGTTTTTTTTTCATTCTATTTATTATATAGCTGAACCAATACCATTGAAAGATATAGCACGTCGTATGATACGTAAACAATTGGGTCGTCATCGATTACATATGATTGAAACGAAATTTGATCTACCGTCCATATTGACAGATTATCTACAATACAAAGATCAAGTATTTAATTTGAATTGGAAACCAATGTGAATGTGAATAAATCAAAAATTTGCACACACACATATACACACGTGGCAGAAACATATTAGTATTGTCATAAATTAATTATCATCATCATCATCATCATTGCTGTTATCCATACATCCATCCATCCATCATTTTTGTTTTGATTGACAAAATTCTTTCACATTTTTCTTCGATTAACAAACAAAAAGTTCTATCTATCACATCACATCATCATTATCATTCATCACAATTCGGTTAATTCTGGTCAAACAAACATATAACACATATATTCACATCCCATTTTATTTGTTTGCACACACACACACACACACACACACACACACACACAGACATATTTTCCTAATTGATTATATTTCTACATTGTGTTTTCTTATAAATTCTAAATTGATAAATGTTTTTTTTTTTGATGATGATGATAATGTTTCGATTCGATTCGAAAATATAAGCCAATTTCAAAATATTTGTAAAACAACAAACAAAAAACAATTTAATAATTATGAGATAAATTAAATCTTAACCAAATGGCAAAAAAAAAAAAAAATTTAACCCGCTGGCATTGTTGTTTTGTTGTCGTCGTTGTCGATGTTTTTTTGTTTTGTTTTGTTTATCAATCACAAAACAGATTTGAAAATAAAATGCCTGCCCCACCCCCAAAATACATCTGTTCTGTGTACTGTCTGTGATTATATTTTGCTATTATTATCATCATCATCATCGTCATCATTAATGATTATCATTTTTACCATTGGAAGTAGATCATCTTTTTTTTCCTGGAGAAAAACATCATCATTAATCAATTGATTGATTGATATTTGCTCACACAACCAATTTATCATATAATTATCACACATTGTTTAGCCATCATCATCATCATCATCATCGTCATTCATTCAAGATGAAAAAAATTCTATTTAACACTGAATAAAAATCAATTTTTACACACTGAATAATACATTGATGAATGCCACCATTACACGAATCACATTATTACAAATCACAAAATATTTGTACAATTTTCTATTCCTGAAATATAAACATAATACATTGTCCATTACATACACATTTTATAATTGATTAATTAATTAAAATGAAACTTTTTCAAAATCGGATCCATTTTTCAAAAAAAGAAATTTGTCATGTGTCAACAGATGGCAGAACTTTTCATAAATTGAAATTTTAAATACCGCGCAAAATTTTAAATTTTTATAATTCTGTAACGATAAATTGATTTTTTTTTTTTCAAACTTTTTATTCCCATTTATCTCGCTATCTTAGTATATGTGTTTGTGTGTGTGTGTGTGTGTGTGTGGTTATGCTTTTGTTTCCTCTTCTTCGGGTGCAACATTTTCTGCCATTTGTGATTCAGTAACCATTTCCTCGGCTGTTAGATTTTCTTCTTCACCAACTGCTCCACCATCTTGGATTCGTTGTTCAGTAGTATTTGCATCAACATCAGCTACTTCTTCACCTTCACCGACAATTTCTTCGCCTTCAGCCATGGTAGTAGCTTGAATTTCATTATCAGAAGTTTTACCCATAATTTGACCATCAGATTGTCCAAGATCAACAGCTGATATTGCACCAATTCTTGATGATTCTCTTTCAATTAATTCAGTACTTGCTTTTATACTTAATGGTATTAATTTCGTTGTTGGCACATCAAAATAACGATCAGCAAGTATACGATCACATTCGATACGATTTTTAGGATCTATACTGAATATTCGATTACATAAATTACGAACATGTACATTCATTTCATGTTTTCGAACAAAATCACGCCATTGATTAGAGAATTTTGTTCGTTCATCACGTACATTGAATGGATAACGTTTTGTACACATTGCCACTAATAATACACCCAATGACCAGATATCCGCTTTGGATGGATCATATTGTCGTTGAAATGCTTCTGGTGGTAGAAAATAATTTCTTCTTACACGACGTTCAACATTTTGTAATAATAATTTTTTTGCATCAACTTGATAGTAAAAAACGGCTTTACTCCAACCACATAGTTTCAATTGATTATTCATATCGAATAGAATATGCTGTAATTTTATGTAACGATGTGCGACACCCAATTTTTGTAGCACACCAATACCGGACACTATTTGACGCATATATTCACGTATTTCATTCGGTTGCATTGGTGTTGGTGATCGTACCAGATCATACATTGTTGGACTAGCTTGACATTCATCCATAAAAATGTATAGTTTCACTGCTTCCATCTGGTGGTGGTGATGTCGATGATCAAACCAGGATTTAAAAAGAGAAAAAATTCGAAAACAAAAAATTTAAAAAAAAATAAATAAAGTAAATAAATTTATTATACCTGAAATATTTCATAAATTTTTAGAAAAATCGATGTCGTTGGACCACGTCTTATTGTCGATATGAAACGCATGATACGAACAGAATAACGAAGTAAATTTGAACGAAATCTTGGCGAACATTCAGCTAGATTGGTTATTTTCACTACCATCGGTGGTTGTTCCAAACCCGATGATTGTGAATTAACATCTTGTTTGTTGGCACGAAAAATTTGTGAATATTCTGTTTGATTCAATATACATGAACGATCGATCCAAAAACCGGTCGTATTGATGGCCATTTCATTTCGTATCATAACGGCACCAGACATTGATTCAATTTTATGAATTTTACTAACAATAGTTGATGGTATCGATAATTTACTACTACGATTATGATGATGTGATGAATGTTTTGATGATGATTCATCTGTTTGTAATGGATCATTATCTTTACTTTTTTTCGATCGATGTCTTTCACGTTGATTTTGTGATTGTTGTTGTTGTTGTTTTGCTTTGGATTTACGTTTTATTGTTCGTGATTCTTCATTATTATCATTTCGATTTCTAGCCATCTTGAGTGGCTTCTGTTGATAGTTACCGATGATAATGTATTCGAACTAGAAATAACAAAAAAAAATCATTAATGATTATAAATAGAAACACACACACACATGATTTACCTGCAATGGAAACCAAGAATGGAAATTTTGTCGATAATAATAATAATAATAAATACTGATTGATTGACCGTTTTATTATTATTATTATGGCAATCACCGTCATATGAATGAGAATAAAAAATCAATTTCAAAATCAGTATTTCAAGGAATTTTTTAATTTTGTTTTTTTTTTACTGTTGTAAAAACAAATAAAAATTTGGCCAATTGTTTCCATTCATTATTCAAATGAAATTAAACAAAAACAAAAAACAATTGAAAACACAATAACCGCATTAAATATATGAGTGCAATGACAATTATGGTTTGTGTATTTTATATTAATACAAAAAAATCGATTTTTTTTCAATGATATTCTTGTGAAAATTTTTTTTTTTTTTTTGCTCTGAAACATTGTCATAATTTCATAATCAAACTTTATTATTATTGATTGATGAATCGATCGTGGTGATATTATCCAACTACTCTTCATATATGACGGTTGTCAATGGTTTTAGTTTTTTTTTTTCTTTTTTTTTATTTATATAAATATATATCTTGTTTCTTGTTTATATGTTTATATTTATGGAATGAAGAGGGATATATAATGAATATATTTGACGACTATTAAGCTACTAAGTGAAGAATGTTGAAAATTCTGTTGTTGATCTCAAGATGAGAATCATATGACAATGATCTCCGGTAATCATCATGTTGTCGTGTCAACAATATAATAAAGTCATCAAACCAATTTGACATTTGTAAGGATTTTTACTTTTTTTTTTTTTGATCTTCGTGTATATAAACTCGAAAAAAATGAATATGAATTGATGTCACTCGTTTTCATTCATTCAGAATTCTACTCATACACATACACACACACACACTTACATGGAATAATGGATTCTCGATTTTTTAGTCGAAATTTACCATCACTCTGTTCATCGGCTAAATCTTCATCAACTCATCCATTATCATTGTCTTCGGAATCACCATCTAAAGATGAATTAAATCAGATAAAATCATTAAATATTCAACATTCAATTCATCATCATCATCAAAATCATTATTATTCGATAAATTTTGCATCACGATTAATTTTATTTCAAACATTTTTAGGTACCACTTATCGTGGTAGCTATTTTCATTATTTTTCTCATTCTAAATTTAATCATAAATGTCTCAAATGGCTATCATGTCTATATGAAATGATCACATTCATTGGCATATTATTATTCATGCGAAATACGTTTGATAATTCAATATTTCAAAGTATGTTCAATTATACAAACAAAACTTATACAATGATATTTGTATTCAAATTGACTGGCTTTTGTCTATTGTTGGAACAAATTGTTATGAAATTCATGACATTATTTCATGGTTACAGTATTGTTGGTGTTGTTTATAAAATTGCTAAAAATTCTCATTGGAAAAAACGTTATGATTGCCGTTTTATGTATCTTTATGCATCATTTCAGCTTAGCATCAATATTATTGGCTTTTTATTGATAACTAATTATGTTGGCTATTCTATCTATATGAAAATAGCTTATGTAGCCGGGGCAATCATTTTTGGTACAAGTAAACTTTCCGTTGCAACAATACATTCATTTGTATCGGTTTTAATCAATCATCGTATTCAAGGTTTTTTTTTTTTTTTTTTGATCAAGAATTTTCAATTTTTAATTAATGAAATTTTTCACACAGATTGGAAAAATCGATTCCATCAATATCAAAATTATTCTAAATTGTTACGTGAAATTATTGAACAACGTAATCATCTAAAAGAATTAAATCAACGATTATCATTGATAATGTTTGTGAAAGTTATTGTTAATTCAATTGAATTGGCTAGTTTGATTTGTTTCATTGAAGATATGTATTCAACTGGACAAGATTCAGTAATAATAATGGCCATATTTTGTTTTCTATTAAGCACTTGGTTTGAATTATTTATCGTTTGTACATCATCACAATCAATACAAGATCAAATGAATGATTTCATACAATACATACAGGATTGTATTGCCATAATGTCGGATAATAATGAAATGATTATTTCATCATTAAGTATTGATAATCAAAATAATAATAATGGCAACAATGATGATAATGGTAATGATAATCAAACAAAAACAACAAACCATCAACAAAACATTGTTAACAACAGACGTTATAATGATGATGATTATCGTTGTTTAGATCAAATACAACGATTAGAAAAAAATTTCAATTTCAATGTTATGGGATTCATTGTATTATGTAATGTAACATTATTAACAATATTAGGAAATGTATTAAGTTTTGCCATATTGCTTATACAGACAAAATAAATATAGTTGCCACCGCTGCTGCTGCTTCTGTCCACATTATTATTATGCATTCTCGGTGCACCACTCCCATTACTACTACCTCCCACAATCAAATTCTTACGTGACTTTTTAAAATAATGAAAATAAAAATTGAAAAAAAAATGATAAAATGTTTGTCGGTTTAATTATCAAAATGTTCCACATACACGGGCGCACACCCACACACAAAAAAAACTCATGACCAATATATTGTCATATCAACAAAAGGTAATCGAAAGGAAAAATTTTTGGAATATTGGTAAATTTGGAAATGCACGAAAATTTAACTGCTATTTTTATTTACAGAAGAGAAGAGAGAAAGTAAATTTTTTTGATTTGATCGATTTATTTCATTCAAAAGGGAATTTTTTTTTTTTTTTCATGAAACAATCGATTAATTTATCATTTACAATTCGTACATGAAATTCTGTATCATTCATTCATTGCTATTTTGAAAGTTCAAGTTTTCGAACCAACCAATCCAATCAATGTTATCGGATACAATAATAATTTGATGATGATGGCGAAAATTTATCATTGTGAATCACATTCTAAACGATTAATATCTTCGAAAATTGATAAACAATTGTATCGAATAATTTTATTTCAAACAATATTCGATTGTACATATATGGGTGAATATTTTCGACGAAAAAATGATGGGAAAAAATTTCAAAAATATTTCACCACATTATTTGCCATAATACAGGAAACAATTTATGGTATACCAGCAGCATTATTATGGTATTTATCTGCAACAAGCTATTCGGCTGATTATCTATTCGAAGAAACAGCTGTCCATAATACAATGAGATATCTATTCAGTTTATTTCATTTCTGTATTTTGATTGAAACTTTGTCGGTTAAATTGACAAATATTTTTCGTGGCCATCGTATTATTGCCATTATACAAGATATTGGTTCGAACATTAATCTTTCATCATCATCATCTGGTCGATCGATATTCTATTATAGATTAATCTATTTATATATGGCTATCATTATGATATTGTATGGTATATCGTTTTGTTTATTTGCAAACATAACTCAAACAAATTCTACATCAATTTTAATAACATTTGCAATTTCTGGATCCATTTATGGTATTAATGTATCATGGGTGACAACCATTCATTTATATACGGCCATTCTGGTGAATGAACGATTTCAAAGTGAGTAATAATTCTACATTAAACATCATTTTAAATAAAAACCAATTAATAATTATATCTATGTAAAAAAAAGTTTATAAAAAGCAATTACCTACATATCCAAACTATGGAATCTTGTTTCAAGATATGATACATTTACGTGATAATATTCGTCAAATTAATCGTCTTTTATCGACAGCAATGTTGACGAAAACATTAACAAATGGTCTAATGATGGCAACCTGTATCTGTACAATAGATCATCAATTGAATATGCCAAAAATTGAATGGTTAGCAATGACACCAACAGTGGTAGATCTGTTTATTATGTTCAGCGATCTATTTGTCAGTTGTATGGTATCACAATGGATGCATATAGAAATGGGTGATTTTATCCGCTTAATACAGGAACGTATGGCTTTGGCCAATTTAAATCATATTCATTATCAACAATATTATCAATCAGATAAACAACGTAGACAATCAATCATTTCGAATGAAAACAATATGATGACCAGATTTCGTCCATTGATTAGTAATGGTGAATATCATTGTTTGGAACAGATTTGTACGATGCATAATTCATTCTATTTCATTGTAATGGAAATGTTTGATCTGAAACATTCAACAATGTTATCATTAGTAAGTTATGTAATGAGTAATGCTATATTACTTATACAGACCAAAGATTAATCTATCAATCAATCAATTTAATTATAAAAATCGAATGTTTTATAATAAAAAAAATCACTTCATTCATTCATTCATTAATTATGGTGAAAAATTTGTTTGATACAGCAAAAAATTATATGAACTTTATTTCCAATAACAAAAAAAGAATGGAGATAAAACATAAATACAAAAAATAAAAATATTAAATGTATCTTATTATTACCAAGTGTTGGTTACAAACAAACAAACAAACACAATGGACAAGATCACAAATTTTTATACAGAGAAACTATTAAAAAAAAATTCGAATTAAAACACGAGATTTCAATAGTTCGAAAACTGATTCTATTTCAACCTTATCGTACCTCTGGCAACATTTGTTTATTCGTTAAGGATTGATTCTCGAAAATTCCAGATAAAAATTCGATTATGGGTTAAAATAGCCAAACTGAAAATAGCCAAATCTGAATCGTCGACTAATGGATCATGATTATTCTCTCTTTTTTTTTGATAATGGCGTTTCCATTATTCGATTTTTGTTTATTATGATTCGTTTTTTTTTACAAAAACACTGATTACATTTGTAATATTGCGTTGAACCGTTTGTATGCGTTTTTCGATAAATGTTTTGCTCGAAAATTAATAAATTATGACCTTTTAAAAAATAAATTAATTAACAATTAGCAAATAGAAAATAAAATATAAATATTTTTTACCTTTTTGGGAATTTATAAAATTTGGCTATTCTTACCCGCAACCAAAAATTTGTTTACCACTTTTCTATCGAGACCGAAAATCCAAAACTGTGCCAGATAAAGCCTCGTTGAAGAAAATGATTTCAGCAGCTTATTCTCCAACACATTTCACGAAAATTTTCCAAGCTCTTATAAAATTATTCCATAAAAATGGTCACGAATCATTAAATTTCGGCACAGAAGGCAATCTCTTATTTACCACTTTCAACTTTAAATATAAAAATTGACAAATCAAAAATGTCAAAAACAAAATAACACAAAAATAACACAAAATACATCTCTGCCACCACGTTGTAACGTTGTAGGTAGTAGATTTAATTAAGAACAAAACCAGGAAGAAATAAACTCTAAAATAAATTCTTTTTCCTGAAACAAGAAAAAAAAATTATGCTGTTTATGAATTCTCATGAAAATTCAAATGCATTCGTTCATATAGGACGTGTCCCGATTCAACGGATTTTTTTTTCTGTTGTTTATTTTTTTTTTTATATATAAAATGAAAAAATTCGTACGTATTTATATGAAAAAATTCATGGATCGAATTTGATTGTTTGATTTGAAATATTTAAAACAACAATCATGTTAATACGTTTTCGTCTTCGTTCATCATCATCATCAAATTCGACTACATCGTCGATTTCAGAACGATCAATGGCTATAGATTCTTCTTGTTCACCATCTTCATTATCATCAACATCGACATCTTGTATGGATCGTGATCAACTTCTTGGTGAATGTTATCTTTGTGGCCAACAAGATGATAATGAAGGACGGCGACAATTATTAACATGTTCGGTTTGTGCTACTCAATTTCATTTGAAATGTTTGGATCTTAAATCTAAACAATTTTGTGATACCAAATCACGAGCATATAAAACATGGGTATGTCGAAAATGTCGCCGTTGTTTGTGGTGTCGTGAAAAACGTACGAAAATTAATCCAAATCCTTTGGTATCATCATTACGATCTCATCCAGAACGAAAACTTAATTCAATGGAAATGATTTCATGCATTGAATGTGATTCATCCATTCATTTGGTTTGTTTTTTTCGACAACAAAATGATCGTCATCAATTACCACCACTTTCAATTCGTGAATTACGAAAACGACGTAAGAATTTTATTTGTCCACAATGTACTGGTGATGAACCAGATGTGGATGAAGAGATCGTAGAAGATGAGGAAGAAGAAGAAGATGATGATGAATTGGCTGAAGATGAAGAAATCGAAGATTCGTCCGATGAAAACGATAATGGTGATGAAGAAGAATCGAGCCATAACGAAAGTGATGACGATGACAGTGATAATAGTCAACAAAAAATAACAAAACATCAAATCCTACAAACACAACTTCGAAATTTAGGCATCGATAATCCAGATAAATTCATTGAAACAATACAAAATGAACAAAATCATCGAACATCCATTTCAACACGTTCATCACGTCGAACGTTTCAATCACCAATGATTATGGAAAAAAGTGGCCAAATTAATAAAATGATCGATACAACTGATGAAAAGAATGATGAACAATGTCAAAATCAATCTCAACAACAGAAAAATAGAAAACGAAAAAAATCCGAATCCGAACATCAACCACCACAATGTTCGCCAAAGAAAATAAAATGTGTTTCACCTTCACCACCGATACTATCGAATGAACAAGAAACATTGCAATCGTTGTCAGCACAACATTTTCATCAAGAACCATGTGGATGTTCAGTATCTGGTTGTGATTCCAATGGCCATTTATCAGGCATTTATGATCATCATTCAACCATTGAAACATGTCCATTATTTCATAATCAAACAGCTGATGATTGTAGACAACGATATCGTCGACGTATTGAATGTCAACGACAAATACAAGAACAACAACAACAACGTAAATGTTGGTCATCACCACGAAAATCTATTCAACGAATTGGTCTATTACAACAGAAAAATGTTAAATGGAATCAGATTATGAATCAAAGAAATGTTGAACTTAAATCGCTTCAATTGGAAACGAAGCCCACCTTTACATCTAGGTTTGTTATTTGATTTTTTTTATTTTTGTTGAAATTAATCACTCAATGATTGTCTTGTTTATTTATAGCCGTCAACCTAATCTGGAAGGTTTGACACCTAAATTTGATTTAAATCTATTTATTGATGCACAAGCTCGTACTGCTCAAATGATACATGAAAATTCAGCTTTAGAATTGGCCACAACAACAGCAACAAAGATGGCCAATGATTCGAATGAAATCAAAACATCTGAACAAAATTTTGATGAAAATCAAGAAATTCAACAACAAAAGAAAAAACCAGGAATTGAGACAATTATTTTTGGTAAACATGAAATAAGCGTCTGGTATAATTCACAATATTCAGATGAATTTCAAAATTGTTTACGGCTTTATATATGTGAATTTTGTTTGAAATGTATGAATTCTTCAATCATATTGGATCGTCATATGGAGAAATGTACATTGAAACATCCGCCTGGTAAATGAAAATTTTTTTTCGAATGAAAATATAATTATTTTATTTTTATATTACTAAATAGGCAATGAAATCTATCGTAAAGGAAAGATATCATTCTTTGAAGTTGATGGCAATAAACAGAAAGAATATTGTCAAAATCTTTGTCTATTGGCCAAACTATTTCTTGAATATAAAACACTATTTGTCGATGTTGAACCATTTTTATTCTATGTTATGACTGAAAATGATCATACCAATGGAATACATTTGTTGGGTTATTTTTCTAAAGAAAAACATTCACCAAATAGTTATAATGTATCATGTATATTAACATTACCACAATATCAACGTTCTGGTTATGGACGTATGTTGATTGATTTTAGTTATCTACTTACACGTAATGAAAACAAAATCGGTTCACCAGAAAAACCATTATCCGATCATGGAATCATTTCATATCGTAGTTATTGGAAATTTGTCATTATGGATTTTTTAAGCTCATATGTTGGCAAAGATATTCTACTCAAAGGTTTTTTTTTTTTTTTTTTTGATTATTGAGGTTTTTTTTTTTTGAATGAAATTCTGTTGTTTTTTTTCATAGATATAAGCCAACATACAGGTATTAATTCAGTGGATCTAATATCAACATTACAATTGATGGGCATACTTAAATATTGGAAAGGTAAACATCTTATATTGGTGAATGATGAACAACGAAAACGTTATGGACAAGAAATAAAACGTAAACGTAAATTATTTGGTGATAAAATGATTGATCCAAAATGTTTACGATGGACGCCATCCATTTATCCAAGATGATGATATTTTTTTAAAAAAATATGTGTGACGTATTTATTATATTTTACTTTCTATCTTTTAAATATAAAAATAAAGCCATTTACATTTAAATTGTCTTGGTGTTTTGATCATGTTGATTTTTGTCCATGCATGGCAAACATGAAAAATAAATGGAAAAAAAAATTTTTATCATTCATTTGATGATGATGATACCGATTTCGACCTTGATAGTTACACCCTTGTTGCTGTTGCTGTTGATATATAAAAACGATGATGATGATGATCAATATTGACAATTTTTCATTTACATAATTTTTGCTATTGTTGTTGAATTTTTTTTCATATTCTATATGGTTAATTGTCAAATAATCATGACTACTCCATCGATTGACATAAAATTCACCAAGGTATCTATGTCATATATCATTTCTTCGAATGATGATAATTTCTAATCAATTTTTGTTGTTGTTGTTGTTAAGATTTTCATCAACAATGAATGGCATAATTCTTTGAGTGGTAAAACATTCACAACAGTGAATCCGACTACTGAAGAAACATTAGCCTATGTACAAGAAGCTGATGAAGGTGATGTTGATTTGGCTGTAAAAGCTGCAACTGATGCATTTCGTCCATCTTCACAATGGCGTCGAATGAATGCATCGGAACGTGGTCATTTGTTACAAAAACTTGCTGATCTTATGGAACGTGACAAAGATTATCTGGCTCGTTTGGAAGTATACGATAATGGTAAACCGTTAGCTGATGCTATCGGTGATATTGATGCTTCAATCGGAACGTTTCGTTATTATGCCGGTTGGGCGGATAAAATTCATGGCAAAGTGATTCCAGCTGATGGTAAAGTGTTTTCTTATACGAAAATTGAACCAGTCGGTGTTTGTGGTCAGATTATTCCATGGAATTATCCGCTGCTCATGGTTGCATGGAAATTTGCTCCGGCATTAGCTTGTGGCTGTACAATTGTTTTGAAACCGTCTGAATTCACACCATTATCTGCATTATATGTGGGTAGTTTAATTGTTGAAGCTGGATTTCCCGCTGGTGTCGTAAACATTGTTCCTGGCTATGGTTCGACAGCCGGACATGCTTTGGTTCGACATCCTTCTGTAGATAAGATTGCATTCACCGGATCAACACAAACTGGACAATTGATCATGAAAACTGCAGCCGAAACATGTAAACGTGTATCATTGGAATTGGGAGGAAAATCACCGTTGGTTGTAACTGAAAGCTGTAAAGATTTAAAGAAAGCGGCTGAAATAGCACATCAAGCTTGTTTTGCCAATATGGGTCAATGTTGCTGTGCTGGTACACGAACATTCGTTCATGAATCGATCTATGAAGAATTTGTTAAGATGGCTGCCGAAATTGCCCGTAATCGTAAAGCAGGTGATCCATTTGATTCGAAAACTGTTCAAGGACCACAAATCAATTTGATACAAACGGAAAAAATACTTGGATTAATTGAATCCGGTAAGAAAGAAGGTGCACGTTGTGTTACTGGTGGTAAACGAATGGCTGGCAAAGGATATTTTATAGAACCAACTGTTTTCGCTGATGTTACCGATGAAATGAGAATTGCACGTGAAGAAATTTTCGGACCAGTACAGCAGATTATTCGATATTCATCAATGGACGAAGTAATTGAACGTTGTAATGATACTAGATATGGATTAGCAGCAGGTATTATTACAGAAAATTTTGAAGAAATTATTAAATTCACTGAAAATGTACGTGCCGGTACCGTATGGGTTAATTGTTATGATGAAGGTGGCACACAAATACCATTCGGTGGATACAAACAAAGTGGTATTGGCCGCGAATTGGGTGAAGATGGTCTACATCCGTATTGTGAAATTAAATCCGTAATTATTCGAAAATAGAATTACGGTATATGTGAATTATTATTGATTTTCTTTTTAAAAACAATCGAATAAAATTGATTTTATATTTTATTTTATAACACAATCATTAATATATATCACGACATGTTAATGGTAGCAATTCAATTCTGTTTGGCTGTTGGATAATGGGCACGAAAACCAGGTGGTTTTGGTAGTTTGAAACCTTCTTTTGTTTCGAAAAAATTATATGATAAAATAATTTCATCCACATCGAATAGATATGGATCACGGCTAAATTCTGGATCAATGAAGAAAAATACAGGCAAATCTACTTCTTCATTGGCATTCAATTGTTGTTCTTCGAAACAGAAACATTGAATTTTATTAAAATATTGGCCAGCTTCAAATGGTAGTACGGTGTATGTGGCAATACCATTAACAGGACGATCCAGTTCATTACGTGCTGTATAGAATGCTAATATGGTTTCACCTGGCGAACAAACAACCGATGATTGACTAGGACGAAAATTCCATGCTAAACGTGATGATTTTTCTGCTTCAAATATAACACGAATCTTTCGATTTGGTTCTTTTTCATGTTGGCAACTTTTTTATTCATTTCATCCACTTTGGCTACCGCTTGTAATCCTGTACCAGTTTTTTGACAATATATTCGATATAATGGTACGGCTGCATAGCTTAAACCTATTTGATTGATTGATTGATTCAAAAAGATGTAATTGTGAAACATTCAAATGTTTTTTTTTGTTTTAAATCATACCGAGAACAATGACGACCAATGCTGTAATCGACATGGCTATACTTCGATTTTTTTCCTTATCAATTGATCGATATGATCGCCACATGATTGTTGTATGATGAATTTGATTTTGTGGCCATAGAAATCGATTTTTTAACCGTACTGATAATGATGTTGGCCAGAATCGGTAACCAATTATCCTTGAATTGTGGTTAACAAACGTGGTTAACGTACATTTTGGATACAACATGAATGGTTTGCGATAGAATCGTAAACAATTTCCAAAACCATTTTTAACAACCGTATGATGTTGATGAAACGTAAAAAAAACGTAACGATAATTTAAATTCATCGATGATTAAAGATTGTAAATTTTTGTTTTTGTTGTTCGGATTCTATTAAAATGACCTGAATCACACATGTCTTTGTATGGATAAGTTACGCCATCTACAGATCAAATGGCGAAACAGCATAAGAATAGGAAATATTATTGAATATTGAATCTGAAATTCGTAACGATATTCTTCGATTTCTTTTACAGAATAAAATTTATTCGAAATTTAAGAATTTGATTCAAAAAAAAAAAAAATTATTTTACAATTTTTTTCGTTTTATTTACAAACAAGTTATTGTGTTCCGTGTGTGTGTGTGTGTGTGTGTGTGTGTGTGTTATTATGATCATAATGTCAACAATTTCGTTACCGAATTCCAGCCATTTGGATTATCATTCTGGTCATTATTGTTAAAATTTTCAATACTTTCACTGCTTAATGTTGAAGTACTGGTTTCATAATCATAATCGGATTTATATCCATAAAATGGTGATAATGATGATGATGATGATGATGATGGTGGTGTTGTAATATGATGATTGAATCGACGTGATCGTCGTAATAACCAATATAAAATGATTGTTGTCAATATAAATGTTATTAGTAAAAATATTTGTCCAAAAGTAATGAACATGACGAATAGCCATAGATAATCACATTGTGGTGAATTTTCTGGATATTTCGAACAATCCATACGTGAAAAATCGACATAATTTTTCAATGTTTGACCAGAAAGTATATTATGAATATTTTCAGGCGTTTCACATTTTTTCGTTGCAATATGGCCCAATATTTGTTTTACTTTCCAGAATAGACAACACATTGGCCGATTATAAATGTCAAGATATTCTTCAATTATATGTAATGAACATTGCATACCATCATAAAGATCAAATGCACCGGTAAATGTATCGAATATACCTTGTTGTGATGGACGAATCAATGTGGTCACGATGATGATGATGATGATGACCAATGAACAAACAAACATTGATGATGTAAACATTTTTATTGTTATCTTGTTTTTTGTTTTTTTAGTTAAAATTTTCGATAATTTTCAATAGAAAAAAAAAATTGAATGACCATTTTTTGCAAAACAATCAACAATATTTATATTGTGTTAACCAATATCTCGATCTATACTTGTGATATTCTGACAATGGAATCATCAATTGGTCATCAAAAAAAAAAAAAAAAAACAACTGACCATTCAATGACATTAGTGTCGTCATTATTTTTTTGTTTGTATATACATTGATGACAGACAACACAACACACACGCACACAGGTACCATCAGATTCTTTCTCACATGAATTTTAATACATGATGATCAATACATATCATATAACCTGTCTGCTAACCTTATCTGTATTTTTTCTGTTGTTTTTTTCTGTTGTTTTTTCTGTTGTTTTTTCCGTGCTAGTTCAATGCATCAGAAAAAAACCCTCACACACACACAAAAGAAACATGAAACATGATAAATTAAACAAAATATACAAAGATCATCGTCATAATCATTACCCATTTATCATGTTGACCATTTACATTTCATATATCGTTATTCATTCATTCATTAATCAATAAACATTGACACGTGTTTGACGTAAAAAAAAAAAAAAAATTTAACATGCCAATAAATATTGACCATCATCATCATCATCATCATCATCAGATTAGTGTGATCATCATGAATGTGAATTTTATTTTTTTCATTTGGGATTTACGATTGGGAATCAAAAAAAAAAAAAAAAAACTTGTCGTTGTCGTTGTTGTGTTTTCTTGAACATCATCATAAGGGATATATGTGCTGTTTGTTTGTTTGTACATAATGGCCATAATGATTTATATTCTGTTATATGATGATAATTCTTAAATGAAGAAAAAAGATATTTGGAATAATCAAAGGTCGTACGATTACAAGTCGTTTTTTTTAAATTCTGTTGTTTAATTAATTAGATATATAAAAAAAATTTTATGCAAAACAAACATGTTTTTTACGTCGTCGTCGTCGCCGTTGTTTTTTGTTTTTTTTTTGCTGATCACACACAAAAATTGTTGTGTGTGTGTGTGTGAACAAGAATGAAAAATGGAATTCCTACAAATTCATCACAACTACGAAATTTTACCTTTGGATTTTCCATCATCATGAAAACTAAGGTGTGAAAATGACGACAACAACAACAACAACAACAACAACGGCAACTGGAATTTTTGTTTATTTATTAAATTGATTAAGCAATCACACACACACACACACATACATCATCCATAGCCAGTAATCAACTTTCGACATTTAAGAATTTTTTTTTATTTATCCAATGTTCTTGCACAAAACAAGCAAGAATTATTGTTGTTTTTTTTCATGTTGAAATTCTAACTAACTAACCACTTTTTGTTGTTTTGTTGTTGTTGTTGTTTTGATTCTTCTTTCATTTACATATGATGATGATGATGATGAAATGTAAATGAAACAAAAAAAAACGGAAATTGTTCTGTTTGCCAGATTTGCTTGTTTTCCAACCCCCTTTCCCTCCGCATTTGATTTAGTTTGATGATCACTGATGCCGGTGATTAATTTTTTTTTGCGTAGTAAAAAAAAAATTCTGTACAAATTCAACATTGACAACAACAACAACAACAACAACGACGACGACTATGAAAACTGCAATTGCCAAATTGTTTGGGCCATAATAAAATTGAAATTATACATTTCATTTCATTTCGTTTTTCTGGTTTTGTCCTTTTGGAAACCAAGTTTATTAGCAATGAATTTTTTTTTTTATATATACGCAAAATACAAATACATATGGAGAAGAATCAACAATTTTGGTCACGATTCTTCATTTTTTTTTCTCTCTCTATTTTAGTTTTTGTAGCTAATGATGGTATGATCTTATCATCATCTAAATTAGAAAACAAAACAAAACGAAAAACCAAATAAGAAGAAAAAAACGCTAACAACGCCAACGAGAAAATTAAAACAACCACAGTCATTCATTAGAAATTTTGGTTTTTTTTTCATTTGCAAGAAAAAAAAAATTTTTCGGCTTATTTTTCCTTGAGAGAGAGAGAGAGAGCGAGATTTTACTTGAACAGAATTTACGGTTTTTTTTCGTCAGACTTTTTTTCTTTTAGTTGTTGATGGTTGATGAAATACGGACATTTTCTCAACCAACTGATGATGATGACGATGATGGTGGTGATGATGATGGTGATGATGGTGATGATGATGCAAAAAAAAACGAATGAAAGAAATTTAATGGAGAGTGAGAGAGAAAGAAAGGAAAAAAACAACAACAACAACTGCCCATTAACATGATAACTTTCTAAGAGTTAATTACAAATTATCTTTTGTTTTATAAACATTTGTTGTTGTTGTTGTTATTGTAGTAGAAAATAATAGAACCAGAATGAGAATAATGAGAAAAAAAAAAACAAGTCCAATTATTTTTCCGGCTAGTCTGTAAACAAACACACACACACACACACACACACACACACTGCTGTTGTTATGCTAAACGAATCAGGGAATTTTTTTTTTTTTTTTTTTTTTGATCGCATCAAATTGAAATAAAAAAATTCTGTTGGTGGTCGTTGTATAGCTATGTCGGTGATTCTGGTGATGATTATGGGCGGATTTTGGAATCTTTTGATTCCAATATGTCTAGTTCGACGCATATTCCAAACAAAAAAAATATTGAATCACTATATATACACGAAAAGAATCTGTTGAATTTTCTATAGATGAACGGGAAAAAAAATTTTCATTTTTTTTTGCCACTATAAAAAGAGTTTGATTTCGAATGAAAACTTTTTTTTAAATTTCAAATTTAAAAAATCAACCAATTTTTTCAACGTGTGTGTGTTTGTTGGTTCAAGATAATTGGTTTTTTTTTGTTCAATAAGCTCATCAATCATTTTCATTACCATTTGATCAGGATATCCGACTATCTATATATATTCCTTCTAATAATTCTGGTAAGTGTGTTGTTCTATTTTTTTGACCAAAAAAATCATTCGAAATAGGAGAAAAAACTTCCGGAAAAATCCCTTTTAATGTCAGAATGGAAAATTTTCAAGAAATTCTTAAAATTCAACAAAATTCCATTTATTTGTTTCCATGATATATGAAATGATGAGGTGACAATCGTCATCATCATCATCATCATCATCGTCATGGAATCACAATTACTAATCCAAATGAAATAAATCCATTAACACTTTTTTTAATTTAAATTATGAAACGTGTGCGTGTGTATGATAAAGAACTAGAGAAAACAAACAAACAAAAAAAAAAAAAAAATGAAATTAAAAATTGAATTCAAAACACAGTGAAAAATAAAAAACAAACGACATCGATTATGAATTATGGAACAACAACAACGAAAAAAAAAAGCAGACGTAGGAAACTTGAGAATTTTTCTTCTTTTTTTTGTTACTTGCAACTTGCATTAAAATTTATCTTGAAAATTAAAAAAAAAACATTAACGGTGGCAGAATATTCTTTGTTTTGTCAACAATGAAAAAAAAAGTTTCCAATTATGTAATCATGAAGCCTTTATCTCTTCGTCTTTGCCGTAGATTATTAAAACAAACACGCCAATGTGTGTGTGTCTGCGTGTGTGTGTGTTTGTGTTGGTGGTGTTTTTCCAAATTGAATTTTTCATCATTGTCTCATCCTATTTAAGGAACGAAATTCTGTATTTTCATTCATTCATTCATTCAAGAATATTTAATTAAACGGTATATTTTTTTTTCCTACTTTTTGCAGGTTGTTTCTTGGAATTTTTTTCATTTTTTTTTTTTTTGAATTAAAATTTAAATTTTTTTAAATAATCATCAAATTTAATCAAACAAAAGCAGCAAACGAATTGTATTGTGTGTTTCAATAAAATTTTTCTCTCCAATCAACAACCAACAACAATCATTGATGAACAAAATGGCAATGTTTATGATGATAATCATGATTAGTACGTTGATAATCGGTACGACAAGAATCGATGCACGTAATATTAAAGATGATGATTGTATGGATATCGCTATGCGTCCATTACCACGTTTCGGTAAACGTAGCTCAGATCTGAATAGAGGTATGGTATTTTTTTCCAATTTTGCAAATTTTTTTTTTCGTTTCATTGATTGATTATTAACCATTAATATAATCAATCAGAAACAATCAATCGTGTACGCCGTTCATGTATTATAAATAGACGACAAAGTAAATCAATATCATCACCAACATGGCTACAAGATTCAAAGGATTCATTATCAATGGAATCTAATCCATTACAACAACAACAACAACAGCAGCAGCAGCCACAACAACAACAACAATTATCATCATCATCATTGTTACGACGTTTTCCAGCATGGAAACATTTACTAGATCAATTGGCAGCACAGAAAGAAAAAATGATCATCGACCATTTGTTGAATATACGATTGAATCCAACATTAAGCATAAATCAACAACAAACACAACAGAATAATAATCCGGATACATTGGAACAACAACAATCTAGTATTGAACAACAACAACAACAACAAAAAACAACAACAACAACAACAACAACAAGAATTCGAATGGGAAAATTTTCCATTTACATTTAATAATTATCCAAATTTTCGTTTGAATAGAAAAATATCATTTCAACAACCATGAATAGACAGGAATCCATTAATCATCAATACATCACTATTATCATCTATTCATCTCTTAATCATCATTGTTATTATGGAATTATCAGAAGAAGAAGAAAGAAGAAAAAAAAAAATTAATCAAATCCAATCACCAATCATCAATATATCATCATCATTTTAATTATTGTTTCTTTATGTGTGTGTGTGCTTGCGTGTGTGTGTGTTATTTTGTTTTTCATTTATTGATTTGATGATAATTTTTTTGAAACGATAGATAAATAAATAAATAAATAAAGAAATCGGGTGCAAATTTTTCTCGTTTTCATTAAAAAAAAAAAAAGTTTCAAATTTCAAATTTGAAATGAGAAAGGGCGTTGTTCATATATGTGGGTAGTTGTTGTTGTTGTTGTTGTTGTTTGGTTTATTTTGTTTGTTCGATTTTTTTTCTCTCGATTATTTTTAGATTATTAAACCACCACCACCACCACGATGAATACGTTAATGACTCTTCAGAATTAACTAAGAAATTTTCATGTGAATTATTAATAATAAGAGGATCCAAGTGCCAAAAAAAAAAAAAAAAATCGAGCCATAAACAATCGAGAAAATCAACAAACAACACACACACACACTGGTCAAACACTGGTGATTCCTATGGCTAAAATTGTTGAAAAGTTTTCCAATTTTTTTTTCTCATAAGAGGCTTATTATGAAAAAAAAAATTATTCGATTATTTGCTGTTGCTGGCTGTTGTGTTGGACGTTTGAAAAATCACCGATTTTTTTATTATTACAAGAATTATAATTATGGTAATTGAAGAATTATTTCAACATCAACATCGACGATGGTTTTTTTTTTTGCCAGATTCTTCTAGATTCTTTAGTTTGAAAAATTCACAGGTTTCATTTGAACAACAACAACAACAACAAAACTGTACTTTATTCAAAAACTTTTATATATTCACTTTGCATTTCCATTTTATCATTATCATTATTATTATCATCACACCCGTGACCAAATACAAAATCTTCCGATTATTATTTAAATTAATAATTTTGAATGGATCGCGATATGATGTTATAACGTTATTATTTACAGAAAGAGAAACTAGACCAATATTTTTGAAGTTTGAAATTTCGTGTGTGTGTTTTGTGCTCATTTTCTCTGTTGCCGTTGTTGTTGTTGTTGTTGTTCCATTTTTTCAAAATGTTCATCCAATTCATGGAATCCTTCACAGCTTGGTGATAATTTTCTACCAAATTTTCGGCAACAATCAAGCATCTGTTCCAATTCTTTTGCACATTTATCAGCCTGATAATTATTGATACGGGTACATTTTTCAAGTATGCATGAAAATTTTACACAAGGATCTCGTTTTTGTCCGGACATTTTTAGAAAAAAAAACAAAAAAAAAAAAGTGGAGAAAAAAAAACTTTTAAAAACTCAATAGACAAGAAAAACAACACTAAAAACGAAAACGAAAAAACAAAAATTCCAGTCAAACAAAGAATATTCACATGGGTAAAAGTTTTAGATTCTTATTATTCTCATTTTTTTTCCATACATCTGTTGATTAATAAACTCGCAATAATAAATGAAAAAAAAAAAAATGCCATAAGATTCGATTTGTTCCATTATCAAAGGTTATTGTAATGTGATTGTCCAATGACAGATGGCGTGATGAACAAAAAAAGAATCAAAAAATTCTGCAAGATAAAAATCGATTTTCATGTATTTAATGTATAAAATGCAAGAATTGTATAAAATCCAAGAAATTTAAACATACAAAAGAATAATATATATTGATTATGGTAGCTGCAAATATTATTTGATCATATCGATGTATGATTTATTCATAGCTTTCGGTTCCATAATAACGATCACCATAATTACCGATACCAGGACGGATATAGAATTTATCATTAACCTCTGGATCAACTTCAGTGGTTACCATTAAAACTTTTGGAAATGCATATGCAATAGTCTGTACACCGGATGATGCCATCAATAATGAACAAAGCATAATATTCTCTTCAAGTACATCATGATCAAGTAGAACACGAATGGCCATCATTGATGCTGCACCGCTTGCCACTGTGGCATCCATCAATATTACTTTATAATCACGTATATCATCTGGTAATCGTAGATAATATAATTCTGGTTCTTGAGTCAATTGATTTGTTTGTATTAGAATTTTTCCAATACGAACAGATTTCAATACATCACATAATGCCTGTTCCATTGTTTCACCGGCACGCAATATGGATACACCACAAATTTGATCACAATTCATTGTTTTACCACAATATTTAACACCTTGTGGTGTATCCACTTCGATTGTCTACATAGATAGTGATATAACAAAAATAAAATTAATCCATCAAAATGATATTGATTTGGATTCGTACCTTGAATGGAAAAAATGACATTGCAAATTCAATCAATAAACGCATTAAACGTTTAGAATAGAATACAAATTCATCACGTGTTGTATCTTTATCTCTAATAATTGTATGCATTCCTTTAATCTGTGGTGTTGGTGGCAATGCTTTCAATGTTTCTGGTAATGGTTGATTTTGTTGATTTCTTAATAATTTTGATCGTAATTTTAATCCTTTTGATTGTAATTGTGTATGTACATGTTGTACAATCAGATCGATGGCAACACGATTTTCACCACCACGTGGTACAATTATATCAGCATGTACCATTGATGGTTGTATATAAAAATCAAACATTGGTTTCACAAATTGATTATATTGTTTCAGTACACCTTCTAAATCACGGCCACGTTCAGTAATATCACGCTGTAGGCGACGTGCAAGACGTATATCAGAATCGGTTTCAATAAACACTTTCATTTCCATCATATCGACTAGTTCTTTTTTGGCAAAAATCATTATTCCTTCACAGATGATAACACTGGCACCATACATTGTTTTCTATAGAATGATGAAAAAAAATACGTAAAAATTAAAATCATCATTTCATTCATTAATTCATTGTTGGTCATTAATTACCGTAATTTTTTCACGACGATGTGTAACAAAATTATAGATCGGTACATCAACACGTTTACCATCTTTAAGTTTACGTAATGTTTCAATTAATAAATCAAAATCAAATGCATCTGGATGATCAAAATTGTATTCATTTTTTCTAGCCAATTCTTGTTGTTCATCATTCAATACTTTATAGAATGAATCCATACTTAATAATGTAACCCATGGTACATCTAATGCTTCAATAATACGTTTAGCGACAGTAGTTTTACCGGATGCACTACCACCACAGATTCCAATTAAGAATGATTCTTTTGATTGGCCTTGTGTATCATACCATGGTGGACGACCAGCTGTATAGATTGTACGTTTGGCTGTACGTAGAATACGATCTGCTTTAACACTTTTAAATATTGATCGATTATTTTTTGATTTATTTGTTTTTTTCATTTGTTGTTGTTGTTGTTGTTGAACGAATAAATTATCAAATTCATTATCGGCTGTTGATGATGATGTTGATGTAAACAAAATGGGAGAAAATGACCGTCTTGGTAGAATATCGGGAACATCTTTCACTCTAGTGGCATCAGAATATCTACATTTTTTAAATTAAATCATCAAAAATTTTAAAATCAAAATAATCAATCAATCAGTGCAAAAAATTACTTATTATATTCATTTGTAGCCGACATTATATGAATCAATCAATCAATCAATCGAAGATGAAATTAAAAACAAAACCAAAAAAAAAACGCGCTTATGAGCGTTTGTTTATGGACCGCGTGGTTTGATCGTTTTTTCCAAGTGAATGAGCAACACAAACAACGACAACGACATATCCACCGTTGATGGTTGGCATATATAATCATATCACATCGTCACATATATATATAGAGCAAACATCGACTGCGAATGCGTGTCTTGAAATGATGATTCAAAAATTTGTGGTTTACCACATTATATATCCATATATATAAATGGATCTTATATCAATCTTAAATTATTCTGACATTAAAAAAAAATTTTTAATTTAAATTTCATCTTTAGTAGTTGATGAATGAACCAACTTAGGGTTAGAGGAGGACAAAAGAAATTTTTTGTTTTTTGTTTTATTGGAAAACTTGCTTAATAATACAGTTTTACATTGGTTAAATTTTTTTTCTGGTTTTTGCATGTTTGGTGAGAAATAGTTTCTGAAATGAAAACATGTCCTCCTGGGTCTGGTAACCCTAAAAACCACCTATACATATAGATCTGTTGTAATAAATATGTTTTGCGTGTGTGTATGTGTGTTTCATTTTCAAAGTTTTTAAATATTCAAATATCAAAGTCAGTGCTATTATTATGAAAAAAAAGATGTTACTGTAAATGATGTTTATAATGACGTAACCATTTTTTGTTGTTGTTGTTGTTGTTTTCAATAAGTGCAGGTGTGGTTTATATTAATTTTCAAAAAAAAGATCAGAGGTGAGGTTGTTTTGTTTAGAAAAAAAGGCATTTTGATAAATAAATATTTTGTGTTGACAATGATGGTGTGATGAAAATGTCAATGTTTATGTAATGATTGATTGATTATTATTATTATAAATGCATTTAGATTTATATATATTAGGACTAGTGGTGTTTCTAAATTGATTTTGTATGTGTGTGTGTGTATCGATTAATTAGGTTATCGAATGTGAATATATGAAATGAATTTCTTTTTTTTTTGCTTCGTTTTCATTGATATAATAGAAAAATTTTTCATATTTACACGGAAAAAAAATTCAAATACTTGGGAATGAACGTTGAGATCGGTGATTGATACATGGAATCATTATTATGGAATCGAATCGGGAATGGTCAATTGAGGTTAATATTTATATAATATACGGTGAATAAAAGTGAATGAATCAAAGAATGCAATTTAATAAAGTGAATAAAGTCGAAAATTTCATTGATTTGATTTCATGATGATGATGATGAATAGGATGAGGTATTCTTGATGATGAACAAATTTGAACACATTTGATAATTTTTTTTTTTTTCATTTTTTGCAAGATTTTTTTTTCATGATGATGATGATGACGATGGTGGTGAAAAATGTATGTAGCAATAGCAGCAGTAGATGATGATGAATGGCCATTGATGATCTCCATAGTATTAATGGATGAATAAATGGAATGAATCATTATTATACTATTTAGCCATCATAATAATAATCAATAATGGTAGCATTATAATTAATAATAAAGTATTATTAATTGAAATAAATGTAGCATGATTACAGCCATTTTCTCCATTACAGATACAATATTCAACCATAACGGAAAATGTACCAGTACGACGTAGACATTGATCTTCAATTTCAGCACCCGGTGGTATAGTATCGAATGTATCATTTATATAACCACATCCACGTATTATACGATATTCATCGTTTACTAAAAATTTTTTGCAAATTAAACAAATGATGAATGAATATGATTATATGATTTAATCTTACTTTTTTGTAATGTTTTACGACAAATATTTCCTTCTTTATCTGGAAATCTGGACAAATGTTTTTGACTACAATCGGCCATAGCAAAATCATCCGGTTTAAATGGATCATCACAACCTTTATTGATCATTGAATTACAATCCCAACACTTGATGGCCATTGTTGCTAATTTTATTTTTTTTTTTTTTTTTTTTTTTTTTGAAAGAAAAAACAATCATTTAAAACAAAGAGAAAAAAAAATATTCAAAAAAAAAACTTACACAAAGGCATCATGATCATAATGATGGCCATTAATGATATTAACATTTTGGCTATTTGTGATGATGAAAATTTATATGATGATGATGATGACATGATTGGATTGGAATCTAATCTTTTTTTGTTTGGAGCTGCAGCTGATCAATAAATCAATCAATCAATAAACACGATACTTACACACACACACACACACACACACACACACAAAAAGACAAGATTGATAAAAAACTGGAAATTGTTATTAGCTTCGAGCTTATTTGTTCGAATGGCAAATTCAAAATTGGCGAGAAAAAAAACGGCTCAATTTATGATTGCAAAAATTTTCAACGATGCCAATACAATACACACAGAGACTTGATGATGATGATGATTTGACAAAACATATATAAATATTGAAAAAGGAAATTGACCAAACAAAATGAATTCAATATATCAATTGAAAACGATGATTAAGATGATTCATGACAAGCATCAATCGAATAATTGATGATGTATTTTTTTACAATTTGAGCGAAAAAAAAAATTACAACTGGAAAACAGTCAATGACAAAATTGAATGTGTAATATATATAGTGTGACACAATGGAAATGGATGTGATTGCTTGCTTGATATAATGATGATTTTTTTTCGCTGTTAATAATGATGATGATGATGATGATGGCGGTGATTTTCACATTAGAAAAATTTTTTTCGAACAAAAAAAAAAAAATTCAAACTAAAGCACAATCACGAACGTGTTGGTTGTTGTTGTTGTTTATTTTTCATTTTTTTTTTGTCACAATGGGCAGTGTTTGGTCATTCGTTTGTTTTTTTTTATTTTTGCTGTTTTGAAGGTTGGATTTTTTATTATAATGATGATGATGATGGTGATGGGTTTAGATTGGAATCGATACACTGTGTGTGTGTATGTGAAAATTTTTTTTTTTTTCGTTGTTGAGTCAGTTCATTTCGAGCCAGGCAATGTGTGTGTGTGTGTTGTGTGTGTATTATTACGACCACAGCGGCAGTATTAGTGTGTTAAATCCAAAAATAACGACGAGATGGACTAAAAAAAAAAAATTCGTTGAGCAAAAGAGAGAAAGAGAAACTGGAATTCGAATTTTTTTTTTCTTCGGATATTATCGAGGTGGTGGTGGTGGTGGTATTGGTGTTTTGTGTTTTGTGATTGTAGCAGCACAGTGTTGTGCGAGGTGTGTGTGTGTGTGTGTGTGTGGTTGGTTGGATTCATTACCACTAGTTTACAACATGGAACACATGGTGTGTGTGTGTGTGTGTGTTGTATGTTTTATGGATCGTTTCTGGAACAGACAAAAAAAAATGACATATTGCTTGATCGAAAAAAAAATTTTTTTTTTTCAGGATTCCATTTATATAAATGGACGGGACCCGTATTTTCATTGAATTTTACGTTATTCACTCATTGCTATAGTGCTTTTTCAAGTTTTTATGTTAAATTATTAATGAATGAATGTTGTCCTAATTTTCAATGAAATGATAAAGATTTTGTTTTCGTCATACAGAATCAAAGAAAACAACAACAACAACAGAAACGAAACAAAAAATTTTCTTTGACGTCATATGCGGATACGATTGAAAATGACCTTCATAGATGTGACGACAACAACGATGATGATGATGATGATGGCTGCATTGGGGATTTTTATTTCCGCGAATCCCGGTTAGAATTTTTTTTTTTTCACAGCCCAGTCGGTCTGTCGGTTGTTCGGTTTGATGGCAGAATTTCATTTTGTATTTGGGAAAAAAAACAACAATCCATTTACTATATAGCAAGTAAATGTAAAACACACAACACACACACACATTATTCAAATGTTCTCTGGATCTGTGATCGAACCAAGTAACCAAGAGAAAACAAAAATCAATTTTCACCATTTTTTAAAAATGAAAAACAATTCATCGTCATAATCATCATAATCATCGTTTTTTTTTTTTTTTTTTTTGTTTGCTCAAAATAAAAAAAATGGTGAAAATTGATTTTTTCACCATTGAATTTGCTACCATTTTGTGTTTAGTCGTAATAAATTGTTTATTGCGTGCGGACAAAATAAATGGCCGTTCGTTTGTTCGTTTGTTGAATAATAATAAATTCAACAAAATTCATGAATGAACATCGATGGTTGACATTTTTGAAAACTTTTTACATTCATTGTTTATCCATTTTGTTTTTATCTTGCGAAAACGTAGTTGTTGGCATTTTTTTTTTTTTTTCGTTATTAAAGAATTTTCAATTTCAAATAAAAATAAATTCCCGCCATTCTTGTTACGTCCAACATGAACGGATCCGTAAGAATCGAAAAAAAAATCGAACGTATTTTTTTTGCACTGCATGTTGGATTTTCTGTTTACAAACAAAATTTTTTTGTGAAATAGAAAGAATTTTTGTTTTGTTCAAAGAATAAAACCCACGCAATTTTTTTTCTCTGTGTCATCAATTTCTAGTCATCTAGATCCATAAAATTTTAATTTGATCAATGTGAAAAAGTCATCAAATTAAAGTAATAATAATGGAAAATACAATAACGGCAGCAACAACAACAACAAATGATTCCAATGGTGATGTTAATGATCATGTTGAAGCGAAACATGTTTATGTACTTTTAACTGATCGGTTTGTCTTATTCTATTTTTCATTTACAAATTTTGGATAAATTTTTTTTTTAATCTTTGAAACAGATATCGTATATCAAGAAATATACGTGTTGAATGGTATTTGGATAATTTAAATAAATATTTTCCAGCATTGTCCAAACGTACATTGGTATGAAATTTTTTTTCTGAATTCCGAATACAAACATAATGTTATTATTATTGTTTTTATTGGATTAGGCTGATTTTCAAAATGAAATCGATATCATATCGTTTATTACATCATCGAATGATACAAATACATTCCAAACAAATCGTCGTTTGGAACAACAACAGCAGCCGCAACAACAACGAAATGAAAATTCCAAATTCTGGATTAGTTGTGATACAAAATTTACATTTTTTTCAAGAAAATATTGTTTCGTTTTTGTGTTGGACATATCCACATCGGTTGCCAATGTTGATATTCAACATTCGACCGTTTTAACCGATGAAATATATGATGTATTGGCCAAATGTTTAAGCAATATTGTTAAACCGGTATGTTCCATTTTTTTTTTGTTCTTTTGATTATCGATCTCTTAATTTTGTCTTGTCTTTATTTACATAGTTTTATGCTCCTGGTAGTGAATTTTTATTTCAACCAGAAATCTATATTACAATCGTTGCCTATTTACCATTCTATTCATTGGATGTGAATAATGTGATTGTACATGGCTATAAATTAACCACCGAAAATATTGGCCAATTGTTAACGAAAGTTTGTGATAAAATCTATTTTTATATTGAAATATTGAGCCAAAATATATGTTCTGAACATTTTCGTGATCAATATGGACATCGTACTCAGGGCCGTTCAATTGTTCCGGCTAATCTTTCATTGATCAATATGATTCGATTTGGTCTACTATCATTGAATCTATTACCCGAGAATAGCCATCAAGGTATTGTGATAGTAACCGATGGTAATACAAGTTTTTCCGATGCTCATACATTGGAATCAGCATTGGCACAATTACGGCTAAGTATGATATCATGTTCGTTCATACATATTGGCAGTCCACCACATCCAGATGCAGCACTCGGTTATGTTCCATATGTAGATTTCATGAATTTCATCTCACAAGCTACATTCGGTGCTTATTTATCAATAAGTTCCGATTATGATGACTGTGATCATTTTGAAGCAAATGTTTTCAACGTATTTCATCGAGCTTTTTTTGTTTATAGTTTTAATCATGGTTGTTCCAGTTTTAGTAAATGTTTACGTCCAAAGCGATCATCATCATCATCATCGTCAGTGTCAACAAACATATGGGTTATTGATAATCCATATTTTTATTCCAATCAAGATGATGACATTATTGTTCGTTGTCAGAAAAAAGATCAACAATTATTACGGCGAAAACAATTGGAAAATCAGATTAATGCTCATTTTGCTCAAATTCTTTCCTATCGTCTTCGTGAAGGTTTCACTATCAAACGGGTAAATCTAATTCATACGGAAAATATCATCGAAATAGCATTGACATTACCATGGCGTCATAATGTTAATATTGAATATCACATTTCAGCTTATTTTCGCCGAAACAATGAAGATGTTGATGATAGTGTTGGCAATTTTACTAATTATGAAGTGATTGTTGAAAGTAATTATAATTTTCTACATGATGCAAGTTGTTCAAGAAAAATGTTCAAAAGCCCATTACGAGCAACGACAATCAAACAATTCTGTGCAGCTATCAAACATTTTAATGATTCAAATAATCTGGGAATACATTTTCATCATTTTGCACGTAATGAAATTTATCGTTCCATACCAGAAAGTATGCGTAACGGTGTATCATTGTTCTATCTTCAACCGAATACTAATGTACCTGAAGTAAGTGTGCCGAATGAAACACATTTTAAATTTGCTCAATATTGGAAACCAATCTGTATGTTGGACGTGAATATGTGCCAAAAATCATCGCTACATACACATCAGATCAATATCCTATTGAAACATGATTATCCATTGCCAGAATTTCTTTTCCATCCAAATCAATTTGGCCGTTATGAAACAATTCAATGTAAACAGACAATGTCCGTATTGAATGTTGTTCTAAAAGAATGGAGTTCATTTGTATTGTTGGAAAATCATAGCTACATTAAATTGATCAAAGATAAAGATGATAATAGTAGTAGTAATAATAGTGGTGATAAATCCTGTTCATTTTATCTGATAAGAATAATTACACAGCCACCTTGCCTCGTTCTTCATCTGGCCTTTATTGGTGGTACAAGCGGTTCATTGAGAAATCAGATTGTTAATGATCTTTCGAAAAAATTACGACAATGTAAATTGCCTCAACGAAATTTATCATCATCATTAGTACAGAAATCAGGTGCTGCAGCTACAGTAACATCAGCCACTGTGGTTAATAAATCCGATCCAAACCATGATGATGATGATGAAGAAGATGAAGATGAAGATGACCATAGTTTGGATAAATCGAATCCTCTTTATGATAACCATGATGTACATGATGAAGATTTACATGATGACAATAATGAGGATTCTATTAATGAAGATAAAGATCTTTCAACAATAACTACAACATCAACTTTGAATCCTAATTATGATACCAATCATGATGAATTGAATGCTCGAAATTCAAAAGATAATGATCCAACAACACCGACTATGGCAAAAACAACGACGACAACATCAGGATTTGTAACAATAACATCCCATAAACGTAATAGTTCAAATAGTAATAGTTTATCAGTAAATTGTTTTGTCATCCTAAATCGGCCAATCGAACGTATGCTTATTCGTTATGAGAAAATACCAAAAGATTTCTATAGCTGTTATAAATATGAAGAAGATTTACGTAGTAAAACTACTGGACCTCAATTAACATCATATGCATCATTGAACATGTTTCAAACATTAGTACGATTCTTATATCATCAACGTTTCATATGGTCAACAAATGATCGATATGGACCGAATAATCGATTGAATATAACATCTATTTCAAAGATTCTATCCGTTCTAACATTGTGAGTTGGCATTTTTTTTTGTTTAATTTAAAATAATCTAACCTAATCAATTGATTGATTGATCAATGATCAATCAATTGAAATAGTGATCCGCAAAAACAGATAAAGATAAAGATAAGGACTGTAAGATATCTAATAAGATTCTTTTTTTTTTTTATAAATTTATTACTTAAATGATAGATAATAGGTGAGTCTAAATGTCTTGGATTTTTGTTTGTAGAGCAAAACCTGGCTGTTTTGTGGATTTTTTTTTGTCGTTGTCGTTATATTGTTATCATATAGCCTATATCTTTAAGGATTGTTTGATTGTTGTACATTATTATCATTTTTTATATATTTATCAAAAATTAGATTCATGTCTGTCTGTCTGTGTGTGTACATGGATTTCTGTTGTGTTTGAGTATCAATTTTGAGTGTTGATTTCTCTCCCCCTTCGTTTATTATTATTATTATCACCATCATAATCATAATCATCATCAATCAATTGGGATTGAGATTTATTTTATTTGTTGTAGTTTCTTCTGTAAATAATGATTGAAATCCTATCCTATCTTGTGTCTCTCTATATATGACTGACTACTTTATGTATCTGATGATTGGATCGAATTTATTGGCAAGAATATATTTTTTGTCATAGTTTTCTTATTTTTTATTTTTCTTGGATTTTTTTTTAAACAGGAAAAGGATACAAGAAGGATTTACATTAGCCTATAATGAAGGTGGTGTGGTTAATTTGGTCAAAGAATTTATGATGAAAGATGATGATGACGTTGATAATAATGATGATGCTGATAATGGTGGTGTTGGATCTACATTTCCATGTCTTGTTCAATATATAATATTTCCATCAAATGTTGTCATACGTAATCATCAAAATAATAATCTTAATAATAATAATAATGGCCAAGATGATAATAGGTAATGATTTTATTATTATTTTTTTCACAACAAAAAAAATGTGCAATGGTATGGTAATCAATTTTTTTCTTTTTATTTTAATAATACAAAAAAAGCAATGGTTTTGATGAAGAAGAAGATCTTATCGATGGTAATAATAATAATAATAATAATGTTTTGGGTGATCATCAACATCGTCATCATCATCATCAACATCAACGTCAAAGACATCAACATCATCAACAGCAGCAGCAGCAACAACAACAACAACAACAGCAACAACAACAACAACAACAAAGAAATGATGATATTGGTAATGTTGATATTGATAAAGTTGGCCAACATTTAATAGTAACAGAATGTTGGATTGAACCACAAAATGGTAATGCAGAAAATAATCAATTAATATCATCATCCAATTGTCAGCAACAAGATGATGATAATAATAATCAACAACACAATTCTCATCTTACCTATGGTCGAATATCATCATCGGTAAGTTTTTTTTTGTTTTTACCATTTATCACTCAAGTCGATTATTTTTAGCCAAAATTAATGATCATCATAATGTTTATGAGTACTATTGAGGTTTATCTATCTATAACCATCATAAAGATTTGCTCAGAATTGAGCCATTCATTATCATGATGATGAGGTTTATGTTGGTGGTGTTGATGGACTTGGTTCGATTGTAATTATTCCATTGATAGATACTTGTCTTTTTGTTTGTGGATGATTATTATCCAAAATCTTATCAGGATTTTCTTTTTTTTTCATAATAATTTGAAGTAGTAGCTCAAATATTTGAGATAGAAATGATCTTATAAAGAAATTTGATGATGATGATGATGATGATGATTGCGACAATAATCTTAGGTTATAAATATTGAACCCGATTAGTAATAAAAGTTTTAGTTTTCAAATTTTTTTTTTGTTTGTTTCACGTAAAAATCACAAGTCTCATATGTGTTCGATGAACAGATTGATTGGATTCATATTCATTTCTGCAATCAAGAATTTTTTTTCTTAAAAGATCATAGAGAATTAAGTGGAGTAGTGGTCTCTGCATTGATTTTGGATGAATTTTATTATTCGTCTTTTAATTTCATAAAAAAAATTCATAACGAAAATAAGCCGAGATTCACTCCTCCAACTATTTTCTCCATGACCAAATGCCACCATAACCTCATTTTTTCTGATTCTTTTTGCTTCTTGCAATTTTCATAATTTTGGCTTCTTTTTCCTTTTTTTCCAAAAAAATATTCTTTCCTTTAATTTAAAAAAAATTTTGATTTTATTTCATTTTTAGTTTTATGAACGAGATTTTGAATTGGTATCCGTATTACTTACTTATGAATATCTGGTATCGTGTGATCGAAATTCAATAATCGGCCGTCAGCAGCAGCAACAACAACAACAGTTACATAAAAATGATCAACAGATACAGTCCACACAACAACAGCCATCGAATGGTTCGTCATATGGCCAATATCAACAGCAACAACGTTTCAAGCATATTCCTTTTAAATTTAATCTGTTGAGCATACTGGACAAAAGTCAACTTGCATTGATCAAATTTCGTACATTATATCAATGGTTTAATATATCTTCTAATGATGATGATGGTGGTGATCATGCGATCACGGGAAAAACATTAGATCAAAATAATTGTACGAATATAATGCTATATTCAGAATTTATTTACAAAATTTCACGATTATATGATGAAATTGATTTCAATCATGAAGAAGCAATCAGTTTGATTAGGAAAACCAATGATAGATTGTCACGAAAACAATATAAACGGCGACATTGTTCAAACGATGATGATGTTGATGGTGATTGTGATGGTAATCATGAGCCATTGTTTAGCCATATGGATCTATTACAAGAAGATCCATCGATCATATTTCGATGTTTTTGCAAACGAATATCAGCCGATTGTATTATATTGACAATATTACCATCATCATATAAAGTTGTTAGACGATTATCATTCATTAATCAACAAGAAGAAAAAATTAATAGAAAATTAATTCATGAAATAAATGACCAACATGATGGCCAACGTTATGCATCATTAATCATACCGATTATTGTACATAAGATTACATTCCAATCGTTGACAAAAATATTGTTAAATAATTATGATCCAATCGAATATGATCATTGTCCTAATTGGAATGTTTTATTCGATTTTTCCAATGATTATGTGGAATCAAATACATCACCGAAAACTATTGATCCATCAAGCCAACAACAATATAATTTTCATAATAATAATCGTCGCCATCCATCCACGCATGATCATCATCAACAACATCCACAAACAATGGAAGAAATAGCATTGGAATTATTTGCTCAATCAATTGAAACATTATTTCGTAATAGTTTTACGGATGCAATTTATAAATCATTACGTTATGAATTCAATTCAGATGATCGTGATATCAAACTTGTATTGGAAAAAATTTGCTATAAAACATTTGATTATGTTGAAATAACAGATTTTCTCATCTATACATGTCAACATATGAAACCGATAATCAATAGTTATTTTGAACGTTTTCCAACAAACACTATATTCGATTTACTTGCCTATGTGGCCCGTATGGTCGATACAACAACAACGGATCAGGATCAAACAGATGTGGATTCAAATAGCCGTCAATCGAATATTCTTTCATTACGATTATCAACGAATGATCGACAAAATGATTCATCATCACATAGTTGTGGTGATCATAATGAAATATTGAAACAAAATTTTGTCAATCTAATACAATCTCAATTTACACCCATTCATACGCCATCAAATAGCTATTATTTTTATGATTATGAAAATATTCAAACAAAAAAATTTACATTAGACACTGAAATGATGTTGAAAATGCAAAAAGATGCTAAGAAGAAAAAGGAAATTCTTGTGGATTTTTTCTCACGAATCGATGATGGCCGTATTGATCTGGCAGAATTCTATGAAAAAGTACAAAATTCATCAAAATTTTTTGATCAAGATTTTATACTCGTACCAACATCGGGAACTTTTGCTTCGAATCCTATGATCATAGCACAATCGATTGAAGATGATGTGGACATTGATATCGATGATAACGATATTGTTGATGATAAAATTAACGAAGAAAATGATTATAATGATGATGATTATGATCCATTCAATAAGGATCCAAGTTTATTTCAATCTTTATTTTTGACACGTCCATTTTTTATTGGATTTTTCTATTCAATTACATTGAAAAATGATCAACAAGTACGAAAAATATCATCGATACCTACCTGTTTGATGGATATTATATCACCAACTAGTAGACAAAATTGTATTGAATTGGAAACTTTTCGTGTATTATTGAACATTGAAATCATTACACAGGCTTTGGAACCGGAAGAAATATCCTCAAATTGTTCAGTCATTTCTGGTGGTGGAACAATAGGTGTTAATGATGGACAAATAATGGCCGATAATATGGAAACGATTCCATGGAGTAAACTATTGGATGCATTTCAATTGTATAAATATTCTGAATTTTTCCATCAAATCAAATGGATGATTCGTGATGAAATTGTATCGATATCACATAATCTGTTTCAGGTATGTCCACAAACATTGGAAATGGTTGTCGAACACATCAAACAAACGGGAAAATCAAATACATCATTCTTTGAAAGAGTGGAATTAAAATTCGTATTTCCTTTGGATGAAGATCCAAATTTTCTTGCTGAATTCCGCGATGAATTGGGTCAATTACGATTTTCCAATTTTCGTCTTTGTGAATTGGGTCGTTATTTTTATGTTATACATGATGCTTTTAGTGAACAATGTTCAAGCCAACCAACCACGGATACAATGATCTGTACCACTTGGAATAATAGCAACATTGAAGATGATCAACAAAAACGGCTCATATTCAATGAAGAATTGTTCGATCCGCCTAAAGAATCATTGGTAGCTGTTTATACGATAGAAGAATCGTTATCGAATTTTTCACCAAATTTTTGGCTCATTTTGGCTCTAGAACTTGATGAACAAAGCCGACAAAACTATGCTGCGCTCTATTTTCATTCACGACAGAACATCTTTTTATATGGTTCGGAAATTTTCAAACAATTGAAAAAATGTTTGGAATTTTTATGTAAAAAATTTAATCAAAAATTTTTACTTGCACGTTTATTTGAAACAAGATTCTGTGATGATCTACTCATATCGAAAGAAGATGCCGATCCATATAGTAAGAATTGTGTACGTAGTGCATTGAATTCCACACCTATAGCACATTCAATGGAAGGTAGCATTAATTATGATTTGGATTATGAATATGATAAAGTATCGTTGAAAATTTTACGTACAAATTATCAATCCGGTTCTTTTAGCTGTGATGTTGTATGGCATAAACATTTACCATTACATCGACGTTTACATTCAATCGGATTGAATACTATACGATCGGTATTGGATTCATTTGAAATATCCAATCGTATTAATCTATATGTTTATCGTGAAAAATCTGATGCCGTTTTCTATGTTCGTTTATATGAAATTGAATGTAATCGTGATTCATTCAGCGATAATTTTGAATATAATTTCTCATCAATGGATGATGATGATATAGATTACGAAATGAATGATTATCATTATGATAATGTTATTGTGCCGATTCCAATTAATTCTACTACAATGACTGTTACCTCTAATATTGCTAATGCTGCTGCTGTTACACAATCGAATGAAGATGGTGAAAGTAATCGTTATGAATCAGATAATGATTCAGTGAATTCATTGAATGTTAATCGATTAACGATTAATGTTCCACAACAATGCATACTAATGAATGTACATGGAATTACTGAACCAAGCCGTGAAATAAAAATAGATATGGTTGCTGCATTGCAAAGAAAATTAGATGAAGCCATTCTCGATAGTCTTATAGTAATGTTGGGCCGTAATCCTCTTTCAAAACTTACCTTACAAGATGTTTGTTTTATTCAAGGACGTAATTCACAGATGAAAAATTTTCATTTCATCATCAATGAATCCTATTATCCATATATAACGAATCTAAAAGGCTATATTCGCCAAAATCTGTCGACATTTCTTTATAATCCAAAATATGCTGAACGTAATGTTAATTATCATTTTAAATTGTTTAAAAATCAACATTTTCATTGTGTTAATGATGAAGATGTATTCCTTTTCCATTGTCAAGAAGAATCAGGAAAAGATACTAAAGGTATTGCTTGTATAATATTTTCCATTGTATCACGTGATCGCCTTTCAGATTCATTACCATCAACATTTACTGTTACATCGATGGATATCAATGATTTTGTTGGCTGTTATTTTGATTATATTGTTACCGTTTATAATCCATGTTCAAAAGAAAATTTGAATGTTAAATTTTTTATCAATTTTCAAATTTGGTATGCTGGTAAAATTGATATAAATTTTTTAAGTCAAAAATTACGTACCGTTATTGCACATTCACTTTGGGAATTTAATTTAGAATTTAAAGTTTTCAAATTATGTCAATACGATGATCAACAACAACAACAGCAACAGCATCCATTACAATCACCTATGAATCCATTTGGTGGTACTTCTATATCTGAACCATCGACACCGAAAAAAATTGATGGACAACAACAATCACAGCAGCCACCATCATCAGCTGGTAGTTCAGAAAAACGTGAAAGACGTTCAGGATTATCGAATCTATCGTTGAAACCACCGTTGCTTCAAATCGGTAATAATGATCAGGATAATGAAAAATATTTTCATTCCAATTATAATAAATTTGGTCATTCATCATCATCGACAATCATTGAAACGATTGATTATCAAGAAAATAATAATAATAATTATTTTAATTTTTCAAACATTGATCAAACGACTAGCAGTCAAACAAATTTAACATCCAGCCTATCTACAGCCGCCACTACGACAACATCATTGTCATTTGTTGATCATCATAATCAAAATTCATCATTACGTATTCATGATATACGTAATAAAGAATTATATTGTTTGGCAAATTTTCTCCGTAATGCTATAAAACCATGGCTTGATTATGGTAAACAAATTGATGTACCATCAATTGGTCGTTATGAATTTCATGCATTAATGAAACGATCGATAATGACCATTGTGAAAGAATTTTCACAATCTGAACATATTACAAAATTTTGTACCGATATGCGTATGCATATGTTATTGGCAACCGGTACAAATTATTATGAATTTCAACAATTCACATCATCCAATGATAATTTCAATGATCCAAATAAAGATGGTTCAAATACCTATATGATATTGTTACGTCATGAATCATTATGGAAAACACGTTATCTTCATTATGCAGAAAATTCATTCGTACAGAATTTTATCAGATCAAAAAGTTTTACAAATAAATTTGATATGTATAAATTTGAATTTCCACCTTGTTTTTTCAATCCAAATATTGTTACTACTTCTGCGGCTAGTGGCATCACTGTAATGAATAAATCGATAAATGATTCAAATTTAACATTGAATAATTCAAATAATGAATTGAAAACACCAAACAATGAACCGGATATGATACAATGTATATCACCAAGACAAAAATTCCTATTGCTTTATATTGAAGATCAGAAGCTGATACTTTATATGTATAATTGGAATACAAATATGAGTAGCAATATTATTGATTGGTTTTCAAAAATGTTTCTATGGCATAATGCTCGTAGTTTATTATTGCAAAGTTTAATTCTACAAAAAGCCGGTCTATTTCATAATACACCATTTAAACGACATTCATTAGATGATTTAATACGAATATCGAATATTCCAATCAAAGATCATTACTATACTATGGTCACTAGTGGTGGTGGTGGTGGTGGTGGTGGTGGTGTTGGTGTTAGTAGTGTTCGAAATAAAAATATTAGCTCATCATTTTTTCTAAATCCTGATCTATTATTGAAATATGAGAATCCAATCAAAGCTTATAATGAAAATAAAGAACAATTATTGAGTCGTTTGGATTTTATTTTATTTGAAACAAAAAATTATGATTACATTTTTTCACCATTCATTCAAAATGAAAATCATCATGATCTTTATGATTGTTTTCGTGGCCAATTCAATTCTGATTATAATGTTTATATACGTGATTTGAAAGAAATGTCCAAAGTATGGCAAATACATGGTACAAAACATAATTATCCAACAATGGATAAAATTATTCAACATGTTAAATCATATGGCCGTTTAAGTCATTATTGTTTGACACCATTTTTATTTAGCCATAAATGGCGTTTTATAATATCATTGATTCGTGATCATACATTACCAATACAACAGACACGTACAAGACACATGTCTGGTGGTAATATATTACGACAATCAAATCATAGTGAACATGAATTTATGATGACAGCTAAACAACGTAATCGCCGTAAAAGTGGTCCACCAAATATGTTGGAAAATACATCATCATCATCACAATCATCTTTATCTATATCAACACAAAATGCTGGTACGCGTTCAACATCGGATGAAAGTCTAGATCTACTTGTATGTCCACATTATATACAAGAATATGTTCAATATCTACAAAGTCTTGGATTTAGTTCGATTAAATCACAAAAAGTGGTTAGTTTTCGTAAAAATTTTGATTTTGATCATCGACAACAACAAGGACAACAAAGACGTTCAACATATGATCAAACATATGGTTATGGAAATAAATATAAATTATCTGGTATTGGATCAGGTCGATTAAAAATTGGTAGTCATCATCATCATCATCATCATCATCACCATCACCATCATCATCATCATCAACAGAATAAAAATGAATATGAAAAATTTTATCTGATCAAAACAGTAATTGGTGGATTTTATCTATTTGAAATTGGTTTTGCCGAACCATTCGTATATAGTTATCTTTATTCTGTGGATTCAAAACGTTTTTATTCATGGACAAAAAATAATTCCAATTCTGTAAGTTGATAATATTTGATTTGTTTTTGTTTAGAAATAATTTTTTTTCTCTTCTGTAGAATATGATAAATTTTTTGGATGAACTAGATTCAATCAAAGTTCGTATGCATCTACATTCATTTACATATGATTATCATTTACGTGCCATACATTCATATATTTCTGGCCGTCAATTATTTCAACGTGGTTATCATTTAATTTCATTTTTAGATGATTTTATTCGCTATTATCAAAAAGCACCAAATTATGCTCGTAATCATGTTTATATGGATAATATAATGTTTGAATCGCAAAAAATTACAGCTGATCAATTATACAATTATATAATTAAAAATAATCATAAATATGGTATCAATGTATTTCCAATGAATACAGCATTTGCATTCGATCAATCAACTGGTATGAATGAAGAATATGTATTGATCAATCTTTCTACACATCGTATACCGTATTTGGATGAAAATAATATACAACAGGAAGATAATTTTGATGTTGCATTATTGGTTGCATATCAAAAAGTGAATAATGCTCGAATATTGAAACCACGACAATTGTGTTTGAAATTCTATCTTTTACTCACATCACAACGTGAATTGTTTCCAAAACTTTATTCCATACGACATAAGGGTCAATTTAAAACGATACGTATGCTACCTATAAATGGTGATCGTACTGCTACTACTACATTCGATGATCAACAACCACAACAACAACTGCCGCAACAGCAGCAATCACAAAACGGCAAATCTTTATTGATACGTAATCCTATTGATGAAATTATTCATAATTCAATCGATAGATCAATTTATACTGGAATTTGTGATGAAAAAATCAATTATTTGGGCTATTTCAATGCACATGAACTTGTCATGTTACATATACTTGAACAAAAAGTACAAGAAACAAAAAAATATCTTGAAGAAACAATTCAATCAGCTGAAATTGATTGCCGTCGTGATTATCTTTGGGAAAATTTAATTGGTTCATCAATGGTAAATGAAAGACAAATGACAATGGATGATTTTGATGAACTATTATCATTGGTTAAATCCATACGTATGGATGAATATGATCCTGCATTAATACAATTCAATTCATTCACTAGTCATTGGTATCGAGCATTGGCATTGAAATTGGAATCAAAATTCGATTGTGGATGTCGAAAATTTCAACGAAATATGTCCATTAAAATGGCCATTTTAAAACCAAATTGTAAAGATTGTTTCATACTATATCATCTGAAGAATGTAACACCATTTATTGTTGTAAGTTTTCTGTTCTCATGTATATATATAGTATAGTCTTTTTTAAAAATTTCCATACATTCATTCGAATTTAACTCTATTTTCTCTTTATTTTTTTTCTTTTATTCATTCTCCAAGGAATTTCGCATTGTTTTCAATCAACCACCAACAACAATCATTGATCATGACTTTTTTCGTCGTTTGGATCATCAATATCATGAATTGATTCAAGATTTTGTCAATACATGTGCTGCTCATATGTGGAGCATGTTATTAAGTTGAATTTTTTTTTTTATTATTTTTCCTAATACGATTATTTTTTTTATTGTACATTTTATTTTTTTTTAAATAAAAGTTTAAATTTTTTCTTTGTAGTCTTTGTGGTTACACACGCAAAAATTTCAATTTTTTTTTGTTCAATTTGTATCAATCAATCGATAATTGGAGAATGAAGATTATTATTACGTAATTTAATTCAATCATTATTGGTGGATTGAAATGAAGAAAAAAAAATTCAAATTATCAACGACGTCAATTTGGCCAAAAAAAAAGTGAATAAAAAATACCAAATTTGTCAAATAAAATGATTGTGTTTGTATATATGGAATAATTCTCGTTATATCATCTGTTTGTTTGTTTCAGGAACTTTTTTTTTTTTTTTTTTTTTCAATCACACGTGATCATTGCATTCACCACCACAAAAAAACATGAATTTTGTTTTTTAACATTTAAAAATTTTTTTTTTTATTTTATTCTTCTTAATCCATCTGTTTTTTTTGTCTGTTTGTCGGTGTGTGTGTGTGTGTGTGTTTATATATTTCAAGAAAGTCAAAAAAAATTTGAAAAACTAATATTCTCAAGAATTTCTTAAGAAAAAAAAAACCAACAATAATAACAACAACAGAAAAAAAAATAAATGAAAGAGGTAGCAGATGGGCTTGATTTATCATAAGATGATGATGATGATCTATAAATCCTTGGGTAGATTAGAACCTGAAAAAAAAGAATTTTTTTATTTTGTTTTCAATTTCAATGAAAAAAAAACCACCAGAATGAATCCATGTGTGTGTGTGTGTGTGTATTGATGGATGTTGATGATGGTTTTGTTATTGTTCTTGTTGTCAATTTTGTTTTTCTAAATGGAAAAATTTTCTGAAAATCCTTTGTCTATGTATGGTTTTGTTTTTGGTTTCAGGTTTTTGTTGTTGTTGTTGTTTTGGCTGTTTATTACACGAAAATTATTCGTTTGGTTTGTTGTTGACGTTTTTTTTTTGTTGTTGTTGTTATTGTCAATTGTGATTTGAGATCAGAAAATAAAAAAATTTTTTTTGTTTTGTTTTGTTTTTTAATAATAAAGAAATCTAACGTCTTAAGGGAGGGAAGGAGAAAAATGAAAAGGGTGATGTAAGAATATTCTACATTTAAACAAAATCATCATCATTATTATTATGGTTTTGTTCAGATGAATGATATTGATGAATGGCCATTTTGGCTGTTGTTGTTGTTGTTGTTGTTGTTGTTTCTGCTGCTGATGATGATGATGATGGTAAATGTTGTTGTTGTTGTTTGTTGATGATGATGATCAATACAATGTAATGAAAGATGATGATGATGATGATTATTATTATATTGTGGTGGTGTTGCCATCAATATCATTGTTGTAATTGAATGTTGTGTTTGTGTTAATGATATTTCTTCATCATCATTACGGTGGTCATTATCATTATCATTATGATGATGATGATGATGATCAAAATTTGTATTCGATAATCGATTATCATGATCATGATTATGATTTTTATTTATATGTTGATGTTGATGATGATGATGATGATTATGTTGATTTGGATCCAATGTAATTGTTGTGGAATGATAATTTGAATTATTCTTCTGGAATAATCTTGGCCAACAACGACTTAATGTTTTTCCCAAACTCTGCTAAAATGTTAATGAAAAACAAACAAACAAACAAAAAAAAAAGAGTTAACAAAGGAAAAAAAATTCAAGAATCAAACAAACAAATCCAGAGGAAAAAGACAGAATCAAAAACATCAAGTTTTATGTTGTTTTGATCATTAATCCGGATTAGAGTGATATAATGATTCTTTCTGGGGTTTTTTTTTCTATTTTAACCGAGAAACATGAAAAATTCCCAGCTGTATTGCTGCTGCTGCTGTTGATTTTTGTTGTTGTTTTTTTTTTTTTTTGCTAATCATTTTCTGTCATTAAAGAATTTTGATAATTTGTTGTTGTTGGTGGTGTGTGTGTGTGTGTGGATGTGAATGATGATAATTTATAATCTACAAGATTTCCGTTCCCAGGAAATGAATTTTCTCAATATAAAATCCGATCCGATTTCAATTAAAAAATATATATAATTTGTACGAGCTCGCGCGTGTGTGTTTTTCAAAGCTTTGGAATTTTTTTTTTTTTTTTTTTTTTGGTTAAAGAATTTTTTCTCTTGTTGGATATAAAATAATTCTCATAAGAAAATTTCAACAGAATTTTTTTTCCAGTCTGATCATAAACTTTTTCTTGAGAATTCTTGATGAATGTTTCGCGACTTTTTATTTTTACTGAATGCCCATGAGTGTGGAATATTTGAATCTTTTATTACTTTTTTTTTTTTTTTTTTGCGGCGAAAAAAAATTGGTAGTTTTTAACGAAATTTAAGTATTTCTTTTGCAATTTTTTGTCATCATCATCATCATCATCATTTTTTTTTTTTGAATCATCATTATGTACAAGTTTATGGTGGAAAACTTTATCATTTTCCATTAAAATATATACCATATATTTACATGTCTTTGTGTGTGTGTGTGAATGTGAAAAAATTCTTCATGAATATTAACACTCACACACACACACACACACACACACACAATTGCTCATCTGAAACAGAATAAATCCATTTCACACTTTTAGCTTAAGGGTAGTTTTTCATATTGAAATTGGATTATGAAGATGAACCAGACACTCACGCAGACAACACATATCAATATACTGTGATTAATTATGGATGCATTGATGGACGTGATTTGTGTATATATTGCTTGTTTGGTTTTATTTTCCGTTTTGATTTTTGTTTTATTCATTCAACTTTTACAGGAAATTTTTTTTTTCTTCTCCTCTTAAAAATGAAAATTGAAACATGAAATTTAAATTGGTGATGGCCACACAACAACAACAACAACAACATCGTAGTGACCACCTGGTGCAACTTTATCGTTCGTTATCAATTTAATAATTCTAGGGCGAATAATTCTCGACAATTCAATAACCATCATTGAAAATCCGGGAATATTCAATTTTTTTCATCATGAAAAAATATTTTTCATTTTATGATCCGTCTATCAAGGACATTCGATTAGCCGGGCAGTAAAAAATCAAAATTTTTTTTAACAATTTTAGTTTACAACACAAATAGATATATTATAATTATAATCCATTTGGGAACTACGGAATTTGTAACTTGATAACGGCAGTGGTAAAGCAAAAAGTTAAATTTTCTATCCAAGTGATATATAGTAAAAAATAAGCAGCTTGGTTATGGCTAAAATGCACAGAATTTTGTAAATCAATTTTTTTTCTTCCCCTTCCACTCCCCCCCCCAAAAAAATATCAATTCAATCAAATCAATTGATGAAAGGCTAACTTCTTGCCACTCTCAGGTATAAAATTTTTTTTTTATTTTCAAATGTTTTCACTATAAAGCAATTTATTTCGTTTTTTTTACGACTATCATCATCATCATCAACATCAACATCATCAGAATTATTCCTTGGAACTTTGTTACACATAAAAGTCAATTACATGAACAAGCGATCAAAAAAAAAAAAAAAAAAATTCTTCTCCACAAATTCTTTATTTTTCATGAAGAAAAAAAAATTCTTCATGAAAAATTTGTATTCAATTTGAAATTTTTTTTTCTGGTTAACAAAAAAAAAATTTTCAAATTTCAATTGTATGATGATATTGGTCGTAATAATAAGAAAATCCATCGATCGGATCCATCGATCGGCATATTATTATTATCGTTAGTGAAAAATTTTCATTGACAATGGAAAAAAACCAACCATTCCAATCAAAAAAAAAAAAAAAAAATTAGAATTAGAATTAGAATTAGAATTTAATTTTCATTCAAAAGAATTCACAATATCCACATAACGGCAGAAAAAACCGACTGTATTTGATGATGATGATTTATGTATGTGTGTGTGTGTGGCGGTGGTGGTGGTGGATTGGAATTTTTTTTTCTTGTTACCTTAATGATTCTTATTATTATATCAAATTCTTTTGCGCATGAGAATCTGAATTTTTTTTTTTTTTTGTTGCTGTTGTTCACCTATTTTTTTTATGTTACCATTGATATTTTCACATTTAAAAAAAATATCAAAAGTCATCGAAATGATTGCTTCAAGGAATTTATGGCGATGATGGTGAATCTTAATGATCATTAATAATAATTGGTTCAATAATTTTATGTCCAAAAAAAAATCAAAAATCAAAAAAAAAAAAAATAAATAAATAAATCAAAACCACCGATAATGATGATAGATGAATTTGATTCTCAAATTACAATCGATGATCATAAATATTGATCATCAATTCATTCAACTTTTGATGGTATTTTTTTTTTGGAGAATCAGAAATTGGAATTTTTTTTTATTCATGTTTTTTATCGTTTTTGTGAATAATAACAAATTATTAATCATTTGAATGAACAAAAAAAAAAATTCTCGATTCCGATACATTGTATCATATCAGAATCAGGATTTATATGATGAAATTCAGTGACACTTTTTTTCCATTGTGTTTCATTGTTTCTGATTCTGTCTTTTTTTTGTGCACTGTAATTTATCGATGTAATTTACATTACGTTTACATTATTCTTGTCTGTTTTTTTTTTGGGCGGCAGCCATTTTTTTTTTGTCATCAAAATTTGGTCGATGAATGAAAATAATTGCATAAACATTGTGAAAATGGTGTGAAATCCCCGGATGAAATGAATGTAAATTATATCGATGAATTTTTGATGAGAAAAAAAAAGACAATGAATGACCAACAACAATCAGATATTTCAATTTGGTCAATTGAATTGAATCAAATTGACACTGGCACACACACACACACATATACAAACAAACACATTAGCAGAATGACTTTGTTTTTTTCCCCTTGGAAAACTTTTCGTTCATCGATATAAAACATCAATTCGTTTATTATCTTTCAAATATCATGATTGTTGCAGCAAACTTCATAATAATCAAGTGAAATAAAAAAAATTTTTTTTATTTCATTTCATTTCATCTTCTTTGATTATTGGTGGTATATATATAAAAAAAAGAATGAAAACTTTTCCCATTTCCACCCACTCACTCACACCAAAAAAAAAATCAGTTTAAAATCATTGAAAATGGCAATTTTTAAGCAATAGAGTAAAAGCCATAAAAGTCAGAGATCAGAAATTGATTCTGTTTGTGAAAAAAAAAAAAAAATATTTCCACTACCATCACATATCATATGATGATGATGATGATTGTTTTTGTTTCCTATTTCACATCATATTACCACTACGTTTTAATTGCAAACTTATTTCATTGATTATTAAGTGGGCGGATATGTGTGTGTGTGTGTGTGGGGGGGGGTGTGGGATTGTGTTGGTGGAAAAATTTCAAATTTTTCAAATTGGAAAAGACTTTGGTGAAGCATACTTTTCAGGATTCATTTTGTGTTATAATGGAATTTTTTTTTGTTGTTGCTGCTTTTGTAAAATGACACAAATATTTAAATTCATTCGAAATGATTATCATCAACACCATCATCATTTTTTATTGTCATTGAAAAGAGAAAAAGAAAAAGATGGAATTTCAGGTTCTTTTTTTTGCAATTCTAATTTTCATTTGTAATGAATTTTTTTTTCTTTTTCTTTTTCGTTTCGTTTTTTTTATGTTGCATCTCAGCTTCAACATTCCAAATGTGAATTGATAATGGTGAAATGGTGACAACTACCTACAAATCTATTTTATATCATTATCATGATAATGATGATGATGATTTGGTAATAATTTTTCCTGGTTTTCCAATGAAATTCATTCATTCATTCATTCATTCATTCATTCATTCATTTTTTCCTGGGATCATTTTCATTCATTCAATGAGTGGAAAATGGGAAAATAGATGTATGGAAATATTCATTAATAATGTCATTTACGGATAAATCTTCATCGGTATTTTGTTTTTTCCCAAAAATTCCGCATTTTTTTTTTGTTTGTACATTCAACATGACCAGACAAAAAAACAATTTTCACCAAAAAAAAACTGTTTTTTTTGTTTGTTTTTTTTTCGTTTTCTGCCATTGCCATTTTCAATATATAATCAAACGATTAGACGATTGTATTTGTTTTTGTTGCTGTTGTTGTTGTTGTTGTTGCTGTTGGTGTTGAAAATTTGACAGGTGATGAATAGAATTTATGATTATCATTTCCATTGAATTGTTTGATTGTATTTGTTGTCGTATTTTTTTTCTTCTTATTCTTCTTATTCGCTGTTGCTATTGCCATCGTCATCGCTGATGTCGTCGTCGTCGTCGTTGTTGTTGTTGTTGTTGTTGTCGATTGTGATGATGATAGGAATAGGAACCACTATTTTTTTTTTCGTTCGTTTGTTTTTTATTTTCAATTATTTTTTTCAATTTTCATTTCGTTTCATTGAGTATAAAAAAAAAAAAAAAAAAAAAAAGAAATAGATAGATAGTGAGGATCATCATCAACAACAACAACAATAACAACAACAACAACAACAACAACAAAAATGAGAAGAAAATCGATAGTTGATGATTTAATAGAACAAAAGACAGGGGAAAAGAAAGAAAGAAAACAAAAACAATGTCTTTTCACAAAGAATCTACAATTCTGTTTTTTTTTTTGTCTAGAATTTTTTTTTTTCAATTGATTGTCATTATCAACACCACACCATTTATCCGTAATAGATAAATGTGATGTGTTCTGCATTTTTTATTGCATGCAATGTCACAATGGGATATTTTTTTTTTTTTCATTTGTTCGTCACATCATTTTTGTCAACATTGGTGGTAGCAGCAGCAGCAGCAAAAAAAAAAAGAGAAAAGCAAAATGATGCAAAAAAGCCAAAAGCAAAATATTAAAAATAAATAAATAAATCGAGTGTAAATCAACCAAAGAATCTGGGTGAAAATCATCACTTAAACAAGTTTATTATCAATCGCAAAAACACTCATACACACACGCACACGTGAACACAGCTGTTGAGTATTTTTTTTTTTTGTTTCCGGATGATGATCATGATCATCATCATACCAATAACAAAATATCAAACAAACAAACAAACAGACAAACAAAAAAAAACGTCTCTTTGAACAATGAATCGATACAATTGAATATGAAAAATGACGAATAGTGAATAATAAGTAATAAAAGGTCACAAGGTCAGAATTATTCAAGAATCGTTTTTATTTACAAGAACAAAAAAAAACAAAATAAGGAATTAAAACTAGCTGGAAAAAAGCAGCAACAACAACAGCAGCAGTGACAATTGATAATCATATTTGTCATTCAGATATCATTATTATCAACCAATGGAATAAAGAATTGAATTAGATAATTGGTTTTTCTTTCATTCATTCATTCATTCATTCATTCGATTGTTGATGTCAAACATTAAGAATAATAAGAAATAAGAATAAGAATAAAAAATGAGAAGAGAGAGAAAAGAAAAAATTGGATACATACCCGAAAATTTCCGCTCATAAAACAATATACAAATGGATTGACAAATGAATGTGCCATGGCTAACCAATGGCAAACAAAATATGATCCAACATAAAGATAATATGAGAATGTTGTCTTTTGATTCTGTATGGTTGGATGAAACCAAACTAATAATTGAAATAGATGTATGGGAAACCAACACATGGCAAATAATACGACTATTGTGACCAACATTTTGATTACCTAAAAAAAAGAATCGAATGGAAAAAGAATCGAATAGAAAAAAAATAATAATAAGCAATGATGACATGGATGTGGATTTTCTATATAGAATAAATGTCAATAAATTAATCACCATAGAATAATTGAATTGATTTTCCATATATTCAATCACAGAATCAATCACTAATCTCATTTCATAATCACAGAATATCTATCTGTCAATGTTGATTACAATGTTTTCGACACTGACCATGATTTTGTCATTTTTTTTTTTTTTGGAAATTTTTTCATTTTATTTCACATACCTTTATTTTTTTATTCACACAATATTTATCTCGATTTTGATCCGGATTACCAGGAACGGTTGTATTACGTATAAGATGTATACATATTCTTGCATAAACAAATATTAATGCCATAATTGGTAAAAAAAATGTGAACAAAAATATGAATATAGTATAAATACGGCCACCATCATTACTGAATTGTTCACGACAATCATCATAATTTTCACCACGATATTGAAATGATTCTATACGTGAATAGAATAATAATGGTGATGCAATTGATGCACCGAATAACCAAATGGAAAATATTGTCGTTATTTTATGTCTTTTCAGCCATAACATTGAACGAAATGGATAAATAATGGCAAAAAATCTGTAAAAAAAAAAAATTGAAATTGAAAAAAATTTCATTTCATTTCACATTCATTCATCAGGTGCATTTCAAATTGTTCGACATTTTATAGTTTTGTAGATTCTGTTTTTATCGCTGAATAATTCTTGGATTAAATTCTGTTTTTTTTTTTTTTTTGTTACACTTCAATGGAATTATAACCGATATAAGATTGAAATAAGAATTTTTTTTTTTGGCGACAAAAAAAAAGATTTCATTTTCCAGATTTCTTGGAATTATTTGTTTTTTGTTTGACATTTGATTTTATTTTTTTTTCTGCCACATTTCTTTCGTTTCCAATCGATTGACAAGAAACACTTTTATTTTTTCTTTTTCACTTGAAATCAACATTTGAATTTCAAACGAAAAAAGAGAAAAAAATTTCACACCTAAAAAAAAAGTAAACTTTCCGCTCGTTCGAATTCTTTTCTCGATAACATTTGAATACACACACACACACATATTGACAATTTGTTGTTGTTGTTGCTTTTTTTTCCTGTCAATTTCGCAATAAAATGACCAAAAATGATTATGATAATAGGAAAAGAACACCCGAAAAAAAATGGAAATGAAATGAAATCAAAATGGTGATATTGAGATGTTTGTGTGTGTGTGCGAAACATCACCATCAGAATCATATTTTGTTTGGTATGTCTTTTTTTTTCTTCACCATGAATGAAAAAAAAATGTAACAACAAACAACAAAATAAACAAACAAAAAAAAAGAGTTTCATTTCCATCAACAACAACATTAACAACAACAACTCACCCACACTCAATTTATTCGACAAGAATTGGTGAGAGAGAAGAAAAAAAATGTTTTTAACCATGATAACGACAACAAACACAACGTATTCCAGAATGACAACTACTACTACTACTACCATTACATAACTGAATGTGTTTTAAACAAGAAAAATTTTGACAAATTTATTAGAAGGAGAATAGTCATCATATATATATTTTGAGTGGAATTCAGATGAACAAAAAAAAAACAAACTTGAAATAATTTTCTTTCATTCAATTTTCAATGATTAATGAATGATGAAATCAATGAAATTGATTCAAATTGACAACGACAATAATAGACCATGATGATGATGATCAATATAATAATCATGTACAGGATATTGAGATAGTCCAGGTAAAACAAACACAACAACAACAACAAGATGCATATGGATAAATGGATTATTCATGTCCATCATCATCAGAATTTATTTGTGTTGAATGCAATTGTATCTCATTATTATCATCATCATCACTTTGTATCTATGTATTGTCAATAATATTTATGATGATGATGATGATCCAAGAAACAAAATTGATGAATCGATTTTCAGAATTGGATAGCAACAACAACCGCAACAAAAAAAAAAAAAAATTTGCCGTCATCGTGTGTATCTAATTTCAGTCGACGTTTCTCTCTCAGTTTTTTTTCGTTGTCAATGTTTATATCATCCACACAATCTAACCATACATACTGCCATTTTGTATATTTAGGTCGATTGATGATGATCATCATATCTCTATTTTTTTTATGGCTTCATTTCACACATTTAAAGTGTAAGTAATAAATGAAATGATGATGATGATGAAGATAGAGGAATTTGTTAGTTTCTCTCTCAGCAATAATAATAATAAAATAAAAAAAAAAAAAATGAAAGATTTTTTCATCGATTGCTTCAGATGATGGTGTTTGATGGCCAACATCGATATAATCGATTATCAAAATCAATATCAAAAATCATCATCCGCTTCATCGGCATATCATACACATGATAAAAAAAACAACTGGATTCCAGAAAAAGAAAACATTTACTTTGTGTCTATGTGTGCGAGAATCGAGAATTTTTTTTTTTTGCATGAATTTGGCAACAGTACAACAGAATAAAACACATTTTTTGACAATGATAACAGAGAGAGAGAGAGAGAGAGATATTTATAATGTAACAATTACCGTATATTATTAATGAACACCAACAACAACAACAACAAAAAACGAGTAAATCAACGTCATCATCATCATCATCATCATCAATTTTAATCCAGTAAAATAATATAATATAATACCAATGACACACAGAATCAAAGAGTTGTATATTATATTCCGTTTCATTTAAAAAAAAAAAAAAAAATTTTACTTTCGCCACCATACACATGAATAAACACACACACACACACACATTGGTCATGATCATTTAAAATGTAATGATCATGACACCAATAACCGGCTTTTCTTTCATTTTATTTCATTAGAAATTAAAACAGATGTGGAATCCGGTGGAAATTATAAACGGCCGTTTGACAAAAACGAAACGAAAATGATGCCGTATAATGATTAACCATAATATAAATGAAATGAATGAATGACACACACATATGCATGGATGACATAATTTACAGTTTAGAAAACACAAAAAAAAAATCTTTTCATCATTCACTACGGTTTATTACTGAAAGTTGTCATTATTATTTTCAATGTAATATTCAATTTGTGTCGATATTGTGTTTCTTGATTTTCTTCGTTGTTGTTTTTTTTTTTTTTTTTCATTTTGATCATCATGGAAAAAAATCTTGTTGTTGTTGTACTTGTTGTTGTTGTTGTTGTTGTTGTTGTTGTTGTTGTTGTACATTAATCAAACAACAGCTGAAACAAATCTAAGAATCAAGAGAAAAATTGATGAACAAAAAAAAATCGAATGAAATCTTCACCAAACGCCCATCAGACAAATTTTCATCATCATCATCATCATCACCAAATACAAAATGAATGAATGATTTTATTCAATCTGTTACCGATATCAATGGCTAACAATAACAAATACAAGAAAAATAATTGAATCCGGAAGGCGGTGATAATTATACTGTCATGATGATCATGATGATCATGATGATGGAAAAAAACCAAAAAACCAAAAAACCAGAAATCCTACCCTACTTTAATCATCTAAATGTCAAGAGAAATACCAAAAAAAAAAAAAAATTCTCAAGAAGAAAACAAAAAGAGAAATATATTTATTCACTCAAACTGGAATCGATTTAATTCTAGATTCTTTTTTTTTCACCGTATGAAGAATTTCCGCTCATAGACACATATATCCACAGTTCTGAACTTAACAGTGTCCATAAATTTATGCTAAATTGATTGTCAATAAGAGCGATATAATCGATGGTTTTATTTTGTTCATAATTCATCATCATCATTTGATGATGATCAAGATGATGATGACATTGTTTGAAATCAATGAGGCATGATGGAAACAAAACAAAACGAAAAAAAAAAAATTTGATGAGCCAACAAATATCCAAACGAGAAAAAAAATGCAATTGCTAAAATGTATTTGGAATTAGCGAAACGAAACAAAAAAAAAAAATTCGATACAGAATTGTTGGTGTTGGTGGTGATGGTGGTGGTGGTCCAATAAATAGAATGAATTTTTTCTTTCTATTTTCGTCCCACTTTTTTCTCTCTCTCTCTCTCTCTCTCTCTATCTCACTAAAGAAATTCTTACAGAATCTTCTTCAAAGAAAAAAAAATTCTACATCAAATCAAGCAGCATCATCAACGACAACAACAACAACATGGATATTTGATCTGATTATTATTATTGTTGTTGTTGTTGTTATTGTTTTTTTTTCGCTACTCCTGTACAAATCATTTCAGATTTCTAGGCAACACAATACACACACACACACACTTCAACTACTAGAACGTAAAGTGTTCATTGGAAAAAAAGCTTTAGATTCTGCATACAATGGACACGGTTCAATGATGAAGATTTTTTTTTGGCCGTTTTTTTGTCTTGATGTTTTGTGTACTTTTTTTCTTATCATTTTTTTGTTGTTGTTGCTGTTCGTTCGTTCACCATAAACACATTGATGATGAATTCATATTAATTGGAATCATCGACAAGTAAAAAAAAAAATTTTTTTGTCATCTAAAAGTTTTTAATCAGTATTCATTCTTGTTGCTTTTTTTTGGTCAGAATAAAAAAAAGCAGATTATCAAACTTGAAAGAATATAAAATTTTCATTGATTTTCAATTCAATTTTATATCCATGTTTCATGTAAAATGAATTTGATGAATGTTCTAATAATTCAATTTTAATTGAATTTCATTTCATTTTTTTTTTGGCTGTTGTATTATAAATCCACACAATATAAAAATCAAACAAGTTTTTTCCATAAACAATTCGATCGTCATATAAATGAATGAACAATCAATCAATCAATAATTGACATTGAATAATTCAATTACTGGCCATTGTCCATGTTGATCTTTATTGTATTGATATTGATCGTTTCGATTTCAATCATTACCACTATAAATATGAAAGATATTCTATTCTGTTGTATGGCAAACAACAGAAAAAAACAACAACAACAACAACAATCAGACAATATGATGATGAATAATAATGAAAAATCAAATAGTGATAAAACAAAGAATAAAAAACGAAAAAAACGTAAAAAGAAAAAACGAAAAGGTAAAAGTAAAACAAGCGATAAAAATAGTCAATTTTCACGATTCAAACCATCAAGAGCATCAACAGCATCAACAACATCCACATCATCATCATCATCATCAGCTGCATTTCGACGAACAAAAATGGCAAAAACAACAACAACAACATCAACATCAATGATGCCCACAATTAAAGGTAAAAAAATATCCACATCTAGAACTGCACGAACTTCAATGACAATGGCAAATACTAGTCCTAAAAATAAGATGGCAATTAGTACACCATTTCAAGATTTAACCCATGTATTACGTGAAGTTTTATCGGAATCAGGAAAACCGATATCACCATCAAGATCAGCATCGGGTTCGGATAATAATTTTAAACATAGAAAAACACAAAGACAACGTAAAATACAGGAAATTGTTGAACAAATAACAAAAAAAGATCCCACTACTACCGATATTGATATTGAGAATGTTGTTGTTGTTGTTAATGATGGTATAATGACAAAAAAATCCATCGACAACAACAACAACAACCTTTTAACAACAATGAAAAACAACAACAACAAACAGAATTGCAACAAAAAATGATAAAAACCGTCATTATTAGTGATCCATTTATATCGAAACAACAGCGAATGATAACCGATAAAAATACGACAAATGAAGATGATGGTGGTGGTGGTGGTGGCCAAAATAATAATAATGTAGATGTTTTATTTTCACCATCGGCCATTGAAATGTTGGTAGAAATGAAACAACTTTTGATTGAACAGCTTCAACAGCAACGAAATCAAGAACAACAACAACAACAACAACAACAACAACAACCAAAATATCAAAATCAACATGGCAAATACAAATCATATACATCGAAATCATATTAATAAATAAAAATAAATACTATACCTACTACACACACCCACACACGTACATTGATGAATTTTGATTCTTTTAATATATATATAACAAAATTCATAATTCTTTCAAAATATAGTAGAATTATTTCCAAATGAATGCGTTAACCTAATTATTCTGATTGGCTTTTCATAGCAAAAAAAAATGCAAGCAAAAGAAACAAATAGAAATGATTGGGGAGAGAGATAGGTTATCGAGATGATATAGATGTGGAAAGTCTTTTGGGCAAATTTTTGTTAAATAATAACATTATGAGTCAAATGTTTTTGTGTTGTTGTTGTTGTTGTTGTTGTTGTTGATGACTTATAAAAATTCCTACAGCTATTTTTTGATTGGAAAAAAATGAAACAAAACAGACAAAAAATGAATGTGTGTGTGTGTGTTTGGTGTTGTGGACAAAAGTAAAAAACATTGGAATTTTTTTTTTTTTTTTTTTTGCAAAAATTTTATTCCCAAATACATTAAGAGGTTTACTGTGAATTTATAGAAATATTTTAATTCTATATTCCGATTCAGAATAACGGATATTCTGTTTGTTTGAATGTATTTTTTTTTCATTCATCAATATATAATAATAATGATCTATCTGCATTTCTAATCCAATGTTTTGCATCAACATTTGGCTCATTTTCTTCAAAATTCATAAACAATTCAAAGAATTTGTCAACAACAACAACAACAACAAAATTCTTGGAAAAATGAAATTCTAACAAAACAAAACAAAATGGCGATTTATCAATGGACGAAAAAAAAACATGATCATGAATACAATTTGTGTGTGAAAAATAATATATTGCTGTTTGTTTGTATATACGTAAATGATATATTTTCATTCACAAAATTCATTTTGATAAACATTTTCTTAATACACAGAGCATAGCATCATAATCAGTGAATTTGATTGAATATTTGAATTATTCAATATATGAGAATATTGAATAAATGAATGAATATAGTGGCAGTAAAAAAAAAAAACATTAAGAATTTGGGCATCAAATTTATTTTGATTCTGTAAATAAATAATGACGATGGTGGTGGTGGTGGTGGTAGTAGAGAGAAAAAAAAGAATAAGAATTTCATCAATTAAAAATGAGAATATTCATTAGCATGAATCAGGAGAAAACAGCAAAAAAAATAATAAAATAAATAATTGGCAAGCCATCATCATCATTAGTAATGATAATCCAAAATCAAAATGAAGGATTTTTTTATTTTCAATTTTTTTTTCGTCATATCAAATCTGAAAATAATAACGAATAAGCAGCAGCAGCAATAGAATCAACAAACAAACAGATTAATTAGCATAAATAGTAATGGAAATTGATTTTGTGATTTTGTGATTTCCATCATCATCATTTATTATTATTATTGCTGTTTACCATTACAATTACGATTACAATTCGATTCTGATGATCAAATCAAGTGGATGAGAATATAGAATTTGATTCTCTCATTCTTTCTTTCTTTCTTTCTTTCTTTTTGAATGACTCTCATTGATACTGATGATGATGATGATACTAGACTGAATCTCACTATATGTAAAAGTAAATCAAAATGGATTCTATCTCAAGAGATGTTTGTTTGTGTGTGTGTGTGTGTCTAAATGCATTTACAATATATAAATAAATAATCAATCAATAAACACACACATACCGATCAATACCAATGATTGTCAATGTCCAAATTGATACGGAAACAGCGGTCACTTGAAAAAATGGTATGATTGGACATAAAAAATGTGGAAATATCCATCTACCTAGCATATAATTTGTATATGTGAATGGTATACAAAATAATGCCATCGTTATATCCGATATTGATAGATTGAGCAAAAATTTCCATAATTCAGTGGACACTTGTTCATTACGTAATAATATGATGATTGTTAATGCATTACTGCCCAATGAAATGAATGCCGTTGTTGAATAGATCATAATCAATATTATTTGCCATGGATAGAATGGTAATGCTTCTAATTGTGGTTCATTATAATATGTATGTGATGAATTCATTAATTTTATTGGATCCATGATGATGATGATGATGACAATGATGAATTTTTGGATAGAATCGAAAATTTTTTTTTTTTTTTTGGAATCACGTAATACACCAAAAAAAATCGGGATAATGAAAATTTGATTTTTCACAAATCAAATTTCTGTTCGTGTGTGTGTGTGTGTGTGTGTGTGTGTGAGTTTCAATGTTTGTTGTTGAAAATTAGGCAAAAAAAAAAAAAAAAATTTTTTTGTAAAATGGCATCAGCAGTGAAAATATTTCACACTTTTTTTTGTCGTTATTTCGTTTATTCTGCACTTACACATTGACAAAATTACATCAAGACACACTACAGACACAAACACACACACACACACACACACACACACACAAACACACGCCAAAATGTTATAATTGAAACTTTTTTTTTCGTTCTGATGAAGCCGGTTATATTAAAATGAAATGAAAAGTTACGTTCTAAACAATCAAATTCGCACACACACACACACACACACGGTTGTTTGCTTGGCAAAAAAAAAAATTTTTTCTTCTTCACATGGTTGTAGGGTTTTTCCTTTGAATCACAGGCAGAAAACTATTCTGATGATTTGAACTTGTCAATCACACACACATACACAAACACACACACACAAACATACCGATGTAATTAAATAAACAAAACAAACGAATGATGAAAAGAAAAAAAAAAAGTTTTTATTTTTGATTTGCCAACACTGAATATATTGATAATTTAAAGATGTGTTTGTGTGGGTTTTTGTGGTTGATTCAATAAATAGAAAAAAAAATTCGATAATCAATCAATTCGATGATGATTGAATTTGGGCAAAAGTAATCAAAGAAAAAAGAAAAAAAACCGAGAAATTACAATTGATGATGTGATGAAAGAAAAACAAACGGCAATTGTAGAAAAAAAAATCGACACAGATTCATTTTCAATCATTCAACAATTGCAAGACGAATATATGAAAAAAAAATCGAAACAATTGTAATATTCCACAATGAATTATAAATGATTGAATCAATACAATACATACACATCCGAATACACAAACACACAAATTGAGAATTTATAGAAATGAATTTCATTTCTATCCAGTGTGTGTGTGTGTGTAGATTTTATTAGATCCAAGCTGAAAATATGGGAAGAAAAATAAACAAAAAAAAAATTTTTTTTTGGATTTTTAATCAATCAAAATAAACACTGGATTCTAAGAAAAGACAAAAAAAAAAAAAAAAAAAACATTGGAAATATTGATTTTTCTCTATGTTCTCTGTGGGATGATGAAATATTTGGAATAATTTTTTTTTCCTATTTATTCGCACTCAAATTCACAGCTTGAAGTAAAAAAAAAATTTTTTACATAGCGATGATGCTGATGATGATGATGATTGTAATCAATCAATCGATGAATCGAGCAAGCGATCGATTGATTGATTGATTGATTGAATGATGATGATGATGATGATGAAACTGACAACAGAAATAACGATGATTAAATTATTTGCCACAAACAGAAAAAAACACACACAAAAAAATTGTGAATTGATGATGATGATGATTAGATTTACAACGATATTTCCGTAATTCCAAAAAAAAAAAAATGAAAATTCACAGGAATTTGAATTTCGGATGATAGTTGTTGTTGTTGTTGTTCAATAAGTGATTCTATCCAAATTGGTAGCCAAACATATACTGATCGGTAAGAAAAGAATCATTTTGTTCTTCTTTTCATTTTTTTTCAAATACCGAATGATGTGCACAAATGGAGAATGCGCTTATCACACCACCACCGCCACCACCACCAATATATTCTACAAGTATACACATAGTATATACTGATATACAACAGTGATATCTCGGTTAACAAATAATAATAAAAAAAAAATCCAATAATCCATTGCAGGCCATTCACAATAAACAATAATCGTTAACATCGTATACACATGCGTCCAAACGAATCATTATCATTCTTTATATCAAGAATTTGATTCCAAAAGCGGAAACAGAATCATTATCATTGAAAATAAACAATCAAAAAAAAAATCAAAAATTATCGTTTCCAGGTGTTAAAATATTCATCATCATCATCATCATTATTGCAACATCAACAAATGGTAATATTTTCACAATGATATCGTCGGTAATTTTAAATTCAAGACAAAAAAAACGGAAAAATCACCATTGCATCATCGTATTTTTATCGTTCGTCATCGTTTTCGCAAACAAAATTCTTAATGTTTCGTTATATTTAAATTTCTTTCTCTCTCTTTCTCTATCTATCTAGTTTTTCCCTTGTGTGTGTGTGTGTGTGTGTGCGAAATGGAAAATTTATTTCAATTTTCTTTCTTTCTTTCTTTCTTACTATTTTTTTGCTCATTATTTTTATACGTTTTGGCAAACTTTGTTTTGGCCAAAACCGTTATGTTGATGTTTTTTTTTCATTTCTTCTTCTTCTTGTTCCATATGGATTCATTTCATTCGCAAATAAACACACACACATCATGTACATCATCATGTGGATGAATGAAATCAGCATCAATGGCTTTTGAGAAAATTGATAATTTTCCACCCACACACACCCACCTACTTATTCACTCATATTCTATTCTATTCTTTTGCAAATGAATGTTGAAATGCTTATTATACACGCACACAACGACGACAACAACAACAACAACAACGACAACATTTTCTCATCATCATCATAATAATAATAATCATTATTCTTGTGTGTGTGTGTGTGTGTGTGTTTATTACCACCCAAAGAATATATTCGTGTTTGTGTGTTTAAAACTTTTTTTTTTCTTCTTCTTCTTCTTCTTCTTCATTATTTCAATGATTTTTGATGTTGCATCAACAGCAAAAATAAGAAAAAAAAAAGAAAAACTATTTGGTAAGAATAATTCCATCTTGACAACAACAACAACAACAACAACAACAACAACAACAAGAACGACAACAACAATAACAACTACTGATAAATATATAGAGAGAATATGTTCATTCAACAGCAATAAACAAAAATTCAATGACAAAAAAAAAAAAATTTCCAACCAAAGTCAATAAAAGAAATAAATAAAATAAAAAAATTTCAAAATGCCAAAATCGATTCATTGAATTCATTCAGAGCTAAAAAAAAAATTCATAGAATTTCAGTGGCAACGAATTTTGCAGAAAAAAAATAGAGAGAGAAAATTTCTCATTAGAAAAAAAAAATCGGCTTTACAACCCGACTCATCATTTTTGTTGAATATTTATTATCGATTTATTGTTTCTGTTGTTGTTGTTGTTGTTGTTGCCATCAAAATAACCGAAAAAAATTGTTCATTCAAATGACGGTAATCGTCATTTGGTTGTTTTTTTTCCATCATCATCATCATCATCATCATTTTTTTTTTTTTTGGAATTTGAAATGTCATGAATTTTGGTTTTAATTGGAATTTGAATTGTGTGTGTGTTTTTTGATGATGGAAAAAAAATTCATTTTTCCCAATTTGATTTACTACTGCAATGAACATTTGACATTTTTTGCAGCAGCAAATTGAAATTGTTGTGAATTGAATTAATTTGATTTTGATTTTTGTTGGCCAAACGAATTTCGGTCGCTACACAGTGGACGGAAATCCACTACTAGCAATCATCAATCAACACCACCATGTATGATCGAAATTCTTTCACCATTAAATCCATGGTATATATGTTTCAATAAAAATGATGATGATGATGATTGAAGAAAACGGAAGGAAGAAATTTATCATTTTTTTGTTGTTGTTGTTGCTTGATTGTCAATATTAAACTCGGGAACAAAAAAGAAACAAACAATTGAACATGTTCATTCGGGTGAAAAAAAAAAAACACAAACACACACACACACACACACACAAATCATATGTAAATAATCGAAAAGAATCGATCGAAAGAAAGAAAAAATGAAAAAAAAATTATTTTTTCCGATTTCTTTTCATAAACAATCCATAAATAATAAATTCCTAGTGCCATGTTGACCATTTGCCGTCGACCATTTCGTCGTCGTCGTCGCCGTTGTTTTGTTGTTGTTGTTGTTGTTGTTGTTGTTGTTGTTGTTGTTGATGATGATGATGATGATGATGGGTCAAGTTTTTTTTCTCGTCAATTTAATCGGAAAAAAATAATGACAAAAAAAATTGAAAATTGAAAATAGAAAAAAAATAGTCCTCCAGGTCCTTCCAATTGAAACATTCTATAGAATCGGAATGGAAAATTGGATTAAAAAATTGGAAAAATTGAAAGAAAAAAAAAGAATTTCATCATTTTGATGATTTTTGATGGATACATTTTTTTTGAAATGAATCGCCTTTTGGCAAATCTCTGATGATGATGATGATGGTGGCAAATGTTCGGTTATTATTTTTTTGTTGCAGCTTATTCGTGAGAATTAGAAGAAGAAAAAAAAATTGACAAATTGAATGTAAACATGTGCATGGTTTTAATAGACAGCGAGAGAGAGAGAACCACAACCATTTTAATTTCAAAAAAAAATTTTTTGAAAATTCTTCTTTATTATGGTGATAGATGGCGACACTAGTCCACATGTTTTTCTTTAATTTTGATGATGATGATGATGATAAACAAAACAAGGCTCATTTTTTTCTCTCATGGCTAAATGATTCTTTTTGTAATTGCGTTTGTTTGTTAAATTCATCATTCATTCATTCATTCATTCATTTTTTTTCTTTGTTGACAATGACAAATCCACATCAAACACGTAGTGTTTGTATCTGTGTTTCCGGTGATATTGGCCATAGTCCACGTATGCAATATCATTCATTATCATTGGCCGAAGTTGGTTATCATGTGGATATTGTTGCTGATCAAGAATCACGACCACATGAAAAACTTTTATCGAATCCACGGATACGTATCCATCCATTATCTTCATATCAATCAATAAGATGTAAATTTTTTTGGCAAACATTTTCAATTTTTGATTTTGATTTTTAAGGTTCAAATCGATTTTCTCATATACCACCAGGTTTTCCACGAATCATCAATTATTTCTTTAAAATTTTATTCAATACAATATTTCTTTTATGGAATCTAATGCTCATTCCACGGCCCGATTATATTCTGGTCCAAGTAAGTGTGTGTGTGTGTGTCTGCATTGAATCGTGTTTAATTTTTTGTTTTGTTTTTCAAAATATAGAATCCACCATCAGTGCCTACATTGGCAATTGTTTGGTTCGTTTGTCGTATTCGTTCTTGTAAATTCATAATCGATTGGCATAATTATGGCCATACAATAATGGCATTATCATTAGGTGCCAAACATCCATTGGTTCGTTTATATTCACGAATTGAATTCAATTTCGGTAAACGATCTGATTATAGTTTCTGTGTTACACGTGCAATGAAAGATGATCTTCGTGAAAGGACTGGTAAAAAGTATGAAATGAAATTGAAAAACAAAAAAAAAAAATTTAATTGATGTTCTGATTTTTGGTTCACTTATCTAGAGCAATCGTTTTATATGATAGGCCATATTCATTCTTTCAGCCAATTACATCGATTGAAGAAAAACATTTATTCCTAGTAAAATTAAAATCCGAATATTCACAGCTAGAATATCATGGCCAAAATGAAACATTATTTACTAGATATTCATTTAAAAATGATGAATATCAAATGAAATCAAATCGTCCAATCATTCTGATAAGCAGCACTAGTTGGACTAAAGATGAAGATTTTCAAATATTATTGGATGCATTGTATGAATTTGATCAGAATTATGCCAATAAAGTTATCGGTACGGATAATGATTTGAAAATTGTCTGCTTCATTACTGGTAAAGGCCCCATGAAATCATATTATATTCGTATGGTGGAAAAATCATATTCATTTCGTCATACACGTTTTGTATTTCCATGGCTTTCAGCAGAAGATTATCCAAAATTATTGGCATGTGCCGATCTTGGTATTTGTTTACATAAATCATCCAGTGGTCTGGATTTACCAATGAAAGTATTGGATATGTTTGGTGCTCGTCTACCTGTATGTGCATATCATTATAAAAGGTTAGTTGTTCAATTGGTTTCAATAGTGGTCAATTATTAATTTTTTTCATCCACATTTTAGCATATCAGAATTGGTAATTGAAGATCAATATGGATTATTATTCAATGATTCAGCTAGCCTTGTTCAATGTTTGATGCGATTATTACAGGATTTTCCCACTTGTTTACAATTGAAACGTATGCAAACGAATATCGATAGCAGTTTCGATGGTAATGATTGGCATTCAAATTGGAAATTGAATGCATTGCCAGTTTTTAAATAATTTTCCATTTATATTTTGTTTTTTAATTTTTTTTTTAATTTTTATTCAATCAATCATCAAATTGATTAAAGAATATATGACCAAAAAAAAAAAAATCTTTGTGTATTCAATATGTTGTGTGTTATTGATGGTTGATTGATTTATGATAGCTTAAATTCTACTGACGACGACGACGACGACGACGATGATGATGATGATGATGAAGTTGTTGTTGTTGTTGGATGATTCGAATTTGATGATTGTGTCGAGCTCAAGGCTCCATCTATCGTTGATGATAATGTTTGTTGTCGATGATGATGATGATGATGTTGATGATGACCAATTCCATTACTTGATATTGAAATTAATGCATTCAAACTTTGTACAATTTCATCTCGATCAATTTGTATATTATCGATTAAATTATTTTTACCATTATTATTATCATCATTGATGATGATGATGAGCATGATGATCGGTTTTACTTTGATCAGCCATCAATGTGGTGGTGGAAACATTATCGGTTGTATTCGATAATGTAGTAGCCGAATTATTAAAATCACCAAACAATGCTTGAGCATAAAGACTTTGTTGATATAATTGCATTTGTTGTTGTATCTGTGCCTGTGATAATAATTGTTCATAGAATGTATTGGATAAATCTATACGTTCATTCATCGAATTTGTTGTCGTTGTATTCATTGATGGATGCGTATTTTTCGGTGGTCTTCCTCGCTGTCGATGATGTTGTTGTTGTTGTTGTTGATGATGCGGATGATTATGAATTGAATTATGTGGTGTAGATGTCATTATTGGTGGTGGTTGCGGTGGCGGTGTTGTTACACCAATCGGTTGTTCATTTTTTGGTGAACGATAATTATTACAATTATTAATATCATATGATGATGATGATGATTGACCATTATTATTATTATTATTATTACGTAATACTTCAGTATATTTATTAAATAATCGTAAATCAATATTTTCATCAATTACATGGCCCATTAATCGTAATCCTTCATCAATAACATCGTTAAGTTGTTTACCAAAATCCATCGAATCATTACTATTCGCATTGATCATCATTGATGCTGATGATGGTGTTGTTGTTGTTGTTGTTGTTTGCAAACCATTTGTTTTCTTTCTATTGGCTATTTTTTCGTTATTCGAAGCGGCAACATCTGTACTATCATCATTAATGGTGTTGTTGTTGTTGTTGTTGCTGTTTGTGGCCAAATTATCATTTGATAATGATGGTGAATCATCATGGCCACGTGATTCATGTAACAATGATGATGGCATTGATTCATTTGAATATAATGAAAATTGTGAATCTGTATCATCAGTTTCAGTTTTCGTTTCAATCATTTCTGTCATTGATTGTTTTGAATTATTTCGATTACATCTGTTTTGACAAAATAAACATTCAAATTTAAAAAAATTCCAATCATTCATTATCATTATCATTTTACTTACTTTTGTCCATCTTGACTTGTATCCTGTTGTTGTTGTTGTTTTGTTTCATTTTGTTTTTGTTGTTGTTGTTCTAATTCACTTTTTTCATTTACCAATTGCATTTGATGATCATTTATCATTTCCAATTCATTTTGTAATTCATTTACTTGTTGAAAATTTTGTCTATCATTTGCTTCTTTAATTTGGCTTTGTATTTTTTCCTGTTGATTGCCCAATGATTTTAATTGATCAACAATTCCTTCCAAACGATTCTATAGAATATTTTTTTGGTTCGTCAGTAAAGAAGAAAGAATTTGATAAAAACAGACTTACATGTCGACGTTTACGATCTTCTTCATATTCTTTGGACATATTTTTTGATTCTTGTTGCTGCTGATGCTGCTGCTGTTGTTGTTGTTGTTGTCCTTGTGCTGGACTAGATCTACTACTATTACTACTACCGCCATTATTACCATTATTATCAAGACGAATACGTTTAATGCTACCGATAGTATTTCCTGTGCTTGATGGATCTTCACCAATACGACAACTTTGTGATCTGAACAAATAGAAATTTGAAATCGATCCAAAATCAATAATAATAATAATAATAAATGATTAAATTAAATACCTGGAATGTCCTTTTGAATATTGATAACCACTATCACGTACAACCTGTCTAGCCAATGGAAATAATTCATCACGACGATAAAGTAGTTGCGGTATTTTACTACAAATCTGTGCAGCAGCTTCATTCACCGATACTTCATGTAATGTTAATGGTTTTTCCGGTTTACGTTTACAATCAAAACGGCCATAAATAGCTGCATAACGTCGTATTTCATCTATACGACGTGGATCATCATCTGACATTGACATTATGTTCTATCAAGAAACAAAAAAAAAAAAAAAAAAAAATTTCAACCCAAAGGAAACCGTTACAAATAATCAAACCAAACCATGAAAAAAAACCAGAAATTTTTTTTTTTGAACACCAAAAAAAATCCTATAGTACAAACTATGTATAGAAAAAAAAACTATAATGACAGCAACCAATCAAAAAAAAAAAAAATCCAAATTTTTTTTTCAACTTGCAAACAAACGGTTTTTTTCTGGCTCTGTGTGTGTGTGTGTGTGTGTGGGGGTGTGGAGAATGCGCGAATTTCGTTCATTGTACTCCATCTATATACATGGTTGCAATGATGATGGCAGTGTGCACAACGAAAATAGAGAAAAAAATGGATCGATCCATTTTCCAGTCATCATTCATGCTTTGGGGTTGGTTGAATGAAAAAAAAAATTTTTTTTTTCACAAAGATTCACATTGTTACAATGTGTGTGTGTTTTTTATGAAATTTTTTATGTTAATCATCATGTGAGAGAGAGAGAGAGAGAGAGAGAGAAAAACATACTAAGACCCTTGTGTGTTTGCTATTACTAACCCCTAGGCGGATCAAACTTTAGTGTTTTTTTTTCTCTATACCTAGTTATCTTGCTTTCACCTTTGACTCATGATGATGATGATGATTCATGGTATGGCATGAAAAATGCCATGCCCCCTTGTGATAGGCAGTATACCAATCACAACGAATCATTCAGCAAAAATGTTGAAAAAAAATTGAAAAATTTTTTTTCCATCACTTTGAACTTTGAACAGATGGTCGATGAAAAGCAAAAGCGAAGAGAAAAAAAAATGATTTTTTTCCTTCTTTGATCGACTAACCTCAATTTCTTTGACAATACGTTTCTTATTGCCATTGGTATTATTACCAATCGTTGGTTTTAGATCCAAAATGGATGCCGGTAAATTCTTTACCAATTGTTCGGCAGCTTCAGCTAGTCGTCGTATTTGTCTTTCCATCAATATGGGCGTCATTGAACTTGGACTACATGGTTGACTATATTCAGTGTTCTATAATAATAATTTGAATTTGAATATCGAGAAAAAAATGAATGAATTTTTAACATTTTTCAAATGATAAAACAAAAACATTTACCTGAAATTGACTTGGAGATGGTGTTGTCGATTGATTACCTGTAGTGGATCTAGTTTGAAATGATGATCCATTTGCAGCTGGACTATTATTATTATGATTTCGATGTGCATTTGGTGATGATATTGATTGAGCATTGTTAATTGTTGTTGTTGATGATGATGATGATGATGATGGTGGTGGTGGTGGTTGTTGTTGTGGTTGTGGTTGTGATTGACCATTCGGACCATTGTTCAATGTTCTTGTTGAAATAGCCGCCGATGTATTTGATTGTCCAGTAATCGATGGTTGTACAATCGATGATGAAGGAGCCATATTGTTTGTATTATTATTATTATTCGAATGAAATGATGGCACCAATGGTGATTGGAATAGAGCTTAATAATAATAATAAAAAGATTACAAATTACAAATATGTGAAAACCAACAAAACAAAACAAAACAAACTTACCTGGATTAGTAGCCCATTCATGTAATGCTTTCTGTAAACGTCGTACATGTAATGGTTTAGCAGCCATACCGACTAATGCCATTATTTCAAGAAATTCTTCTTCACCTGCTTCATATAATTGTTGTACATCATCACCACCTTGACAAATAAATGTATCATAATATGCAAGCAGATTGGCACGTTGTAATACACGATACAATTGTAATTCGGATTCATTCGATGGTTGTGTGGTCATTGCAACTGTTTTCGTATGTATAAAAAAACAATAGATGATAAGATGTTGTTAAGAATTGAGAATAATAAAACAAAAATCAATCAATCAATCGATCAATCAATTGAAAAAAACAACAACAACAACACCATTAAAACTGATAACAACAAATATCGAATGCTTCTTTTTATGAATGTTTGTGTGTGTGTGTGTGTGTTGTGTAGAAATAGAATTCGAACATTCGTTTCATTCGTTTTTTCCTGTTTCGTATAATGTGATGATGATGATGATGATGATCGTAGCAATCGATGATGATGGGCATGGTTGGTGATGGTGGTGGTGGTGGTGGTGTTGGTGTTAAATTCATTACCCGTTTCGTAAGCAGAAGCAACCCGAACGAACCAACCAACCAACCAACCAGCCATTCAAACAAACAACAAAAAAAAAATCCTATGATAATTTTTTTTTCTATTTTTGACAATAAAAAAAAACGTAAAACCAAAGCAAACCGAAATGAAAATGGAATGAGTTCGACACACACACACACACACAAAAAAACATCCAAATGGGTTCTCCCTGGAACCCACACACACAAAAACAGTTGATGTGTGTGTGGCAAGTTTTTATAATAGCCTCACACATATACATTGATGATGGAGAATAAAAATACCCGCCTCTCTCTCTCTCTCTCTCTATGCAGATCATTTCTTGCACATATTAAATTCAGAATCATTCCACACACACACACACACACACACACACACCCACTGATTCTGATGATGATGGTACAATACAGACAAAAAAAAATAATAATACCAAAAATCATACAGCATCATTCAGAATCTGCATACAAACACAGAAACAAAGAGCAAATAAAACAAAAAATAATTAAAATAATGGAAAATAATAATCATTATTATCAGTCATCATCAATAGAACAATTGAAAATTTGGTGAACACAAGAAGTCCAACAACAACAACAACAACAGCGAAAAATTCATTCATTTGTCAATCATCAATGGGGTATGAACCATATCACAATTCTTTATGCTGATGATGATGTTGGCCAGTTGTCAACATTATTGGCGAAAAAAAAGAATGTCCAGAATATTTTTAATGAAATGAGGAGAAGAGCAAGAGAGAGAGAGAGAGAGAAAGAGTGAAAACAAACTAAACAAACATCTCAATTTGTCATTTTAAAATTTTAATTTAGAAAAATAAAATTTTGAAAATAGAAAAAAAAAGAAATAAGAAAATCGTCAAATTCATTGCTTTCAGTTTTTTTCTATACACATTCTGTATATACAGAATTTCCAACTCTGGTTGCTGGAAAATTTTTGGCAGTTTTTTTGTTCGTTGTTGGTCGGCCTTTTTTTCCTTCCTCCCTCCGCAGCAAGATTTGCTTATGCACATCAATTTGGATTCTGGAAATGTGAATTGTGAATTTTTTTTTGTTCGCTTATGAAAATTCAATGAAATCCAAAGGAAATTCCAATGAAACAACAATAAAAAAACGATTGATGCAATCAATTTTTTCAGGAACTCAAAATTTTTTTTTGTTTGGCCACTAATTAACAACAACAACAACAACAACCAATCAATGAATAACATGAGTAGCATCTAGCCTAAATAGGTAATATGGTTATGGAATACCGTGTGTTTTTGATGTTGTTGTTGTTGTTGTAAAAACTATACAGTGAAGCTAACTTTTGTCAAAAAAAAAAAAAATGCTCCATAGACTTACTTGTACCGTTAAGATTTCGGCCCAAAATTCGTTGATGTGTTGAAAACATTTCTTCATTAATGATGATAGGTTGTTCAATAAATTGTTGTCTTTTATTTTTCACAATATTTACTGCAGAATTTGATTCAGAAATTAATGTTTTTATCGTTGAAATTGAATTCAATGGCGTCGAGCAAATTGTTTTTGGTGTTTCAATTTCGAATGAATTCGAACCAACACTAGCATCATATTCATTGCTCGAGCTTGAATTACCGTTACTGCCACCATCAACATCATCATCACCATCATCATCAACGACATCAGCATCCTTGATGGTATCGGGTTCAACATCAACATCATCATCATCATTGTTGTTGTCCGGCTGATTCTTCATCATTTGGTTGGTTAGTCGATAGTGGACCTTCCCACTTTGGTTATAATGATGCACACACACAAGCAAAGTACTTTTTTTCGAGTAACCAAAAAAAAAAAAAAATTCTGAATCGAATTAAATAATGTTTTTTTGCGCAGTGGTAGAATTTTTCGAAAAACTCATCGAAAAATGACGATGAAATGATAAAAAAAAGGGTTGAACGCACACACACACACACACACCCAACACACACAATCAAGAATATATGTGACTATATATACACCGTTGGTCAAATTCTACTTCTTCTTCTTCTTCTTTTCGTTGTTGTTTAATGTAATGATTCGAGCTTATAGCTCGAATTTCGTTTTTTTTTTTTTTTGGTCCAAACAAATGAATCGCAGGCTCGTTCGTTGTTGTTTTTATTCTTTTTTTTTCGTTAAAATTCTAGCTTAAATTTTTTTAATGAATAAAAAGAATGGAATGGAATAATGTCATTATTCAGGGAGAGAAGAGAGAGAGAAAGAGAAACGGCAGCCATAATAATTTATATAATACCATTAAAGAAAGGAAAAACAAGAATAAAAAAAAAAACTCAAAATATTCAATTTTGGGTTCGAGCTCAAAGTCGAGGTTGAATTTGTTTTTGTTTGTTTGTTTGTTTGTTTGTTCCAACACAAAAGTGGACACAAGTTTCACAACGCAAAATATATTGTAGAATGCAGTAAATTGAATTCAGATTCGTTGTCTTTCACTCTATTTATTCACACAAAACAATATTTCGGTAGAATCGATATATTGAAATGATCACTATTCACTATAATGAATAAATGAATTTTCGATGAATTATGCTATGACCATCGGGTGAAAAGAAACATGAAATCAAAACATTTTCAAAATCCAAAAACCCAATCCATTTATATAAGAAAATTTTTTTTTTTTTGAAATTTCAAAATTCGTAGGTGGAATTCATACAATACAACAGCATAGCACAACAACAGGCAGCAAACACATCAAGTGCAAGTACAAGTAATTTGGACATTTTCGAAACAAAAAAAAAAAATTTGGATCTCATGACCAATGAGAAAAAAAATCTTGGGAACACAGACACACCTTATTATATCAAGGTTCCAGAAAAAAATGGTAACAAAGACATGAGAACCAAACTTTTGTGTGTGTGATTTCTTTCATTTTCGAAAATCAAGACAAAAAAAAAATAAATGTCCTCATTCTCACACAAACACAAATACCGCCCGCGCACATTTTCGGTAATTGATCTTTTACTTTGATTCGTGTGCAGTGCAAAAAAGAAGAACAAGAAAAAACCCAATGTCAACCCTTTTTTTTCATCTATCACCTCCCTCGCTTTTGATTAATATTCAACATTTCAGGTGTTTCACACATTGATGATGGATAATAATGGTTTGTATGTGTGTGTGTATCGGTGTAATCCAAAGTAAAGACTTGAAAGATTGGCAGTGTGTGTGTAAAGAAAAGAAAAAAATCCAACACGAAGAAGATTCCCATCACATTGGATCCATGGAATGATTTTCATCATTTCATTTCATTCATTTTGAAAGAAAAAAAAAAAAAATCCGTTTTAAAATATTTTTGTCGTTATTTTTTTTTATCCGACACTCTAAACGACAATCTCACGATTTTTGATTTGATTTGATTTGTTTCTCACCAAAATGAATGAATGAATGAATATGTCATACATACCCATTGGATTGTAGTCGTAAGTTTGTTGATTTTTTTTTTTGATGCATAAAAAAAACTTCGACATTTGAATTCAAAGGGTTCCAATTCAAATGAAATGGTTGGAAAAGATGTCCCGGTTTTCACTCATCAATCATCATATGATGATGATGATGATGATGATTAGGTGAAACCATGGAACCAATGGGTGAAATAGTTTGTCCTTTTTTTTCCTGAACTAAACTGAATCCATCTAAGGCCAAAGGTTTCTCTGTTTCTCTCTCTCGCACACACACACACACACAGCTAAATGTACACAGTTTTTTTTTCTATATAGATCAACAGAGTTATAGAGTCGTTTTCGTTGGTAGCCAAAAAAAAAACGACGACGACGACGACGGGTTAACGACAAACAATTCACAGCAACTATTTGATACGATTCAGTTATATTCAATCAAGTTGATCAAGAAAAGAGTGAATAAGACAAAAAAAAAATTCAAATTTCAATCTTTTCATCCAAGTTTTTTTTTCGTCATCTAAAAATCACACGACTATACCATCCGAAATTACAAACAAGCAAGCCATAATAATACAACAGTGACAGATGTGTGGTATATGAGTCCGGGTTTGTGGATTTTTTTTTTTTTTTATTGATTACCCGTGTTTATTATCCATTTGACATACGATATATAATAACACCGTTTTATAATTGTAGAACCACAACTGCCATCTATTGGGCGAGATTGAAAAAAAATTTGGAACTTACTTTTTTTTTTGTTTTGTTTTATAAATTGCACAAAATTGATTAATCATCGGATGAAATGTTTGAATTTTAGTCAATCAATTGAATTGGAATTAAAATTGAAATATTGCAAATGTTGTTATTGATTGCCGATGGCGGCACAGAGACGAATTTAAACAACAAAATTATCATCATCAACATGACGAATAATGAAAAACATTAAAAATGACATGACATGACCGTTTTTGTTGATGACATGAATATGAATAAATTTGATGGATGGATGGATGGATAAAACGATGCTTCAAGGTGGTCGAAAAATGATGATAACTTTGGTGGTCGACAATAATATAATAAACCCGGTTATTTTAGTGATATGCATAAAATGAATAAAATTAAGGAAACAATTTTTGATGAAACAAATCATAATATAACATCGCCGTTGGTGGTTATGATAGTTGATGGATATACTGACGATGAAACTAAAATGAAATTTAGAAAAAAAAAATTTTTCGATTCCAGAAAGATTTTCCTATGCAAGCATGTGTGTGTGGTGATGTTTTTTTTTGTTTTGTCTTGTTTTTGATTATGGTCGGGCTGCAATATAACCCTTTTTTTCTGTTTTTTCTCTTTCGTTTCTGTTTGTTTGTCATTTTCAAATTGTGTTTTTTTTTGCACGTGAATAAATATAACAACAACCCTTCACAACAGCAACAGCAACAAAAACGAATCAAAAAAAAAAAAAAATCATCCCCTTCGGTTACTCCTAGGGTCGTGGGTCTGTCTCAGCCTTAGTGTAATGTAATGGAAAAAAAACCAACACAACATACATACATACAGACACACACACACACACGCGTGCACGAGTTTCAGGGTGACACACGTACAAATGGGATGTTTAAAAATGACCTGTTTGACATTGACCATCGGGTCAACGAGCTTAACCATTGCATACAACAACAATACACACACACACACACAAATAACGAAAGTTCAATTTTTTTTAAAAATTTTATTCAATAATTTCTTTTAGTGTTTCTTTAAAAAATCTCCATACATTGATTATTATTATTTTGGACTGAAAAATGAATTATTTCAGCAAAAAACAGGTAGAAAGTAGCATGTTTGTTTGTTTTATGTGAATCCATCATCCTCTTCATCAGCCATCTCTTTTGCATATTCAAGATCTTGTTGTTCACGTTCACGGCGATCCTAATTTTGTGGAAAAATCAAAATCAAAAATTGAAATCAATGAAAATCAATCAAATATAATTGAATATATGCAAAACAGATGAAAACATGCAAGGAAAATGAGAGAAAAAGTTTTTTGTTTGTTTTGTTTTGTTTTTTAATTTTGTCACATTGAAAATTTGCAAGAAATACATGTCCAATAAAAGGATCCAAAATTTTTTTTTTAAAAAGGAACGTCCACGTTTGTCTTGTACATAGACTGGGAAATTTTTTTGTTTGTTTGTTTTGTTGTATGAATCTAATCGAAATCTTTTTGTTTTAGTATTTTTGGTGGTGGTGGTGGTCTTTCACCCTAATTAAAAATGGAATTCAATGTAAAATGTGGATATAGATTAATTAATCATGCAGAGAATTATTATTTGAACATAAAAATAAAATCACAAAGGATTCAAATGGAAAACAAATTCAAATCAATATATCGTTATACAGGTTAGAGAATAAGTTTAGTCAAACATACCTCAGCACTTTCTAGATCTTTATTATATGATCGTGGTGGAAAACGCATCGCTTTCACTGATTGATTATGAATATCCAAACAGAACGATATACGACTATTGAATGCATTCAATGGTTCCGATGTACAATAGATATCGGTAGTTTCTTTTGATTGCATAAATTCACGTTCATGATCAATTGTTGCTTCAATAACACCATCACGTATTGCTTTCGAAACAATATATTCAGCATCTTCAACATTGTCAAGCATTAATTTTTCAGCCACATTTTTCAGATAAATACGTGAATATGATTGATTTATCATACGAATAGCCGTTTTGATGACATTATGTCGTAAACGTATGATCAACGTATAAGTATGATCAGTTTGAAATTTTGTACCAAATTTATCCAAAACTTCATTGAATCTTTTTAGATTTCCTGTACGAACAGCTTGTGTTAGTTGAAAATATGGTGATAATGGACGATGAAGTGTAGGATCACGAAAAATTGCCCGTTCCGGTATATCACCTAACAATAGATCAACAGTGATGGCTAATTTATGAACAATCTGTTTGAATCCAATAGCCGATTGTTGTGGTGCTTTACGTATTGCTTGCAATAGATTTTTTCGAGCTTCCGAATATTCCAATTGAATAGCTTTAATACGTCCTAAATAGTAGAAAAATCGAGCCCATTCATTATTGGATGCACTTTCAGGAAATGTAGATTTCGATACCAATTTTGATGCCTGATCATAGAGATTATAATGTAAATAGATTCGCAATAATGAATTCAATAGGACAGCTTGGCCTTCATAATCATTACGTAAGGTAGCTGTTTGTAAACGGCTATGAAAAAATGATTTCGTTTCATTTAGCTGTCCATTCAATTCATAACAACGTGTATGATAATAATAGGCTTTTGCAGCCAACACATCCAATGTTCGACGATTGTGTTTACAAATTTTTGCCATCAATGAATCCGAACAAGTGATAGCCTGAAATTTATGGAAAATGGAAATATTTTAGTCAAGGTTTTTTTCGAATATATAAGAATAAAAACATACACTTTTATAATTATGAAGATCAAGAAGATAGAGTACTACAAGCAAATGAAAATAGACATCTTGTTCAGGTGATAATGATGATACAGAAAATTTTGGTTTCGATTTCACCGTACCAGTTCCTGTATCCATCGGTTCTTCAATATAAGCCAATAATGTTTGTCGCTGTTCGGGAACACTTTGATAGAATATCGATATGACACGTCGTAGAATGGCGGCATTGATATTCTTACGTGTTGCATTCAATGAACGAAGTACACGAAGTATGAATCGTTGTTCTTTGGCCGATACACCTTTTTCAATCTGTTTTGCATGTTCACGTAGTTCTTCAAGAACAAAATTTTCTCGTTCCATTTTTTTGGCCGCTTCATCAATAGCTGATGAATCGGTGTTGGTTGATGTTTCACCAGGTGATTTCATGTCAACATCTTCAACGATATCTTTTTTATTTTCAACCATTGTTTTACGTTGTTTTTAATTTTTTTTTTTGTATTTGAGCTTTTAAAACCGGTGTTGGTATATAATCAATTTGAACGTCAAATTTTTTTTCAATTATTTTTACACACTGGCACATTCGATGTTCGATTTGAAAAAAAAAAAATAAATCACAACCAACAGCAAGCCAGCAGCCAGCAGTGAGTAAGCAAGTTTTTTTTTTCTTTGTGTAACCACAATACAGATGTGGTGCCATCTAGTGATTGCTAACCGAATCGATTGAAATATTTCATTCGAAAAAAATTTTGTTCATCATTTTTTGTTGTTGTTGTTGTTGTTTTCGAAAGAAAAAAAAATCAATCAATTTTTATTCAATCATAATTTATTGGAACAAAAATCATCATTAATCAATTGATAAATATAGAGCTATATTATTATTGTTGTTATCATCATCGTTATTGTAATTAATATGGCCACCAATACACACAAAGAGAAAAACAGAGATAAATACGCCCGTCGTCGTCGTCATTACAAAGAACAAAGAAAAAAAGAAACAAAGAAACAAGCAAAAAAATTGTTGTTATTGATCACAAAAAAATAAAGAAGACGGTGATAATAATCAATGAATTCTAAATATAAAGTGGGTGTGGATAGGTGTTCCAACAGTTGGTAGTGGTGGTGGTGGCGGTGGCGGTGGCGGTTGTGGTGATAGTGGCCATATATATATTCAAATTAAAAAGAGAAGAAAAGAAATAAAATAATGATGTGTTTTATTCAAATTAAAAAGAGAAGAAAAAGAAATAAAATAATGATGTGTTTGTGTTATTGATAAAGAAGAAGAAAAAAATTCCTTATGAATTGGTAAACATGGATTTTCAGATTATCGTATCGATCGATCGATTGATTGATTGATTGATTGATTTTGTATATAAGCAACAAATTGATATATCATGTGTGTGTGTGTGTATCCAAGAATTTCGTTTTTTTTCTCTCATATCGTGTGAATAAAAGTGGTGAATAAAATTCGAATGGCACTTAAGTATAATCTCTTCATATATTCTGTATTTGTGTGTGTGAGTGTGATCAAAAAAAAACAAAGATTGTGAAAGTGGAAATTTTGAATTCTGAATAAAAAAAAAAATTCCAACGTATTCTTTTTATTCGATTATTTCAAAAAAAAAAAAAAAAAAAAATCCTCGTCGATCCTAAAATGAATTTGAATCGTGAACAGTTATTATTATTGGCTTTAATTCCAATAATAATACTCTATATCTCTATTTATCTCGGTTTTAAAAATCGCCATATTTATATTCGAATAATAATAATAATAAAGATGTTTTTCAAATTGGCCTTGTAAAATTGGCTGGAAATAGACCTTTTTCACCGGTCAATTCACGTATACCCATTAACCATCCTTCTTCTTGTTCTTCAGGATCTTCATATTGTATTACATGCAATATTTCACCACTTTCGAATGTCAATTCATCACTATCTTCAGCACCATATTTATATGTTGCTTTTACCTTTGATTTTTTAAACAAAAAAAAATAATAATTAAATCATCAAAATCAATTTTCATACATCAAATTTACCTTGTATAATACACCAGGTGGTAGATCCGTAGTCGTAGCTCCAATGGGAATTTCATAAAGTTCTTCCTTTTTATCATTTTTGTGATTCTTTAATAAAAAAACTGATTAATTTAAGCAAACAAACAAAATTCACCATACCATTTCATCGTTACAATTTCCATTCGATTGTTTGATTGCATCATTATGTTCACCGTTTGTATCATTATTTATGGATGTATTTTTTGTTGCTGATGTTGTCTTTGCCGGCGGTGCTGGTGGTGATGAATCCAAATCTGATTCATTTGATTTATTCAAATCAATAGAATCAGATTCTGAATTCACATTCTGTTGTTGTTTTAACATGGCATCATTTAATGATTGATTATTATCAACATCACCATCATCAATCGATTTATTCATAGCTAATGGTGAATGTTGTTGTTGTTGTTGTTGTTGCTGCTGTTGTTGTTGTTGTTGTTGTATTTGGCTCAAATAACGGCCAGCATCCGATTGAAATGTACCTTTTGCAGCTTCTATTGCCAATTGTTCAATCATTTCGGCTAATTTATGATCCACTTTTGAGTATTCCTGATGAAAATGTGTCTCCGAATTGAATAATGTTTGAAACATATTTATATAGAATGGTATACGGCTATCATATAATGCTGGCAATTCTTCATGTAGCTCTTTATTCAAAACTTCATATAAACGTCTTGATTCATCCATCTGTTCACGTGCTTTTGTTAATTTTAAATCATCACGTTTTTTCGATGCTGCATGTATTGTTTCATGATTATGGCGTGCAGCATCATAATCCAATAATTTTCGGCCACGTTTATCGATTTTATTCTTTATTGAAAAAAAATGGAAGGAAAGAGAGAAGAAACAAACAAACAAACAAAAAAAATTAGCACAATAAAATCATTGATGACTAAGGTAAAGAGGAAAAAATTGATAGACGGAACAGATTGGATTTTGATGATTATTATCATCATCATCATCATCATCATCACGATTATAAAACAGAAAAAAACAACAACAAAAAAAAACTTACTCGAATTTCAGAAAATTGACTGAGATATGTGCTCAATGGTATTGTACATTGATCATTTAATTTATGGCACAAATCTCCCCATAACATTTCAATGGATTTTATACGATCCGGTATCATTGTTTGGCCAGGCCAATCATTTTCATAAAGATCAGCCATACAATCCAATAATGACTTAGATGCTGATTGCATTTCACGTGCACATGTTGCATAATTTTTCAATTCTTTCAACAATCTAGTTGCATTCGATTGTTGTTTATTGAAATTTGTTTGATAAATTTCAAACAATTCATCCGTTGTACGATCTTTTTTGCCAAAATTTTGTAGAAACTAAAATGCAATAGAAAAAAAACCACAGATGAGAAATTTTCCAAGAAAAAACAAAAAAATTAATGATTGACACATAAACGCCTAATCTGTTGTCATGATCATCAAAAATCAAAATTAAAAAAAAAAAAAGATTATCCTTTTTCTAACATATGAACAAATTGAAAATAAGCCCATGGCAAACTACACAACCGTTTATTGATTTGTTTATCTAATAATAATAATAAATATATGATGATGATAATCATTTGATGAATATTTTTTTTTGTTCCCCGTAAAGATTCCCAGTTTCCGATTCGAATGTGTGTCATACGTCATCATCATCATCATCATCATCATCATTTTGATCACTTGAACGCAGCTTTTTAGCAATACACACACACACACACACACAACAACAACAAGGTTAACAAGGTCGAACAAGTTTTTTTTTCCTTCTTCATCACCCCTCTTTGTACTCTCTTTCTTCTTCTTCTACTTTTGCATTAATACAAACTACTTGACCAAGACGACTACGACGACTACGGCGATGATGATGATATTACTTGTTGGAAGAAGAAGAAGAAAAAAGGTTATGAGATGAGATTATTTTCATTATTTTTTTTTCATATATATCCTTCTTGTTCATTACATAAACATGTGTTGTGTAATTTATATAAAGAAAAACATCATCTATTAACGGTGAATTAACCCACCAATATTGTGTGTGACCTAAATATATTTTTTTTTTTGGCCATTATTCTTTCGAACAACACATACATTATGAATGATTGTTGAAGCAAAACAACCAATTTCGATCGATCAATCGATCAAAAATCGAATCGATCATCATCATCAACATCATCATAATTAATCCATTCAACAACAAAAAAAAATGTATTCTTTTCATAATAATAATAAAAAAAAATCGATCCATTTTTTCTTTTTGAATCATTAAACTAGAATTCAGTTCAGTAAACTATAGATGATTATCATCATTGCGGTTTGTTCGGTTGACATTCGAATTTTTTTTTTTTAGATGTCATTGCATCTTTGCCTGTCATTTATGAATGGATTACGTGTCTGTCATTCACGTTCGAATATTTGAGATTTTTTTTTCAAAAAAAAAATCCGGAAACCTGATTTCATTTCATTTCATTTCTCTCACCTCTATGTTGACCTTCAGATTCTTAGAATGATAAACAAATAAATATAAACCAACCAGGTAAGTTAGTATGTAACATAATCATTGGTTATGAAAAAAAATAACTCAACAACACAACCCTCCCCCATAGGATCATCATCATCATCATCATTAAGTGAGAAAAAAATGTTTTTTCTTCCTTAATTTTCAAAACTTCAAGGAAAAAAAAACTTGACAATCATCATCATCGTAGTCGACTTTTTTTCGATTTGTGAAATTGAACTTGCACACACACACACACACATACACAAAGAGTCCATCATCAAAAAGACATTCTATTTAATAATGATTAAAAATAGCCATCATCGTCAACATCAACATTTATGGGAGAATCGAATAAGAAAAAAAAACAAGATCATCAGGAGTTATCATTATGATGTCAAATGTCAAAAAAAAATGTTTAGATGCCTCTGCTATTCGGTTATCATTCAAATCAACAACAACAACATTAATTTTTTTTTTTTTTTTGAAAAAAAAAAACTTATTGAAGATTTTTCTCCATCAAATGGATCATCATCATTTTTTTTCAATAGAAAGCAATACACACACACAAGGAAAACATTGAAATGATCATCATCATCATCATCATTGGGATCTTTAAATGGTAAAAATTTAAAGAGGAAAAAACAACATTTCTTGGTCATAACCTTGGAACATATATAAATAGCACACACACACACACACACACAAAACAAACACAATGACATTGATTGAAAATGGAAATTTTGTCCAAAATTGGGTTCCTCTCTCTCTCCTTTCCAAACTATTATATATAATAATAATTGGATTTTTATTTCGAACGAAGAAAAAAAATGCCCTTCTTTTTTTTCCTCTAATCACTGTTACCATATGGCCATAATGATGATGATGATGATGATAAGGTCAACACACACACACACACACATAGACAATGATAATGAGACAATTTATTCGACGACAAACAAATGAAAAAAAAACAAGAATGAATTCATTTAATTCAAATGGTAAATTCATCATCAATGGATGATGATGATCATAATCATCATCAAAGACTTTATTTGGTCAAAAAAAAAAAAAAAAAAAAAAAACATTCGAAAATAAATTCCTGTCAGTATCATCCATATATGATGTGTCATCACACACACACACACACATTGTGTGTATGTGACGTTTTAGTGGTCAATCATCATCATCATCATTCATTGTCTATTTGTTTTTGTTTACCTGTTTTTTTCACTTGTTTCAGATTAATCCCATGTGTGTGTGTGTGTGTGTTGTAACATGTTATTCAATCGGTGTGGATATAAACTTAAACATGCAACATGATTGAATGATTTATTTTTTTTGTTTTCACCATCCTATTCGTTGTTTCATTTCGGTAATCGAATATAGCCATTGATTGAAAATTGCGTAGGATGGATGAATGAAAGAAAAATCATTGAAAATCATCATCATCATCATTAATGTACATCACTAATTTTTCTTTCTGTTTCTATAAAATGATAATCAATTCTATTGTAACATAACTGCGTATCTGTCTACCTACCTACCTACCTACCTACCTACATATATTAATCTTTGGTGAAATAGTTAAGTAGGTGTGTGTTTTTTGTTTTAATAATTTGATTTAATTTACTCAGTTCGTGTCAATGTCAAATCATGTATTTAATGATGTGATATATTTAGGCACACACACACGCACACAGGAAAAAGTGAAACATTCACCTGAGAAAAAAAATTGAAAACTTTTGTCGCAGGTGTGTGTGAATGGTTATTTGAAGATCAATGAAAACAATGATATACATGTGAAACGGAAGGCCATTTCAATGTCATTAAAAAAAAAAAAAAAATACATTGTCTGATAACTACTGATGATTATTATGATCATCATCATTTATCATTGTCGATCATCATCATCATGTCACGAGCATGATGAATTCAATTTTTTTCAATAATAACAGTAAAATTAAATTCAATTCATTTTTAAGAATTAATGTGATCATCATAATTAATGAATCACAAGCAGCGCTATATAGACACATGAATGTCCATTTTGTAAATTAAAATGATAATAATAATAAAAACAAAGAAAGAGATGGATATTCACATTGATTGATTTTATCATTAGGAAAAAAAACAACGACAACAAAGATTTGCATCAAATCAAATCAAATCAGTGTGTGTGTGTGTGTAACCAAGACATTAAAGATTAAAAAAAAACCACTGGGTTGTAACCATCATCAAATATATCGACAACGACAACAGCAAACAAGCGAAAAAAAACCAGGAAGAAACTATATCTCAACACCAGGGCAAAAGCCTCTATTTTTTTTTATTATTATCCCAATTCGTATAAAACGGCTGGTGGATGGCAACAGAGAGGGGGCAACAACACAAAGACAACGAAATGATAAAAATAATTCGTTTTTTTTCTTCTATTTGATTCAAATGCGAATAAGAATCAGGGAAGAATTTTAGAATCCTGTTTTTACACAACACACACACACACACACACACACACATTGATTTGTTTTTACCCCGGTTGGTTTTTTTTGGCTTTATTTCAAAATCTATCTATTTAGTAGTGAAAAAAAACTTACCCGTTCTTTTGCACGTAATGAATGTTTGGCCACCACTTTGGAGAAACCCGATGCTTTTGAATCGGCCATATTGTGTACCATTTTATATATATTTTGTAATGTGAGTTTGAATGAGTAATGAAATTTTTTTTTTTCACAGCCACAGCCAGAGAGATGGGAGTTTTCGATACAAATTTGAATAAAAATGATGATGCTGATGGTGATGATTGGTAGTGGTCGATAATAATTAATTATAATGATGATGATAAATAAATAATATAAAATGACCAAAAAAAAAAAAAAAAAAAGAAATCACAAAAAACACGATATAAGATGATTGTGTGTAAACAAAAAATTGGATCAAACACCACAAACAACGCCCAAAAATGAAAATGAAATATTAATTTCGAAATTAATATCAACAACAACCAACAACAACAACAACAACCAAAAATCGATTGCAATCTCAATCACAAAAAAAAAACAAAAATAAAATACAACAAACACCAATATGAATTGATGAAAAGAATACAAATAGAGTGAGTGAGTTAATGACTCAGTGAGTGAGAGAGAGAGAATTATGTATTTCGAACGAATGTTGTGCGATGAAATTTTGTGGACAACAAAATGAAAATTTCATAAAATTCTTCTTCGTTTTTTGTTTGCGTAGGTGTTTTTTTTTGTTGTTGTTGAAGCAGGTAGTATAGGTAGGAGTGGTAGGTGGTGGTGGTGCCGATGCCGATGCCGATGATGATCGTGATGATAATGGTGATGTGAATGTAGTGATGTGATGTCGTAAAATTTTTCAAGATTCTCTAAATATGGTGAAAAACAAAAAAATGATCGATTGTATTGTATTCGATTGATTGGATCATCAATCGATTATAGTCGTAGTTGATTTGAAACTTGGCAAAAATCAATATTCATCAACAACATAAACAACAAACACACTCGCACATTTGTCATCGAATTTTTTTTTTCGTTTTGTTTAACAGTTATACCGACATTGGCCACTGAAATCCAACAACAAACAAAACATCTGTGTGACTGGTCGTTGTGATGATGATGATGAGATATAAGTCTGATGATGATGTCTGCTGCATTTGCCGCTTGTGTGTTTATTATTGTTGTTGTTGTTGTTGTTGGCTCATACAAAGTTTTTTTTTTGGTTTGGTTTTGTTTTGGCTTGCGTGTTTTCAATCATCGTTCTCGTTTTTTTTTTCATTTGCTGCTCTTGCTGCTTCTTGTTCTCTCACCATCATCATCATCACTTGTATTTTTAGCAAATTTTTTTTTCTACTTCATCCAAATACTGGGCCACTTCTATTTCGAGAGAAAAAAAAGAAATAGACAGACGTCTGAAGAGAAAATGGGAAGATTCATTCTTTGAATTTTTTTTTTTTTTTTATTTCTGTAGAATAGAAATTGGCTTATTGGTGTTTGCTGTTAACAAAAAAAAATTTGATCATCTATACATACAAATACCATATATATGTGGACATTGTATCATGTATTTCTCTGTTGATTTTGTCCATTTATTTAATTCTGTACCAAATATTTATATAAACATTATTATTCTTGAACACAACTTGCTTCTATGGGGATATATACCGGTCATTGGTTGATCGGTATGCAGGTTTTTTTTTTTCTTACTTCAGGAGTATAAAAATTATATGGTGTATTCGTATTGCGTATAACTGGATTAATCGAGGCGTGTGTGTGTTTATTTGATTGATTCAAATTAAAAACACTCACTCAATACACATATACAGTGATTATTCGGTTCTTTAACCCGTTGTTTACTATAGGAACGACAAAATTGTGAAAAACAAAACAAAAAAAAATTCCAATCTAAAACTAAAAAGAATACACACACACAATGGCTTTTGTTGTTTTTTCTTTACAAAATTTATGGTCTGTCGATTTATTTTTTTTTTCTCATCGGATATCCGATATCAGATATTCGGATACAAAGTTGAAAATTAAAATTCAACAATTTACAGTTAAAAATACACATGCATGCACACACACACACACACACACACATACATTCGAAATTCAACCATTCAATGTCATCAACCATAACGAAATTCTTGAATTCTTGAATTTTAAAATATATATACAATTTTGTCATTGTCGTTGTCGTTGGTTGGTTACCATTGTATAGGATAATACTAATTGTCTATACACATGTATGTGGATGAATGACGACAACAACAAAAAAAAAAAAAACATTTGGTTGCCATTTCTGTTTTTTTCTTCCCACCCCTTTTTTTTACCTCGATTCTTAACGATGATGATGCTTGCTGATGATGATGATATTCATTTTGTTGTTTATGCCATTTCATTCGTTTGTTTTGTTTTGTTTTTTTTTCTGTGCTATGAATTCAATTGAATGAATTAAAAATGAAAGAAAAAAAGTAACATCGTCATCATCAACGAATTGTATGCGAATGGAATTAGGAATAAATTGAACAAAAGAAGAAAATTTCTAAAAATAATTTTATTCTTTTTTATCATCAACAAGAATGCGACTGGAATGTCTGTTCGTACATGTGTGTGTGTGTGTTTGTGTATATGTGTGTGTATTTTATTCGAATATTTGATTCAAAATTATCATTAACTTTGATGACATTATTCCTATATAGTGTTCATCCACAACAAGAATAATGTAGATTTTCTATATTGAAATTCTTATATTCTTGGATGGTGAAAAAAAAACACAAAAAAAAATCTATCGTCATCATCAAGTTGTCGTTCTTGTTATCAAGAACGAGAGAGAACAAAAAATTGAGCCATGAAATAAGTAAATGGGGAAAAAATCGGTAACAAAAAAAAACTGGTGCCCTAAATTAAAATTCAAAAAAAAAAAATTTGTTTTTTGATCTCGAAAAATGATGATGATGATAACACACAGAAATTGAAAAATCTAATTTTTCAAATGCCACCACCACCACTGCCACCGTCACCATCACCACCACCGAGAACGTTAATCTTGTTTTTGATCTTTTGATGATCATCATCATCCTCATGATCTTCAACACACACACACACACACACACACACACACACACACTAGTTTCGGTCAATGTCAATAGCGGTAAATTTTTTTTTTCTGGATGATAAAAAATTTATTTTTTTTTCGTTTCATTTCAACCAAAAAAAATAAAACTCATTTCTGCCCTTATCATTTGAATATAAAATTGAAACAAAATTTAAGAAAATTGAGGTTATCCACATAGTTTAATCATTAATTATTTAGTCCGATTAGTGAGTGATAAATAAAAAAAAAATTTCATGATGATAATGTGATGTAAGCAGCAGCAGCAGCAAGATTGATCCACACATATATATGAAAATACACACAAATGTTCATTTAACAACATTACGTTCCAAATAAATTTTCGTTCGATTCAATTCATTACGAATTTTCACCAATCTTGTTTCGGTTGAATCAAACAATGATGAAAATAATAACAAATCGTTGTTATAGCCAGATATTAGATCCAATGCTTTGGAAGCGAAAAATTGTCTTTGATCGAAAAAAAATTGAATTAAAAAAAATTAGCCACAAAAAAAACAACATACAACACACATACCTATCAATAGAATTCATATGGCAATTATCCAATTGATTAATCAAATAGATTAAAATGTCCAATAAATTGATTGGATCCAATGTGATACCGCCAGTAGATTTATAATTGATTCGTGATTTATAAATCTTGTGATAAATTTCAAACAAATTAATTAATGGAATTTTTAATGTCAACAATGTTTCCACTAGCCAATATGGTTCATATGTTTGATTTTGATTAGCTATTGATGATGGTGATGATGATTCCAGTATGGTGATTATCAATTCTATAGAGAAAAAAAAAGAATTTAAAATAAAATTTCAAAATTCAATTATCAGCTGCTACCTAGTGGAAAAAATTTCTCTGTATTCAGATAAAGAGCACCCAATTCTTTGATTTTATTACGCAACAATGTTTGCCGTGTTTGTGAATCAGCCAAACGAACTGAACATAATTCCATATCCAGAATATTACGCCAAATATTTTCAATTAAACTAATATCATCATGACCGGCACAATATAATATTTTCAATTGACATTCATAAAGTTGAAATGGTTCAGCAAAATCCTGATATAATGATGTTACATTCAATAAACGTTGATTTAACATCTGTATAGCTTCTTCATATCTTGATGGTTTTATTTTTTCCAATGTATTCAACAATTGCATCTGTATACGTGCTACTTCGATTTTTTCTTCCAACATATGTAGAAATTCACCAGCCGAACCATATGAACTATTCGTAATTAGACGTGCATCTAAACTTTTCATACAAACAATAGCACGGCTTAAATATTCAATCCGTTTATATAATGGTATTTCAGTGGAATTTTGTTCCGCTAATTTTGCCAATATTTGTGCTGCAGCATTAAAATGGCCATTACGTTCATAATAAAGCCAAAGAAAATCCATTAATGCAATTGAATCATTAATTTCCGATGTTTTCTCCTTTAAATATGCTTCTAGATATGGTGATTTAATTTCCAATAATTTATCCATCTGATTATGTTCATAAAGCCAATTATAAAGTGTATAATGAAATAATTCATCATTCGATTGTGTTGCCATACGTAGAATGGTCAATGCAGATTGTTTAGCTTCATCAGGATTAGGATAATCCACCATTGATAATTTTGTTGCCGATGATGATGATGATGATGATGATGATGATCGTGGACTAAGCAATGATTTACTTTGTTGTACAAGACGACCATATACATCTAATAATAGCCGATAACATTCGATACGAGAATCATAGACATTTTTCACTTGTAAATCGGCATCCATTTTATCTCGATTTTTATAATAATGTAATGCTAAACTTTGTGGATCACGTTGTTGTCCAGTATTAAGACAAATATCAACAATAGCTTCATACCAATTAATCGATTGAAATAGATCACAAATGGCTTGTAAATTGATTCTTGGACCAATTTTTTTACACAATTTCAATGCATTATCTAATAAAATTTTACGATCATTTTCATTGGTATATGATTTAGATTTCAATACCATTTCATGTACTTTGGCATGTAAAGCATTTTCATTTTTATAAATAGATGGACATACATCCTGTAGACGTCGATTAATAATATCAGTTGTTGAATGATCTTCAATAAATCGTTGTACCAATGCACTGGCCAATAATGTTGTCATTTCATTACCATAAATTGTTAATTCTTTAAAATTCATATTTGATAATTGATTCTGTTTATCTGTGGTCAAATTGGCAACAATCACATGGAATTGATGTATGCATAATAATTTCCATAGATTCAATACTTCAAGACAATGTTCAATCAATTTGAATAGACCAAACAATAGATTACGTTCAAACATTTGTTGTTGATCATTGATAGCGAATGATGTTGATGATGATGAATTCAAATATTTATCCGATTCTATTTCTGTGAATTTCATATTTTTCTTTAGAAAACTATATAAAGATGTTAAACGAAGTAGATATACTTTAATTTCATCTACCGATATATTACTGGTAAGTAATTCTTTTGGTCCTTCTGGTGTTTGTTTTTGATTTATTGAAATTGCTTTCAAATTCCATATAGGTCGAATGATACGTGAAAAATAAATGAAAAGACCACGACATTTTCCCGAACAATTTTGCAATGGAAAATGAGCTTGTTGTGATTGTTGTTGTTGTTGCTGATGCTGTTGTGGTGGTGGTGGTGATAGTGATGATAATGGTGTTTGTTGTTGATTCATATCAAAACGATTCATTAGATTCGTCTTATACGGACTATCATATGGACGTACAGGACTTGGTAATCGATCTTGATGTCCAACACCTGGACTTATTGTCATCAATGGACTGGCCAAAGGCGTCGATATGAATGGTGTTGATGTTTGTACATTCGATTGATGTATTGGATGTTGTGTTGAATTTAACATTTCCGATCCATAATGAAAAAATGCCGATGTTGCCCATTCAATTAATTTTTCTTCACCAGTTGGTTGTGAATCACAGGCCAATATCAAAGCAAATACACAGGCATTCGATTGAAATGAACCACTATGTAGATGAAAAAATGATTTAACCGCATCATTATCGTAGCCTTGATTTTCCATCAACAATTGTTTCAACTGGTCAACTAAACGTGGTTTATAGCCAACAATTACGCCCTGTGCGGTTAGGAAAACAAATTTTTGTGGCATTTCAATATGCTGTGTAACGATGGCCGGTGTTTCTAATGCAAATGTTTTATTCTTAAAGAATAAACTTTGATATGGTTTATATTCAACAATCTGTGGTTCTTCAGCCATTGACCAGATTCTTGTCTTCAATGGTATAATCGTATATAATTCACTTAATTCATTTCGGAATGCAAATGAATCCGAACTTAATGTCCATAATGTATCTTTGTTATCAGTTTGATATGAAATGAAAATAAAATTTCCTTTCTTATAATGAGTTTGTTGTACGGCTGTTGGCCGATGTTGACCACATGAAGCAGCGAAACCAGGTGGTAACCGAATATGTAATAATGTTAAACCAAATGGTCGTTGTTCCGGTGTATTCAATGATGTCGTAGTGAAATAAAGTCGAACACCAGTTTTTGTAACGGCAACTAAATTTATATAAATTGATTCACATTCTTCCATTGAATTAATCGATACGATTGATTTGAAATTCATTTCATCGATAGCAGATGCTGCAGCGATCGCTTCACGTGTTATGGATGTAAGTGATTTTTGTACAACACGTTGAGCCGATTTACCATCAATGCCAAGATCGAATACTTCGATATCACCTTCTTCATTCAATGTATATAGTATATTACGTGTTTTATCAATTTGAATCTGTATAATGGGTACTTGTTTATAGTTTTTCAATATTTTAGGCACCAAAAACGATAAATAACTAGCTGAATGATTAATTTTATGGCAACTTTTTCCACCAAACCAACCATTATCAGCTTGATAATGAATTTCATAAAGTGATCCATCATTACCACCGAAAAATATTCGACCATCATCAGTAGATTGAATAACTTTCACTTCAACATTATCCGTTGGTAATGTAAATAATGGATCAGGCATAACCAACAAATCTCCCTGATCACCATCAGGATTATTCACATCACCACTGAAAGTGATGCCCAACAAAATGATTTCGGTAAATGTAACCAATACGAGAATGTATTTGATGTGTGATTTAAGAACACCTTGTTTGGGTTTCACCAATTCTACTTTGATTATCATACGTGAAAGAGCATCATAATAGGCAACATCGGTACCGGTATCATACTTCCATAGATAAACATTTGTATCGATAGCCAGCCAAGCACGTCCAATATTGGCAAAGATACCCATTTCACATCGTTGAACCATTTCTTTTTTAATGAATGAAAAAAATATATGATTAAACGATAAGAAACTAAGGTTAACACAACAACAAAAAAAAACTTACGACCAAATTGTTCAATCAAAAGTTTAGGCAATGGAATTGTTTTAAGACCAACAAATTGTGAAAGTGTTTTCAATGAATTACCATATTCTTCAAGATTTGGATAATCAAAATCTCGTCGTCCAGATATCGATACAAATCCTATTGGAATTTTATAATTAAAAATTCATTATTATAATCAACCTGAAGAAATCATCAAATAACATTGTTCATAAGTTACCGGGTGAAACTTTTAATAATTCATTTAATTGTGGAAAAAAAGAATCAGCCTGTAAGAATGAATCCACATAATTGGTGATAATATCTAAATTATGACCAGCCGATATTGTTTCGGCTAACGGTGATGACGATGTCATCATCATCATGTTCATCATTTTCATCGAATCATCGGCTATTGGCGGTGGCTGTGATTGTGATTGTGGATGATGATGATGATGATGGGGTGATTGTATTGTAGCATTACCGCCTGTAATAATACTTGCTCCAATGCCGGTATTATTATCAACATCATAATCTAAAGCAACAGTCGGCATTGAATCCAATAGCATAATTTATTTAGCAAATAAGCAAACAAACAAAAAAATCAACTATACATCCACTATGTTTGTAATGTGTACTATTCAATGACAATGATAATGAGGATGATGATGATGATGATGATGATGATCACGATGCAGACACACAAAACTGCATTATAATGATGATTTGATGAAACCGCGAATGAAGAAAAAAAAACGCTACCTAAAAAAAAAAAAAAAAAAAAATGTGGAATCATATGAGATACATTCAAAATAAACGTAACGCATTCATTCATGCCACGTGATTTGTCATACGCGTGTGTGTACGAAACATTCTACGAAAAGAATTCTTTTTCAGATTTTCTCAAATTCTGTTCGAATTATTCAGTGAATTCAAAAAGAGCAAAAAAAATGTCCAAAATAAGAACAGAGAAAAAATCTCGTCAACATAATGAGATACAAAAACAAGGTATCAAGTTTAATAAAGTTTTAGGCCAACATATCCTAAAGAATCCATTGGTAGTGACCAGTATGGTCGATAAGGTATGATTATCGTATGAATAAAATTGAATTGTTAATTGTTTTTCTATTTGTTTTCACAATAACAAAGGCTGCATTACGATCAAGCGATGTTGTACTGGAAGTTGGTCCTGGCACTGGTAATATGACCATGAAATTATTAGAAAAATGTAAACAAGTAATAGCTTGTGAAGTGGACACCAGATTAGTGGCCGAATTACAGAAACGTGTACAAAATAGCCCATTACAATCAAAGCTAAAGATTATTATTGGCGATGTTCTTCGTAAAGATCTTCCATTTTTGATGTTTGTGTAGCCAATCTTCCATATCAGATATCATCACCATTCGTATTTAAATTATTACTTCATCGGCCATTTTTTCGTTGTGCAATACTAATGTTTCAACGTGAATTTGCACAACGTTTAGTAGCTAAACCTGGTGATAAACTTTATTGTCGTTTATCCGTAAACACTCAATTATTATCACGTGTTGATATTATAATGAAAGTTGGTAAAAATAATTTCCGTCCACCACCAAAAGTAGAATCATCTGTAATACGTTTAGAGCCAATAAATCCACCACCAATGATTAATTATAAAGAATGGGACGGTATGTTACGGATATGTTTTCTACGTAAAAATAAAACCTTATCAAATCTATTTCATCAAACATCAGTAATGGAAATGCTACGACATAATTATGAAGTACATTGTTCAATGAAAAATATTAATATCGACCGTAATAATAATAATGGATTCAATATCAAAGATAAAATAACAGCAATATTAACCGAGATAAAATTTGAAATGAAACGTGCACGTTCAATGGATATTGATGAATTTCTTCTATTACTTTGTACATTTAATAAACATGATCTTCATTTCTCTTAATGTAGAAGTGAAGATTTGCTTTTTTTTGTTGTTTTATTTTGTTTTGTTGCTCGATTTATTTTAATCAAGATTTTTAAGAAAATTTTCGATCGCTTTAATCAATGATCTTGGATATGTTGTTGTTGTTGTTGTTGTTGCCCTTCTTCTTGGTGTTGTTGTTGCACGTTTCAAAATCATCATTGAATGTGGACGTTGTTGTTGTTGTTGTTGTTGTTTGATCGAATCATATATTCTCGACATTGGTCGAAGATTTTTTTTCCATATTAATATTGATGGTGATTGATCCTGTTGTTGTTGTTTCCATGCTTTACGAATGTTCTTGTTGTTGTTGTTGTTGTTGTTGTTCCTATTCTCTTCATTATCTATTTTAGTTGTATTTGTACGAATTGTCCCCGTTTCATCATGATGATAATTATAATTGTCCTCTATTAATTTTTTTCTTTGTACACGATGATGTTGATGATGATGATAATTTCGGCCATCGATCTTAAGATTTTTAATATTCTCAATAATTGTCGATGTTTGTTCTTTTGGATCATTGATCATCATCGTTGAATAACAACGATGGGAATTATCATTGTCATCATCATTATCATTTTTGTTATTTATAATAAATTTTTTCTTTTCATCTGCTGCTGCTGCTGCTGCGGCTGCGGCTGCCATCAATATCATTGATGGTGTTTTTAGTGATTCAATCTTTTTACCACTACTACCTGTGGTTTTCATTAGTTTTTTTTGTTTCATTGATGTTGACCAATCCTTATTATCCTTATTATTATTATTATTATTATTCAAACATTTATTGGTCGTTTGTGGCGGTGATGGTGATTTTGGCGATTGTTCCATAGTTGTTGTTGTTGTTGGTAAAGGTTTCTGATATCTAAATCTACGACTAGAATAGATAATTAAATTGGATAAATTCAAATTATTTTCTACAATCATACACTTACTCTCGGGTACGAGGAAGATTTATTGTTCGTTTTCGTCTTGTTTTTACAATTGCATCAGTTTTTTCCATCGATTTTATCGCTGATAATAATGGTTCATCAAAATCTTTGGCTGGAAATAGTGTTGTTGTTGTTGTTTTTGATTTGATTTTAGTCAAAACTTTTGTTTTTGATCGTTTTTTAAATAAGATATCCGGTGGTCGTTTTGATTCCGGATTCGCAACGACAGGAGAAAGAGGAGTAGGTGGTACTGGTGGTGTTGGTACTGGTGGCGGTGGTGATGGTGATGGTGTAGCAGTGAAAATTTTTTCAATATCCAATAAAACCTGCTGTTTAAGCCATAAATCCGATGGATACAATACTGAGGGTATATGTTTGACAATTTTATTATTATTATGATGATGATGATGATGATGATTCTTGAAATTATCTAAAATCAAGGATTTTAACATGAAAAACACATGTGAAGCATTTAAAACAAAACAAAAACAAAAAAAAGGAAAATTCCCAAGAAAAGAAAATAAAATAAACAAACTTACTTGATAAATGATGATCATTTTTAAGGTTATTGAACGAATTAGATGAAGGTGGCAATTGATGCTGCTGCTGATGCTGTTGTTGTTGTTGACCATAGTTTTGTTCATCATGATGATGATCAATATCACTATAATCATCATTATCATCATGACGTTCCATAACCAACAACAAATACAAAAACACAAGTGATTATCTGTGTGCGTTCGCGAATTGAATTCCAACAATGAAACCATATGAAATCACAGAGCATTTTATTTCCAAAAAAAACAAGATCTGGTAATTGATAATCGAATTTTTTTTTCATAAAGAATAAGAATTAATTAATTAGCGAATGAAATAATTATAATCAATTTAATGTTACAAGGTTACTGTTGTTTTTTTTATTGCATGAACGAGTTAAATTCTATTTATAGCAATCAATTTATCAATGATCAATGATGATGAAAATCGAATCAAGAAATCAAATACAATTCTTGCTGTTGTTGTTGTTGTTGTTGTACATTTTTTTTTGCAAATCGAACGATTAAATTTTTGTGTCAATCGATCATATTATCGATAATCAGTGTATGTGTGTGTGTTTTTTTTTGTCAGTTTTTTCCGATGAAATATTTTGAACAAAAAAAAAAATTTCCAATAAAAAATTAGAATTTGATAAGATTTTTCTAATTATAGAATTATCATCAATATGTGCGTGTCTGCGTGTCTATGACATGTGAAGAATTATTTTTATTTATAATTTTATTTTTATGATGATGATCGATTTATGTTAGATTTGAAATTGACCTTGTCATTATGAATTCCGTCATCATTCAATCATCACACATTATGATTTCTCCCAAAATCAAAATCAAAAAAAAAAAAAAAATTCTCATTGCGAATCTGATTATCATCATCAAGAATAATAATCAGAGATGTCAAAAAGTCGGTGAAAAAGTGATGGGGGATGCAATCGATTGTGACGACCACGATGATGATGATTACGCCAAATGATTGATCAGATTTATTTGGATGATGATGAAAATAAAAAAATTAAAAAATGGAATCAAATATTCCATTGAATGATAAAATGCAATATATAATTGATATGTAGTAAAAATAGTAAAAAAACATCCATGTTCATATCGGTAGCGAAGGCCACAAATTATTCTCATTTGCACATTTTCAATCGATTGAGATGAAGGCAAAACAGAAAAGAAAAAGACGAAGAAGAGTATGTATGTTTTTTAACGAATCCTTATATTTTGAAAAGGAGAATAAAAAGCTCGATCAAATGTTTGCATGAAAAACATTTTTTTCAAATTTTCCTAATTTGTTTTTTCACCTGTTTTGTCGAAATTTTTAAAAACAAAAAATACTATCGATTATCGACCGTCAACCATCGATTCGATGATTCGAATTTCTGTATTTTTTCTCTCTCTCTAGTTCGATTGTTTTCATTGATTGAATTAAAAATGATCAACAAATCATTATTTTGGATAATAAATTTATTATTATTATCATTGCTAATCACATTGATTGCCATGAATTCGGTGTATGCGGAATCACGTTATCTATTGAAAAATCGAACAAATTGTACGGAAAATAATCTGAAACAGATTGAATTGAAAGTTGCAAAAATGATGCCAATTGGAACATTTGCAAGAAAATTGCCAGAAAATTTCAATCAAGCTAAAGGATTTTGCAAGTAAGTTGTTTGTATGTGGTCAAGTAATTTTTATTTCATTTTCTAAAAAAAAAAATTTCAGAGAATCAATTCGTTTGGTACGTGAAACGGAACAATTTTTTCTTCATTGTTATAAAAAAGAAATGGTCGATCTGGCCAAAATTATCATCTATACATTGAAACAGAATATTAAACTTTATTGTCGTAAAAATACAAAACGTTTGGCAAAATTATTGACAGTGGCACCATGTGTTAATAAACACATTAATCGTGCTGATCATTGTATTGGAAATTTTATGAATCAAACAAAACAATTGGTTGGTTTCAAAAATGATAAAGATAAAATTAAATATGCTTGCTGGTAAGTTGATATTAGAATGAATTTGATTTCAATTCCAATATTAATTGATTGAATTTATCATCCATTTTTTTTCTTAGTAATTATGTTGAAGGAATGAAATGTGCACGTGTTGTACTCGACGATGTTGTCTGTTCGGAAGAGAATAATGATGAATTAATTATGGATTCTATACGCGGTTTAACCGGTAATTTTGTCAATTTTGTTTGTGGTGATTTTGATGAAACAACCACATTGTGTGATCAACTTGGGCCACAGCCACCATTGGATAAACCGATCACTAAACAATATTATACGCCAATTTTTTTGCTTGTCGATCTTATGGAATCGATGAAAAGTTTTCAAAGTCTTTGATCCAAAATTAATAATAATAAAATTCATTCATTCATTTGTTGTTTATTTTATAGAAAAAATGTTTGCAAATAAAAATTTTTTCCAAAAAAAAAAGATAAATTTCCGCTATGTCATATTTGTATGACCGCGGCCAGAAAAAAAATTAGGGTAAAAAAAAATTTGACCGTTGCCGAAATTTAAAAAAAAAATACGCAATCTGGTATCGGGTCACATTCACACATGAATACATGAATGAAAGGCGGAGCCATTCATTGCTCATCATCATTTGATGGCTTGTTGCGCCAGCTGCGAACCTTTTTTTTTTTTGGCAGCTGTTGCTGCTGCTGCTGCTTGCTGTCACCCAAATATCAAACCGAAATGTCCAACAATCCCGACACATTTACACACACACACACACACATATGTTGACAATTTTATCCCGACGTACAAGATAAAATGTGAATCATTGTTTGCCTGTCTTTTTTGTGTGTGTGGACAATTTTTTTTATTGAAATCTAAAGGTCTAATCTAAAATTATTCTGTGATAAATACTAAAAATAATGACGACGACGACGACGACAATGACAACCGCATCCAATCATAAATTTCGAGATCTCAACAATTCCAGAATGTCTTCATCAGCATCATCATCATCATTGTTGAATGATCAATTCAAAGCAACCAAAATGGTGAGTCTAATCAAAAGTTTTTTTTTTGGTTTTGTTGAAACAAAAAAATTAAACAAAAAAATCCCCACTACAGTGGAACGATGTATTACATGCATTTTATTTGGGCATCGAATTGAAAAAACATCGTAGACAATTGAAATCATATGCAGATTGTTTTACAGCATCCGATGCTATTACGTGGCTTAAACAATATCTTAAAAATCAACAACGTTTTAATGGAAATAAAATTACAAGGTAATTGATTGATTTTTTTTTGTTTCATTTTGATGATGATTTTTTTCGTCAATCAATTAGATTTCAAGCATTGAATTTATTACGTAAATACTATGAATCGAACATTATTGAACATGTCATCATGAATGGTGAAATGAAAGAAATCAAAGATAATAATGATCTATATCGATTTACGGCGAATGAAAATTTTTCATTTTTAATACGAAAAAATAATGATGATGATCCAGTGGATGAAAATAGTAAAGAATCATCATCATCATCAAAATTAAAATTTGAATTAGATGTTCGTGAAAAAATTGATATTTATAAACAAATTATTTGGTCTGAATTGAATCGATTGTGGCCATCAATTGTTGATGACAATCATGATATCAAATTGCAAACAATAGATGGTCAAATTGTATTGAATAATGTTACTCGTGTCAATACAAATGGTATTGTACAGTTGACCGATAAAAATGAAGATTTACCACCATGGATAATGTCGGCAATGAAATGTTTAGCAAATTGTAAGTCAATATAATCTATTTTTGTTTTTATGATTTAAAATTAAATTATCAAATAATAATTATGATTAGGGCCAAAAGCAACAGGCAGTGCTAATTGTCTGCCAAAATATCCTGGATTCGAATCCGATGTATTCAAATTGATTCGTGAATATTTTACAAATATGGAACAACCGATTATTCCATCATCATATTATTCAGTTTTCATTCATGTTCATCGCTTATATTTATCGAAATCTCATTTGAAAATCAATAATGGTCATACTAAACATATTAATGATGATCTAGGTTTACCAGCTAATTGTGTATATGAAACTATATTTTCAAGTAAAGAACCTGTTACTAAAATTGTTCCTATCGATGAATTATCAGCTGTTTTTCCCAGTTTTCTGCATTATTTTCGTCAACAACAACAACAACAACAACATTCGAATCCAAATTCGTTTGTATCATCACCATTATCCAGTTCATCAATCAATCAATTTACTAGTAATACATTTAGAGCTCTGTCGACAATACCGAGAAAAAGTCGAAATAATAAAAATTGTTTCACAACGACGACAACAACAACACCAAACACAACTGATGATCGACAAAAATTTGAAAGTCCACCTGAAAATGGTGAATATATGTTCAATAAAACGTTTGATGATGATTGTTCATCCAAACGACAATTTTATTCATTACAAAGACGTAAAAGTGATAAAATAAGTTCTCGGCTATTGAATGAAATGGAAATGGAAATGGAATCTATTGATCATCAAAATCATTATGAGCTATTACAATTGTTACTAATTTTATTGCCAAATGTAAATCGACGATATCTACAGCTATTGATACGGCTATTTGCACGTATTCTGTCCAATAAGGAAATTTGTTTACTTACCAATGATTCATTAACATTGAAAGAACATGTATGTAAAACATGGAATTTTTTTTTAAATTATATTCAATTTAAATTTCAATTTTCACAAATAACAAAATTTCCAACAGATTGTAACCATATTCACTCGTTGTATATTGCGGCCAGAAAAGGAACGAGATTTTGATGAATTACAATCGAAAGAATTTGTCACTTTTCTAATTGATGAATGTTGGAATATATTTCGAATCCCCCGAAAATTTCACCATGAAATTGATAAATTAATGGTAAGTTTGCATGTGTGTGTGTGTGTGTGTGTGTTTGTGATTCATAAAAATAAAAAAATCTAATCTAATCATGTTTAACATTAGAAAAACAAATTGAATGAAAAACAAAATGATGATCAATCATCAAATGATTATTGTCATAAAATATCGAATGAAGAATATGAATTACAACGTGATGCATTATCCGATATGGCATTAAGTGATCTATTACAAAGTATAATGCGTGATGATACACTAAGTGAACGTGATAAACTTAAATGGATTAAACAGGTAATAGAAAAAAAATTATCCAAATTTCATCAAATTTAATTGATTTTTTTATGAACAGTTCAAAATGTATCATCCAGATGTATATGATGTTTATTTTACCAATTGTAATGTATTATCGGCTGCCGAAAAAAAACAACAACAACAATGTGATGGTAAACAAAAAACTACAACAGGAAAAAGAAATCGAATCCACCGATCAACTATATCATCGCCACCATCATCATCATCTCATCATCATCATCGTATTCATTCAATCGATACATTGAAACATGATACAAATCGTTTATTTAAACGTTTTTTTTCGCTAAAGATTGTAAAATAAATAAAAAAATAAGATATTATATCCAAAACACAAAAAACACCCTGTAAAGAATCGAATCTAACAATTTGATAAATGAAGCAAATATCAATTGGGAATTCACATTTGAGAATCCACTTGAGTCACTGAATTGCCCAAAAAGATGTCTATTTTCATGGATGACAAAATAGCAGTAGTTGATTTTTTCCTATATAGACCCAATAGTGATGCATGTGTGATTTATTTATATTTATTTTCATTCGAATCGTCGAATATTTTATTTCACTCCCTATCACCACTCTTTCTTATTTTTCTTCTTTTTTTTTTAATTTTTTTTCTTTTTTTTTTTTTTTTTGTCTGTTTGTTTGTTTGATTATCATTTTCATAGTCAATTCAACTCGATTCATCATTGTCATCACAAGTAAGCAAACAAACACACACACACACACTTACGCAAGACCCTATAGAATATCAAAATCACGAATTTTTTTTTTGTTGAAAAGTTTTTACTGTCGTGTATAGAGAGAGAGAGAGAGAGAGAGAGAGAGAGAGAGAGAGAGAGAGAGAGAGAGAGAGAGAGAGAGAGAGAGAGAGAGAGAGAGAGAGAGAGAGAGAGAGAGAGAGAGAGAGAGAGAGAGAGAGAGAGAGAGAGAGAGAGAGAGAGAGAGAGAGAGAGAGAGAGAGAGAGAGAGAGAGAGAGAGAGAGAGAGAGAGAGAGAGAGAGAGAGAGAGAGAGAGAGAGAGAGAGAGAATTGATTTCAAAGCTTTCATATATTAGATGGATGGATTCTGCGCCCGAAAAGAAAATAACCCTAAAACCCATCATCATCATACTATACAATGGGTACCATATATGTGATGGCACCATTTTTTTTCTGGGTTAATAATTCTGTATATACGATTATTTATAAATGAATGGATAAATTTTAACATTTTGATTACCACATCTGTATCATGAATGACCCAACCAACCAACTATATATAGATAAATATGTTAACAACGACAACAACAACAACGAAAATTCTTGGGCAGTCAAAGTGTTAAACCAAAAAAAAAGAGAATTAATATTGAAACAATTATGATTTTGCCTCTTTGGCTCCCTGTTTACAAACACTTTTATTCTTTGTTTTGTGTGTATTTTGTTCATACACAACTACGAATATTCTTGTTCAACGACTACAACGCCGATTCTATTGAAAGTTGTCGTCGTTGTTGTTGTTGTTGTAAAAGCTCAAATGAAAATAGAGCAAATAGATTCACACATACCATACAACACGCATAGTGAGTAGATCAGTGAACAGAATCGACAGAATGAACGTTCTTTATTTCTTTCTTGGGTTTTGTATTGTGAATTTTGGTTGTTGTGTGTGTGTGTATGTCGTCATTATCATTACCATTTTAATATTTTTGTTTGTCGTATTCTGTGATCATCATCATTCTTGTCATTCCGTTACATTTTTTTTTCAAAGTGATCGAGAAAAGTCATTGAGACAATTGTGTGTGTGTGATAATAACTGGGGTATAAACACACACACACACACACACACACTATACACACAAACACACACACACACATATAAAGTAATTATAAACGGATTCTTTACATTCATCTAAATTAAATTTGTCTGTTTTTTTTTTGTTTTGTTTTGACATTGACAAATAGTGAAAAAAAATTTTTTTTTGCTTCAATCCGAAATCCATTTTATTAGCAAAAAAAAAAAAGAAATCCCCACTTTATCTCAATTATTTCTTATCAGCATCCTTTTTTTTTTGATGCCATCCAGTCTTGACATGACTTGATCCAGGAACAAACAACAAAATAATCAACAACAACGTGAGCGCAACAACAACAACAAAAAAAAATTTCAAAACATCAAGTGAGATTCAATTCAATTTGATCAGATAATTTTGTTGCCAAAAGATGGCTGAAATGGAAAAAATTTGGCCATTCATCAATTCATCATCATCATCATCATCATTATCGTCATTTATTGTCGATAAAAAATTATGCACATTAATAAATCTATGGTGGTGGTGGTGGCGTTGGTGTTGGCTACTGATAAAACGTAAATTATCATCAACATTAACAACTATCTATGGCCATCATAATAATCGCCTTCAATCATTTAATATCACAGCCAATGCCACAATATATCATCATCTATCGAATGCCAATGGTATATCGTTTTTTTTACATATATGAACAATCTTTGTGATCAATTAATTTTTGTTCGTTTTTTTTCACAGTTTTATTTCCAGTTTTATTCATATTGATAATCAGCATATTTATACCGATGGCCAATTGTGAAGAAGAATGTTTACGTATGTTTTGTTTTGTTGTTGTTTTCGAATCTATTTTATTCTAATCGGAACATTTATTCATATATGACGTTTGTATTATGTAAATTAGGATCCAAAGTTTGGTGTTATGAATGTGAATCAATCAACGATCCATATTGTAATGATCCATTCAATGTTAGTTTCGATATGAGCTTGATGAAAATGTGCGAAGGTTGTTGTGTAAAGATTGTATTGGAAAAAAATACACGTAAGTCTTTATCGTCAATTCCATCATTCCATTAATTAATAATAATCTCTATTCTTTATATTATCATGAATATAGCTCAAAAAAATATATGGCGAACATGTACATCAAGATTACAGATAAATCTATTTATGGTTGATCATGTTTGTATGGAAGAATCCGGTGGCCAAGGACATATGTGTTTCTGTGAAAGTGATGGCTGTAATGATTCAAGATCCATTCATCATCATAATTATTATGGCCATTCAACAAATAGTTGGATAACAATCATATCAACAATATCAATTATATTCATAATAGCCGTGATTAATGAAACGATTACATCATTTCTTATTACTTCATCATCATCATCATCATCATCATTATTATTATTATTAGCCATAGATCATTGGCTGCCATCATTATCATCACCGTCATCATCATTATCTATTAAATTTCCTTTGAAATTCCTTCATATTCTATTGTTACTGTTGATGATTCCATTAATACTACTACTACTACTACTACTACTAATTTTTCTCAATCGAAACATAATTGATTTGAATAATTTTCGATATCATTTTATTGTTGATGAGATATTATAATATTTTTTTTTTTTTTGTTCTCCTTCATCAAATTGGATATTTTAAAATGTGATAAACACTCTCCAATCAATCAATCCAATCAATCAATCAACTATATTGTTGTTGTTGTTGTTTTTCCTATTTTTTCATCTCCAATTTTAATACCATTTGTTACCAGCCATCATTATTATTAGGATATATATGTAACAAAATAGGGGAAATGCCAAAAAAAAAAATATAAGTCATTCTTTCGTAACATATACATTGTAATGTATGTATTTCATTTGTATATATACAATTATTTTCTCATCATCATCTATATCTTGCCATAAATGAGTTCGATAATAAAATTAGCATATTTATATGATGAAAATAATCTGATTATAAATATTCGGGAAATTTGCCAGAAAAAAAAGATGAATCAAACACACACACATACACACACAAACGAAAATCCCGGTAAATATGCTCAAAACATTCGAATTCGAACATTTCAAAAAAAAAAAAAAAAAAACAAACATCCATCATCATCATCATCATCACACACACAACACAAACAATTTTAATTCTGTTGTTGTTATGATTTTTGTTTCTAAATTCTCGTATTTTATTTGTAAAATTGTATAATTATTCAACAAATCAATATATAAATCAAATAATATATAGACAACACATGTGAATGAAAAAAAAGGTATTTGTTGACAATTTTTTTTTTTGCCCATTTATTCTACTAATTATACTATCTTCTCATTCTAAATTTTTATGATTCAGAAAAAAAAACCACAGAAAAAATTCTACTAGAATTCATTCATTCATACATGTTTTATGTATGAATTTTTCTTCTTTCTCTTTCCACCACCACCAGCTTGGATTGATTATGGTAAATTATTTAAAAAATTTTTAATTGCTTTTATCAATGTTTTCGGTATACCACCACCACCACCACCTACACCTTTATAATGACGTAATTCAGTCACCGTTGTTGTTGTTGTTGTTGTATCTTTTTGTTGAATAGTACCGCCACCGGTAGCTGCCGGCATTGTTGCTGTAGGTGATTTTAATGATTCGAAACGTAATTTTTGACTATTTATTATCACCGGTGATTGTTGTTGTTGTTGTTGTTGTTGCAATGATGGTAATGGTAACATTTGCAATGAACTTGGATCATTTGTATTCCGTTGATGCCGTAATGATGTAACTGTTTTTTCTTTACCAATTCGTTTTTTGCTTTGACTGGCCAAAATCGATTTATAAACCAAAAAAAAAAAAAATTTTAATCAATTAATCGAAACACATTATAATGAATAATTTACATACTTATTTTCACGATGATGATGATGATGATGACGATGACTATGATGTTGATGTGGTTTTCTTCGTGTACATTGCTTCAATCGATTCAATGATGAACATTGTGTTATAGGCATTACCGGTGTTTCAAAAATTGGTTGCTGTTGCTGTTGTTCATCATTGTTCATCATCAATGTTTTCGAACATTTATCTAAAACAATTGTTTTGCTGCTGCTGCTGCTGTTGTGGTTGTTCTTGTTTTGTAATAGAATTTTCACGTTGTTGTTGTTGTTGTTGTTGTTGTTGTTGTTGTCTTACTTTTGATTTAAAAATTGATTCCAAATCAATTTGTTTGACAATCAAATCATTTGTTGTCAATTGTGATGGTATATATTTACTAATATGATAATCAGTCATTGTATCATTGGATTTTATTTCATCAATAGGTGAATGTGGTGATTGTGGACTATTGTGGTCATTGTCATCATCATCATTGTTGTTATTATTAAAATCATTATTATTCTTTACATCATTAATTTTCACCAATCGATTTTCATTGTTGTTGTTATTATTCGTGTTATTGAATGTATCCATATCACGTGGTTAAAAATAGATACGTTAGCTGCGTTTATTTATTTTCAACAAAAAAAAAAAAAAAATATTCCACCAAAATGAAAATCAAACACATTTGGTTTTTATATTCCAAAAATATATTTAAATTTGTTTATGGAATTTTTTTTCTTTGTTAATTAAATGAAATGTTTTTGTCGTTGTTGTTGTTGTACAGCCGAAATCAATCAATCAATCAATCAATCAATTTTCATTACGTCGTCTTTTGTTGATTGGATTCCTTGGATCATAAATATCGTACCAATCTTCTTCATTACGAATATTTGCATCACGTGCTAGTACAATTTCATCATCACCAGTACATTGCATTCGATGTGATAACCATGATGTTTTGAAATTGACCAATGGGCCACCACCATCATCATTATTGTCGTTGTCAACAATTTTTTCTTCCTCATGGTCTTTATCTTTTTTCGTTGAATGTAAACGATCTTTGAATTTCTGTAACAAATCCAAACATTGTTGTTCACGACCATTACCTTTTTTTCGGATTTTTTGATTAATTTCTTTAAATTTTTTTGATTCAGCTTCAAATTCAGCAACAGCATCATTGATGATTGGTTTTGATTGATCATTGTCGGATGCAGTAGCAGTAGTAGTAGTAGCAGCAGCAGCTTGTTCTTCTTTTCGTAATTTTTTTAGCATTTGTTTTTTCAATTTTTGAAATTCATTTTTGGCTTTTTCACTGGATGCAAAAAGAGAGAGAGAGAGAAAGAATTCGTTACAAAAGAAATTTAACCATAAAAAAAACTTACATTTCTTTGGCTTTCTTTTCAAGTTTTTCTTCAGTGAAAAAATCTAATTCACCACCACCATCATCATCATCATCGTCGTTGTCATCATCATTTTTTCTCAATGTTCCCTTGTCAAGTTTTGCCTTAACATTGGCCAAACGTTTTTGTCTGTCTGAATCATTTTCATTGGAATGTCGTTGTTCATGATCATCATTTGGATCGTTGCTCAATTCATTTGGATCAACAACAGGTATTGAACTTAATTTATCATCATCTTTAAGTAGATCATGACTACTTTTACTTTTATTTTTAAATACTGCTGATATTTTTGTTATTTCTTCCTCTTCTTCTTCGGCTTCATCACCGAATGATAATAGTGCAAAATTTTTACTACCTTTCAAACGTTCACGTGCACGATCTTCTTTGGATTTTTCTTTTACTTTTAATCGTTTTTCACGTGGTTCAATATCATCAAATGGATTATTGAGTATTTCAATGGAACGAATTTTATGTGGATAAACAGGACGTTCATTACGATCAATTTCTCCTTCACCTAATCTTAACATATTGTATAATGTTTTACCAGATATTTTTCCAAATATCGTATGTTTATTCTGTAATTCAGGTGTTGATTCTAATGTAAAAAAGAATTGACTACCATTATCATCTTTTTCACCACCATTGGCCATTGCCACTAATCCACGACGTACAAATCGTAATCTTGAATGAAATTCATCTTTAAATGGTCGTCCATATATGGATTCACCACCAAATCCGGTACCAGTTGGATCACCTGTTTGTACAATGAATCCTTTAACTAATCGATGAAAAATACAATTATCATAATAGCCTTCCATACAAAGTTGTATAAAATTTCGACAAGCTAATGGTGTTTCTTTTGACCATAATTCAATATCGATATCACCGACAGTTGTCTTTAGCAATACTTTACCACATGTAGGTGGTTCTTGAATATAAATATTGCTCATGATGATTATAATGATGATGATGATTCAATTTATTTTTGATTGTCAAATTATCAAAAAAATTTAAACACATGTGACGTTTTTGTTTATCGAATTTGTTTTTTTTGTGTACAAGTGTTGATTAGTGGCGACATCGCGCAGAGACCGATATAACTAATGTGATTTTCACAATGATTATACTTTGTAACATACAATGAATGTAGGTCATACATGGATGGACCAAGCCCGTTATCATCGTTACAGTTATATTTTTTTTTTTTTTATTCTTGAAATCATCAAAACAAAATGCCATTAAAATCATTTTTATTGAGTTTCCGTTTAACAGATTGTCCTGATCGAATATTTTGGCAATCATTAGACAAGATAATACGTGAAGAATTAGCAGATTTAGATGAACATCGATGTATCGGTACATCTATAAATGGCGATAATGGTAACGACAATAAATCTATACATTTGTATACATCAAGTAGTAAGGAAATTTTTCTTACCATTCGTTATTATGATTTCAATGATGATGATGATCATCATCATCATAAGAAATTAATTTCCATAACTGGTGAAATGTCACAAAATTGTGGTGAATTATTTCGAATGAATAATTTGGTTGAAAAACTCAAAGATCGATTGAATACATTGTGTATCGGATCCGATCACTGTGCCGGACAACAACAACAACAACAACAGCAAAAAATGGATCATGTTGAAGCTATACCAATTTTGAAACGTGATAATCTGGTACCATCATATTTTCTAACATCCGATGGTCGTGTATTGGAATATGATTTTGATAAAGTTCTTGTGAATGAAACGACACCATTTCAGAATATTAAAATTTTACATTCACCTAGTTTAGGTAATTGTCTTTTGTTGGATGATATGCAAAATCTAGCCGAAGCTGATCTACCATATACACATGGATTAATGAATTTTGGCAAAAATAATTATAAAGGTAAGATTATTATTATAAAGTAGAATTGATTTCATTCATTCATTCATTCATTCGTATGGTTTAAGATAAAGAAATTCTTATTCTTGGCGGTGGTGATGGTGGCCTATTACATGAACTGGTTAAAGAATCACCAAAATTTGTAACAATGATCGATATTGATGAAAAAGTTATGTTACATTGTCGTAAATATCTTCGTGGTGCATGTGGTGATACATTGGATTGTTTCGATGGTTCAAACTACAAAGTAATTGTTGGTGATTGTATTCGTTATATGCATGATTATATTGAACAAAAACGAACATTTGATGTTATTTTCAATGATCTAACGGATATACCGATCAGTACACGTGAACATCGTGATGTTATTGTTGAAGATAATCAAAAACTTTGGTCATTTGTTCGAGAAATATTACAGCTTTCAATGAAAATTTTACGTCCAAATGGCCTTTATCTGAATCATGCTATCGGTGCTAATTGTAAACAATCATTGGCTGATTATGAACAGGTCGTTAGTGAATTGTCCAATGTACAGCTGGATATATCATCACATACACGATATGTACCTTCGTTCATGGAAGATTGGGTTTTCTATCAGCTTCAGAAACGTTAATCGTATTTTCAAAAAAAAAATCATGCATTTATCGATACAAAATTCGTTTTTATATAATCTAGGTTTTTTTGTTGGGCCAAAATTTTTCGGAAAAAAAATTTTATAATTTCTTTAATGCACGTTTTTGTCATTCGGAACGATAGATGGCGTTCCACACACACACACACACAAAAAGAATTCACATGTTATTTCACCGAATTTTTTTTTGTTTCAGATTATTTTTTCCAATAAACGATACAAAAACAATCCAAAAATGATTCATAATCATGAGAAAATTCTTGTTAAATTAATTGAAGAATATCATTCAATAGTGCCGGCTAAAGTGGCCAAAATTCTTCTCCATTGTGGTGCGATTACAATGAAAAGAGCACTATCATATTCAACATTAAGACGTAATGATTTTGAAAAAGGACTCGATATTCTTATACGTTGTGGCTATGTAATGGTCAATGTGATTGGTGAAAACAAACAACGAATATTTGAAATCGATACAGAAAAAGTGTTAAATATTCTATTCTATCCATGTTATCTTAAATCTATGGCCAAACGATTCGGTGTCGAATGTGTTTCATTGTTGAAAACATTATTTATCTGGGGCCAATTATCGGCCAACGATCTAATCGAAAGAACATTGTATCATATAATACAAACAAATTCATTGGATTTTATTGACGATCAAATGCAACATTTTATCAATGTTTTATATGAAAAATTAAAAATCATGATGTCAAAGAAAATCATTGTATTTGCCGGAAAAAATGAAAATGACGACATCGATAATTATGATGCTGATCTTGTGTTCGAAGCACTTAAACGTAATACTGAACCGAATTCTGAGTATGGTGTTTCGAAATTCATTTCAAAAACATGTCGATTAAAATTCAATGTAGATGCATTAAATTTTTTATATTTCATCGAATTATTTCCATATTTATTGGGCGATAAATTCAACAATCCAGATGCTGATTCTATTTTTCAAATGCTACTTGAATTGAGTTTCGAACAATCGGTTCGAATAAAATATATGACATTTGAAATGCAACAATTATACAAACGATATCGTGAGAAACATGGCGACGATGATTGTTCATTACGTCAAATTCAATGGAAATTATCGTTTGCCGCACATTACTTTGCACCACAATTCCTATTGATCAGTAAATCAAATTGTTCATTAGATTTTGAAGCATTTTTCACTAGTCTGGTCAAATTTATTGTCAAAGAATATTTGCGTAAAAATTTTGGTGAAAATTCTGTAAAAATTTTCGGCGCTTTACAGGAACAAATTTGTTTGTTTGAAAATAATCTTCTCACCATGTTGAAGATTGATTCAAAAGAATTGCATCGAAATTTATATATAATGGATCAGAATCGTATGATTAATATAAATTTTTATTCCGAAACAAATCAATCATCAACATCATCGGCTAGAAATGTAAAGAAAGCATTCTCAGTGAATCTTGCCAATGTGGTCGATTGTATTGTTAAACGTATACAGTATACCATATACACTATACATCATCGTCGTTTTATAGAAATGAATGAACAAAAAGAATTGATTGCACGTAAAAATCATATTGAAAATTATAAAAAAATAATCAAAGAACAAGTCGATGATCAAGAGGAAAGAAATCGATTAATAAATACTGCACATAATTTCATGTCCGATAATGATCATAAAAAAGCCGAATCATTACTTGCATATGATATCAAAGTGGATAAAGTAGAATATCATCTTGTCAATTATCTTTTTATCATGAATTTATGGCAGAATTTATGTAAAAATCAAGATGATGTTCAATAAAAATGTTGTGTAATTTTAAATTTCAAAAATAAAAAAAAACTTTTTTCAACCTTGTCAACCTTTTCTAGTCGAGATAGTCGATAGTAGCAACCCACAAATCAACACAGCTGTTTGCAACACAGATTCTCGGGAATCATATTTTTTCTTCAATCCAAAAATGGATGACCATCTAATGGAAATTCCTTCATCATCATCTACCACTGTGATAATCACAGAACAGTTGGACGAACAAAATGATTGTCAAGAACCATCATTGAAAATTAAATTAAAACAATCGGAAGATGATAAAACAAAAAAGTGAGTGCTCAATGCTTGGTTTGTTTTTATTTTCATTACACTACGATGACAATTTTGTTTTGTTTTTTTTTTTTCATTTATATAGCGACAAAAAAGTAAAATTTACCGAAGGAACTATCGATAATGAACATTTAAATCGTAAAAAATCCAAATGCTGTTGTATATATGAAAAGCCTAAAATATTTGGTGATCCATCATCGTCATCTTCATCCGATGATGATGATGATGATGATGAACCTGATTGTTGTCCCAATCATTGTCATGGGCCTAAACATTATCATAAACAAGTTTATCGTAAACAGAATGGCAATGTTAATGATGATGATGATGATAAAAATGATTGATTGATTGATTGTTAGAATTGTATTTTTTGTTTATAATTTCATATCCATTTTTTTTTATTGTTGCCTGCATTTATTTGATCTAATCAAACATCCTTGCATCCAAACTCCCTCATCTTATCATCATCATCATCATCATCATCAACGCTTTATAGAGCTATTTATTTGTTTCAATTTTATGTAAATGGAATTTTGAAAAACTTAGTTATTATATAAAAATATATATGAAACGAAAAATTCAATTCGTTCATACGTTGTCTATTAGCGGCCAATAATAATTTAAAGAATTTAATGACAATCACAAATCATGTGTGTGTGTGTGTTTGTGTTTAAATTTTTCATATTCTTAATTATTAAATTTAAATTAAATTATAATTCCAAAACTAAAAAAAAAAAATCTAATTATTTGAGCTGCAATTTGTTGTTGTTGTTGTTGTTTTTTGTTTGTTGCCATACAAATGATGACTGTCGATAACGATAATTTTAGTGCAACAACAACATCCAAAATGATGGTCCAAATGAATGTTCCATGTATTATGGTGGATGCAAATAATTTCGTTCGATGGTGGCCATCCATTACGAAATGTATGCAACAAAGTGATTTCATTGCCATAGATCTGGTTTGTAAAAAATTTATTAAAATGGTTTGAAATGACATTTTTTTTTTTGTTAATTTTCATTTTCCATTTCAAAGGAATTTTCCGGTCTTGGATCAAAAGATATATTTGCATCGTAAATATTGTTATTAAACTGACAAATTTTTTTTTCACTGATAATCTTTTTCATCATTTATCACCTATAGCCAAATCGATGAACGTTATGAAGCGATTCGAAAAGCGGCCACAACTCGATCAATATTGTCGATGGGTATTGCTTGTTACAAGATTGATGCAACAAAAGGTTTTTTCAAACAACAACAACATCAATCAAATAATGAACGTCAATTGATTATGAAACAGATTTCCGATTGTTTGGAAGCTGATGATGAACTTTCTAATGATAGTATTTCAAATGCTGATGATAATGATAAAGACAATGAAAACAATGATGATAAAAAATTTCATATAACTGTTAATGTTTTTCATTTTCTTACATTGAACAATACGGAATTTGTTATGGAAACACGTTCAATGAAATTTTTGGTCAAACAAGGTTTCGATTTTAATGAACTTTCAACCAATGGTATTGCATTTTATCCTGGTAATGATAATCCATCGATTGAATCATCATCATCAACAGCAACACAGCCTTCATTACGAAAATTGATTGAATTATTGATTTCATTGAAATTACCATTACTATTACAAAATGGTTTCATTGATCTGGCTTTTCTTTATCATAATTTTTATGCTGAAATTCCAACAAAACTTGAAACATTTATGGCTGATCTGACTGAAATGTTTCCCAATGGTATATTCGATACGAAATATATAGCCGTAGCACATTTGTCTTGTTCATATCTGGAATATTTGTTTCAATTTGCACAACGAAATAATTATTTTCGAAAATTGAAAAATATTCATCATTTAGTGCTGAAATTTGATCAATATGATGATGAAAAATTCGTTAACGATATAAGAATATTTGATCTTAGTCCAAAAATTATGCAGAATACAACAACAAATAATGGTGGTAAAATTTGTGAACCATATTCGGTGAGTTTATTATTTTTTTTTTTTTTTGTAATCGAAAATTGGCTGAATTTTTTTTTTTTGCATTTACAGAAATATGGTTGGTGTGAAAAATCCGATCACTGTGAACAATCACATAATATTGATCTAATATTGGATGAAGAGCTACGATCACAACGAAATAAGAAAAGTAAACTATTAGTAAATCAATTGTTAGAGATACAACAACAACAACAGCAACAACAATCAGCAATAAATCAAGAAGATTCCAATATCGTTAATGATCTTGATAATGATAATATTGATGATGATGAAAATGATCATGATCATGATCAACAAATCAACAATATTCAATGTGAAACAAAAGAAGAACCACCATTACATAGAAAAATTGGTTTACATCATGCCGGCAATGATGCATTCATGACTGGATATTATTTTCTCTTTAATCTTATTGCCAATCATAAATCAGTGGCTAATATAAAAGAATTTCGAAAACTAAATGAATTATCAAGATTCAGGAATAAAATATTTCTATCATCAAAACCAAGGCCATTGAATGTAATGAAAAGTGCATATGTTAAATGTTCGAAAGGTCATAATGAAAAATTGTCCAAAATTAAAATGAAATATAATTTAATACAAAAGTAGAGTAGGCAACCATTTTGTGGCTGCATTGCCAAATTACATTGCCGACCATTGATTTATATGATGTGATAATAATAAAAAAAGACGTTTTTAAGAAAAAAAAATTCATTTGCATAATCCACAGATTGAAAAAAGTAAAAAATGATTCATTTATTTATTCATTTTTATTTCAATTGAATTTTTTTTTGTACACACAAAAACATAGATCAATTAATTAATTAAGTAATTAATTAATTATATGTCATATATCGTGGTGTTGAACTGAATTTTGCATACGATTTAATCACCTTATTAATAGCTTCAAGAAAATCTTTTTCCGTTGCCACTTTCCTACGTGCACGAATGGCAAACATACCGGCTTCAGTGCAAACACTACGAATTTCGGCACCAGTACTATTTGGACATAAACGAGCCAATAATTCAAAACGAATATCTCGTTCAACACTCATTGATCGTGCATGAATTTTGAATATATGTGTTCGACCATCTAAATCAGGAAGACCAAATTCTACTTTACGATCTAATCGTCCTGGACGCATTAATGCTGGATCAAGAATATCCGGTCGATTAGTGGCCATCAATACTTTAATGTTGCCTCGAGGATCAAATCCATCCAATTGATTGATCAATTCTAACATAGTTCGTTGCACTTCGTTATCACCACCGGCACCATCATCGAAACGAGCACCACCAATGGCATCGATTTCATCGAAAAATATTAGACAGGCTTTTTTGTTTCTTGCCATTTCGAAAAGTTCACGAACCATACGAGCACCTTCGCCCACATATTTTTGTACCAATTCAGATCCGATTACACGAATGAAACAGGCATCAGTACGATTAGCCACAGCTCGAGCACAAAGTGTTTTTCCAGTACCGGGTGGTCCAAACAATAATACACCTTTCGGTGGTTCAATACCAAGATTGACAAAACGTTCCGGTTGTAATAATGGTGTTTCAACAACTTCTCGTAACTTTTCAATCTGTTCTTTGCAACCACCAACATCCGTATAGGTTACATCAGGTTTCTCTTCCACTTGCATCATTGTAACGGTAGGATCGATTTTCGGTGGTAATGGAACATGAATCTGATATTTATTACGATCAACACCAACACGCATTCCTTCTTCGATATCGGTAGGTGCAACCGAATCGGCCAAATCGACAACAAATTTGGCAAATTGTTTTACATTGATAATATATTTTGGTTCTTCATTCTCCTGTTTGATGATCTTTGTACAACGTGCTACCTGTAATGGTTGTTCATTCTGAAGTGTTTGTTTATCGGCGGCCAAATCCCAGAGAGCTGGTGGTGCCAATCCGGTATCTGATTCTTTAATACCGGTCAATTCATTTACACGTTTTAATGTTGCTTGAATATCTTCTTCCACTTTTTTAATGGCTCGACTATAATGGCCAGCTCCGTATGATTTCAACAATGCAATATCACCTTCATCCAAAGCTAATGAAAATAAACAAAATGTTTTTAAAGATTAAAAAAAACGTATCGAATATCGACTTACTTTTTATCTCTTTTTTCTCTTCTTCTTTATCATCTTTTCGAAGCTTTCGCATATCTTTACCGAGGTAATCCATGTTGAGAAAAAAAAATTCAAAATTTAAATAAAACTCGAAAACAATGGAAAATGCAAAAAAAAACGTCAGAGTGAGAATGAATTGGCAAAAAGATGTTTATAACAAAATATATAAGGTTCCCGTTCATATAGGACGGGATAGTTGACGTAAATTTTTTAGTCTCAATGGCAATATAAATCATACAGTATGCATTATGACTTTATATTCGAACAACGATTGCATATTGTTAAGAATGATATTAAACACATTATTTTAATTCACAAGCATACGTTCACATTGTGACTGTAATTTATCGTTTGGGAAAAAAATGACATGGCGCCAACTTGACATATTTGATTCATTGATCAAAAAATCCAATAAATCCAATAAATTCAATTATTCCATTGCGGTTTGTAAACAAACACACACACACACACACACACATCTTATTCAATCCCAAGAGACTAATTGTTTTATTTGATTTAGATCAATGGCAACAACAAGAAGAAAAAAAACTAATATTAGCCAAATTGTCTTTTGATTTTCTTGCCGATCATTGCGTTTGAATTGTGATGTTTATTTCTTTTTTTGTGTGTGATGGCTGATAATAATTAAATTAGCCATCTGGGATATCGCATTCATAAACAACAAAACAACAACGACAACAACAACAACAACAACAAAAAATGATCAAAACATTAAAAGAATATGAAAATTTCTTGAATAATAAGAAAGGAAACGGCGAATGAATTGTCATATAATTTTATTATTATTATTATTATTATTGACAATTTTTTTTCTCATAATTTGATCGAAATGAATACATTTGATTTACATATATAGATGGTAGAAAAAATAAATTCAACAATCATATAATCAGAAGAAGAAGAAGAAGAAAAAAAAGAAATAACAATCAGAACAAGAACAATTTTTTTTTGTATTTGTTTTGATTTACATTACAATTTTCGATATACATCGATTATTTCGTTCATCATCGAATCATCATTTGTTCAATCCAGTGATTCATTTTTTTTGTTATTGTTGTGTTAGTGGTGAGTTACAAATCATAATATATTTGCACATTTGACAAAAAAAATAAAATAAAAATTTTTCTTTTTTTTTTTTCTTTTCTCAAATATATCAACCTAATTCATTCATTTCATTCAATAAATATATAGAATAGAATAATTAATGTAAGTAGTAGATAAAATAATCAATAAGAATATTCTGTGTGTGTGTGTGTGTCGATTTTTTTTTCATATCAATCAAATTCTGTCTGTATGTTTTTTTTCATCATCATCATCATCCATCGATTTTTTTTCTATACATTTATTATATTAAGAATTGATTAGAATTGGAACCTATTCATTCATTCATTCATTCGAAAAAATAAGAATCTTTTCAAGTGTTTATATATTATGTTTCATTTTCAAGCAAAAAAAAAATAATAACATATTGACAACGACGATGATGATGATTTTGAATTCACATTTTTTTTTTTTTCTCTTTTTCTCATCAATTTATTCCTATTCCTTGAAATTATTTAATTCAATCGATTCTGTAGGTAGTAGCAGTATCAGTAGTAGTAGTAGTAGTTTGTAGAAGTAGTAGAAATATAGTTTCTTGAATAAGCTCTCTCTCGTAGTTTACATTTTGTATTTTGTTTTGTTTATAATGTTATCTCTTGAAGATATTTCGATGGACAGGGAACAATTTTATCGTTGATGCCCGTACGTACCATTATGATGCCACTCATCTCTTCCGATACTTGAATGACAATCTGAAAAAGAAAAAATTTTTTTTTTTATAAATTATTGAAATGAGAATAGAATGTAGAGAAAATGGTTATGTTATTGGTTTGGTTTTTTTTCCAGTTAATTTGAATTTCAAATTAAATGAATATAAATGAATGATAATTGAAAAGTTTTTTTTTCTTTCTTTCTTTTTTTATATATAGAAAAATCAATGAATGAATGAATAAATAAACGAATGGAACAACAACAACAACAACAACAACAAACCTGTTCACGAAGCAATTTAATAGCAAATTCACCATCGGTCAATTGAACTGTATGTATTACTTGTAATGGACGTTCACCGGGAAATAATTTTGTTACATATTTTGATGGAAAGAATCCTACTTTTCCCATACATTTACCTTGCCACCAATCTGGATCGGTTGTATCGACTACAGTGACCATATAACCAGCTCTGTACATAAATATGGAAAAATTTGAATCAGAAACAAAAAAAGTTTATTTTTTTTTTGTCAAATTCAATATATATACCTTAAATTAAGCTCATCAATTTGTCGGCTACGAAAATTGTATAATACAACAAATATGTTGGTCGGTAATAGACGTTGTGGTTTCTATTTCAATCAAAAAAAAAAAAGAAAACAGGTAAATTATTGTAATCATTAGAATAATAATAATAATTTACCGGTGATGGACATGGTGACATTGAACATGGTGGTAGATCCTGTACAAATATCTGATCATCACGTTCAAATGATCTCATACGGCCATGTATACCTAATTTAAAACGTTTTGATATTTGATATTGATTTGATGATGCGGCTGCTGCTGCTGCTGCCACTGTTTGTTGTTGTTGTTGTGATGTTGATGATGGCTGCGGTGGTGGCAATGGTGGTGGTGGTGCTTGAACAGTTGATGGTTGCTGCTGCTGCTGTTGTGATGATTGTTGTGTGGCCGATGTTGGATGCTGGATGGATACATTCGATGATTGTGATGATAATGTTGCTGCTGCTGCTGCTGCTGCTGTTTTTGATATCGATATCATTGATTGTTTATTATTTGATTCATTCAATTTTTGTTGTTGTTGTTGTTGTTGTTGAATAAATATTGGCGGTAAATAATAATTGTATGGTTTAATCATCATTTTTTGTTGTTGTTGTTGTTGTTGTAGAATAAATCCAACAACAGTCAACAATAACGACAACCGTACAGTACGACAGCCAATTTCAAAATGATCCATTCATTCATTCCATGATTCATAAGACCATCGAATGATGAAAGATTTTATGATCCAAAAATAAACATAATGATGATGAACGAATGAATGAATGAAGTTTTTTTTTGACAAAATATAAATGAAAAAAAAAATAAAATGTAGAAAAAAAATTTGGGAAACAAGATTAATACAATCAATAATTCATGTAAATGGGCCTCTCATACTCTGGTACTAGGGGCTAGTTGGTTGGTTGGTTGGTTGTTGGTTGTGGTGTTTGTTTTCCAGAAAAAAAAACTATATAAACCTGAATAACTATTTCAACTAACCAATGAACAACAACAAATAAAAAGATTATAGTTCATGTTATGGCCCAAGAGACCAATGATGATGATGATGATGATGATGACACAAGATTCTAATAAACAAACATACACACACAAGAGACAAGAAAAGGATTACCGTTTTTGTAATCATATATATACACACCGGTACTCATTCTGGGAATCGTTCATTTTTTTCTGTCTTTTTTTTTGGGAGTTCATCATAAATTCTTTCTTTTTTTCATTATTCCCATAATCATCATCATCATAACTAATTCATTTTCATAACTTGATCTTGGACGATTGCAACTTGAAAACGCGAGGCCTTTAAAAATTAAGGAATTTTCAAAAATGATTGCTTAAAAAAAAAATTTGAAGCGCGCTAAAACAACTGGCAAAAACTGCGATCGTTCATAAAAATTTATGACCGAAAAAATTTCCAAAAGCTTGTATCAATCAATTTAAATTTTTCTAATGATCATCAAATCATCAACGTCATTCGAATCAGTAAACCTCGAAAACGAATTGGTTGACAAAAAGAAAGGTCGTGTTAGTTGGGAAACTGATTCTGAACCATACTCATAACGTGTTAGTTTGGACGGTAATAAGAACTGGTCGTGTTAGTTTGGATCTCGATATATGTATAGAATACTGGAAAGAAAAGAAAATTTCTAGTTTTTTTTTGTGTGTGTGTGTGTGTATGTGATATTGAGATGTGAATGAATTATTTATTTATATGTACCGGAAACGATTCTATTGGAAATTTTTTTTTCTTATTCTGTTTCTATCGTTTTTTTTTGTTTTTTTTTTTGCTTGGTATAGAATTCATTATTGTAATAAGAATATATATGTATAGAATACTGGAAAGAAAAGAAAATTTCTAGTTTTTTTTTGTGTGTGTGTGTATGTGATATTGAGATGTGAATGATGTCTATTGGAAATTTTTTTTTTTTCTTAAATTCATGCGAAAATAATCCATGTACATACATTTATATGGTGAATAATGATTAATCATTTCATTTGAATCATAACGTGGTGGTGATTGGCCAACAAGACCAACTGTTGGTGGTAATGATGATGATGATGATGATGGTTCAGCAACAGTTTTCATCATATCACGACGATGTTGTGAATGATGATGAGGATGATGATGATGATAATGATGAGCGGCGGCAATGGGTGGCAATGGTGGTAATTGTGGTGGTATTGGTGGTGTAAAATTTGGCCTTTTATCTTTTAATGTTTCAGCCGATTCTGGACTATCTAAACTTAAGCTTTTCATTCGTAATGTTAATTTCTTTTTATGTGGACTATGTGGTGCCGAATAAGCTTGTTGTTGTGTTTGTGATATTGTTAATAATGTAGGTGTATTATGATGATGTTGTTGTTGTTGATGAATGATTGGCACGGATGATTTATTGATTGATATTGGAACAATACCACCACCACCATTACCATTGTTATTATGATAGGCAAAACCAGGTAATGTTCGATTAGTTATCATTGGTGATTGTTCATTGGAATTATTCATCGATGAATGACCACTACCATAATGTTGATAACGGATATCCGGCTGTTGTTGTTGTTGTTGTTGTTGTTTCATCATTGAACCATATTGTTGTTGATGATATTCAATAGTTGATTGATGAAATTCTGAATCCGAATTTCTATGTGTCATTTTTATTGTTGGTGGTGGTGGTTGTGGTTGTTGTTGTTGTTGTTGTTGTGGTGGTGGACATGAAGATGATGATGTTTCTTGTTGACGATGTTGATGATGTTGTGGTTGACAATGTGTTAAACTTGTTTGGCTACCAACTAAACTATCATTACTATCTTGATGTTTACCACCACCACCACCACCACCAGAATTAGATGGACCATTACCATATGTTTGTTTAATCGAAATAGAACCTGAACTACCACTTCCGGAAGAATCATGATGATAATGATGATGATAATTATTATTATGTTTATGTTTACCACCACCACCGCCACTACCGCCACTACCACCACCACCATTATAATTTGAATAATGTTCCGTTACATATTGTGCACATTTACGAGCATCAGCAGCAGCACGTAGTGATTGATAAACAGGATCATAATTTTGATATTCTATAATCATAAAATCAATAAATTCACGGTAAATACAAAAACAAAAACAAAAAAAAAAGAAAAAGAAAAAAATAGTAAAATCGATTGAATCATTCCAGGAATAAGAATGTAATTGGAAAAAAAACAAGAAAATGGTGAAAATAAAACACATGACCACAATGGATACAACGATAAAGATTGTATTTAATCTATTCATATATATATACAATGTTTGTGTATGAATGTATGTGGTGAACAATTAATTGTGGAAAAAAAACAATGAAAAGAATGCAAAAAAAACGAAACCATTATCCAGAATGGAAATAAAAAGAATCCATACATGTATGTGTATTGTGTTAGCTACACATATTTTTTTTTTTTTTTTTTTTTTTAATTTGACTAATGAATGGAAATATAATTTTCTCTTGAGTAAATTCATTAAACAATTGACCAAACGATAACGGCAAAAGCAGCAACAGCAGCAGCAACAACAATGCGATAAATGAAACAAACAAACTAAACACATGATGATGACAATGATATTTGGACAACATTATCGCCATTATCAACAACACAGTAACAATAACAATAACCTGTTAAGAATGCCCAACACACACACACACACAAAAAAACAAAACAAAGAAAACCGAAAACTTTGGAATAAATAATAACAATGTATAGACAATGTTTTTGTTGATGTCATAATAATAATAATAATAATAATAATGATTATAATACGCCCAGAATTTGTGGAATTTGTTTGTTTTCTGGGTAGTGCAACAAAAAAAATGAAACCAAAAACAAAAAAAAATGAGATATTCTTTGTCACTATCTGTCTATTTCTATTTGTGTGTGTGTGTGTATGATATTTTTTTTTGTCAGAATTTCTCTTATCCGGTTATTACTATTATTATTCGGGTTTCGCCTTTATGTCATTGTTAGTGTCAGGTTTTTTTTTTTTGTTGCTGCTGCCGTCGTTGTTGGAATAGATTTACAATATATTAATATGGATACACCTGGTGCACCTGAATTTTTTTTTTATTCAGTATTCTTTTTGGCTACCACCGTCATTATATTGTGTGTGTGTGTTACATACATTGTTTATGGTTCATTGAAGCTCAAGAAAGAAAAAAAAATTCTTTCCCATTCCACATTGGAATAATGATTTTCAAGTGTGTTTGTGTATGTGTGTGTGTGTGATGTGGATTCTGTAACCCGAATTCCATACATAGGCAAAAAAAAAAATTTCTGACCAAACACCAACACACCACTTACTTTCATCATCAATCTGTGGTATGGTTATTTTTGTCTCCAATTCAGATGCTGATTTCTGTTTTCGTAGTAAACGTGGTTTAGGCTATAAATGATGAAAAGAAAAAAAAGAAAAAAAGAGAGAGAGTGAGAAAAATGGTTAACAACAACAATGAAAATTGAATTAAATTATTAAAAAAGGAACAGATAATAAAAATGAAAATTTTTTTTTGTATAAAAAACGCCCAGGCCCATTCAATTCCAGTTGTCAAATACACACTTTCTTTTCAATTTTAGCTATCCATGAAACTCGATCCATTTCCAGGACCCGGAGATGATCCTGAATGAATTTTGACAGTTTTTTTTTGCTCTAATTTCTGACCCCGAAACATTTAAATACTGTATTATGTAATACTGGATAATGTAGTCATATTTATCCCAAATAACCTAGCAATAACCGGGCAACAACAACAACAACAACAACAAAAACAGAATTTTTCCTTTTCGGTATCGATATTGAAAATGAATTTTTTTTTTATTCAGGACAGAATCCAGAATTGAAAGAATGAATGAATGAAAAAAATCCAATCATTTTTCCAATCATATAATCTACGAATTGAATGATTGAAAAAAAATTCATTGATCTTGTACGATAGAAAAAAGGCAAAAATGTTTCATTCTGTTTGTCAAATGAATCAAATTATATCAAACTTTATAAGTGGAAACAGCAACAACAACAACAACAACAACAGCAAAAATTTCCATTCTCAATTCATTTTTTTCTCTCGCATTCAAATTATTCATCATGATTGCTGGCAATAAAACTTTTGGTCCAGAAAATTGTTATAGAGCAATTTGAGAAACTTGGTGGTGCTAGTGGTGGTGGAAAAATTTATTCATAGATCCATTGCAACAACAAGCAGTGATTGTGTGGTGCCAAAAAAAAAAAAAAAAAAAAAAAAAACAAAAAGTTTACAAGAATTTGTAAACTTTATTCTGTAATTGTTTTACATTCATTATATTTTCCATCATTATGTGTTGTTTGTTTGCTTGTTTGTTTGTGAAAAGTGAAAACATTCATTTTTTTTTGTCTGATTATTTATATGCATGTTGTGAATATTTAAAAGTTTTATCTGAATTTTTTTTTTCGTTGTTGAATTTAATTATTATTATTCAAATTATGGTGAAAATCATTATTTAAAAAAAACAAAAGAAAAAGAGAAAGAGAAAAACGATACAAGAAGTTAATTTCCATTTTTAAAAAAGGAAATAGATAATTGGAGTATGAATAAACGAAACAAAAAACCAACCAAGGTCAAGAAATCAAAAAAGCTCAAAGAATCGAGACCAAAAAAAATGCAGGGCAAAACAAAACAAACTACACACTAATACGACTAATTCCAATAGACCAATTGTTTTTGGACAAATTCTTGGAAAAATCAGAAAGAGATTACAATGTCCAATTAGAGTATTTTTTTCCACATTCTGTGTGTGTGTGTGTGTGTGTGGGACTTGTGGGTGGAAAAAACTGGTTTTTTCTCAGAAGCAACAAAAAAAAAAATTATTCATTCATTCATCTATATGACGTACCTGCATGGATTGCAGAAAAAAAGATTTAAAATTTAAATTTTCATTTGAATTTGAATTTCCTGAAAAAAAATTATTAAACAAAACAAACAAGATGATCAATGATTACAACACACACACACATCAACCACTAGAATATTCTTGTGAGCAATTCATTTATTAGAATTCTCAAATTAAGATGGACATCGTCATCAGCAGCATTAACAACAACAACAACAAAAAAGAATAAAGAATTCTAGATAATAAAAAAAAAATTTCCCAACTGCAGAACTTTATTTTTGTTGTTGTCTTTACCCATTCTTTTTTTCATTCTTGTTTACTGTCAATTTTTTTGTTTTCATCATTGTTTTTATTCCGAAAAAAACGAAACAAAAAAAATTGATTGAACAAAGAGAATGAAGGAATCAGCAGAATGCTGTTCATTAATTTTTTTTTGTTTCTTCTGTATTGAAAGAAATCAATATCTGTCAATCAAATCAATCAATTTAATCAAAATTGGACTTTTTCTCCATCATCATCATCATCATCATAAATGCAATTTGTATGACATTCAAATGTTTCATTTGTTTTATTTTTTTTTTTTTTTTGTTTTCATCATTTTTGCTGTTGATTTGACAATTTTTTCTTTGTTCAATTTGATTTGAAAATTAAAGAAAAACAAAATAACCAGATGGTGAAATCGATATCGATCCAATAACCGATCCAATATCCGTACACACACACACACACACACACACACACATACTTGTGAGACCAAAAAAAAAGTATATATTGTGATTACCTTTGATTCTGAATTCTCCAATGAGAAACAAAAAAAAAATGCATTGAGGGAAAGCAAACATTCATGTATGGTGCATGTATATATATATATATTTATATATTATTGCACAATTATCGAACAAAAATGAATCACATTCAAGAGAAAAAAAAAGTAAAGCAAAGAATCGATATCAATGTCATCTGATTATTATTGGTCGATGGATAATTCACCATTTTGTTGTTGTTGTTGCTGCTGCTGTTGTTGTTGTTGTTGTTGTTGTTGTTGTTGTTGTTGTTAATAACCAAATAGAATGCAGCTGGTTGTTTGTCATTCATCGCTATATATCGGAAAACAGAAACATAGAAAGAGAGAGAGACACCAAGAATAAACATAAAAAAATGACGTTCGAATGTAATGATATAGAATATCCGTTTTTTTTTTTGATCAACAACAACAACAACAACAAAATAATTAAGCCGATTGAGTTCATTTTTTTTATATTTTTTTTCGCTATCTCTCAAAACATTTCAAGATTGCTTCATCAAAAAGCTTTTTTGGCTGTTTGTTTGTTTATATGAAATGGAAATCCTTTCTATTGAATCAAATCATCAAACTAATGATGAACAAACAAACAAACTGATGAAAAAAATACTGGACAAAACTTAAATCCATTTTGTTGTTGTTGTTGTTGCTGCTGTTGTTGTTGTTGTTGTTGTTGTTGTTGTTGTTGTTGTTGTTGTTGTTAATAACCAAATAGAATGCAGCTGGTTGTTTGTCATTGTGAGAGACACCAAGAATAAACATAAAAAAATGACGTTCGAATGTAATGATATAGAATTTTTGAGTTCATTTTTTATATTTTTTTCGCTATCTCTCAAAACATTTCAAGATTGATTTGAAATGGAAATCCTTTCTATTGAATCAAATCATCAAACTAATGATGAACAAACAAACAAACTGATGAAAAAAAATACTGGACAAAACTTAAATCCATGTGTGTGTGTGTGTGTAGAAATTTTTTTTTTGTGATTTGAAATGTAAACAACATAAAAGTGAAAAACACACACAAGAAATTTTGTCGCCACATATATTCCTTTCCGGGTTTTTTTCTTTCTTCTTTAGAATCTAGAATCTATGATGGTGAAGAAAATAGAATTTCCGTTGTAGCGAAAAAAAAAATTGCATTACATTATACTGAATGTTTCATTATCATCACTTTTGAATGATGATTTTTCATTCATTCATTCATTTCAATATCAGAAAAGAAAAACATAAATGGCCAATAGCCATGATTCCTACACACTATGCCATCGCTTATGGATGTGCCATATGAAAACACGTCATGTATGAGCAGAGAATTTAGAGAATTTGACTTCATCGTCATCATCATGTATATTAATATGGTGATTTGAATAATAATAATAAAAAAAAATACGGAACCATGTATGTGCGGATATATAATTTTATTATCGAAAAAAAATGTTTACCTAATTAGATTTTTTTTTGTTTATTTTTTTCTGTCCCCATTTTTTTCCCTCCCAGTGAGTCTTTATTTGGAACGCACACACACAAGCAAAAATTTATGAATATGATGATGAGCTTCAATATACAATCACAATACGTGTCAGATTAATTATAAGCCGGTGAAAAAAAAAAAAATTTCCCCCCATTTCATATGAATCAAATGAATTGAATTGAATGTTCTGATTGAATAAATTATATCCTAATATACGGAAAAAACGAGGGGAAAAAATATCCAAATATAACCAAAATCAAACATTCCATTTCATTCCATTCATTCATTCATATAAATGAAATGCCATTCTGATTCTATTTATTGTTATATTATGCAATAAATAAACACATGGTATTCAATTCATTAATTTTTTATTCATTTCTAACGGGCTTTGTCTCTTTTTTCTCTTTCTCTCTCTCTAAAATGAAAAAAAAAAAAATCACAAATTCCATTGAATTGTTTTATATTCATTTTAAAATTTTTTAAATGTCAAAATATTTCATTGAAAACAATGTGTCGTGATAAACAGTAACAGAATCAACAACAATAACAACAAACGAATGAAATTCATTTAAAAACATACCTGACATTTTGGTGCATTTTCCTGGCATTGGCCAGTATGTACATTCATTTTACATAATTTACATTTAAGTCCTTGACGAGAATGACCTTTATTTGTGAAGAATTTTTTTTTTTTTTTTTGAAATCAGATAATCAATAAATGATCAATAAACAATCAATTGATATTTCGACGAAAAAAAAAAAATACATACCACGTAAAATTTCTCTACAAACATCACAAGCTGTAATTTTTTTATACGTATATTCCTGAAATGCATGTACGCCCAATTGTACGGATATACGATATGTACGTTGTGCTTCCAAATCGGCCAGATCATTATTCCTATAAATTCCATGGGTGATGGATATAAAAGTATATAAAAAACGAGAGAGAAAAATTAGTACAGAAAACACGCACACACACGCATTTTTTTGTTGTTGTTGTTTCTTTCTAACCAAATGATAAACAACACATTGAATAAAATTCAAAAACATTCAATTCATAATCAAAAATTATCATCATGCCTATGGGCTCGTCAGTAAGTGCTAGAATATTCTGTATATGCGTTTGTGTGTGTGTGTGTGTGAATAAATTGTAATATAATTGTTATGATGAATAATTTTTTTCATTTCATTTCAAATGAATAAATGGATGAAAGAAGAAAAATGAAATAAAAACAGAAACCTTGCATCTTCATTATCATCACCATCATCATCATCATCATCATAATCATAAAATTCCTATTTATTCTTTATATTCAGTTTTTTTTTTTATTTTCCTGGCCTGTGAATTTCATTCCTGGAATGAAAATCGAATAACGAAAAAAAAAGAAGAAAAAAAAAAAAAAAACGATAATAGGTGATAAGAGTGTTCGGGTCCCCAACATACACCCACACACACACACACACACACACATACATACACATGGAGTAAATTTATTATCATCATTAAAGTTGATGATGATGATGATGATGACGATGATACCTGCTTGTTTGTCTGTGTCAACCTATTATATATATGAATACCGACAATGTGTGTGTGTGCATATAATACAAAAAAAAAAAAAAAACCATTTTCACCAAGTGAATAAATGTGAACAGCTTAACAACAATACCATTTTGGCCCATTTACACACACACACACACAAACACACACCAGTATTTGATATGAGCCATATTCGCAATTATTCTAATTGGAGCCATAATCATCATCATCATCATCATCAACATCACAATAATGGTGAAAGCAATTTTGAAATGATAATGATTCTTGCATTGATTATAGACAAAAAAAAAAAAAAAAAAAAAATGAAAGAATAAAAACGAACAAACAACAAACACCAAAATGAATCGATTATATGTATATACAGGTTTTTTTTGGAATAAAAAAAAATTTTTTTTTTTCCACAATCATCATCGTTGATGTTGGCGATTCTTTTTTGTTCTTCTGATGATTGATGATTAACAGAATGACATTATTCTGGGTTTTGTTTTCACATTGATTAGAAAAAAAAGGACAATTTTGAAAGAATCGATTGATCGATTGATGGTGGCGGTAATAATCGTAATAATTTGATTAATTTGATCATCATGGATAAATTTGTTTTTTTTTTATTCGCCAAACATCATCATCATCATCATCATTTGTTTGTTTGTTTATAATTGTGTTTGACATTCGATACAACACACACACACACACACACACAGTGATTTAAATGTCAATTTCAAAGCTTCCATTTCATTAATCATTCTTTTTTTTTTTTTCCGTAAAAAAAAGATCAAACAACAAACGAATCACCACCAATCATTCATTGTTATTCTCTCTGTCTCTCTCTCTCGCACTATAACCAGAATTTTACATGTTATACAATCTTGCCATTCCTTTTTTTTATTATAATATTTGATGATTGATTGATTAATGAATCAAAACCAATTAATGTCTATATATAAAAAAAAACAAATTTCATTATGTATAATGATATCTAGCTATAATTCAACTTTGAATTTCAATTTGTGTGTGTGTATGCGGTGTGTGTGTGTGTGATTATAATTTGCTTTTTCATTGTATATCCAATATCAAATATCATCTCAATTATATTACAATCAGCCAATCTTTCACATTGGATCAATCAATCGATTTAGAAATTTCGATTTTTTTTCCATCTTCTCAATTGTATATGCTGTTTTTGTTGTTGTTGTTGTTGTTGTTTTTTTTTGTTAATAATAATTATATATTATGGTCCATTGATTCATGATGAAAAGAAACGTCGATATTTATTTTAATAACAACAACAACAACAACAGCAGCACTTAAATTGGTCAAATTCTTATGTCAACGTAAGTGATGTGTGTGTGTGTAGTTTTTTTTGGTAATAATAAAATCCCAACCAAAACGATAATTTTGTTGTTATAATTTGCGTGCGTATGTGTGTGTGTGTGATGTGATTTGATCGGATTTAATTGTCATAAATATTTCTCTATGTGTGTGTGTGTGTGTGTGTTTGTATCAAGTCTGATAACATGAAGATAACAAAAAGACCAAACCATTCTCGTCATTTATTACTACTAATAATAATGGAAATGAAATGCCAACAACAAGAAAATTTTTTTTTGTTTCCGAAAAATATCTCCACTTATAAATTGCGTGGACTCTCTAAAATTGTCATCCAGAATTTCTATCTTGTTTCAAATTCAAAATTATGCCCAAAAAGCCATGAAACATTAATTCAAAATTTGGTTTTTCTTCTTCTTTTTCTTCACGTAAAGCATTTTTATCTAATAATTCCTCATTTAATGAATTGGAAATCAATATTTTTTTTCCTCATATTTGTTTCGTTTGTTACAAAGTTTTTTTTTCGTTTTAATGTGAACACAGGTATTATTTATTGTCATCATCATCATCATTGTCGCAATGGAAAAAACCTGGAATTATTTTTTTTTTTTTTCGTTTGAAACGTTATTGATCCCGTTATATTGAAACTTTACAAATGAAAAAACCAGAAACAAAACAAAACAAAACAAAAAAGTTCACCAATATTTCCATGTTAATGGAAAGAGAAAAAAAAAAAGAATGAATCATATGATCATCATTATCAATATAAATCGATTAAGGAGTAATGAAAAAAAAATCATTATCATGTGATGTGTAAAAAAAAATTCACAATCATTATCATGAACATCGATTAAATTGGATAATGGTGAACATCGATTAAATTGATTATAAATTGCATATATATGCACTTTAATGGCATTATCATTAGTATGGGCTTGGTTAGATGGCTCAATCATAATTATTGAAAAAAAAAAAACGAACACAGCCACATAATAAAATCAAATTCAAGTGTGTGAATAAAAATATGTGATTTTTCCAATGGAAAACCCACACACACACACACACATGGAACCGATCAACCAAGACTGAAATAAACAACAACAACAGAAAAAAAAAAGAGAATCGGAAATTGATGAAAAAGTTTCATCATCGCCATCATCATCATCATCATCATTTGAGCATCACTATCGCTTTCATTCAGTTTAAATATAATGAATTTGATTTTTTTTTGCAATTGAAACCAACCAAAAAAATAGGAGAAATAGGAAAAAAATCCATCAAATTACAATTGTGCAATATATATATTCATGGTTGGAAATTGAATCGTTTTCCTAGACACTTTCACACACACACACACCCACACACACACACTCATTCAATTCAAATCTCGTTTTCGAAATCACCACAGGAGTTCTGTTTCAAAAAAAAAAAAAAATTCGCGTTTTGCATCACCAATAACGATAATAATAATAATAATAACCGATTCCATGAAATTGGAATTCAATTTGAATTGTCAATATAGATTTTCGATTTGCTCTATTTGAAATGGATGAAAAAAATGTTTGTTGTTGTTGTTGTTGTTGTTGTTGTTGTTGTTATTATTATATAGAACAACAACAAAAGTGAAAATATTACAGAAGAAAAAACATTAAAGAAACGAAAATGACAAAAAAAACAACAAAACAAAACAAAACGCATCGTTTTGACTCATTGATTCAAAAAAAAACATATGAACAGCAACGACGACGACGACGACGACTACAAGAAAACGACCAAACAAACAAACAGAAAAACATGGTAATTCTCTTGAGGTAAACAACAGGAAATTATTATTATTAATGAACAAAATAGAAAATAAAAATGATGAACAACAACAACAACAATAACAACAACAAAAAAAGTGAATTTGAATTTGAAATGAAATGAAATGCAACGCAATTGGCAGAAATGCAAATGGTGTTCATTCATTTATTATTAGTTATTTTCTCATTGAACGAAAAAAAAATCGAAAACTCATTCTGGAAGTTAATTCCACAGTTCTCTCTCTCTCTCTCTCTCAATAATTAATTCTTACCACTTTGTTCAGGTTGTTCAAGTTGTTTGTTGTTCATGTCTGTCTGTCTATCAAGCAGGCAAAAGAATATTCATGGTTTTGTTTTGAAATTCTTTTCTCTTTCTCTTTATTTCGCTCGATTCAATTTCAAAACTTTCTTTTTTTTTATTATTTTGTTTTTTTTCATGTTTTCAAATTGAATTTTTTTGAAATTACAAGTCTAGCTAGCTAGTCCCCATTAGAAGTCAGTGACAGACCAACATTACAGCATTGTGAAAAAGTTTGCCATACTAGTCTGTCTGTCTTGTTCAGTTTGGTCTTTCACTGACTTCTAATGGAACCACTAGACTAAGATTACCAACAAACACACATATTGCACGAATAACAACAACGAAAAAAAAAAAAAAAAAATTGAAGCAGGTGTTAAATTTCCGAATATTTTTTTTGTTCTCTCAAAATGAAAGAAAAGAATTTCCTTTGTATGGCAATCATCGTCATCATCATCATCATAAATTGTTATCATTTTCTGGATCAAATTTCCTTTCAGTCAGTCAAATGCAAAACAAAAACTGAAACAAAACAAAAAGAAATTTGAAGATTCCAAGATATCTAAGAAATGGTCAATCTGGTATATATGACTGTATAATGAATGGTTAGACATAAACAACAGAAAAACAGAGAGGAATTTTTTTTTTTTTTTGCAAAATTTGTGATTGATTCATATTGTCTCTCTCTCTCTCTCTCTCTGTGTGTGTGTGTGTGTGTGTAATGTTATAGTAAATCAGATTCTGTACACTCAGAATCCGGTGGTAGAATAACCAAACGAAAAAAAAAAATTTGTAACATCTTTTTGGGGTGAACAAAAAATAAATAAATAAATAAATAATTCGATTCCAGTGAATTTTCAGCCACATTTAATGTGGTTTTTCTATTTGTTTGGAAAAAAAGACAACAACAAAAAAATTCCACCAAACAGTGTATGGTGGACATCATCATCATCATTATCATCACATTACATTGTAATCCAAAATTTGGGTTGAGGAATAATTGTTGAGAATGAACATGAAAAAAAAACAAACTTTCCATTTTCCATTTTCGATTCTTTGTATGAACAAATTACTTTAGCTTCATTGTTGTTGTTGTTGTTGTTGTTGTTTTGAAACTCTTTGAATACATTCTTTGATTCAATTATAAGTGCTGACTATAATGGATTTTTTTTTTTTCATTCACACTCACACCATCATCATCATTCTCTATCTCTAATTTTTTTTCTCAGATGAAAAACAGAAAAAAAGCAACGAAACAAATTCAACAATCAATCAATCAGTCAATCTATTTGAGATGATTTACAAACATTTTTTGAGGGGTATAACAGCCAATACTAAATGTAACAATCATGTATAGAGATGACAAATATTTTGAATATATGGAAATTACGTTTTTTATGAATTTTTTTTTTGGGCTTGTTTCATCGATACGACGATGATGATGATAAACATAGAGAAAAAAAAACATTCATGTTATCCAAAATGATTATAGATTAATAGAAAAATTGAGAAAAGCTGTTTATCGCAAATAAAAAAAAAACACCGGACAAGAACAACAGTCCAACAATGTACACAATGTGTTGTCGATGTGTAATAATTAGTGGTGGGGAAACAAAAACAATGTTGAATGGATTGAAAAAACAACAGCAAAAAAAAAAAGATATTCGTAAACATGTATTATTCATTTTTTTTTCATGTTGTTCAATCAGATCATCATCATCATCATCATCATAAGATAATGTGACATGAATCAGAAATCCGTGATTCACAACGAATCACAAACTGACACAAACACACACACACACACCGACATGAACACGAACAAACAAACAGATCTCAAATACGTTTGTCAAATAAGATTTTTTTTTTTTTGGGGTCTGTTTTTTTGTTTGTTTGATTCTATTTTGGGCTCATCATCATTCTGTTTGTTTTTCTATATCAATATCCATTGAATAATGTTGTTGGTCATCATGTTTGATGATGATGGTGTATATGGATGGATGGATAAATGAATGGTCATATCACTTCACATGTGTGTGTGTGTATTGTATATTATTCAACTGACAAGTTCCAGAAATCTGTAAAGAAAAAAAAAATGAAAGATTTACTTGCTGCTGCTGTTGTTATTATTATTATTGCATCTTAAAACACTCAAAATTATTGATGTGTCTGGCTATATGTGTGTGTGTGTGTGTCAAGTACAGACTGACCAAAACAAAACAAAAAAGAAAAAGAAATTCAAATGATGAATTAGATGCTAGAAGAAAACAAAATACCGGATACGGGTATAAATAACAACAACAACAACAACAACAACAACGGCAACGGCAAAAAGAAAATAAAAAACGCAAATGAAAGCAAAAAAAACAAATATTCTTCTTTTTTTGCTATTTTTTTTTTTTATTGCAATTATGTGTATGCATTATGCATTAAATACTGCAATAATGATCATAAAAAAAATATAATGAAAAACGAACAAAGAAAAAAAAAAAAAAAAAAAAGAAAAACAATGCAAAAATAATGATGATGATTGAATGCAGTGCAATTTTCTACGTATGCAAAATATGTGAAAAAAAAAAAAAATATCCAATATATTCTGGATCTCTTTATTTCATAATGATAATAATAAAAATAAAAATAAAAAATAAGAATTTCACACACACACATTTTTTTTTGTTGCTGCTGCTGCTGCTGTTGTTGTTGTCGAATTTTAAACATTATGATTGACTTGTCAATAATAAATTCTGGCCATAATCAATAACAAAAAAAAAAAAATTTTGTCACTGAAATTTTTGTCAAGAATTCGTTGATGTGTGGGGGTTGTAATAACAGTGAAAGAAAAATGAATTTAAAATTTTTTATTTTTTCATTTTCTTCAGCCAAAAAAAAAAAACCAAGAATAAAATTTGCTGCTGTTAAACGGAATAAAAAGAATAAAGAATTGGAGAATGAAAGAATAAAATTTTGAAAGGTCTGCTGTTCGTAGTAGTTGCCCCATTATCATATCATGATGATGATGTGTAAAATATGAAATTGCAGCAAGAATGGGCCATAGAATGGAATCTATCTCATTCTCACTGGCTTTCTCTATTTATATTACACACAAAGGGTGATGATGATGATGATGATAATAATAATAAAAAGAAATAACAAACAAAATAGATCAACAATCAATCTAAATAGTGAAGCAAGATGATGAGATAAATAAAAAAAAGAAAAATTCAATGATGATGATCGAACCATATGGTTTGTGAACAACAACAACACCGCCATCATTTTGAATTATAAATTCTTTATTATTATCGTCTTGTTCGTTGTTTTATTCACACATTCACAATAACAACAACAACAACAACAACAACAACAACAACAACAACAACAACAACAACAACAACAACAACAACAAAAAAATTATTAATACAGCTATAACTAGTGAATTGAATTGAAATGAAAATGAAGCTTTATTATTCAATTCCCAATCGATGACAAATAATGATGATGATGATGATGAAATGAAGAATATTTTTCCATTCTGTTCATATCGAATGTCAAAAAAAATAGTCAATGAATGAATGAATGAATGGAATGGAATGAAATGAAATGAAATGAATATGATCCTATTGGTGATCCATCTGTGTGGATATTTTTAAAAAAAAAACGAGAATGCAATCAATTATTATTCGATGGCCTTGTGTAGCGGGGAAAAAAAATTCTTTTTTGTTTGTTTGTCTGCAGAAGCATCGGAAGAAAGAAAGAATAAATTCCAAAAAAAAACACCAATTTCAATCCAATCCAATCAAAAATGTAAAAAAAAAAAAATTTCGATTCCATTTTTATTCTCGAAAGAATCGGCTTTTTTCACACACACACACACACAGACAAACACACACAGCTTCAAACATAATTATGATTTGTGCTAATGAATGAATTATAGATGCAAAAATCGATAATCAAATTTCAAGCCAAAATAGAAGCAAAAATTAGCAAATATTAATGAATTAATTAATTAGTTATCATCATCATCATCATCATCATTATTATAATTGGATGATATGAGGCTTAGTAGAAGAAATCATTCGATGATTGCTGCATCTCAATTTTCATTCATTGATTATGTGTGTGTGTGTGTGTGTGGAAATGAGAAAAAAAAAAAAAACAACACAATAGCATCATATGGCAGAATATTCAGAATATTCACACGCACACACATCCAAATTCATTTGCTTACCTTGAACCAACACCAACGGCTGTTAATTTTAATGAACGAAATGCTTTAATCCATTTACTTTTAACACCGGTCACAGCTGATAATGATGATGATGATGATGATTGTTGTTGTTGTGGTGATGGTACTGATGATGATGATTGTGAAAATCTTCTTGAATCATTTGATCGTAGATCCATTTTTTTTCGGTAACAATGTTTTCAACAACAACAACAACAACAGTTAACAAATCAGCCCAAATTGTATTTAATAATGGTGGTTAATTTTTTTTTTAAAAAGGCACAAAAAAAGACATGATTTAATGAGAACAAAATTTAAAAAACAAAACAAACAAGGCAAATATTATAACAGCAATGATAATTTCAACGATTTAAATCCTGGAACATCATTATCGTTGTTGTTTTTTTGATTTCGTCGTTCGGTCGGTTGTTGTAATCACAATCAAATCTTGAATGAAACTACTGTGGCAAAACTTTGAATATTGCCAGCACACAAACACAAACACACTAGGTCTTTTTTTTTAACCAACCAACCAGCCAGTCAGCAGACAGTTAGTCAGTGTATGCGCGTGATGGTATTCCATTTTTTTATATATATTCTTTAACACAACAATGATGATGATGACGACGACGACGAAAAAGAATCGTAAAGTTTTGTCATGGCAAAACATTCAACATCACAGCATGTTGTGTACAATGCACATACCGGTATTAACCCTAGAAAGGTAACCTACGTAAAATTTATGCTTTTTGCACTTCAACATGTTCCAAAAAAACACTCACGATGCTAAGACAGCTGGAACCCCTTTCTATTCCTCAAGAATATATTTCTACGCCTTTAGAAATAGAAAAGATCCAGTTTTTGCCTTTTATCTGTTATCTATAAGCTTAGGCGTAAAAGCTTGTACGTAAAATTTACGTATAGTTGCCTGAATCAGCATAGAAAAATCTTAGAAAATTTTGCTGAGAGCGATAGTTTCGGAAATTTTTCCCAAAAAACGTCATTTATGAATAAAAATAATTTTAATTTTTTTCTTTTTTTTATCTTTTCACTTGTCAAAAACGTTTTTTGTCGCAATATTTTTTGAAATAAACGTTTTTTCTGTTCATTTGTTTATGTTTTTCACTTTATTCAAAATTAAAATGCTTGCAAAAAGCGTTTAACAACGACCGGATGTAAACGTTGTGGCACCGCCCCCGTGGCGAATATCAGATAAAAATTTGTCAATCATGTTTCGAAACACAATCATCGATTGATTAATCATATTTACAGGATCATTTTTCATTTTTTCTTGACGCTGTGATAATTTCAAAATTGACAATAAAAAAAAATTCAAAATTTACACCATATCTTTAATTTGATATTTTTGAACTTTCCACTTTTGAAAAATGATTTTTTCTTCTTTAATATAAAATAGAGGTGTGATTCAACGAATAAACGTTAAAATTTAACATAAATAATCAGATAATTTAATTTTTATAGCGGAAATAAGTTAGGCATATCAACTACGTAAAATTTACGTAGGTTACCTTTCCCGCAATATCGATAAGGTTACCTTTCTAGGGTTAATGTATACACAACTAACCCTGATAATATATGAACGGTGTGCATTTCTTTTTTTTCATTCGCAAAATGAGAAAATATTCTGCATCTTCTTCAGCCACAGAACCAAAAAAAAAATAAAAATAAAAATAACAGTAAAACATTAAACGGTATGCTGTGTTTTTTTCTGAATGAAATTGAATAGATTCTTTCTATTCAATATTTTACAATAAACAGAATCAAATGAATCAGGAATAATATCAAAGAATCAGAATCAGCCAACCAACTAATGAATCAACCACCACCATTACCACCACCACTATATATAATGTGCATTGGAAAAAAACAGAGATAACATTTGCTATTTCAAGAACCAAAAATAAAAATAAAATAAAAATCCAAGCACATTATATCACATATAATCTGGCGCTGTTGTCGTTTTTTCAAAATTGGCGCCATTTATGTTTATTTATTCATTCGTTTATTACTGTAACTTAACTGATTGTGATCAACAACAACACAAAGACACAATTAGATATGAGAAAAAAAAATGAAATGAAATGAAATGAAAAGAATGTTTTGATCATTAAAAACAATAAGAATAATAATAAAAAATTTTACTTTTTATTAAATTGTAAATTTTTTTTATCATCTCCATAAATTTTTTTTTTTTTTTTTTTTTTTGAAACAAAATTATTCTGTATTCTGTATTCTGTAGTTAGACGTTTTTAGTTTTTTTTTCTTTCGAACTTGAGGAATTTCATCTATTTTCATCCATCATTATTGTGTGTGTGTGTGTGTGTGTGTTTTATTAGATTTACGTGCCCATTTCAACATTCACGTATTCCGTATGTTGTGTATGTGATGTTTATAAGTTTTTTATTTGCAAATAAAAAGAAAAAAAAACATCGATGATTGAACAACTGGTGGATCACACATACAAACACACACACACACACACACACACATCACATTAAATGATGTGAAAATGAAACATTGAAACACATCATCATCACCATCAACAAAATCATCAACATCGTGATTGTTAATTTTCCACTAGAATTCAGATTTATTTTCACTATAGAATGACAACAACAACAACAACAACAAAAAAATCTTTGAATTCTTTTATTTGATTGTTTTGGCTGGAATAAAAAAAAATTTATTCATTTTTCCATTGCAAGAATCCGGCAAACGGACACATATATTGCATCCACTATATATATATATGTGCGTCTTATTTGTTGTTGTTGTTGTTGTTGTCGTTGTAGTTTAATGAAAAAAAACAAAAACAACAAAAAAAAACTTGATTAAATTTTGAAAAGAAAAAAGAAAAAAAAATTTAAATTTTTATTTCTCTCTCTCTCTCTCTTGAATGAACACGAAAAGATTGACAAGAGAGAGAGAGAGAAAGAAATTCTGAAACAAAAGAAAAAAAAATTCCAGAAACTTTCGATAAAGACAAACCGAAAAAAAAACTCAATATTTTTTTTTGTTTCGCTTGATGTCTTTATTAATATATAATCCACATTTATATACATGGCCTATTCACAGTTCAATGAACAGTGTCGTTTTTTTTTGTAGAAAGTCAACTTTTTTTTTTTTTTTTGCTGGTCTTATCTCATAATCTCAACTGAAATCACTGAAATCACGGCTATTATTTTTTTTTTTTTGTCGGTGATTGGAAAGTTATTAAAATAATGATGATGGATTTTGTTTTTTTTTTTTTTTTTGTCAGGCATTTACGTCAGTATGTGCGTGTGTGTGTGTGTGTGTAATACCCGTGTACGATTTTTTTCTTTTTGATAGATAAGTTCGATAGAAAGAAATGATAACAAAAAAAAACCCACAGTAACCACAAACCACCACCACCACACAACCGGAATCGGAAATATGAGAATTTGGATGAAAAAAAAAACCAGTGTGTGTGTGTGTGTGTAAGAAATAAAGAAAAAAAAATGAATGGAGAAAAAAAAAGTTTCGAAATTTTATTCCACACTTATCAACATCATTATCATAATGAGCGTATTATATAAAAAAAGAATTTAACGACAAAAAAAAATTCTTATTTATCTGATTTAAGTAATGAACGAATGGAATTCAATCGATGATACTTGATTGAACAAATGAATAAATTCCAATTCCGAAAACGACGACGACGACGAAGACCAGATTAGTTTTCATCAAATATAATCTGTAAAAATTTGAATTCATTGACAAAAGAAAAAATGAATTTGAATTTGAAAGAAACAAAAAAAAAAGACTGAGAATTATCATTCATTATTAATAATGAATTAGAAAAAAAAATGAAAAAGAAATTCTTGAATTTAAGAAAATTGGAATTATTCGTCATTCTACAATTCCGGTACATTTTTTCTTCTTTTTTTTTTGGTTCATTCTTCCATTCAATAATGATAACCAGAATTTATATATTTTTTTTTTTCGTTAAAGATCAATCCATGTGCGTGAATCTAAATGGCCAAATTAGAAATGACAGTATAGTACATTTTTGTTGTTGTTGTTGTTGTTGTCGTTTTTCTGTTTTAACAATCGTGTATAATTCAAGTCAAGGATGATCGCGGATCGAATCGACCTATTTTTTTTGTTGTTGTTGTCGCTTCTGCGTTTTTTTTTATTATATATTCATCCATCCAGGTCTTGTGTTGCTTTTTTTCTGCTTACAAAAAGCTTTTTTTCGCGAAAAAAAAAATTTACCATCGACGGTATATACATCATTCATAACAGCAGAATGATGATGATGCTCGGAATCACCACAGAAATTTTACCATCAACACACACACACACACAGACAGACACACGAGTAAGAAAACTTTATAATCATCATCATCATCATCATATACTTAACTTTGACGATGTGACTTACTCTCTTGAACTATATTAAAGTTTTTGGTGAGGGTGGTCGTTGCAATCAAAATCAAGATGTTGATGATGGAGTTAAGAATTATACAAATAAACAAATGAAAAGAGCAAAGAGAGAGTGAAAAAGAATTTTGTTGGAAAGCACTTGTTCCGACATTATACATGAAACAAACATGGTAAAAAGTGTGTATGCCACTTGAATGAATTAAGATTTACATCGATGATGATGATGATGATGACGATTACGAATGACAGAATTCATTGAATTTGAATTAGTGTGTGTGTGTGTTGAAAAGTTTTATCAAAATGTAACAAAATTCTGGTGACGTTTACAGATTTGATCAGATTAATTGAATCATTTTTTTAGGCAATGGTTAAATGATCCAAAAAAATATATGGAAAGTGATGAAACATACACACACACAGATGGTTGTAACATGAAAAATTCAACCATTTCAACACACACGTTATTCATTGGCTATAATGACGAGATGTGTTTTTTTATCATTTTTTTCTCGTTTGTTCACCGAACAATCGATAGAATAACAAACAAATGATGAATTGACGACATTTTGATGGTGGGAAAAAAAAGTTTTGCTACCACCACCACCACCACCGCCAAGACCACCATAATCATTACTTATCGGGAAATAATTATATTGTTTTATTCTGCTTTATCTATTGTATACAATTGAAACAAATCAATTGACTAAAGATAAAAACAAAAAACGACAAGTATTTTCGGAGAAAGGAAAATGTTTCTTTTTGTTCAATGAAATGAAAAACTAAAAAAAAAACACGAAATGAAAACTTTTCGAACAAACATCATCATTGACGTCGATGATGACTAAAAAAATCAATCGAACGATTCAATTCAGAATTTGGCTATTGAATTGTCAACATTATACGTTGTTCACAACATCAAGATGTCTATATCTCATTACCGTCATATAATAATAATAAACATCCGGACGACGACGACGACAAAAAATGCACCAAAATTTTTAATTTATTTCACCGAAAAAAAGAACCAATTTTTTTCAAGATTCAAATCAAAATGATGATGATGATGATGATGATGATAATTGTATCAATCGTTTGGATCATGATTTTTTCACTGGCCATTCATTTTGGTAATAAAATAAATTAAATATATACAATCATTTGATCTCATTTTCATTCGATTTATTACTTTTTTTTTCATCGAAATATTGATCCACAATTGTGTCTATTTACACACACACACACACAAACATTGTTGATTGCCGGCGTCATATACTCACACACGATATATCGATAGCGCCCTTGTTATATATAAACGACAATGGATGATGATATCGAACACCACACCTAACTAATTTAGATTTCTGTGTGTATTTTTTTTTTTTTTTTTGTTTACATTGGTGTTTGACACCCAAATTTTTTGTCCACCCCCTCATTTTATCCGATCCGATTCATTTATATTCGTTGTTGTTGTTGTTGTTGGAGTAATTTGAAATTCTCAATTTCAAAAGCAATTTCAAGAGTTTGTGTGTAGGTCATGATCATTATAATGGTGATCATGATGGCGATGGTGGTGGTCGTCGTCATGGAACACAATAGTTATATTCGCGGTACGATTTTAAGCTTCCAAACGATAAATTCAGTTTATCACAAGTGGCGTTTTGTAGATGGGTGGGTGAGTTGGACTGCGTAATAACGGAAATTCCAGACGAACCACATGCATCGATCGTTATCATCATTCCTTTCGCGCAATTTTTTGTCCACCCCCTCATTTTATCCGATCCGATTCATTTATATTCGTTGTTGTTGTTGTTGTTGGAGTAATTTGAAATTCTCAATTTCAAAAGCAATTTCAAGAGTTTTTGTGTGTGTAGGTCATGATCATTATGATGATGATCATGATGGCGATGGTGGTCGTCGTCATGGAACACAACAGTTACCGGACACACACACGCATAATGGGTTATCATTAATTGTGTGGATAAACTATTTTTATTTTTGCTTTAAATGATGATCTAATTTATTTTGATTGTCATTGACGACTACTACTACTACTTGGTAATAGCAAATCACTCAAATGGGATTCAATTGTCGAATTGACATTAATTTTTTTTTAGTGGAAATAAATAAATAAATAAATAATGTTATGACGACCTTTACATTGATGACCTTTGACATTCAAGATTGTATATGGACATGATGAAATTGATTTTTTTTTCATTTCATTTTATTTATTTTTCAAAATTTTCCAAATAATTGTGTAACAAACAAACAAACAAACAAACAAAAAAAATGGATGAATATATATTTGGATTCTTATAGAAATATTCTGAATGGATTTTCCAGATATTCTTTCCATAACATACAGAAAAGTGTCATTGTTGCACCATCAATGATTCGATGATCAGCTGACCATAATACCTGTATAATATGTGCTCGTCGTATTTGTTCAGATTGATCATCAATAAAACGTGGTAATTTACGTATACGACCAATGGCACCGATTGCCACTTCACCAGGCATCAATACCGGTATGCCGAATATACCGCCAATCTATTGTTGTTGTTGTTGTTGTTGTTGTTGGTGGTGGTGGTGGTTAACCAATATGAAATAATGAAAACAAAAACAAAAAAAAATGAACATTCTACATCTACGAATATACTTACGGAACCAATGTTTGATAATGTAAATGTTCCACCACTTAGATCGCCCATACCCAATTGGCCTTTTTGTCCTAGTTGCTGTAATCGATTTAATTCATTTGCAACATCTATGATGCTCATCTGATTGACATTTTTGATGTTAGGTACCAATAATCCTTGTTTCGTATCCATAGCAATGCCTATATTATGTGCACTACGATATATTATCTTTTCACCTGACAAATCTATTGTCGAATTTAATAATGGATATTCCATCAATGCTAACGATGCTGCTTTGATAAAAAATGGCATAAATGATATCGGTACATTCTTATCAGCAGAAATTTTTTTCATTTCTGGCCGTAATTCAACCAAACTTGATAAATCGATTTCTTCGCTAAGGCCAAAATGTGGAACACTTAATGATTTAGTCATTGTTTTGAACATTCCTTTTGTTACACTAGAAAATGGTTCAATTCGATCTTCGGTTATAGATTGAATGGATGCTGCATTCGGTATTGATCGCTGTTGTTGTCTAGGCTCAATGGGCGACTTTGTTGTTTTCATTGTAGACTCTACTTTAGTTGTTGTTGTAGCTATAGTAGGCTGTTGTTGTTGAGACATTCGTTCCAAATAGCCAAATATATCTTCTTTAAGAATTCGGCCATCTTTTCCAGTACCAATAACATTATTTAGATCAACTTTATGTTCAATGGCCATACGACGTACAGCTGGTGTTGTAATGATTTTACCACCACCAAGATAATCTTGTTGGTCATTACTGCCATCAACGGCAACAATATTATCCTGTTCATCACCATTCATAATAATTTTTTGATTTTCTGGTTCTGATTCTAGATTGAAATTAATTGTATCAAAATTAATTATAATCAATGATAATTGTCATATATTAATTAATTACCTGTTGAACTATCTTCTGAATCGATTAATATATCGATTAATGGTAAACCAACTTTGGCCGTATCATCTACCTGATAGTAGATTTTTTGTATTTGGCCATCATAACGGCTTGTAATCGTTACAGATGCTTTATCACTTTGTACTTCACAAATATTATCGAATTGTTGTACATGATCACCAATTTTAACAAACCATTCTTTAATAATTACTTCGGATATTCCTTCACCAATATCCGATAGATTGAATGATACGATTCGGCTATTTCCACTTAGATGTCCTGAAATATATAAAGAAGAAAAAAAACATTGATAAATATTCGAATTCGAAAATCGTCATCGATGGCTTGATTGTGAAAAATGAATGAAGAATCGAAAAAGAATAAGAATCGAAAATAGAAAAAAAAAAAAATGATGACTCAAACACACACACAAATAAAAGATTAGAGAAAAAAAAACAAAAGTCTAGAACAATAAATCATTTCGTCGTGTACATTATTATTACATAAACCCCATTTATTCATTATTATTCATCGTTCATCGTCGTCCATTACTTGTGGACCAAACATATGTCGATGTCAAGCATCGATATGTGTGTGTGTGTGTGTAGTGGGAGATGGAAAAATTGAGAGCTCCCATTTTTCATTTTTTTATAAACAAAGATGAATGCAAATTCACTTATCATGTTTATTGTTGTTGTCGTCGTTGTTGTTGTTGTTGTTGTTGTTAATGAATCATCATCATCATCATCATCATACTTATATAGAATTGTAGAATATGAAAAAAAAATTCATTCGTCAGGATATTTACACTTTTTCTTTTGAGACAAAAAAAAATGTTTTGTGTTTCATGTTCGTGTTTTTTTTTGTTTGTTTCGAGTGGCAAAACTTCAACAAATGACCAACTTGAATGAGTTTTTTTTTGAAAACAAAACAAAAAAAAAGATCATAAAATTGAAAATGACAATTCAATGGGCCACCACCACCACCACCACCACTTGTCATTCTATTTTTTTTTTCATTTCATTTCATTTTATTATGTACCACATCAAAAGAAAAATTGGTGCATACACATTTTATGAACAAATTGATGATTCGAATGAAAAAAAAACGTGTGGATTTTTTTTTTTTTTTTTTTGCTGACAACAACAAACAATCAAGCAATCGAAATATTCATTTTTCGTTTCAATTCATTTCCCCATCTACGAAAAAAACGAAAAAATTCTTATTCAATTCAATCAGCAGCAGCAACAAAACAAGGAAAAAAAACCACCGAAATTATTCTCTTCATCAAATGTGTAAAGGAAATAAACAAAAAATCTAATCAAAAAAAAAAAAAAAAAAAAAAGGATGACAACAACAAAAAAGAAGAAACAGAAACATGTATTCTGTAAACGTGTATTCAATATTAATATACACAAAACAAAACAAAAAATTGAATGGTATATAATATTGAATTATAGTAATTGATTTGGATTCATTTTCATCTTCATCTTCATTTTCTTTGATTTAGCTGGCCATTGAAAAAGACATTTTTTTCACAATTTATTTCTTCTAGTTATTCTTATTTTGATTCTCGAGAAAAAAAATTCCTGATTCTCGAATATCTCTGATAGAGAGAGAGAGAGAGAGAGAGCGAAAGTTTAAATTCTTATTGAATGAATAATTTAGCAATTTATTTAATAACAACAAAAAAAAATGAATGAAGAAAAACGCTCAAAACACATGAATAATAATGAGTTTTGGTTTTTCGGACAACAACAACAACAACAACAACCATCATCATCATCAGAATGAGAGACAAAAAAAATGTCAAGGATTTTTGTCCTACCTCGGTGATCTAGGAAATGTCAACAAGGCTATCGATTTTTTTTTTTGTTTGTTGCACTCACTCCTATTTTTCGTTTGTCAAATGAATTAATTACCAAAATTGTCTTATGGTTGTTGTTTCTCGTCTTTTCTTGTATATATAAATGGCCAAGTTTTCCACCAATCACACACACACATTTTCATTGAATTTCATTATTCAAGTTCACAAAAAAAAAAAAATGAAAGGCCATGAATTTCATTGCAAATTTTGCAGAAAATAAATAAATAAATAAAATGTTCCCGGTTCCAAACATTTTGACACTTTGAATCTAATTTTTTTTGTGTGTGTGTGTGTGTGTATGTGACCATGCATTCAATGATTGGAATGATTTGGAATATTTTGTCTCTTCATAATAAATAAAGAACTTTTATCGACCAAATTCGAATTTTTTTCCTCTTCTTCTGTTGGACCATATTTTATATATAGCCCTAAAAGAATAAAGAAATCTTTTTCAATGTAGAAAAAAAAGAAGATAAATCATTCGACAATGAATCGAAATTGGATGTTCAATTCAATTATGGATCGTTTTTTTTCTTTCGTTTGTTTATTATTTGGTCCATTTCAATGTGCGTGTGTGTGTGTGTGTGTGTGTGTGTGTGTGTTCATTCATCTAATTCATCTTTGCTGATATTTTGAATGAATTTTGTTTCGTTTTTTTTGCCCAAAACACCCACAAACAAACCGGCCAGAATTTTTTTTTTTTTTTGCGTGTTTTAGTCCATTTATATCACTATATGATCATACTGGAACCTTGATAAACGACTACGAATGAGCACGAAAACAAAAAAAAAACTGAAATAATGATTACTATATTAGCAAACCATGAGTATATATGGATACCTAAAGTTTTCCATAATTTAAAAACTACCGTAGACCATCAAAGTGAAAAAACGTTCATTTTAATTAATAATAACCATCGTAAATATCATTATTATATCATGGAAAGTAAAAAAAAAAAAAAATTCTTTTTCACAGAAATTCCATAGAATCTCAAAGGGAGAGAGAGAAAAAATTGTTAACTAGATTCTTTTGAATCATGAAAAATAGATGAATTCTGAAACTAGTGAAATAGAGAGAGAGAGACTGAAACTGTGAACGGCCCATAAACAATGAAAGGTAGCAACAGTAGCAGCAACAACAGCAACAAAAAACAATTAAAAACGGATCAATTTTCAATCATTCATCTCCGGTAATGAATGAATGATTTTTGTGAATATAATATAATCAAATTAAATGACAAAAAACAATAAAATGCGATGGATAGAAATTTGTTTGTTTGTTTTGTTTTGTTTTATTGTCACTCACTTTGATTCGTGTTAAAAGTTTCCATTAGAATTGATTGTGGATGTTGATTTTTCCATTGAAAATGACGATGACGATGACAATGATGATGATGATGATGATGATAGTGGCAATATTGATTTGCATATTTTGGCTGTTGTTGTTGTTGTTGTAACGTAAATAAACCTAATGAACACTTTGAAATTGATGATGATAATGATGATTGACATTTATTCAATACGGTTGCACGAATCCAATTATTCGTTGTAATTGTTGTTCGACGTAAATAAATGGACAACATTTTTTTTGTTTTGTTTTGTTTTGTTTTATAGATGAGAACAAAAACAAAAGAGAACCAGAAAAAAAACAAATTAAATGCCTGGCAAAGATTTTTATTTTTCTTCTTTCTTCCAATTTCACTCACTTATTTACTATCAACAATATCGATGAGGTCAGAAAAGACACAATTTATGGCAGACGCCTTCATCATCATCATCATCATCATTGATGATGATGATGATGATTAGTGGATTATCAATAACAGGATTTTCTTCACCATTCATTCATTCGTTTTATGAATATTATACATTTGCTCGCATTATTATATACATTAAGATGATGATGATCACATCAAGTTTCGAATGAAAATATACAACACACACACACACAGCACAGTGTGTGTATGGCTCACATATCATCAAATCGAATGATAACATCCATCTCTCTCTCTCTTCTTCATCATCATTCAAGGTGAACATCATTCGATGATCATCATCATCATCATCGAATGTATTACATGATTATTGATTGATCAACAAAAAAAAGAGAGCAAAGATTTTTTTTTTTGAATTTTATTTCATCAATTTGTTTGTTTTGGGAAATAATAAATTTTGGAAAAAAAATTTGACAATTCAACATAAATAATAATAATAATAATAATTGATTGATTGTATACAATAATCAAAAGGTAATGATGAGAGAGAGAGAGAGAGAGAGAAAACACAGGTTTCGAGGAGAGAGTGTTTATTGATTTCAGTTGTCGTTGTTGTTGTTGTTGGAAAAATTTTGGATTTTTTTTCGATTGAAAAAAACTGAATGGATGTGAAAAAGGAGTATTATCATCAATCAGTCAGTCAGTGAGTCAGTAGTAATGGTTTTTTTTCTCAAAGTGATACCTATATAGAATTGAAAGAACGTCAAGAATTTCCGTTGAATTAAACGAAAAAAAAAGAAAATTCAGATTGGTAGGTGATACAATAATCATCATCATTATCCAAATAAAAATCCGTTTTTATATGGATTACAAAATAGTCAAAAATAGGGAAAACAAAAATTGCATGGGCAAAAATCGTATACATTGAACAAACAACAGCACACAACAAATCAAATGTAGTAAAATGATAAGATTTTTGTTTCGTTTTGTTTTGTTTTGTTTTGTTTTGCAGAATAATGTGTGTGTGTGTGTGTGTGTGTGTGTATGTATGTTTTAAAAACAAACAGACAAACAATTATAAGATAAACAAACGGGTTAAGATATAATAAAATCATATGACAGGCCAATAAAGTAAATGTCAATCAATCAATCGATATCTTCATCATCATCATCATCATCATCATTGTGTTGAATATTTCTTTGTTGTTTGAATTTATTACTACGTGATTTAGCCAATTGTTTAGTTGTAGTTGTTTTTGGTGTATTCAAACCAATTGATGTGGATGATAATTGTGAATTGATTTGGCCAACACCTCGATTCAATAATCGTAATAATTTATTCTCTTCTTCATTGTGTTCATGTTTATGATTCTTGGACTTATCATGATCATCATCATATTTGATTTTATCTGAACCAGAATCGGATGATGATGATCGATCCAAAATGAGTGATTGTTTATTGCTAACATTTTCCACCTTTATAATTGGTCGATCGGCCATCATCATTGTTGATGAAGTAGATGCAACATTATTTTTACAATCCGATACAGATCGAGCTAAATTTTCACGTTTCGATTTTGATAATACGATTATTCGTGATGGTGATCCTGATTTATTATCATTAGCCGATTCATTTGTGTTCCCGGTTGGTGTGGTTGCTGGCGAATAACTATTAGGTGGCTGTTCAGTAGATAAACCTAATAGTAGTTTCGAATAATTTACCATAGATTGATCCATCGATACAGATTTTGGTCTTGTTTGTATGGAAATTCGCTGTTGTTGTTGGCTATTACTATCGATGGTAGTCGAATGAGCTAATGGCACTAATCGATAAATTTTTTTCGTTGATGATTGTGGTGCAACCACATTCGGAAATGCCAATGGTGATGGAGATCTTGAAGTTGGTGAAGTTGATGATGCCAACAGATGACCAGTAGCTGGATTGGTTGCCGATTGAACTGGAGAACCACCACCTCCGTTCGATCGAGCTAACGGTGACAATGGTATATGACCACAAGATTTACGACGTGGTGAACGGAATGGTTTTAATTTATATTTGAGGCCATCCAAACTCGATGGACGTGATGATGATGATGACACAGATGATAATGCAGGTGAATTTGGCACCGAATTCGATGGCGATGAATCAACTGATGAATTACCAGTCAGATTTGATGAATCTGAATGAAAACTTTGTGTCAGACGTTCATTCAGCGATCTTTGTCCAACAACGGTCAATGTATTCTTGGATGAACCAGAAGTAGCCAAAATAGGATTAGTAGGGCAATCGCTACCCTTAGGAAATGATTGAAAACTTCGACTAGGCGTCAACGTCGAAGGACTGTTGACCTGTAATACTTTGGCTGATTGTGATAATGGTGATGTAGGTGGTGTGGATAGTGAATGTTGTCTATTCTGGGTCATTAATTGATGAATATCGGCACTGACCCGTTTTGAACTAAGTCGCCGTAACAAGCTCGATCGTTTTCGTTTATCAGAATCACTACGTTTGATACTGGCTTTGACATTACGATGCAATTTGTTCATCTGAGAAGTTTGTAATGGTCTTTTAGCCATTCGACTAGTACTTGGATTACGACGACGGCCACCAGTTTTGATGGTCGTATTCTCTAAAGGCGTTGTTCGGATGTTAATGACATCACCACCCGAAAACATTAATTTCAACACCTAGATTTAAATGAATGAATGGTAAAAAAATAGTTCGAAATATACAGTGTTAAGGATCATACCTGATGATGAAGAAGACCTTGAATTGGTTCTCCATTAATGTGTGTGATCAGATCACCAGGACGAAGACCTGCCTCAAAAGCTGGACTATTATTATGAACTGAATGTACCAGATGATGAACGGTGTAAATGTCAGATTCACCATGATAAACTCGAATGGCCTTTAATTGAAAACCGAATCCACCGGGACTTTTTCTTAGGATAATAGGCGGTTTAAGCGATAATGATGAATTAATTTCACGATTAGGTGACGCATCCCGTGAACTGTTATTTGAACCACCTGATGAAATGCTCATTGCTTTTTGATGATCATCAGCCGGTATAATCAACGAAAGACCTGATGCTGAAGCGGATTTAATCACAGACCGTGATGACGATGGTCGCGATGAACATGAAGATGATGCTGGGGGCTGTTTGGTAGCTATTGTGGGTGATAATTGTACGACAATCTTCGTACCATTGTTTGATGATGATGATGGTACAAATAATGGCGGCGAATCAGCCGATGATCCACTTTCCGATGGTTGATTATGATACAACGTTTCAACGAGATCCGAATTTCCACTAATAGATTGGCCATCAGTTTTTCTAGAATCACCTGTATCAGAATCCATACTGAAAGAAAATTTTGGCAACATAAATTGATTCATTGTTTTTGGTGGTAATTTCGGTACAATTGTTGTTGTTTTCATTGCCTGATCAATGGCTAAACCGGATGATGGTGATGTTAACGTTGGTGATGATGATGATGTTGAGTCTTTCGATTGAGCTCTAGTGAAAGAGCTGCTAGTTGTTGTTGTTGTTGTTGTTGTCGTTTTATATTTTTGACTATTATTGCTTGTATTCAATGTTGATGATGATGATGATAATGTGGATGATATTTTCGGAGTACTATGAGCATTAGGAATTTTGAGTATTGGATCAACAACAGAAGCAGTAGGAGTAGCTCCTGTACCACTGTTGCCTTTTGAAGAATGAGTTGATGGATTCATGGATGATGCATGACTGTTATTTGAATCCGTTGTATGAATATTGCTAATTGTTTCCGATGCTGGTGGCGACGGCGATAACGGTGCTTTCAATGTAATCAAACGATCTTCGGTGACCGATAATGAACGTGAGATCAATAATTCTGGCCTAGAAATTTGATTTGTCGATGATGATGATGATGATGAGGAAGAGGTGGTGGTGGTGGTGTTGGTAGCAGTAGTGACCAGCGCTGTCGCTGCCAAGTTTAAAGGAGCGAGGGAATTTTCCGAACAAGTGGTTGTCGGTGTTGTAAGACTAGCGGTAACATCTTTTAATGATGATGAAGAATTGGATGGCCGTAATAGTGATGAAACGCCACCATCAGAAGAATCACCAGAATTCTCTTTGTGGATATCCACACGACTATAAACACGATGATATCGTGGTGAACATGATGAAAATGAACCAAACAATGAACTATCGTCCGTATCATGATCATCGGAATCATCAACTTCATGATTGTAACGATCTAAACGTGTATCAAAATAACTGGTATCATCTTCGCTTTCCAATTGTGGAACAAATTCGGCTTTCTGTCTCAACAAAGAATTCCAATCGATTTCATCGAAAAAAGGATGACACTTGACTTCTTGTGCGCCACCTGCACCCAATCGATCTAATGGATCATGTTCAAGCAATCGTGTAATAATATCTTTGGATTCATCGGTAAGTGGCCAATCTTCTTCATCGGGCCATTCAATACTGTCATTGATCACATGAGCGAATAGTTCTTCAGGTGTTTCACCAAAGAACGGTACACAACCAATTAGGAATTCGTAAAGTATGACGCCAAGGGACCACCAATCAACAGTTTTGGCATAGCCTTGACGAAGAATCACTTCAGGTGCCAGATATTCTGGTGTGCCATATACTTGTTTATCAGTAAATTGTTGTGATTCTCGATCATAATAGCCTTCGGACAATGACGTTGCCAAGTTCATAAGACCCATTTTGGATAGGCCAAAATCTGTCAATTTGATATGTCCCAGAGCAGTGATTAAAAGATTATCGGGCTTTAAATCACGATGAACAATGCCGAATATGTGTAAATATTCGACAGCTAATACCGTTTCGGCGAAATATAAACGTGCCAAATCCAATGGGAATGGACCAATATTTTTGAGTAATGTGGCACAATCACCACCTTCCACATATTCCATTACCATACAAAGATATTTTTTTGTTTCAAAACTACAAAACATGCTCACGACAAATGGATTGTCGGTAAAACTCATGATATCACGTTCGGCAAATACTTGTTCCACCTGATTACGCATAATGAGATTTTGTTTGCTAATCTTTTTCATGGCAAAACGTTGCCTTGTTTCGGTATGACGAACCAAATATACGGCTCCATATGCACCATTGCTGATCAATTTTATTATTTCGAAATCATCTTCTGATGGTGGTTTCGATACCTCTTGTTCGAATGTTGATTCGATATTCGATTTTCGTCTTGAATGATGTTGATCCAACTCTTTAGTCTCATCAACATCTTCCAATTCTTTATCAACCGATTTATCACTTGAGAATAAACTTTTATCGACTGTTGGCGATAACGGTATGTCGGATAATGGATCTTGGTTTAGACCAAGTTTACTAATTATATATTGAGGTATCGATGTTTTCATCGTTTGACTAAAAGATTTGGCTTCACCTTCAGCCATCTCCAAATACCGATAAAATTCTTCCGGATCAAATTCCAAACATTCAAGAAGACGAGCTGGACGCGAAACAATGACTAATAGTTTACGTATCAATATGCATAAATGTTTGGCCGATGTGGGAGATTTTTCACGACACTATCAATAAGAATGGACAAAAAAATTAATAAAAAAAAACCTGACATTCAAACAACAGACACTTACATCGAGCAAAAGTTTTTCCAAATTTTCGTACATTTCGTAAAAATATTGCGTTGTAATAAGTTTATCTTTTGATTTTTGTACACAATCTTTGGCCAGACCAACAACTTGATGATGAGCGAAACGGAACACGGCATCCGAGGCAATGTCATGATCGAATTCGGCTTTAAGTTGTTCATCGATGAAACGTTGCAGTTTTTCTTCCATTTGTTGTGTAGCTTTCGGAAATCGTTCTTTGTAGATACTGTTGACAAGCACCTTTTCATCATCACCAGTAGGAGATCGAATCGGACTACTAAGGCTACGAGATCTTGGCCTTAGAATTGTTGGCCGACAAATGACCGTATTCTGTACGGTATCATCTTCTTGTCCACTATTACTATCATTAGATGAACAGAAAGATGAACTTTTCTCTGATGAACCAGCTGTAGTAAATTTGTTTAATGGATAATGATGACCAGCAGGAACAACTTGTAATTGAGAACCAGTACCATTATTGGCTGAATTAACATTTAAATGATTGGAACCACCACCACCACCATTGTTGTTATTATTGGAATGTGAAACACCGCCATGTTGATGATTATGATTATGCATTAAAGCATGATGATAATGAGGTGAATGGCTACTAATCGATGAATGTTCATCATGTAATGATGTCAAATGGCACATCTGATGAATCTTTTCTTGTGATGAACATTGTGACTAGATATGGATAGATAACGAAATTAATTCCATTTGTAAATGTAGCCGGAAAAAAGCGATCTTACCGAAACACTTGAACTTCCAGGTGTATTTGTACCATAACCACTAGATGGTAACGATGCTACTGACCATCTACGACCACCTTCGAGCATATTTTTCTTTACATTATTAACATTGGAAGAAACAAAGGAAAAATGATTGAATGGTGACATGTTTCGTGGACTATCAATAGGACTATCTAAACTCGAAGAAAAAAAAAAGACAAATATGGAATGGAAAAAAAATTATTGAGCAATGAAAATATTTGAATTTAAGAAATTCCATTCATACTTTGCTGAGGTAATGGAGATCTGGGCATTGTAGGCGATGTACTTGATTGTAGAAAACTTTTTCTTGATGTTGAACATCGTCTTATGGATGAAAAACAAAACAAAAAAAAATGGACAATTAAAATGATGTCAAAAAAAACAACAACAACAATATATGCTTACTGTATCCGGCGAGGACAGCAACCAGAATTGAAACCACCACCACCGCCACCACCTATACCGGCAGCCATAGCAGCATGATGTGATGATAACGACAACGATGATGTTGATGATCCTTCTTTCTGTTTGATACAAGAAATATTTTGATTATTACCATTATCATTAGTTGGGTAATAATGAAAATAATTGTACATTTCACAGACAAACAAACAAAAAATGTTAATTTTTTTCTGTGTTGGTATCCTGTGTTTCTGTTGTCAATGTGTGTGTGTGTGTGTGTGTGTGTCTAATAATTTAAATAAACAGGATGTTTTTCATTCAACAAAATTTGATTGAAATGAACAACAACAACAACAACAAAAATGTGACGAAGAAGAATTCAATTCAATCAATCAGAATAGCGCGACACAAATTTGTCGACTTTGACAATCTGAATCAGAATGATTGAATGATTGAATGAATGATTTTGGCTTGAAAAACATTTTTTTTTTCGTTCTCTCATCAACTAAAACACATCAATTCAATTCAACATCCTGGCATTATAATTTCAAATTTGATTGTGTGCCTCTATCAACAACAACAACAACAACAATCATCTCTCTCTCTCAATTCTCTATCTAAACGAATTGATATAACCGAATTTTTCGAATAAAAAAAAACACACACACACACACATGACTCGACATATAAGCATATTATGGCTTTTTGGATGGCTGACTGGTTTGATGATGATGATGATGATCGTGTTTATGCATTATAAAAAAAAAATAAAACAGTAACATCATGAAGAGATGATGATGATGATAATGTGTTCATTTAGTAGTGTTTTTTTATATCTGGATTCGTTTTTTTATAAAAAAGAAAAGTTTTTTTAAAAAAGAAACAAAATTCTGTATACACCATATGTCTGTATGTAAAAATGGTATATATTTAGTTGGCTGAATGCAAAGCAAAAAAAACTGAACAAAGTATAAATTGCATATATATAGATGTATAAACCACCAACAACCAAAATCAATTCAAAGGAATATAAACATCATCATCATCATTGACAACAAAAAAAAACAAGGACCAATTAGCTGGTAAAAAGAGAGAGAAAAAAAATTCTCGAAAAACACATATCATGATGATCATCATCATCATCATGTTTTTATTGTGGACCAATTCAATTGTTTGGTAAATAGTCGGCCATTTGAAGAATGAAATTGATAAAACAGAAACAAAAAAAAAAAAGTTCTGAATGGTTCCGTATGGCCACCGTCAAATGAATGGACATTATCATCACCATCATCCATTTTGTTTTTTTTTCTGATTCGTTTGTTTTTTTTTTTTCTTTTTTGTTTTCAATTTGTTTTTTTTTGAATAAAACATTAATTTTTCAACATAATCAATGTACACAAACACACAAAATCAAACAAACAGTCAAATAGTCAAATATAACAAGGAATCATCAAGGAATGAAAATGATTCCATGATCATTGTTGTTGTTGTTGTTGTTGTTATTTTTCAAATGGAAATCAAATGAATCTCCAGAATTTCCCAGGAGAGAAAAATAGAGAAAAAACCATATAGACAAATATTTCAACCAATTTTAGATCAAATCAAACTGATTGGGATTGATAATTTGGCCCTTCATAAACAGAGTATATGAGAATAAATTGGAAAAAAGAACAAAAAAAAACATTACCATCATCATCATTGGATGTCAATCATTTTCATTTCCATACAATCAGAATAATGAATAATGAAAAAACAAACCAGAATTAAAGAATCAGAATATATAATTCTGGTTTTTTTCTCTCTCCTATTTGCGTTCTAATTGCTTAAAAAGATAAAAAGCTTTAGCTATGTTTTATATATACTTCTATCTATATTCTACATGTCATGTTTACATAGAAAAATTTGCCATAAATATCTGCAAAGTTTGTTTTACAAAAAAAAAAAAAATTGATGATGAAGATGAAATTGAATAAATTAGCCAAATTAAAGTGATGATGAATTTTTATATACTTGTGCGCATGCATGTGTTTTTTTTGTTTTTTTTTTTCTATACTTACCATTGCCAATGATAATGATGGTGCCGATTGACCACGTAATGAATTACGAATTCGTACCAAATTTGTTGTTGCTGTCGATGATGATGATGATGATGATAGGCCACCACCACCAACACCAAAATTTGAATCATTTAATGAATCTGTACAAACAAACAAAAAAAACGGTAAATGAAAAGATTAATTATTACATAATTATAAACAAAAATCAACAGTAGTTGAATATTGAGAATTCAAACATTGAAAACAAACCAACAACAACAACAACAAATGCCAAATGTGTGAAATTATTCATTCAGAATTCTTACAGAATTCATTATCATCATCATGATCATCATCATCATCATAAAAATTTGAATGACAAACCGCCGGTCATAGATCACACAAACAATCATCTGTATTCATTGAAAATGGTGGCAAAAAAAAACCAAAACAAAGAAAAAAACTTGTACTTGGTTGTTGGTGGCCATTTTATATATAATTGCCCATTGGTATATGATGATTATGATGATGATAATTCATTCGTCTATAAACTATCAACAGTTTCAATGTAATGCATTGAGATTATATGTCATATATAAAATGGAAAAAGACAGACAAGAGACAAACAGACAAATAAAATGAAATGAAATTGATTTTCTTCAAACACAAAAATAAAAATACACAACAATCAAAGTTTTGAACAGTTTTTTTTGGTCAATGCGTGATCATCAACCATTATCATTATCAATGATGATGATGATGATTGTGGCCACGAAAAACAGCATCTACTTGTCAAAAAAATAAAATAAAATAAAACTGTCAACTGTGTGTGTGTGTGTTGGTTCATCATTATCATGATGATGAACATTGAAAATAGAAAACAAAAGAATAAAAAAAAAATTCTTGAAACGAGCATGTGCATTCTGTACTTTTTTTTTGGCTAAGCAAAACAAAGTAATTTCAAGTACAGACAGGAAATCAAACACACACACACACACACACACAGAGACAATCATTGAAACAAAAACAGTAGCAGTTTGTTTTTTAAACAAACAAAAAAAATCAACAACAACAAACAACAATAACAACAACAAACAACAACAACAGGAATAACCAAAAAAAACAATACATACTATAATACATGGCCATTGTAAATGTTTCAATAAAACGATTATAATAAAAATCCAAATGATCAATACTGCCCATGATGATTGGTTAATTGATTAATTGATTGATTGATTTGGAAAATAAAAATTCACAATTGCTATCTGATCAAATGAATGAATGATGATAAAAACAAACAAAGTAAAAAAAAAAAACAAAACACTGATGAATAAAATGATGCTATTCAACAGCATTATATATATAGTAACAAACAAACCAAAAAAAAATTTAGAATCATCATCATCATCATGATGATTATTAAAAGTAATTTTATATGCATACACAAATCACATCAATGAATGAATGAATGAATGAATGAATGGATGAAAGTTGATAAAAAAAAAACAGTCGACAAATTTCATTAGTCCGTTGTTGTTGTGGCCAAAAAAAAAAATCTGACAGATAAAATGGAAGCCACAATATAAAATCAGACTACTACCGGCTACAATCATTATCATAATCATTCATATATTATAAAATATATGAATGATGATAAGATAAGATTTGTGTCATCATCATCAACAACAACAACAATATCAAATAAAAATGGTTTTTTTTCTTTCTCTCTCTCTCTCTTTGGTTGTTATTGATCCGAAATTAGAGATTGATTGATTGATTAATATCAAATATTAATAAATATACGTGTCTGTGTGTGTGTCCGTGTAATATGCGTGATGATTGCGTTTCATTATTAAATGTTTATATCAGAAGTAAAGAAAATGAAAAACCAAAATCATCAAACGGAAAAAAAAATTATTTCATTCATCAAGTACACATGCATACGGTTAATGTGTGAATAACATTGATAACGATAATGATGATGATGATGATGATGAACAAAATACAATATATAAAAAAAAGACATATATAGGTATAGAATTGCAAATAATAAATAACGACAACAACAACAACAAATATATAGATCATTATCGAAAAAGTTCTTTGTAGTTTATCATCATCATCATCATCATCATCATTGGTGTCGGTGGTGGCCATACCAAATTAAGAATGATGATGATGATAATAAAAATCTTGATATTTACCGACCAAAAATACTAATAATAATTGATTGTTTCTATGGAATCACATCATCATCATGTGCATTTTTATTACATCTCTCTCTCTCTCTCTCTCTCTCTCTCTCTCTCTCTCTAGCTAACCAATGGCTAGTTTCACACACATACAAACAAACCATATATATTAATATTTTCTAATCAATCTCTCACTATGGTCAATGATGAATAATTTAATATAAAAAAAAAATGAATGTAAAGAATATTTTCAGTGAAAATAGATGGACACATCCTATTCCTAATTCGCTTGTCCTATTCATTACGTTTTATCCGATTCACACTCAACAAGTTCATTAGTACAAAAAAAATTAAAACAATAAAAAAAATGAACCAAAATTTTTTAAATTTATGTTTTTATATGTATGTGTGTATGTATAACATGTGACCAAACCTAACCGGCCGAGTGTAACGCTCCGTGTATGGAAAAAAAAACATAAAGCTTGTGCCCATGGAACACAACTCTGGGGCTCCTGTATATATATATAATATACAGTGGTCGTAAATCTTTTTTTTTTTTTTTTTCAAATTAAGAATTTATTATATGGTCTCTTCTGTTGTTCATGACCAATTTCATATGTATAGAAAGATAATGAGATTTTTTTTTGTTTTGTTTACTGGTTACCATGAATAATAACCACATATAAATTGTAATGATAAGAAGAAGAAGTAATCATCGTCAAATAAAAAGAAAGAAAAAAAACTTTATGATGAATGACAATTTGGCAATCAAAAGAAATAAAAAAAAATTTACACAAATGGAAAACAACCAAACCAAGAAGAAGAAAAAAAAGTTAATCCATAATAAACACACAATAAATAATCGAACCTTTGTATCCTAAACCATGTGTGTACGTGTGTGTGTGTGTGATAAACAAAACTTTTATTAAACTGATCATCGATAATCACATTTGTGGCTGCTACTACCACACTGCAATCATCATCATATCGAATTCAATTCAAAAAAAAAAATAATTTGTCAATATACAGCCAATATTTTCATCAATCAACTAATATAATATTCGTTCAGGTTATTTTTTTTTGTCAATGGAAAAGACAAGAAAAAAAAATGTAGATGATTATTCTCATCATCATCATTCTAATGATGATAATGATACGTAGAGCCAAATAAAAGATCTACAGATGTTTCTGCGTATGTGTGTGTGTGTGTCACAACCATATCCACCAACCATATGCCAAAACATATCATACACATTATTATATCGAATGTTTTTTTTTTCTCTGCGATTTCAGGTTTCGCATCTGTGATTCTAGAGTTTTTATTTTATTTTGCATTTTTTTTTCTCACAAAACACCATGTTCTCATTACCATTTTTTCTATAAATTGATACAGAAAAAAAAGTGAAAAAATTCAACGATGCAAACACAATGATCAACCATTGATTTCATTCATTATAGTCATCGTCGTCATCGTCGTCATCGTCACATTCATTGCATAATTCATTCATCAACACACATTATACAGTCGAATTCTTTTCCATAAAAAAAACTTCGTTTTACAAAACAACAACAACAACAACAACCATAACAAACAAACAATTAATGATCGACATTATGTGTCTATGTCTGTGTGTGTGTGTGTGTAAGGAAATGGATGATTTTCAAGCCAAAATTTAGACAAAACAAAAAAACAAATGTTGCCTTGCATATGTGGCTTTGGCCTCGAACTTGGAATAAAGACAAAAAAAAGAAGAAAAGAATTCATCATCCAGAAAAAAAACAGTGTATGTGAAAAATAGAAAAACATCGATCAATATACACTTACTTGGATTTGCATATAATAACATATTGTTTAGGCCAGAACCAGAACCAATGTTATTAATATGTGATGGAAAATGCATTGCAGCTATACTTTCACGACGACGACGATACATTTCTGATGGTGTAGATGTAATAATACCACCACCACCACCACCACCACCACCAAAAGAATTGCCCATATTATTTATCGATGTTGATCCACCACCACCACCACCGGATTGTCCAATCATCACAGTATTGGACATTTGTCTTGCAAAATTGGCACGTGCACGAACACGTTGCATATGTGTAGATACATAATTAAGATCATCCATATTCCAAAGATGATGACCATGATGGCCATGATAATGATGATGATTATGATGATGATTATGACCAACACCACCACCACCACCACCACTACAACCATCACCCCCACTATTATTATTATTTCCAATTGATAATTCTTTATGCAAAGGATGATTACCACCACCAGATGATCCAGGAGAAGTGGATGCCGTTGTAGTTGTACATGAATCAATAGTGGTAGTATGAGATCTTAAACGTAAAAGATTTACATTTGTTATCGTTACAGGTGTTGATTCTGATTGTTGTTTTTGTTGTTGAGATTTTGATGACAATGTTTTTGGTATCTGTTGGTCGGACATTGTTTTTTTTTTTTTGGATTTTATTGTTGTTTCTATTTCGGATAATCAAAATGATGATGATGATGATGATGATGATGATGATGACCGATTGTATTATTTATTTATCACCAAATATGATCATCATTCATTCATTCATTCATTCATCCATCCAAATTACATTGAATCATCATGTTCACCAGATGATAAATACTATTCCATTATTGTTGATTCGATCAATATGGTTTTGGGCATTACAATTTTGTATATCAATATTTTTGCCAATCATCATTACAACATTGAATGAATTAATGAATGATGAATTGGTATTGTTGAGTAATAAATGAGGAACAATAAATTGAATACTGTAGTAGTAGTAGTAGTGTGGTGTTTAGATTCAATCAATCGGATTTTTTTGAACAATCCGATCGATTTATCAGCGAAAAAAAATACGAAACCAAATACAAATTGATTTCAAACAAAAGCCATTAATGAGTACAAAAGTTAAGAATATTTCATCATTATCATGATTTGATGTTGTTGTTGTCGTCGAATGATGATGATTATGAAACAGCAACAGCAACAGCAGCAGCAGCAATGTTTAGCTGATTGTTAGCCATACATGGAATGGTGGTAAAATTTTATATTTCTTGTGATGTAATTGACTATTGAAAAGCAACACAACAGTACTGAGTGGCTGAATTATATGATGGTCGATGATTATTTTATTTTATCCCCACACACACACACACACATTCAAATCATCAATGATTTTTATTTAGCGATCGATCCATTTACTGTGTGATATTTTTTTTTTTTTTTGCTGTTGTTTCAAATCATTTGACCTTTTACATATAAACATGTTTCTTCATCAATATTAAAGCTTAATCTAAAGCAATTCTTTGGAACAAAATATACGTCAAGTTTTTTTCCAGCTTTGTTGTTGTTGGTGATGATGATGATGATGGTAATGGGGGATTAGAATTTTGGAATTATTTTTGAATTCAATTGAATAGAATTTCAATCCATGATGATGATGATGATGATGATAATCGTCCATTATTATCAGAATCGAATATTAAAATCATGATGATGATGATGATGAATTGAAATTTTATTTTTAAAAAAATTTACACACAAACACTAGAGATAATTTGATTTGCTTTATCATCTACTATATTGTTGATTAGTTGGTTTTTGACAAAATGTTGTTGTTGTTGTTGTTGTTGTCAATTGGTCATTGGCGTTGCTTGTCTAATTTTTTTTCATTCATTCATTCATTCATTTCAAATGTCCAATTTTTTGTCAACCAAAACAAAATAATGATGATGATGATGATAATTATTATTCTAAAAACAAATAAACATCGATATTATTATTATCAACGATTATTTGGCAGGGGTAAACAGAATGGAGAAGAAGAAGAAGAATCCGGCGACACATATACACAACACAGACAACAGGAATCGTTTCGAATATACATATCAAAGTTAATCAAAAAAAAAAAAAATCGGGAAAAAAACGCTAGCTCGTGAGCCAAAAAAGAAAAATCCAATTGTTGTTGTTGTTGTTGTTGTTGTTGTTGTTGTAGCTGTCGTTTTCTGTGTATATATTGGTAACAAAAAAGAAAGAAAGAAAACGAAAACGAAAAGGAAAAAAAATAGTGATTTTTTTTCCCCCAACCACATTCAATAGCAAAAGTAAAATAAAACACAACTTGACGTCATTTATAATAGGATTCTATTGCCCAATATTATATATGATGATGATGATGAGGAATATATATAAAATAAATGCCGCAGTGATGATGCACTTTGGCTTTTTTATTTCATTTTATTTTTTTTTTTTGGTTGTTATACACAGCTCAAATTCAACCCAAAACAAATCTACACGGGCTATATATATATGTTTTTTGTTTTGTTTCTGCTAATACACACATATACAAATGACCTATACTACCATCTGGTGTTTATTTAATAAAAACAAATGTACAATTGACGGTTGATAGATGGCGTTGATGTATTATTTTTTTTTTAGAATGAAATGAGAATTGCAAAATAAAAAAAAAAAAAATTCGATTCGATTCGACAGTTTGTGTTGGTTAAATCAACGAATGAATAAAATTTTATTTTTGTTTTCTTCATCTGCCCATTTTTCATTTTTTAAGAAATTAATTTTGTAAATAATAATAATAATTAATAATCGGTCAATGTTTAAGTAGACGACAATAATAATAATAATAATCTTGGTTTGTGTACGTGTGTGATATATCTTGTATTTTGTACTCATAATCTCTTGTTATACAAAAAAAAATCAATCAATAAATCCATTGCCATTTCAATTAGTTATGTGATGAAAACGTAATAATAAATAAATAATATGTTGGTGATGGTGAGTGTATGATTGTAAATGTGTGACAAAGTGGATAGAGAGAGAGAGAGAAGAGTATAATTATAGAGTATAATTCATTATGTAATCTTATCTTATATAATAATTATGATGATGATGATGCACACACATCATGTGCAAGAAATTGATTTATATCACAAAAACAAATAAACAAAAAAATTGAAATGAAATAAAAGAAATTTCCATGTTTGTAATTTTCTTTTCTTATTATAATTAATCTCCAGGTGTATCTATAGGTTGACCAACACACCATGACCATTGATATCCATATTATTATGAGGAGGATAATGATGAAGAAAATGAAGAAAAGGAATTTGATGGTGATGAACGATGACGTCCACTGCTATTCGAACGATGATTATTTGTCCTATTATTATTACCACCATTACGATTATTCGATTTGGATTGAGGTTTTTTTGACCATCTGTTAGCAAAAAAGAAAAAAAATAGGCAACGGTTACTATTAATGTTATTCAATACAATCGATATTACCTTGAAGATTTATTGTTTGATTTTCGTGGTTCATTATCATTGAGATTTTTCATTTGTTTATCTTCATCATCTTGTTGTTCATTGTTGTCTTCATCTTCTTCTGGTTCGGTATCTTCAGAATTCATTTCATTATCTTTTGTTTCCACTTTTACATTGTCTTTAGCAGACTGATCAATGATGGTAGCTGTTTCATCCTCCGGTTCAGTTTCTTCTCCATCATCCTGTAATGGTTGGCTAGTTGCTTCCTCTTGTTTCATCTGTTCATCATTTTGTTTCGTTTGATTTTTATCATCACCATCATCATCATCATCATCATCATCTTGTGGGACAACCTTACGTGATGGTTTAACACTTTTACGTCGTCGAGATGATCCAACAGTGATTGATTGGGATAGTGTTTTATTCGATAATGATGTTACAGCAGCCATTGTCGATGTTGATGATTGTGATAGATTAAGAATCGATTCATTTATTTGATGATTATTTGATAGATTTAAGCTCGAACTTGTTGTTTCATCGCCACCACCACCATCATCATTATCATCATCATCATCAATGACATTATCATATTCATTATGTTTAGATTTATTTGAGCGACGATTTTTTGTTGTTAATAATTTCGTTGATGAATTCAATCTATTTAATTCGGCTATTGATAATTTTAAATTTGAAAGACTTCCATTTGTATTTGTATCGTTGTTGGTTAATGAATCACCAGCGGCAGCGGCAGTAGTTGTTGTTGTTGTTGTTGTTGTCGTCGTTGGACTATTGAATTGAAATGCAGCCAAAGCAGCCGATGATAATAATGATGACATGAATGATGATGCCTGAGATGAAGCTGTCAATTTATCATTGGCATTCGTATTGGTGGCCAACAATGGTGATTGTTGCTGCTGTTGCATCATCTGCATGATTGTCGTATCCGATGAATTATCTACACTGTTTATACCATTTTTAGGTTTTCGTTTTCTTTTCAATAATTCACGTCCACTACCATCGGAATGAAAACGTATAATATGATGGCGAAGATTACGTTTTTCGGAAAAACCACGGCCACAAGTTTTACATACACATGGTTTGAATCCAGTATGGACACGTTCATGTCGATGTACACTAAACACACGATCAAATGTTTTGTCACAAAATCGACATTTAAATTGACCGGGTGCCGTTTCTTCGATATCGCCTAATGAAAATTTTTGTATAGGTAAACTTTGACCAGCACCTTCGAATATATCTACAGGTTCTTTTATATGTCTAGATGATGTTGTCGATGACGAAGATGATGATGATGTCGATGATGAAGATCCATGATTCTTATTATTACTACTACGTGTTGATTTAGGTGATGAACATTTGTCATTTGATGTCGACGTGGTCAGCTCAGACAATGCTATCGATGTTGTTGTTGTTGTTGTTGTTGTTGATGATGATGATGATTTGCCACTTTTACTTGATTTTGAATGTTGATGCATAGCGGTGGCTACAGGATGTGGACTATTACCACCACCACTAATTGCTGCTGCATTTAACAATGTATGATGGTTCATCATATCAGGCACGATTCCCGAAAGATAAAGCAAAGAATTATTATTGTTATCCGATGACGAGGATGTCGTTGTTGAGCCATTATTGTTGGATGATGATTGTTTTGTCGATGATGAGGTGATAGCCGTAATCATCGATGGTATTATCGTTGGTGGTGGTGTATTTGAATGACAATTCGGATCACCACCACCAGTTGTCGCAATGGATGGTGGAAAATTATTATCACCACTATTGCCAACAATCGATAATAGAGCTTTGTCTTTGGTCAATGATGTCTGGCCACTAATATGATGGTGATGATGAGATCCATCCATTAGGCTAGCCGCAAATTTACGGCCAAAATCAGTGTTTTTCGATGCATTCGCTAGAATTTTACGAAAATCAACAACGGCTGGTTGATGTTGTTGTTGATTAGTTGATGGAATCGATATCGATAGACCAGTTGTCGACGATTTATTATTGGCCATAGCAGCATTACCATTCACCAGTGAATTCAACAATTGAAATTGTTGATATTGTTGATTGGCAGCAACGGCAGCCAATGTTGGATTATTGGAACCAGTAGCTGCAGCCATCTCTAATGTTCGATGTAGCTGACAATGTATTTCGAATTCCAATGTATCATTAAATTTAGCCAAACATTTATCACATTGTAAAGTGGTTGTGGTGGTGGTGATGGTGGTGGTCGACGATGATGTTGACGGCGATGGTGATGGTGATGGTGATGATAGTTTGATGCCAATCGATGGATCAGATATACCATCGATGCCGGTAGTTTTTGCCAACAAAGCGGCCATAGCAGCAGCAGCAGCAGCAGCATTTTCAGCTACTTTTTGTTGCTGTTCTTTTGTTCCTGTTGTGTTTGATGTAAGTAGATATTCAGCACCATTCATTGCCGGTATCATCATGATATGATGAATCTGTTGTACATGATTAGTAATCTGTTCCATCGAAGCAAATGCCACCGAACATAGACAACATTTATAGAATAATAATGGCTGTTCAGTTTGTACATTGATCGCATCCAATAATGAAACAAGAATTTTTTCCGATCTTATCTGTATAGGCGAATCGGCAGCCAGATTAGCTGGTGGTTTACAAAAAAATGAAACATCCGCTTGTGACCAATTGAATGATCGTGCCGTTGTTTGATTATGATTTTCATCCGTAATCAATGTCGGTGTTATCATTGATTTCAATTGATCAGCAATATTATTATTGTCAATTTGTGATTTGCACTTTTTATTATTAACACCAATATTTGTTGATGTTTGATTGGATTCCACTAGCGATTCATGTGATTGCGATGATGAACATTTGCGTTTCGATTTCAATGATGATGGCGATGGCTGTTCATTATTATGATGATCATTATTATTATTATTATTATCCATACATTTTGTACTAGCTGAATGATCAACATTTTTATTCGATGATTTCTTATTCAAATTTGTATTGTTGTTGTTTTCGTTATTTGAATTCGATTTAGAATTATTCTCCGATCCGGCCGTATTGTTTCCATTACTACTACTACTACTACTACCACCACCAGAATGATATGATTTTATATGAAAATTTAATGAATGTTCATATTTAAAACCTTTACCACAGGCAAAACAAACAAAAGGATGTTGCGTAAGATGTCGTATTAGATGAGCTTTTAAATCAACTTCGGTGGCAAATGTCTTGTGACAGGATGTACATGGAAATGCTGCTGTAGTCGTTGATGATAATGATGATGTTGATGATGACGAATGGCCATTGCTACCTTTAACGGTTATGGACTGTTGTTGTTGTTCATCATTGGCCATCGGATCATTTGTTATTGAATCCTGATCATTGGATTGTTGTTGTTGTTGTTGCTGTTGTTGTTGAGCTTGATGTGAAGATAATAGTTTACGTTTTTTAGTCATCATTTGTGATGTATTTGTTGTTCCTGTTCGTTCGGTTACACTACCAGATAATGTGGATTGTTGTTGTTGTACTGTGGTTAATATTGCACTTGATGATGATGATGATGATGATGATGAGTTGGATCCATTGATTTGTTGTGATGACGATTGTGATGATGATGATGATGATGGTTGGCTTTGGTTTAGTAGATTTTGCATCTGTAAAAATGGTAACCCATCTATTCACGTATATTCAGTTTTTGGTGATTAATGAAAAAAAATTATCATTAATTCATTAATAATTTTTTTTTTCACATAGCTTACAAGGATATAATTTTTGTCCAACATTAGTGGAACCAACAGCCGATTCTGGTAATTGAAAATGTGATAATAAATGTTGTTCATATTCAATTTGATCACGAGCTGTATGTCCACACATCAGACAGAATCGTTGTTCATCTCTTTGTGATGTATTTTTGCCTAATTTCGACGGTGATGATGAAGATGATGAAGTCGTTCTATTAAAAAAAAAAATTCAAATTCAAAATATAAGATAAAGATGTTTGCTGATTAAGTTTTAAAAAAGGCGACGATTATCACCACTAACTACTTACTCTTTAACCATTTGTGCAGAAATAGTAGCCAATAATTGACTGGCAGCATTGGCAAATGTTTGATCATTAGTTATTGCAGCATTATTGTTGGCCATTATCGATGCAAGTCCATTTGGTCCGGTCAAAAATTGTGATGCTTTAGTAGAATCCCAGAATCCAGCAGTATCCATTTGGATATTACTAGGATTGAAGTTTATTCCGTTGGCAGCAGATGTCGCTACCATAGCATAATTTTGTAATAATTGTGCTGCTGTTGCATTACTACCGGCGGCGGTTAATGATACAGATGATGATGATGATGATGGTGATGGTGATGTTGCAGACGATATAACATTTGTCGTCGAACCCATGGCTAAAGAATTCTGTGGTTGATGCTGAAGTTGTTGTTGTTGTTGATGATGTTTGAGGAATTGATGTAATAGAATTGGATGAAATGGAGATCCCGGTGTCGATGATGAAGAATCCAATGATATGATGGATCCATCAATCGATGTGGTTGTGGCAGATGGTGATGATGATGATGTTGTTGTTGTTGTTGTTGCTGCTGCTGCTGTTGCCGCTTTCTTTACATCCATCATTTTTTTATATATATTTTGTTTATCACACTAATAATAATAATGAGAACCGGTGGATTAAGATTTCAATCTATTAAATTGAACAGAATGATAATGATGGACGATTATATCGATATCATCGGAATGTTGAATTTTTTTTTCAGTGGGCCACATTAATGGAGATTTTTTTGTTTTGTTTTTGTTTTTGCTATGATAGAGAATAGATAAACAGAATACACATACACAGACAGAATCGATTAGAAAAAATTTTGTCTACTATTTACACACATGATGTGTATTTTTTATTTATAAATAAAGGATTCGATAACATTCGATCATCATCATCATCATCATAAATGGCAAACACAACAACAAAATTCAAAAAAAAAAAAAAAATTTCTGTTGTTATTGTTCGACTGTTGTAACCCCTAACTTGAATTGATGAAACTAACCAAACAAGATGATGATGATGATGATCGAATGATGATCAAGCTTGAAATGAAATGAAATGAACTAAATGAATATATAAAATGAAAGAAAAAAAAAATACAAGAAGGCCAAAAAACAAGAATTGAACGCGAGCACAAGACACATTCATACACACACACACACACACTGATGATGATGATGATGGTGGTGGTGTACACGGACTGTCACGATCATCGGTTTTTTTTATCGTTTTTTTTTCTTTTCGGTTTGGTTTGGTGATGAGATAGAACACGAGAAAAAGCAAGAGAGAAATCGAAAATTCGGTTATCCACTGCGTTTCTTTATATGTGTGTATGTGTGTGTGGTGGCGTGCATTTGAAAAAAATGTGTGCACACACACGCACATACGGAATTTCCTGGCTCCCAAATAATAATAATAATAAAAAACGAATTGATGATCTAGCGAAAGAATGAATGGCGAAAAAAAAACAGCAAGAAAAAAAACGCGTTATATCACGCGATTTTTATAGAAATGCAAGCACACACACACACAAACACCACCACATACATACATTGCAAAAACAACCCAAAAAGGATAGCCAAGTTGGAAGAAAAAAAAAATGCTAGGCTTTTTACACACACACACAAAAATACAGAGAATGAATTTTTTTTTTTTTCTGGAGCCAAAATGACGACATCCAACCAAATAACTAACTAACTAGCTAGCTAGCTAGCTAGCTGAGATAACCGACATGACAAAAACTAACTATAAAAATGTTGAATGATAGAGAAAGAGAGAGGTAGAGTGGACATTCGGACACTAAACAAAACCAAGTTAGTTGAATCGACAATATGAACACACACAGAACCAGAATTCAAAATATACAAGGCAATTCTGTGTGTGTGTGTGTGTGTGTGGACAGTGTGTGTTGTTATTTTTATATCACCCTTACCCCTTAAACATACTTCCATCCCCCCGATCCAAGTTACCATCATCATCATCATCATCATTGGTCCAGAAACGAAATGAAACAGCAGTAGCACAATGAGATGGGCACCATTAAAACATATTCTGGTACAATTCTCAATGTATGTGTGTGTATAAACGTTGAGAATCTGTATGTATGTGTGTGTGTGTGTGTGGACACCAAGAACACGAACCAGTTTTTTTTTCATTGATTCGTTTTTGGTTGCCTAGTCCAAAAACGTGCTGGCAGTCGCCTTTTTTTTCCTACACTATGTAGGTGCGTGCATTTTCTCTCTCTCTTTCTCTCTATTTCTATTTTTCGAATTCTTGTTGGACATACGACGGCGCACGTGCTTTCCATTTCATTCGGGTTGGGCGCGATCATTTTCTGGTTGGTTGTCCAAGTTAGAAAGAAAATCTAGAAAGAGAATCGACAATTCGAAATATAAAAACACGCGCACATTGAACAAGAATAAATGAGAAAAAAAAGGGAGAGAGAATGAAAATAGAATTGAATGAACCAACCAACAAAGAATAAAGTGTGTGTGTGTGTGTGGGTGTACAGTGTTACTTCGGTTAACAAATTGATCAAAAATTGAATTTAAAAAAAAATCGGAAATGTTAAATTTATTTAACGATGATAAATATTAAAAAAAAAATTCTGGATAAATTTGCCATCCTGTTGTTGTTCATGGATACTGAAATGACTGGTTACAACTTGTTACAGAAAATTGCTACCTGTATGATAGCAAATTGGATTCATTCATTGTTTTTGTTGTTGTTGTTGTTGTTGTCATTTTTCATTCATATTGAGCCAATATGATGAAAGATGTTATCGATTTTGTCTAAATAATTTTTTTTCTGGTTCGTGCGTGCATCTGTGTGTGTGTGTGTGTATGATAAATTTTTTTTCCAAAAAAACGTGCCGAATCATTTTATTCAATGATAATGATGATTCAATGAACAACCATTGGATTCGTCCTTCTTTTGTTTTCATAACCAAGAATTTTTCATACAATAACGATAAACTTATTGATGATGATGATGATGATGATGGCCAGCCAATACAAAAAAAAATTCCAGAAGAAGAAAAGAATAATACGCCTGTGCAACAACAACAACAGCAACATACAATTTAACACGTGCGCATCATATATCTATTTTCCTCAATGATGATGATGATGATGGCGATGGCGTCCAACATTAACAAACAAATAAAAAAAAAATGTTCACTGTCCAGTATTTCAGGTCTATCACAGACACACACACACACACACACACACACACAGTATTAACGAATAGAATAAGCAAAAATATTCTATGGATTCTATTCTCACAATTCATATTTTTGTGTGTGTGTGTGTGTGTGTGTGTAATATAATGGGCCCCATCGTTTTTTTGTTGTTGTTGTTGTTGTTGTCGCTAGAGAGAGAGAGGTACATGTATTTTTTCGATTCATATATTCGCCCGAAACACACACACACACGCTATATATAATAGCTATGATTCAGCATGATATACAAACACACACACACACACACATTGTATGTGTGATGATGGCAAAATATTAAGTGATGATGATGATGATGATGGTGATCTGAATTTCGATATATTTTCTATTCTCATTTTTCTCGATTCTTTATAGTTATTTCACAATACGCGTACGTAGTACGTGTCCTGTTGTGAAAGAACGGAAACACGAATTATTGTGTGTGTGTGTGTGTGTGTTGTATGTGCGTGTGCGTACGTACCTCTGCCCCGGAATCCGATTCCCCGGTGTCCATATCAATTGTGGAATATAAATTCAACCATATACTGGACTGACTGACTGACTGACCACCATTACTGATTATTTGGCTGGCTGTTTGTATGTGTGTATTTGTGCTGCACGCGTTTCTAACTACGTTTTTTTTTATATAACCCAACCATACATTAATAACTATAGAGCAATACGCACAAGACGCCACGCCAAGAATTTCTGGTTGTACAAATCCTTAAAATGAGTTATTCTCTCCACTATTGACTGGTTTTTATTTGTATACAAAATACACACACACACACACGCGCGCCACAAAATGAGTAACCAATGGTCACACACACACACACACACACTATGACTATGACTATTCCAATATATTAATGAACAAACACTTCCGGTTGCAATGGCAATATTCTCAAAAAAAAAAACAGATATGGCTGAATACTACTACCAGATACCAAGAACAAAAAAAGACAAATGTATATGGACAGTAAAGAATCGATTTGACGATATAAAAATTTCCATATAAATAATGTTTTTATAATCATATATAATATGTCGACCATTTTGTGACACTTTTTTCCCGTTAATTAACAGCAACAACAACAACAACAACAAATGTCCAGCATATTCTCGAGAATAATTTTCAACATTTGAAACAGAAAAAATCATCATTTACAATCAAACTAAATCAGAATGAATAAAACCAAATGATATAATGGACAATTTTCATCATTTATTCGGACAAATATAAAACAAGAAAAAAAAAAAACAACTTGTTTTTTGATCTTTTTCATGCATACACACACACAAATCAACTATGATCATCAACACCAGAAAAAAAAACACCACCCATTGTGAAAAAGTATTCTCTCTCTCTCTATCTCTGACTATCTCGTTTTCCACGTACTTATAAATGATGGCGCCTTGTGTATGTGAAGAACCATCTCATTTCAACAAATTTTCCATACCAAAATAAAATCCAATCAAACCCACCGACCGACCGACCGACCAACCAACCAACCAACCGAACGACCAAATGTTAAACATAGGTCGATGACTGGAAACCATTATGATGATGATGTTCATGAACGGGTTTTTTTTTTTGTTTTGTTTTTGTTTTGTTTTGCTATTCGTCTCCATACTCTCTCACACACACAGTGAGAAAAAAAAATGACGCCGAACATCATGATCATCATCATAGTCGTTGTTGAATGAATGAATGAACGAGAAATATGATTACGATTTTTTTTTACTCATTTCATTTTATTTCCAATCATCAACAAACATTGTAATGAGGGAACTACATACACATTATCATTGACGTACTATACACTAAATGACGACAATGTTGAGAGAATTAACCGAGAAAGGTCAACATTCACATTTTTCTCTCTAGCACTCCTGGGGTTGTAGGTTCATCATCATCATCATCATCGTACAGTAAGAAAAACTGGTCTCCCAACAATCATTCAATGATGAATCCATCATGTTTTGAGGATAACGAAAAAGAAAAAGAAGAAAAAAAGGTCGACAACGATGATGATGATGATGATGATGATGGCAAACCCTCGCTACACAATCATCAACGAATAAACAGCATTAGCGCGTGCTAGAATAGAATTTTAAAAAACACTTTACTTCCACAAGCAGAATTGAGCCGATTCGATATTTCCGTATGACAAAACGAGATACCAAAAAATTAAGAAAAAACATACGGCGTCGGCGTAGTTGTTATACGCCCCAGAATATTATTATTATATGTAAGATTCATTCATCCGACCAACAAAACTGGACATACATTATGTGTGCGTGTCCACTCCATGATGATGATGATGATGAAGAATCAAGTTTTGTATTCATGATGATGAACACACACACACACGTACATAGGCGCCACTTTGGGTTTTTTTTTGCCCACTATGGTCATTTCACAATGGTGATGGTGGTGTTTGTCCAAATAATGTTTTGGTTGGCCAACAAAATATTGTTGTAAGGCAAATAATAGAAATGCACGTGTGCAAAAAAAATTGACCAAACGTGTATATATAAGGTCACAAAACAATTTGAAAAAAAACGATAGATAGTGAGGTCAGATATATGTTAACGTGGCCATCAAGTACCAATAATGGTTAGAGATGGCAAAAAAAAACATAATTCGGCATTTAAGCTGACCCTAGGCTATTTATTGTGATTTTTTTTTTTGGACCATCGAACCCAAATGAAGTAGACAATCCTGACATACCACACAATACACACATTTTTTTTTATTTTAGTCAATTCAAATGTCCAGAAACAAAAAATATATAACCAAACGATGTCATTCATTCATTCATTCATTTGGTGGGTAGTGAGCTTAGCAAGCTATCTATATATATACGTATAAACTGGTGACATGAACCTGTCATAACGTGCACATTGAGTTTATGTGGTGCGTTCATAACCTGCTTCTGCTGCTGCAGGTTATTTTTTATGATGATGATGATGACATGACCAACCAACCAACCAACCAACCAACAAAAAAATTTTGCTTGGTTGGTTGTGAAACGTGGCAAATAATTCATGTCCATAGTTATGGATGATTCGACTACGTGTTTTTTTGTTGTTGTTTGACCGTGCACTTTTCTCTCTCTTTTTCTCTCATTCCACACACACACATACATTCCTATGGTCAGCTTGATGATTGTATACGTGTGTGTGTGTTATCAGGGGGGTGATTAGAATAGATAACCTGCATATGGGTTTTTTATTAGAGAAGAGAGAAAAAAAATAGAAAGAAACGAACAACCTGAATATAACAAACCAAGCACGCACACACACACATAGACATTTTTTTGAAGAAAAGAAAAAAAATCTCTATCCCATTATAACCGAAAAAAGCGGTTTTTGATATTTATGGTGAAAATTATTCACTTGTAAAAGGAAATGGAAGCATGCAACACACACAGACACACACACAACCATTGTATCACTGTTGATGTTTTTTTTAACCAAACCAGAAAAAAATCCGGACAACGAAAAAAAAAAATTAAAGTTCGTGCCAGGTTTATGCGTGTGTGTGTTTGTGTCCTAACAACCGATCATAATCATCATCACCATCAACATAATATATACAATCAGATAGTGAGAAAAAAAAATGAGAGAAAAGCAGCGGGTATTCAGAAAAAAAACAGCATTTATAACTCTTTGGTAAAAAAGACCAGGTGAGGATCTTTGGTTGTTGCTGGTGAAGATCAAAAAAAGGAGCTAGCCAACCAACCATTCATTTTTTTCAAAGCAAGGAAATGAAAGAATTTGGCCATTCTTTTGTTTTGATGATTATGATGATGATGCCAATTTGGTGTTGGCTGAAATAATAAAAAAAAACAAAACAAAATTCAATTGTATACACACTAACCTTGAGAAAAACATCGAAGAAACATAGCGATTATGACGAGAATCAATGAAAACATATATGGAAAAAAAAAAATGATAAATAAATAACAAGAAAAAATTTTTTTTTTCAATGGATGGATATTTCTGTGATATGTATTGATGATGATGATAATATGAAAAGAGCCGGTGATTTTTGTTGGTGGTGTTGGTGGTGGTGGTTTGGTTTGGTTTTTTTTCTTCTTTTTCTTCTTCAAAAAAAATCAAAATCATTTATCTGATTGATGATTACGATGAATACGTGCCAATCGGCAGCAGCAATAGCAATGCAAGTTGTCGTCGTTGTTGTTGTTGTTATTGTTTGTTGATGAATTTTATTTGTAAATTTTTTTTTTTTTTTTTTTTGGAAACAAATTATTCACTGTTGTAGGATTCGATGAATATTTTGTTGATTATGATGATGATGATTGCTACTTGATGATTTTTGTACAAAATCCATACATAACACACACACACACACACACGCCTTTACACAACAAAACAAGCAATCGACCAATAATCGTTGATGTAATTGAAATCATAAACGAATACCTGATGTTGATTGTATATTGCATGGGTCCCGAAATGGTCAAAAAATACCAAAAACACCAAACAAAAAACACACAAACAAAAACATTAACGTTATATACACTTCTTCATACATCAGACAAACACTGAACAAATGATTTTTTGGTCGACGTCCTTTTCGTCGTCGTCTTCAATTCAAATTCATCCATCAACCAAATCAAATACACACACACACATTAATAATATGATGATGATGATGAATGTTTGTGTGTGTGTGTGTATATTGATTGGAATCAAAATTCAAACACACACACACACACACACACACACAGAGAGAGAGACACCAGAGAAAAAAAATTTTTTCAACACGAGCTCAAAGACCCTCTCTCTCACACACATATACACAATGTTGTCTGTATATTATATTGTGTTTGTGTGTGTGTGTACGTGTCTTGATCGTATATGCCGATTATATTTTATTATTTTAAATAATAAAGAAGATATAGTGGGATGTTGTTGTTTATGTGTGTGTGTGTGTTCTGTTGCTTCTGTGTGTGTGTTGTATGTTGATTTTTTTTTTTTTTTGGTTTGGTTTGGTTTGGTTTTGGTGTTTAGTTCATTGGTGGAATACTTTTTGGTTTGGTTTGATTATAATAATAACAAAAAAAAAACAACAACAACAAGTGTATGTACCACCACTACTACCACCACGACACGAAACGACACCATATGATGGCCAAAAAAAAAAAAAACCAGTAAAGACCATGCATAATAATAATAACTATACACATTTACCACTTGACATTCCAATACCAGTCTATCTCTCTCTCTCTCTCTCTTTTTCTCCCTCTGTAGTAGTATGGTGGTTGGTGGTTGTTTAGGTTTAAGGTTGGTCGATTCTCTTTTTTTTCTGTTTCTTGAATTTTTGTATTTTGAATAGATGGACAGTTTTGGGATAGATGATGTGTCATCATCATCATCATCATTGTGATGAAAGAACAAAAAAGTTTATGACCCCTTTTTAGCCATTTCACTAAACAACACACCCACCAAAAAGTTTTTCAAAAAAAAAAAAAAAAAAAAATCTTGTGAAAGATGAATATATCATGGAATTGAATATACACACACAAGCCGGTCAGATATACACCATAACTGTTCATTCACAATTGATGGTGGTTGTGGTGGTGGTGATGGTGATGATGGTACGTGTGCAAAAAACATTGAACCTCAAACAAACAACATCAAATCCATTTTTTAATATTTTCGATTAGATTATGTGATTACAAAAAAAGGGGTGAAAGGTTAACCGTTTTCTTTTTGTCTGAATGGATAAAAGGATGCCCATACATATCCGATATTCTTAAGACGACAATTGTATATATATACACAGATGGATGTTTTTATTTGGCAAAAAAAATATCATCATTATGATGATGATGATGATGATGATGATGATCATGTCTGCCTATGTTTATTTCACTACTTTATAGATAGAGTTCATTAAACTTGAACTTGTAGCTCTGTTTTATTGCTGCTGTTGCCTGTTACTGTTGTTGTTGTTGTTGTTGTTGTTGCAGTTGTTGAGGATGATTATGATGGTTTTGTATATGCATGTGTGTATTTATTTGGGTGTACCTCAGCGAATACCATCGACGATATATGCTGTCGATGATGATGATGATAATAATGATGGTGATGATGGCAATATCGTCGTCGTCGTCGTTGTTGTTGTTTTTTGGACGGATATCTGCATATATCTGTATATTGAGAGGAAGAACAACTGTGGATAAAAAGGAGGAATAATTTGCACGAGTTTGATTATCCATTCATTCATTCAATATACAATCATTTTCAACGATTGATTTTAATTTTTTTTTTCTTCTTCTTCTTCTTCTGATCAATAATAAAAGAAAATTAATCACATTTCGCATGACTCGTGATCAGTAATGGTGATAATGATGATGAGATGATGATGATATGTATGAAATCATGTGTGTATTTATTTGGGTGTACCTCAGCGAATACCATCGACGATATATGCTGTCGATGATGATGATGATAATAATGATGGTGATGATGGCAATATCGTCGTCGTCGTCGTTGTTGTTGTTTTGGACGGATATCTGCATATATCTGTATATTGAGAGGAAGAACAACTGTGGATAAAAAGGAGGAATAATTTGCACGAGTTCGATTATCCATTCATTCATTTCACATTTCGCATGACTCGTGATCAGTAATGGTGATAATGATGATGAGATGATGATGATATGTATGAAATCGTTTTATTTGTTTCAGTAATGGTGATAATGATGATGAGATGATGATGATATGTATGAAATCGTTTTATTTGTTTCGAAGAAAATCGATAATAATCAATGATGATGATGATGTGTTTATTATTCGGAAATAAAAAATAAATAAAGACCAAATCAAGTCCACATCAACACAAATGATGAACAAAAAGATCAAGAAAAATTCGAAATGTAAACAATCGAACAAACCAAACACACCCACACACACACACACACACACAAAGCTACCGCATCTTGTATTACGCAAGTTTTTAAATCCAATACCCGGCAATGGTGCCATCTTTTGTCTAGAAATGTACATAGTATTTTAATTTTTTTTTTCAAATATAAAATGATTCGAATTCTATTTTTCAATATTCGCGTAGCGCCATCTAGTGAAAGGGAAACTGAATACATTGAGATTGAAAAAAAAAATCATTTTATTTTTTATTTTAATACAACACACACACACATTTCATTCAATGATCATTTGATTCAATTTGATGTGGATGCTACTGTCACGGGAAAAGGATCTGATGGTGTAAATGTTTTAGGTGATGTTGGACTCTTTGGTGATTTAGGCGTTTGGCTATCCTCATAAGCTGGTGGTTCTTCATTATTTATCATATCATCATCGTCATCATCATCTTCATCATCATTATTTGAATCGGTTCCAACTTTATTCTCCGATGAATGTTTCTCATCATTATCAACACTTTGTTGATCATCCATTCCAATTTTCTTATCTTCATCACCATCATCATCATCATTACTATCATCACCATCATCATCATCGATATGATTAATATTCGTTTTCAAATATTCAACAGCATTCATTGCTGCATATAAACGTGCCATACGTTTCGATATAGCCATACCATTGAATTCTAATTCACGATTACATTGATCAATAATCTTACAGCAAGCTCGATAATATTTTCGATCATTCAATTTGATTCGTTCAATAATATCAAAATATGGTTGACCAAGATCTAGATCATTACAAATATTATAAAGTTTATCTTCGGCATCCAAAAGTGTTCGTATGAATTGTTGTTGTTGAATCTGTTTATCATCATCACCATTATTCACTACATTCATCGAACCATTTTGATCGATATTTTCATTTGGCTTTACATTAGCTTCTTTATGATTCACAATGATTTCAATATCAGTATTTGGTGATTCTTCATTGGAAACCATATGACCATTTTCAACAACATTTTTTTCTTGTTGTTGCTCATGTATTTGTGATTGTTCCATATTCGTGATTTGATGATTGACACGTTATCATTGATCAAATAGTATAAAACATTTAAACAAAACAAAAAAAAAGTTGTTGTCAATTTATCGGAATGAAAAAAATTAAGAAATCGAGCAACAGCATAAAAACTCCTACCATCACCACCACCGCCAGCATCTATTGTTAATAAAAAAAAAGTAATAATAATTATCAACATCAAAGAAAAATTATTGATTATCTTTACTGCCTGTTATTTTCATCATCAAATCATTATAATCTTGTCGGTGACTATGACAATAATCGTTCATTCATTATATTTGTATATTTGTATACACTATATATATAATAAAATATTTATGTGGCTTGGATCCAATAATAATGAATAACATAACATCTGAGATTACAATATTTTGTCGATTGATAATAATAATAAAAAAAATTACATTTCTCAACTTCAAATGAAGAGGCTAATTTTATCTTTACATCATCATCATCATAAACATCATTTTGGGAGAATTAAATTCATTTTTCAAATGTTTTTATCATTCGATTCGATGATAATCAATGATGGCTATTATGACCACATTGGCTTTTACTATTACAACAACAACAACAACAATAACAACAACAATGAAGGTAAATTGGTAATGTTCGAATTGTCATCAATGATTCTAATATTGATTGATTTTCCCATAAATATTTCAATGCTTTAGATGCTGTACGTAATTTGGCCAATCTTTTAGATATATCTGCTGCTTCCGCCATCAATATTGGCCGAATAATCATACGGATTGTATAGAATTTTTTCCATTCAATACGTTCACGTTTAATTAATTCATATGATGGTTTGGACCAATTTTGATCATAACAAAAACGTTTCAAACGTTTAGATGCATCCATCAAGCTAATCGCTTCGTATGATGGTGGTGGCGATGATTCTGATTGTATTTGTGCATGTTGTGGCTGTTCATCATCATTATCATTATCATCATCATCATCAGAATGATTGTTAATGTTATGATCATAATCAGACATTTTCACAATGAAATCGATCTGGTCGTATACGATTCAAATGTTTGAATGAGATGAAATGTTTGAAGAAAATGGGATTATATTGCCATTATTACCGACATCATCATCATGGGATTTCAAATTGTCTATAGTCAGACAGACGATTTGTATTTGATGAAAATTCTGTTGAACTAAAACTCTGAATTGCCATTATAATGATAATAGGATCATAATAATTAAATGGAGCAATAATCATCATCAATGAATAATAATGGCCATCATTATGAAACAACAAGCGTTCTGATTTTTTTCTTTTACCATATATATCTATATATCGCTGGTTGATCCGTTCTTCCAAATAAACAAACAAATAAAATGATGATCATCATCATTTGGTTAAATTGAATGTGAGAGAACAATCTTCTAATGAATGTAAACATCACATTGGAAACCAATAATGTCGAGAAAGACAAAAAAAAACAACCGAAAACATACATTTCAACCGAAAATTATTGTGAACTATACACATTAAATATGAACAACTCACTCTGAAGACCATTTTTTTTGTTGTAAATTATGGCTATAGCCTTGAACATCACACACACACACACACACACACACACACAGCTCTCACAATCAAATGATCCAGACCATGGAGAATCAATGATGCTGATTTGAGATAGAGAAATAGAGAGAGAGACGATGATAAGCCAAAAACGACGAAGAAGAAGAAATTCAAATTTCAAACCAAGGTCAACATTCCATGAATTTTGTTTTTGTTCAACACCACGATTTTAACTCGACTTTTTTTTCCATTTTAAAAAAAAACAATAGGGTAAAATTTATTTTCAATCAACCACCCAACAACAGCCGTATTTGAAAATCTCACACACACACACACCCACCCACGCACAGAAAAAACAAGTTGAAAAAAAGTTTTTGGATTAAATTAAAACATATGCAATGATAAACAACAACAACAATTAAAAATTTTTTTTTAGATTTGAAAAAAATAAATTTTTTCTTTTGTTTTGGTTCCTATAATTATTGATTAATTAACAATTTAAAAAAAACATCACATACACACACACAAACACAGAGAGAAAAATTTTTTTTTCTTTATGAAATATTTGGTAAATGTTCAAATACTTTACTTCTGGTTATATTACTACCAACAATGTTTCCAGAATATTCTGTTGTTGGATTTACCATTATTGTATTGCTACTGCTGCTGCCACTGATGATGCTATTATTATTGTTATTATTATGAATATTCGTTACAATATGCCGCTGTGGACTACTTTTAAATGTCATTATATTACCATCATTGGTTTCAACATCAAATTCAATATTTGTTGATTTTAATGGTGTATTTGTTGTTGTTAAACTAGTTGAATTTAATCGTATGATTGAATTACGTTTCGATAAATTTGATTGTATTGATTTTAATTGCTGATTTGTTGTTGTTTGATCAGATAGTTGCTGTTGTTGTTTCATTGTTGTTAACATTGTTGATAAAGAATTATCATTATCATTATTATTCATCATTTTTAATGATATTTGTGGTAGATTAAATGTTGAATTTGTTGATGATGATGATGAAGAGGTTGTTGTTGTTGTTGCTGCTGCTGCTGCTGCTGCTGTTTGTTTCGTTGTTATTGGAATATCCATTGGTTTTGTATTGGATTTTGAATTTATATTAGCCGTATGATGATTATTATTATTGTTATTGATTACATTCGTTGTCATCGCCGTCGTATACATAGATAAATCAGGTATTTTAACATTATTAAAATATGAAAATTGAAGCAATTGTTCACATGTAGTTCGTTTGGATGGATCTTTATCCAATGTACGTCGTAAAAATTCCAATCCAGTTTGGTCAATATGTTTAGGTATTTTCTGTTCTAATGGTTCAATAGTATCTGGTTCAGGTATGGAAACACCGGCAAAAAATTCATTTGTACGAAATATTGTTATATGACGTGCAAGTAAATCACCCAATGTTTTCCGTATCAAATACAATTGATCAACATCAGATTTACCGGGCCATAGAGCTTCACCACGCATCAGTTCAGCAGCCACACAACCAATGGCCCATACATCAACAGCAGGACCATAATTAGTATCACCCACTAATAATTCTGGTGCACGATACCAACGTGTTGCAACATAATCGGTATAATTTTCTCCAGGTATCAATGTACGTGCAAAACCAAAATCACATAATTTCACCACACATTCACGTGTTAACAATATGTTTTCTGGTTTTACATCACGATGAATACACTGACAAAAAAAAGTCAATCAAATTAATTAATAAATCAATCAATCAATCAACATACATTATGTTTATGACAAAAATTCACTGCATTAATTGTTTGCCACATAATACGTTTGATCATTGCTTCAGGTACACCACGTGGATATTTTTCCAATATATCCAACACAGTCAATTCACAATATTCAAATACAAGATGTAATTTACGTTTACGGCGAAATACTTCAATCAGATTGATTAGATTTGGATGTTTTAATTGCTACAAATTAAATTAAACGAGTTATCAATTATATTGTGAATTGATTCAATCAATCAATCAATCTACCTTTAGCATTTTAATTTCACGCATTGCAATTTTTTTTATCAATGGATCATCTTCAGTTTCAACATATTTTTTTATAGCAACCAATTGGCCATTATCACGATTACGACATTTGAATACAATTCCATAACTACCTTCACCAATTTTGGCTATTTTTTCATATTTTTCAATTGAACTATGCATCATTGTTGATTGTTGTTGTTTTTGTGATGGTCCACGACGAAATGTTGAATTCTGTGATGATTGTGTAGTTTGTTGCTGTTGTTGTTGTTTAGTTGATTTATCCGATGTATGATGATCTTTTGTCAATGATGATATGGAAAATAATGATAATCTTTTTTTATTTATACCCAATACCGTTGTTGCACCGTTATTTGTAGAATTTTTCTTTATTATTGATTGCTGTTGCTGTTGTGATGATGGTTGTGGTGGATCTATATAGATTTTATTTATTAAAAAAACAAATTCAAATCACCAGATTACATTGATTTACACACATACCTGTAATAGAAATTTTTCTATTCACTTTTGATGATGATTCGTTACTATTTTGACTACTTTGACTATTTGAATTTAATGTGGCCAATTTTTCGCTATTTTTTTCGAGAAAAAAAGAGACAAGACAACAATTAGATGGTGATTCAGAAAAAAAAAATAAAAACAAAATTCTTGAGAAGAAGAAAAAAAATGGAAAATTCATGTTGAATTCATTCTGACAAACAAACAAATAAACAAACTGACATCACCCATTATTCATTGAAATAGAAAAAAAAACAAATTTTTCTTCCAGCATTAGTTAAAGTTAAACGAGCAAACAAAAAAAAGTATCAAATAAACAACAAATAGAAACGGAATTTCATTTTGGAATTTGACACACACACACACACACACACACACAAACACACGGAATCTCAACAACTATGAATAAATAAATGAAATCTTGAATATTCTTGAATTCTCATGAGAAATAAAATGAATATATATTTATATCAACAACGACAAAAATGAATGAGAAAGAAAAATTCGGAATCAAACTCAAAGTGAACAGTCAGTCAGACAGACAGACAGAAGGAGAAAAAAAAATCGAACGTTTCAAATTTCTAAAAAAAAAAACAAAAATTTTTGGAATTTGAAATTTGAAAAACAAAAAAAATAGTGAAAAAACAGGAATAATGTTAATGCAAACAAACATCTACCTAGACAACATAATAATGATGATGATGACGATGACGATGACGATGATGATGAAATTCAAACTTTTTTGTTTTGTTTTGTTTCTCCGTTAAAAATTAAATTATTCGTCAATTTCAAAATATTTGATGAAAAATTTTCTCAATTGAGTGAGTAAGTTAAATGTTGGGCAAAAAAAAAAATTTCAACAAGAATTACTTGATCATTATGAAGAATCATAATAATGATGATGATGGTGATGACAATGAATGATTTGTAATGATCAAAAGAATGACAACCTTCGTTCATGGTAACCAGGTGTTTTTTTTTTTTTTTTTTGGTTTGTTTTGATTCGTCATTTTTGTTTCTTCTTTACACTTTTTTTTGGTTGTTATTGGATACCGAAATTGCGGTTTTTTTCTTTTCTTTTCTTTTTTTTTATTCTGTAAAGACAAAAAAAACAACGATAAAAATAAATTGAAATGTTTCATGACAAAATGGATCAAAGTGGATCGATTTTGTTCGCAGTAGTAGTAGTAGTAGAATAATAGGTGTTGGCCCCAGCATTTGTTATCGAATGAATTGTATCCAAATGTGTAAACTAACACTCTATTATTACGAATTTTATTCTCATTCATTCATTTATTCATCGGTTATGTTTGATAACCATGAACCGAGAGAAAAAAAATGGTGAATAGAAAATAAAAAAAAAACTGTGATTCTGGAATACACACACACACACACACACACACACACACACGTAGGATTCACTATATTTGGATCCAGAATTTTTTCAATTTTGATTATATCATAAAATAATAATAACAAAAAAAATCTCCAATGGGGGAAGGTGATGACCGATGATGGTCAGTGAAAAGATAATTTGAAATAAATAAAAAAAAATCATCTCTGCATGTCTTCACGTATTCATACATTTATTTGACCGCATATTATAGATTTTCTATACATAAATTCCATTCTTTCTTTCTTCGTACAATTTTATTATCAATGGTCATCATTGATCTAAACGCTTATCTTGTGTAAAAATTATTCTTATGATTCTCTTGCTTATCGTTTTCTTTTTTTTCTGATCATATCTCATATTATTATTACGATTATTCTGTATACAGCTGTGCACATTGAACATTATATATATTAGTTATTAGTTATAGTTATATATTGCCTATAACAATTTTTTGGTTATTATTTGAAATCATATTCTAGTGGAAAAGAAATGAAAGAATTTCAATCAATATATATTGGAACAAGAGAAACGATAATAATGATGATGATGATGATGATTATTTCGAATATAAGAATAGTGGGGGAAAAAAAATACAAGCAAAATTTTTGTCATTGTAATAATTGTGATCAGGAAGTAACCATAGTGATATATTCTGCATCTAAACACACACACACACACACACACAAACACCACTGCAGAATATTTTACACATTTAAAACATGTACATTTTTTTTAATAGACACACACACACACACACACACAGATTGTTAGAAAATCAAAATGATTTTATGATGATTTTTGTATGTAGAATAAATTATTGAAATGACAGGAAACGAAAATCTGTGGAAAACACATTGTGGAAAATTTTGATCCAAAATAAATGACGACGACGACGACGACGACAACAACACAACGACGATGGTACATTTGAGAAATAAGAAATTTTTTTTTTCATTCATTAAAATTTTATACTTGGTATATCATCATGTCTGGATCTATGGACGATTGACACACACACTGTAAATGTATATCACTTTTTTTGAAAGATGAATGACCACCATTATTGTGATTTGTGCAATCAGATTCATTTACAACAAGGAGCTATCTATAAATCTTCCAAATGGGTTACACACACACACACACACACACATAAATTCGTAATAATTCAGTAAAGTATAATGTCCTTTTACCTGAATGGATTTATATGATGATGATCATTATTATTATTATTATTCAAATTTGATTGTGTTGCCATTGTTGTTTTTGTTTTCAGATTGTTAGCCATTGATAATTTATTGTTTATATCCGGATTTTTATTACTATTCAAAATTGGTGGATTTATTTTGATCATCATCATTTTATTCATCGTTGTTATTGTTGATTGATTTTTTTCAGATTTTTCCATTATCATCATTTGTTGTTGTTGTTGTTTCTGCTGTTTATTCAAATTCTTTTTCTGATAATGATGATGATTATGATTGTTTGATATCGTTGTACGATTGTTATTCGTAATCAATTTGTTGACTGGCTGTGATTTAATACAATAACAAGAACGCTGAAACGGTTGTTGTTGTTGTTGTTGATGGTGATGTGGTTGATTTACAGAAAAATTCTTTCGTTTGATCGTTTTATCTTTGTTTTTGTCATTTATTTTATTATTTCTATTATCGCAAAATGTCAAATGTTCATCATTATTATAATCATTATCAACGCGTTTCTTTGTAACCGTTGAACATCTTGTATTATTATTGTTGACAGTGGCTATTGTTTGTTGTTGTTGTTGTTGTTGATTTGGTTTTGTTTCTTGATTCAATCTGAATTTTTGTTTCGAATTCAAACATAAAGAAGATGATGTCATTAAATCTGAAGAATTTATCAACGATAAATCGCTATGTTGTTGTTGTGCGTTTGTTTCTTTACATACATTACGCCAGAATAGATTTTCATAGAATGAATCTTTTGATAATAATGATGATGATGATGATGAATCATTATTTCGATTTTTATTCCAATTTTGTTGTTGTTCATTATTATTATTATCGTTCAATATTTGTATCAATCGACATTCATTTTGAATGTTAGATGATGATGATAATAATCGATCGTTATCATCGATTTTTAAACGATTGAAAAGTTTTTCCTGTTCATTTGGCAGTTTTGATTGTTGTTGTTGTTGTTGTTGCTGTTGTCGTTGATCACGATGGTCGTTTTGATTGTTATTATTATAACGAATACATGATGGTACATTTGTACGATCCAATAATAATAATTGATCCAAACGTTTATAATGTGATGATGATGATGATGACGAATTGTTTGATTGTGGTGGCAATTTATACATTGTATTCGATTCTGATTCTAGATTTAGTTGTCAATAACACTGTTGACGGTGGTGGTGTTAGTGTTGGTGGTAGTAGTGGTGAGAAGATGATGATGATGATTTTGTGAATTCTATTATCGATCCAAATTCGATGACAACAAAACACTATTGATTAAAAGAATTAAAAGAATTCTTTTTCTGTTTTATTTTGTTTGTTTGATGATAGTAACGTTGATGATTTCATCGATCAATTGTTCCATATGGAACAACAATCATCAAAATTCATCATTCGATTAATTTTTTTATTTTGATCGTCGTCGTTGTTATTATGATTAGGATGATTAACTGATTTTTTTTTCGTTTGTTTTAATTTAGTTGTAGATATGACCAATATGACACCACTATTTCAAATCGATCGATTCATGTTTCATGGCAATAAACTCCAAATGAATCAATGATGAACATGAGGGGCACCACCACCACCACCACCACAACAAAAAAACGACAAATCTGCATTTGTTTTTGCTCACAAACACGAAAAAAAAAAATCATCACAATGACGACTTTGTTTTGTTTTTTTTTCTGACTATAGTCGATCGATTCAACTGACAAACAAAGAACGAATGACCACCAATTGGCAAAAAAAAAAAACCATATCCTGGATTATATAGCGTCGTTTTGGACACTCACCTGCTTGCCTGTGTGTGCTCAACACAAACAAACAAACCGACCGACCATTCAACCAAACAAACAAAGTTCCATAATGATAATGATGAGCAAAAAAAAAAAATATAAAACTACCGGTGAAAAAAAAACGACAACCTCGATCAATGAAAATCAACACGTGCATGGTGTACTTGATGATGATGACAGGTATTTTTTTAGAAATTTTTAGACATGAATTTTAAAAATAAAATTTTTTTTTATTTATTTTCAGAAAAAAAATTTTGCAAACACAAAAATCAAAAAAAATTCCATACCAAAAAAAGTAAGTCTGTCTGTGTGTTTCTGTGTGTATGTGTGTGTGTCCATCAAAATCAATGAAGACCAAAATCTTCCATATTCTTATTCAACACTGTCCATTTAACAGAATCGAATACAAATTTAATATTTTCTGTATCCGTTGCACATGTAAAATGTGAATATATTGTCTTATTTTTTCGCCACATTTTATCATTACTATTGCTACTATTTATCGATGTTGATTCTTTCAATGATGATGATGATGATGATGATGATTTTCATGATTGGATATTTTACGACATTCACCATGATTATTATCTTGATGATGATTATTCTGTTGTTGTTGTTGTTGCTGTTGTTGATTATAATTACAAAGAGCATTACGTATAAATAATTCTTTTATAAATTGTCCAGCTTCAGCTGCATCATTAACACTGTTATTATTACTATTACTAGTAGTAATATTTTCATTATCATCAACAAAATCATCAAATATTCGTCTTCGTAATGGTGATTGTTTAATTTTTTCTTCCAATAAATCTTTTTTATTTAAAAATAATATAAATGATGTTTTATATAATAATTCTAAACTGGTTATAATACGAAATAAACACAATGATTCTTGCATACGATTTACACGATTCGTTTCTATTTTCGGTTTTCGGTTTTTACCAATACGGCCATCATCAAGTAATTGTGCCATTTGATCATGTTCAGAATCATTATAATTCAATGTACTTTTATATTTATACATATCATATTCATTCAATGCTGTTAAAAATATGATCGATGTAACACCTTCAAAACAATTTATCCATTTCATACGTTCATTGTCTTGGCCACCAACATCAATAATACGTAAATAGATACGTGCAGATTTTATATAAAATAAATGTTCAATTATGCCGGTTGTTGGCAAACGAATACGTACAATATCATCATTTGTTGGTATATAATTTTTTTGACCAAAACGTTCAACATTCAGGAAAAAATATTCAGCTGAATCTGAAAGCTGAAATTGTGTACGATGATCATAACATTGTCGTACACCATGATCTTGCCATAAATGTTTAATACAATCAACAAATTCATACGATAATGATGATTGATTGGCAAATATTTCCGGTGCTTGTGCATATGAACAATCGATTGATAATATTCGGCTGGCACGTTGCCAATTATCATCATTGGCAAATGGTATTGATAAAAATTTCATTGCTTGCAATAAAAGTTGCATACATTGTATGGTATTATGAAATACATATACACGATTCTGTTTCAATTCTGTCGATGTGAATCCATTATCATGTATGATACGCATCTGTTTAATAAATGTACTTTTACCCGATTCACCGGTACCAAGTAATAATAATTTTACCTGTTTTCTTACAATGGATTTTGTTTCTTTAAGAATTTTTTCAATTTTTTCATTACGTTTACGTTTTTCTTTCGATTCAATAGATTCAATGCACATGATGATGTTTTTTGTTTTTGTTTCGTTTTGATTGATTTATACTTCTTGATGATTCACAAACAGATTCAATAGTCGTAGTTTTTGGAATTTAGTGAATCGATTTCTTGGTCGGTTTTTTTTTGCTGAATTTTTATCAAAGAATAAAAATGATGATGATGATGATGAATTTTTTATATGGAGAATCCAGAAATAGGCCGTAAGGCCTGAAAAGTTGAACAAAAAAAAAAAAAAGGTCGACAGATAAATGGAAAAAGATGTTCGAAATTCTTTTTTTCTTTCTTTCGAATCTTTCGTGTGTGACAAACACTGTGATAACCCGAAGGAATTTTTATCGTCAAATGAAGAACAATAGAAATGGAATAAAAAACAAAAAACAATGCCGAATTCCAAAGTCAAAGTATATAAAATGTTGATGATGATGATGATGATGATGATGATTTATAAATGATGTACGAAGAAAATAAAAATCCAAACAGATAATTTTGAGCCAGTTTGTTGTCGTTGTTGTTGTTGTTGTTGCTGTTCTTGTTCTTTTTTTTTTGAATGACAACGACAATGATGATAATTTTTTTTTTTTTCTTTCTTTTTCTTTGTTTGTTACCGATGATGATGATGATGATGATGACAATAATTATTTTTCTAGAAGAAAATTATTAGATTGGATTGACTTTTTTTTCACTTATTATTTCCATTATTATCATCATCATCATAATAATCATCATTGACAACGGTAATAATATTGATGATGATGATGATGATGATGATCACTGAGGTCTCGATAATGTTTAATGGAATGGCCAATGATTGTCATGGCAAAAATATAGCAAACACCGACACCACCACCACCACCACCATCAATAATGATTTTCACTGCATTCGGGATTTTATTTTTTTTTTTTTTTGTTGTTGTTGTTGTTGTTGTTGTTGTTGATTATGGTGATGATGATATTAAAGATCAAGATTTTTTTTCTGTCTGTCTGTCTGTCTTTCTGGTTGATCATCATCATTATCATCTTTAGATGATCGTTGTCAATTTTTTTTTGACCAAGATTTATTTTTTTTGTACAAACAACCACCACAAACTTAGTGTGGAATAAAAAAAATTGTCGATGATAATTTGATTATCGTTATCGTGGTAAGATCATCATCATCGTATCCATAGCATCCAATTTCATATTGTGTAAATTGTGGTAAATGATAAAAAAATTGTATGTCATTTATGAATGATATGCAAAAAAACAAATGTTCGAATTTTTTTTTTACTTTCGATTCGATTCTGTGGGTATACATTCAAAATGTGAAAGATTTTTTTTTTTTGTTTTAAAAAGGATCCAGAATCCAGATTTTTTTGGTTTCTTCAAAATTTCTTCCTGTTTATTATTTATGTTTGCTTGTGTTTGTGTGTATTGTGAATGGATAAATTTCCATTTCAAAGATTTCGAGCCATATAATTTTCATATAATCTAAACAACAAGAAGTAGGAGGAGATGATGGAGAAAGATGGATTCGATTCTGTGAACTCATTAAATTACTCATTAAATAATGTATACATTGCCCCAAAATGTGAAAGATTTTTTTTTTTGTTTTTGTTTTAAAAAAGGATCCAGAATCCAGATTTTTTTTTTGGTTTCTTCAAAATTTCTTCCTGTTTATTATTTATGTTTGCTTGTTTTTGTGTATATTGTGAATGGATAAATTTCCATTTCAAAGATTTCGAGCCATATAATTTTCATATATATAATCTAAACAACAAGAAGTAGGAGGAGATGATGGAGAAAGATGGTAAATATTGTGTTCATGTAATCAGTGAAGATGAATGAAAAAAAAAAAATGTATGCATATGGCAAACAACACAAATGCACAACAACAACAACAACAACAACAAGATCATTAACAGATCTGTAATGTTATATTGATGGTAGGTATTTGGTTTGCAACTATTACAATGTGTACATATTCTGATTTTCTTTTCTTTTTTAGGATCAAATTCCATTTTTTTCTTGTTATTATTCCAAACAACAACAACAACAACCATAATGTCAACATATTATTCCATCTACCAATGGCTAAAGAATCTCTTCTTGTTTCTTGTGGTCTTCCAGTAAAAAGAAGTTATATAATGACCTTCATCATCTATATCATTAAATGTTATGTACATGGACACCAGAGAGCATCGTCATGTTTCAATGGAAAAGAAAAAAAAATAGAATTTTATATTTGAAAACAAATCAAATTAATCCATTAGTTGGATGATGGAATTTTGTATTAATGGAATATTTTGGCTTCTAAGTAAGTGAAAGAATTGATTGTTTGACCATTTTTTACATCATTTATGTGAATGAATGAACAAAATTAAAACATACATTTTTAATAATTCATCATGATCATCATCGTAGTCATCAAAGAATTGCACATTAAATTAAATATATGCAACGATCATCATCATCATCATCATTATTCTCATGGTAAGAATAATTTATGAAGAAAAAAAAAGCAAAAGTAACTGGAAATGGCCCTCAAAACACTATGATAACCATCATCATTATCATTATTATCACGATCAAAAATGTATCCGATCCTCAACTCATTCATCACTCATCATCATCATTTTTTTCCTGGAAAATTTTCATAAAACTTTTCTGTGATTAACAATTTAGGTATGTCATGTGTGTGTGTGTGTGTGTTTTGATTGTTTGTTGATTTATCTAATGCTTTCTATTTCTATATGTCTAAGAAAATGAAAATCTAGAAATTCGTCGTCTTTCAAAAAAAATTTTTTTTTCCATTAGTTTTGAAATTCAATTCTTTCACTTTTTCGTTCACCATTCTATTGTCATTGTTTGATTGTTACTGTTTAGGGATGACCAAATTCAGTGCAGTGAAAATTTTTTTTTCCTTTCATTCTTTTATTCATTCATTCGTTTTCATTTTGTGAATCATTGGAATCATCACGTCTTCTTCATGTCACATATATACATTATTGTTGCTGTTGTTGTCCGGGTGACCGGATGAAATATTTTTTTCGTATTTGGAATTTATAAAAAAAAACGAACGAATGAATAGTGTGTGTGTGTGTGTGTGTGTGTGTGTGTGTGTGGTTGATTGAGTAGACGGGAATAATAATAAAAAAATTGTAGAAAACTATTCTTCTTTTTCTTATCCAACCGGGTCCAATTCGATTATCCAAAATTGTTTGTTTGACAATTCCAGGAAACATATACAAACACAAACACACACACACACATACATTTGGTATGTGAAACGTAACACAAACCAATTTCATTTCTTTTTTATATTTTTTTTCTGTTTTGTTTTGTCCACTGTTCACTGTTCATTGTGTTTTTGTCACTCAACACACACACAGACAGACAAACTAAGAAAAAAAAATGACCAACTGAAAGACAGAATAAAGTTGATTTGATGAAGTTTTTTTTTTTTTTTGTTCATCAATTACATTCATGAACTTATCGTGGAATTTTTTTTTTCGTTTTGTTGTTTTCTACTGCTGCTGCTGCTGCTGCTGTCCGATATATTTTGTTGGTGGTCATAAACGAATTTAAAAAAAAAATTTATAATCATCAATAAATTGAAAATTGAATGAAAAAAATCAAGTCAAATATGATATCGATGTTGTATAAAGATCAATAAATTTTGGATCATCATCATTTTGTTGATGGTGGTAGTGGTGGTGATCCATTACGATTTTTTTTCCCAACGAGAAAATAAAACAGTTTTCATTTTTATCTTTATTCAAACAAACAAACAAACATTCGATATTCTTATATGGATTCTGTGTGTGTGTGTGTGTGTCTGTGTCAAATGTGGTAATGTTTTTACCATTGGACATCTTTATGTATGTTTGTCTGTGTGTGTGTGTGTTTTTATTGGCATCCATTTCTTATTATTATTATTATTATCACAGGGTTATTATCGTTTTTTTTCTATGTTTGGGAGCTGGATGACGAAAGATTCCATAGTACAAGTTTTGTGTAGATAATTTAGTTGGTGTGTGTGTGTGTGGGTGTGTGTTTTATCATTTTTTCTTCAATTATTGTTGATTATTGGCCGTAATTTTTTTTTATTACCAGAAAAAAAAGATTATTATCATAATCAATGATGATGATGATGATAATAATCATTTAGCGATAACTTTTCTCATTGAACCAATAAATGATGATAACGATGGTTAATTTTGTTTTTTTTAATTTAAAATTCTAATTGAATTTCTATTTCTATTTTTTCGTTTGCACAAATCGAATCGAATTAAGAATTTAGAATGTAGAATCTAGAATTAAGAAATAAATGTATGTGTAACGAAGAAGAGCAATAAAAAAAAGAAACGCAAGACAGTGAAATTTCAATGGAATTTTATTTTCCGAGCAAAAAAAAACAAACTTGAATTTGAAATTTTGGCATTTTTTTTCGTCTTTCTCTTTCTCCCTGTTTGTGTTCGTATTGAGAATTAAATATTCATTCATTGGTTCCATATGGCTTATTCATTCAGAATTTTGTTTGATTGAAATAAAGTTTCATGTTTATGATTAATATTCTTTGTGCAAAATAAAAAAATCTAAACACTCTAATTAGCTGGTGAAACCAAATTCAACTGTCAATCCAACAATCATCATCATCCATTTGGCTGTTTGAGATTTTTTTTGTTATTCTACCAAAAATGATTATAAAATTGGCAATATTAAAATCGACCATAAAAACCTTACGTTTTTTTTTTGGGTAGAGGTGTTCGAACAACAACAACGACAACTGAAAGAATTAACATAAAAAAACAATTTCCTACAAATATCATCATCATCATCATCATCATCATCATCACTTCTTGAATTACGTGAAAAAATCATTTTTTTATTTTTTCACAAAAGGTTCCCTATATATATCGATGGTTGATTTTTAGCTTTTTCATTTTTTTTTCTCGGTTAATTCGGTTATTATTATTTTTCTTACATTTTGCTATATTGATTTCAGTGTTTGTGTGTGTGTGTGTTAGTGATATATGAAAATACGCGCATACTCGATACTTGTACATTTTTTTTCGTTGGCATTCTGATTCTGATTCTTTTCTTTTCATTTCATTTCATTTTTTTTTCAAAGGAGCATGTGTTTGCGTGTGTGTGTGTGAGACTTTTTTTTTCTTCAATATAAAAATTCCTACCAGCAGCAAGTCTTGATTACGTTCACACTCACACACCAGTCATCATTATCATCATGATCGAATCAGTTGATCTCCAACAACAACAGAAAAAAATTTTTTTGAATTAAATAACCACATAGTCGTTTATTGATTCTGTCATGATTCTAACAGAATTCTATTTCATTTCATTTTTTTTTGTTGCAAATGAAAATCAATATAAAAATTTGAATTCTGTTTTTTGTGTGTGTGTGTGTGTGTGTGTGTGTGCCTTTTTTGTTTCAAATCTTAATGTCACAATTGTCTTCAGGGTCTTCAGGCTCCAGAAAAAAACAAAATTTTTTCATCAACATTAATTGATTGACACACACACACATATCACATTTCTATAGTCGAATTGTTCAAACTTTTTTTTTTTGTTGCACTCGAGAAACAAAAAGTATTCATCATTATTATTGTGTTTTGGCCATTGGTCGGAATTATAATTGCCAAGAATTTGGTGTTTTTTCTTCTTCTTTTTTTTCTTGTTGGCTACAACAGAATTTTCTTTATTCATTCACTCATCATCATCATCATCATAGAATCATCAATTGAATGTGTCGATTATGAAGACAAATTTAAGTAAGTCAAGTTTTGTTTCTGTTTTTGTTTTATTCTTCATCATCATCATTATAATTATAACAAAAAAAAATTAATCTCCTTTTGTTTGGCCAATATTATCGGTGGTCATCGATAATTTTTGCCGAAAAAAAAAGTTTTTTTTTCTTTTCAATTCTTGACCATGTTTTTTTTCGATAAAAAAATGCTTCAATTTATATATTGAACTCTAGTTATAGATAGATAAATCAATAAAGCCAGTGAGAATAAAAACAAAAATCGATAAATTTCATTTATATTTGTTTGTTTGCTTTTTATTTTTTTTATTTTTATTGAATTTCCATCTCTTTTTTTTAATTTTGTTCATTTCTGTTGTTGTTTATCGCATGCATAATATGATTGATGTAGTCATTTTTCATGGCCACAACAACAACAACAACAACAACAATGACAACAAAAAAAGATGTAAAATTTTCTCAATTTTTTTTTCACTTGTTCAGTTGTTTATGAATGTAGTTTTAGTTTCGATGATGATGATAATAATGGCCCATGTTTGTCAGCATCATAATCATCATCATTATTATAGGCATTTTATATTTTTTATTTCGTTGAAATTCAAACCCAAATAATGATTTACAAACTAAAAATTGAACAAAAAATTTTGTTTAGCAAATTTTTCAGTCAGTCAGTTAGTTTTTAATTTATAATGAGAAATGTATAATAAAAAATAACGATGATGATGATGATGATGATGATGATATGCAGATTATCTGAACAAAAAAAAAATTGAAAAATGTTTTCCGTTTTCTTTTCAAATAATTGTGTCGTATTACCACCATCATTGCATTTTTTTTTCATGGATGAATGTTTTTATTATTATTATTCCATTATCAAGATTCTGGTTTTGATTATTCCATTTTTTTTATCGTGTACTGTGCATATGACAAACAAACAAATAGAAAAAAAATTGAATTTTAAGCAATAGGGCAAAAAAAAAATTTGAATTTGAAACAAATTCAATTCTTGTATACAACATACACACACACACACATAGAATATTCTGCAATTTATGGTTATTTATTTGTTGGTGATTTATTCTTATTCAATAATGATGTTGTCGTCGTTGTAGTTGTTGTTGATTTTCGATTTATTTAGGCGAATTTTTTTCTTCTTTTTTTTTTTTTTTTGCCCATTACATTGGTCATTTTTTTTTCTTTCGCATGAATGTCGAAATGTTACGAAAAAGAAATAGTAACGGCAATGATGATGTGAAAATATTGAAATTGCATTTCCTGAATGTAAACCATAATTTTTTTTCTCTGATTTAATTCAATGTCGCCGGTTGTTCATCACTCCATAGACACACAATATGTTGTTTTTGTGTTGTATATATATAAAAAACCGGGCAACTTGAACTAAATTTTTTTGCCCGGCCACAATGTTTGTCGATGTCAATCAGTCAGTTAGTCAGTCAGTCAGTCAGTCAGTTTATTCATTCATTCAATGTTTGTTGTATATGATACTTTTTTTTCGTAAAAGTTTTGTTTGCAAAAAAAGAAAAGAGTTTGTTGTTGTTGTTGTTGTTGGTGTTGATGGTAGAAAATGCAAAGCGAACTTGAAACTTTTTTTCCCATTTTTCTGCCCAACAGCTGTGTTAAATGATTCTTCATGATTTCTTCTCTATTCTGTTTATCAACACAAGATTTTTTTTTCTCTTTGATCGTAAACTCTTTATTTTCAGAAGTAAATTCCGAATGTTGATGATGTAATTTCTTGAAATAATAATAATAATAAAAAAATGGTCAATTACGTTGAAATACGGAATATGAAATGTTTCTAAAATAAAAAAATAACACACACAGAAACATTTTTCATTCATTCAATTTCCGCAGATTTCCGGTCAGTATTATGGTAATAATAATTAGTAAAAAAATTCAAAATAAGTCAGTTTTATTAATGTAATACAATTATAAATTTAATGATGATTTATTTGCTGCCATTGGTAGTTGAACCAGCTTTTTGCGAACCATATTCAGCGTTTATAGATTCACAATTGTGAATTGATTCTGTTTTATATAAATGAATATCAAATGATCGGGTCATAAAATGTAAATAAATACTGGCATCACATTGAATATGTCTTCGTGGTACATTTTTACAGCGGTAATATTTTTTCATTCCATCTCTGGTATCGTTCGTATAATGGTAACCCCAAATTTTTTGCGACTTGATAAATTCCATAGCTTCTATTTTTGAAGTGAATTTTCGATCGAATATCCACATTTTTTTACGTTGTTTACGCCTTTTTTTCGACACTTTGCCAATTGTTTGATCAGCATTTGTTTCATAATCATCACCATCAGATTCATATTGTGGAACTATTGAGTATTTAGACTTGGATTGCTTGAAACGTTTCATTGTAGTTTCGAATGTTGAAAAATGGATTTAATTCTTGAAGTAAATTTAAAGATGAAATAAGAAGTTTTGATGATATAATAATAACAAATAACAATTAGCCAGCAAATAAGGTATCGAATGCTAGTTTGGCATGGCCTTTTTATATGATTTTTGGATAGTCAACCTGCAAATCGGTTGACCATGATATTCGTTGATAAGCAACTAATCTACCACTTTGAAGTTTATGATATCACCTTATCATACCGTCCTTGAAGGAAAGTGGTGATCGTGTTTTCTTTGTTATTCAAAGCCATAGATAAGTCCATCGTTATCGTAAAAAGTTCGTTTGTACGTAATAAAATTACGAGTAACTCGCAGGCTATCAGTGTTTTTGCTGATTGCTAAAGTGACCATATTCAATTGATTTACTGATATTTTCATTTATTTACTGACCAATTACTGATAAAAGCTTATAAAAATTGATTAATTCCTCAAAATACTGACCAATTATATTTATCTCGATAAAAAAAACAAATAGACAATTTTTCAACCAAAACAATAACAAAATGAGGGTGAATTATATTATAGAAAAATTAAAATGATTCGTTGACAGCAGCTTGAAAATTACCATCATCATCATCATCATCATTACCATAAGTGACTAAACCTAAATTTAATAAAAAAAACAAGATTTCTGTTGAACGATGAAAAACAAAACAAAACAAAAAAAAAAAAATTCGTGCCTAAAAACATTGGCTTAGGTGGTGGTGACCCTCCGAAACCCTAATTAATAATGTGTTTGTGTGTGTGTGTGTTTGTTGGCGTTGGTCCAAACAGACAAACAAACAAACAAAAAAAGTTAATCTCAAACACATTACGATCATCATTTATACACACACAGGGAGTGAAAGAGAAAATCTGAAAAAAAAAGCCTACGGATGAGAATTCATTAGGCGCATCATCCACATAATCATCGTTTTATTTTCTGATTTTCATGTGTTTCTGATGGAATGAATGAATGAATGAATGAAACGTAATGATAATGAACCTAATGAAATGCAGACATTTTCCTTCCCCCTCCCTCCCCCTGACAAATACATTATAGAATTATAATAAAAAACAAACACAAAACAAACAAACAAACAAACAAATGTGCAACATTAGTTTCCACATTCAGATACAAATATAGAAAGATAAATAGATGGCAAAAAAAAGAGAGGTGGTAGGGAAACAGAATTGAATTTTGAATCGTTTTTTTCTGGTTGGTGATGATGATGATGATGATGATGAATCCCACAATGTTCATTGTTTTTATTTTGTTTTTATTTTTTTTTTTTGGTCTTATCATTTGATTTAGCAGAATTTTCTCTTATGGTTCCAACCAATGATGATGATGATGGAATTTAATCTTGGATTTGCCAAGCTTGGCAAAATCTATCAATTTATGTTTATGTAAACAAATAGTCATTATCATCAGTAGATGTATATCTAAGTGAAAAAGTGGAGGTTAGTTTGGTGGCAAATTTTTTTTTTTTTATTTTGGTTGTTTGTTTCACTAATTAACATTGTTGTCTTGTCCATAAATTGTCGGTAATTCTGGAGATGAAAAATTTCACATTTTTTTTTATTGAAACATTTCCCTTCATTTCAATTCTGAATCAGATCAGATGAAATTGAAAGTGGACAATCCCAATGGACAATTTCATTTTGATTTTTTTTTTTTTTTTTTTTGATTGAGTGTTGAATGAGCAAAAAAAAAGTAATAATGTTCGAATCATTCTATCATTCGACTGCAATATCAATTTCAATGTCCATCTATTTGGATTGATTTTTTTTGCCCCATCTCTCTCTCTCACTCACTTTTGGACCATTTTTTTTCATCAATTCGTTGTTTGTTTTGAACGTCAAGTTTACCATTCGTCAAAACCATTTTCAAATTTCATGATGATGCCAAATAAATTTTCCATTAAAGAAAATGAAAAAAAATGGACCGATTTACCAAATGAAAACTTGTGTTTTTCGAAATGGTTTTTTTTCTCATTTCGATAACCAAATCCTGATGTTTGAAATTGGTTGTCGTTTTTTTTCCGTCCGTTCGTCTTAAATTTCAATTTTCGTTCTTAGGTCTTCGGTATTTCTGGTCGGTCAGATTCTTTTTTTTCTGGGGGAAAAAAGATGAACGAATGAAAAAAATTTAAAACCAATATTTATTCTTTCTATTTAAATCAGTCAATTTTTAAATTCATAAATAAACTATTTTGACACAAACAACAGTGAGCATGAGAAAGAATTTTTGTCTTTGAACAAGAATTCGATCAAGTGCCGTGCGTCATCATCATCATCAATGTTTTCATCAAGTTACGATTTTTCCACAACAAAAAAACTTATCTTTTTATCGAGAATATTCACACGATAGATTTGATTATGATTTTTCCACAATCATCAAACTTATATGGTTGCTGAGTAATAATAACGAAAACAAAACAAAAAATAGGAAGCCAAATTCCTTTTCATCAGAAAAAGAATTTGGAATTTCTGACGCACACACGTATGCACACAATTTTGTTTGTGAAAACGTGTTTTTTTGTTTGTTTGTGGTTCATTACATTCATCACCCAAAATAAATGAAAAACATTCAATATAAATCAAAATAGGAAAAAGAATTACTAAGAATTATTACTAGATGGATGGCTAAATGCACACACATACACACGCACACAGTAGTTTGATTTAGAGTGTAAATAGAGGATTCGAACAGAATTGAACAGAATATATACTAGAATCTCAAAAATCTCTAATTCCGAATAAAATAAATGGCCAAAATGAACATTTTCTGATGATGATAATCGCATATGATGATAACATCTTTTGAATTTATTGTGATGGAAACAAAACAAAAAAATTTTTGGTGATTTTTCTTCCTTTCAACCAAGCAAATTGTTTCACACATTCTAGTTGTTTTGTTCTATTCTTCATTCTGAATTCCGTTTAGTTTTTTTTCTTCATTAAATACACACTGAATCAAAATTAACGATAAAAGCAAGACAAGAAAAAATAAAAAATTCGAGCATGAAATGATGCCTGAAGCTGTCGATTGCAGCAACCAGCAACAACATACAACTTATAATTATAACAAAACTGAATTGAAAAAACAAAAATAAACAACTGTCATAATTGAACAATGGCTTTGTTGTTGTTGTTGTTGTTGTTGGTGGTGGTGGTGTTTGAAAAACGCTGAAATAACAAAACAAAAAAAATGATGAAAAATCAAAAAATTAAAATGCATCACCCACACACACACACACACACACACACATGCAGAATTCATCACTTAATAATAAAATAAACAGCGGGTAAATGGAATCGAATCAAAAAAAAAAAAATTTCATTCATAAAATGAATTGTTAGAAAATAGAAAATCCTTCGAATTTTTTTTTTTCTACTCTCACTTTCTCCCTTTCTTGTTTTGGTTAAAATCATCATCATCGATCATTCCAATTTGTGTGTGTGTGTGATGAAAATTTTTATTCTCTTGTGGTTAATTCCAAGTAGAAGAGAATCAAAAAAAAAAAATTCACTTGATTTAACCGCCAATAACTGATGGTGGTAATGATGATGATGGTGGTGATGATGTGAAAAAAAGGGTTCAAAAATTCTTTGCGATGAAAAAAAAAGTTCTAACAAAAACAGCAACAACAAGATTGATCTGTGATGGTGAATCTGTGATTGATTCTGGTACAAAACTAAGCGAATGGGGAGTAATAAAAAAATTTAATTAACAAAATTCAATCCGCTTGTAATTAATTCTAATCATTCATGAAAAAAAAATTAGAGTTATAATCCATTAATATTCAATTTGATTTTGAATCTGGATGTTGTTTTTTTTTGTTTGTTTGTGGGAGAAAATTTTCATTTTTTTTTTTTTTTTGCGCGCCATTATATATTACATAATAGATCATTAATCAAATTGATTTGTTTTTTTTTGTTCTTGTTGTTTTTTTTGTTCTAGTTTACACATTACTTGCATTGTATTTGGCCGATGTAAGCAATGTTATATTATTTCATCTGGTACATATTTGTACATTTCGTTTGAAATTTTCATCATCATCATCATCATCATCATCATCATCGTCATCATCATCATCATCGTCGTCATCATCGACAGCAACCAATGATGAACATACAACAACATTTAATCGTATCATAATGATTGCATCAGCCGATATGGCTGTAAAATGTCCACCAGATCGTTTATTATTTCCATGTAAATGTCATCATAATGAACATATTATATGTACAGAATCAATGACCTATAGCTTGATGCATGTATTTCGTGCCATTGGACAATCAATGTATCAATCGATGAATATTCATTATCATTTGTCATCATCATCATCATCATCGATTGATAAAACATCCGATCATCAGCCACCAATACCATTATTTAATGAACTTATTCTATCAAATAGTTATTGGAATGAATTAGATGATAATCTATTTCAATATGTTCGTTTTCAACGTATCATTATGATTGATATGAAATCATTAATACGTATACATTCGAATGCATTCAATGGTACCAATAATGATGTACAATATTTAGAGATTAAAGGTGATGGAATAAATCTAAGAATTACAAAAAAAAAAAAAAAAAATGAAAATTAAAAACAAAAATTCATTAATCAAAGAAAGTGATTAATATATTCTTGTTTATTCTTTTTTTTTAGGCGAAAATAAACTTGGCCAAAAATATATTAATCAATTATTCGATGCCTTAAGTTCATTACAAATGGCAAGAGAAATGCGTTTAGAATTGAATCAATTAGATATGATACCAAGTTATGCATTTCGTGATATACAGATGAATTATCCATCATCATCATCATCATCATTTGATCAACAAAATATGGTTGAAAATTGGAACATAATGAATCGAAGACGTATTCGTTTGGAACGATTACATATCATTTCAAAATCATTAACACAAATATCAAGTTATGCATTCTATGAGCTCAATACATTACGATCAATAAGGATTCATTCAAAACATAATGATGGCCTACAAAGAATATCGGCACATGCATTCGATCTAGCACAACCATTAAGTCATCCATTGACAATTGATTTACGGAAAAATCAATTAAAATTATCTTCATTTGAATTGGATGCCTTTCAACAGGTTAATCGACCAGTACATTTGGATTTATCGGAAAATAATCTAACATCAATACCGCAAACAATATTTGAACGTTTTCTCAATACAGATGTTAAGAATACGATACGTATAGGTGAAACAAATCCATTACGTTGTGATGATTGTTACCTTTATTGGCTATTAAAAGATCGACAAATTTATTCTTCACAAATACATGATGCTATTTGTCAATCGATTAATGCCAATTTATGGCGTCTAGATGAATCAACATTTCGACCATGTTCACAGGATGAACATTATCAACCACAATTAATCTTCCGTAATAGTGCCCATTCTATTCATCAACAATTATCATCATCTACGATGACAAATACAAAACAACCAAATCGACATCATCATTATTATCATTTAACATTTCTTTTTTCATCATTTATAATGATTTTATTAATATGAAAAAAAAATTTTAAAAATATCAATAATAATATGAATCGATAAATAAATGTTTAATTATTGACCCTTAAATAAATGAAAAATTCTTCGACAATTCTGTAGATGTGAATGTGAAAACAACGAAAACAATTTTTTCCACTTAATCATTTCGCCAAATTCAACCAAGCTGAAATTATGTTTCATGTTTCATGTTATCATGGGTTTTTCCATCATCATTCGAATTCGAATTCTAATTCTATTTTGACAGATGTTGGTTCTTGTTCCGTGTGTGTGTGTCGGGTGTGTAAGTTTTTCTTTTGATTTCGACCCAAAGAAAGAAAAAAAATGACATGATTTTTACATTTGATCCTACATCATTTGATAGTGGTAGAAAAAATCTGGTTAACAAAATATTTCAACCATGAAAACAATCATCGTATCACACACACACACACACAGACTAAAATAATTATTTTATGGTGATGATTGAATTTCAATTTTTAGAAACGGAAAAAATTGAATTTTTTTTTTTCGATTTTACAATCCACAAATTTTTGATAATCAAAATTTAAATTAATTTTATTAAAACACAAGAAAAATTCACGTTCGATTCAATGGGAGGAAATAAAAAATCAAACGGGAAACCATCCACCAAATCATCAGTAAAAGTTCATCATCATTCATTCATTCATTCACCGTTTACTATTTGAGCCAATTTTTATTGATTATTAAAAAAAGAAAAAAAAATTTGTCGATTTATAATTTATGAATAGACCAATGGATGGATGGATGGATGGATGGGTGTGGAAAATGTGAAAATATGTTGGTCGTTGGGGTTGGTGTACATGGCGGTATTCTTTGTCTTTGTTATATAATAAAAAATATTAAATAATAAAACATTGCATAGAAAAAGAAAGGAGAAGATAGATAGAAAAAATTCCATATGTTAAAAAAAAAGAAGAAAGACAGACATTCTAAATGTGTATGCTTGTATGTTGCAGATGAATGGATCGATGTTCAACGGTGATGATGATGATGATGATGAATTTGAATGTATTGGCATGATTCGAATTCTGATTCTTGTTCAAAAAGAATCGATCGATCAAATAATAATAATAATGATGATAGAAAAAATATGAAGAATCTCATCTGCTCTGCATGTGTATTTGTAATATATATTATATAAACGAGGTGCTATTATCATTTGTCAGCATTTAACTTTTGACAAGAATATTCTTGATGTTGTTTTTGGCGGTGTTTTTGTTCTTGTTATGCATATTATTATTATTATCATCATTTTTTTTCTATATGATGATGATTATTATAATCACACATTTCAGTTTGATGTATAAAATTTATGGATAATTGTTTGCCCATTTTTTCATTGATTATTGTTGTTGGTCGTGGTTGTCGTTCTTGATCAATATTATTTTTGACATTAACACCATTGTCATTGTCGTTATCATCATCATCATCATAAAAATTTTTGATTCGATCAGCAAAGAATATCATTATAAAATCAAATATGCTGCCAAGTGCCATGAAAAATACGCATGCACCATGAAAATAATAACGGAATTTCTCTTGATCATATAGCCAACAATTTCCTGTTTTACCACAACTTGATTCCCAAACTAAACAAGCAGCATCGGCAATACTACCAAATATTAATGGATATGGGATGAATGCTATTGAGGCGAAAAAAAAACAAGTAAATAAAGATGTAAAAAATGAGATTTAAATGTGTGTGTGTGTGTGTTTGTTTTCAGACAAACCCAAAATGGCCATGAATGATGATGCAGCACCCATTGTGAATCCTTTATCCATTGGTTCGACTGATCGGAATGAAATCAATGCATTAGCAGTACGAGCAGTAGATGATACGATAGCACCACAAAGTACAACAATTAGATAGGTAAATAAATTCGTACAATTATCAACATCACTTTGACAATAACCGATTGTTGCTTGACTATTTACATCGTTTACACATGAACAATCGGTAAGTGTTTGATTCGAATCAAACATTTGTCTACAGCCAGCATAACAAGGTGAAAAATATGTTGTACGTCCATCGGCACCACAAACCGGTGAAAATGAACTAACTGTACATGAACAATGCTGATTACATGGAGCATTCAATGCGAATCTATGAAAAAAAAACAATAAATCATTCTATATAAATAATCGAAACATTTCATAACAATACCTCCCCATTGAATCATAATGACCATCAATCTTCAGTGGATCACAGCCCAAAAACATTCCGGAACCAAGTGTGAAAATTGATAAACCTTCAACAATGAACACATAGATCAATATAAAATGAGTGGACGGTCGAAACAATGAGATAATTGCACCGCCAAGCAATATACCGATGGCCATTGGCATGATCGATGTTGTACCGGTTATAAAACTGGCCGATGATGATGATTGTCGAAATTGTGATTCAATATATTTTGTTTTCAACATAATATATCCACCGATACCGATATAACGGAATATACTACCGGCTAGATATAGCATGATAACCGGATTTGTAAGAAAACGTTTCAATGCCTGTATACTACCACCGGCTGCTTTCATTTTCTTTTTCATTTTATCTGCTTTTACAGATGCATTTTTTAATTGTGCCGGAAACAAAAACAATGGTAATGTTGCAATAAATAATAAAACACCAACGATACAGAATGCAAGCCACCATGCACCGACAAAACGTGGATCTTTTCGTGTGATTCCCGGATCAACTAAATGAAACAAGAAAAAATTAATTTAAAATAATGCTAAAGTCATCAGAAATAAAAACGAACAAACAAAATATTTACCGAAAAGGATTTTCAAAAAATCTCAAACAAAATGATGACAATAAATAACCACTAGCCGGACCAATCAATCGTATGGCTTGTATGATGCTCATATACATTGGAGAATTTTTCTTGCCAACATTATCATCCAGATAAGGAAAACCGATGACAAAAAAACAGGTAAAACCAATACCTCTGAAAAAACTACCGAAAAATAAAATCACCACAGCCAACCATTTTGTATGACCACGATTATTTGTACATTTCATTTCATTCATTTCTGCATTATCATCTGAACACAATTCGAATGGTTTACGATTTTGAAACATTGAAGGACCAGCCAATATTGGTATTGTTGACGTTGTTGTTGTTGTTGTTGTTGTATTTGAAATATTCAAAGACCAATTATTATTAGCAGCAATGGTCATATTATTATTATTCCCATTATGTACAAATAATTCGGCCGGTCCATAGATAAAATATGGCATAGCTGTTAAGAAACATGAGAATGCCAAAAACATTTCACTGAATGCAATCAATCGTGCACGATTAAAACGTACGGCAATATAGCCAACAATTGGACTTAACTTTAAAAAAAAAATAAATGATGATTTGAAATTAGAAATTGAAAAAAAAGAATCGTCATCATCATCATTATCATACTTACCATAAATTGTGAAATATTATCAGCAATCAAAATGATTCCAGAAATTCTTGAATCGAATGCATAACGTTTTTCCAATGTACTCATTGTGGAAAAAAATATCGGTCCATTCATACTTTGTATAATACCAACCAATGATAGATTGATAAGAAAAAATATTGGATTGGAAAATATTTGCAACCATTTTGGACGCCAAGAACCAATACCACAGGATGTTAATTCATTATCATCATCATCATCATCAATATTCTTATTCTTATTATCATCATCATCATTTTTATTATGTTGATCAATAGCAAAATTATTCTGATTTTTAAAAACGACGGACGAATCTATCGATTTTCGATAATTTGACATTATATTTTTTTCCACTTGATTTATTAGTGTGATAGATAGATATTTGGATGAATTGAAAAATTTGTAAATCTGTAATAGAAATGAAAAACAAAATTATTGTTGAATAGTTATTGAATGTTTGATGATGAATAATGAATAAAAATAATGAAAATCAGTGTTATTCAGCCATAATCATCAATAGTTTCAACAACAAAAAAAACTTATCATAATCATTCGATTTAAATAAAATAAACGGTATCGGTTTTTTTTATGATTTTCTGTTTTCATTCAAATTGATAAATGTGGGTAATATCGTCCATTTATAGACAATATCATCATCATCATCAATAAATCAATCAATCAATTTGTATAAAGTGATGATGATGGATCATATTACTAAAATCGAATCAAAATAAATGAAACAAGAACAAAAACAGAAAAAAAAATTTGAACTTTGTCTATGGGGAAAAAAATGAGCAAAAAAAATTTTTTTTAATACAAAAATTCAAAAACAAAGAAAAAAAGAAAAAGTCGGTCAAACCATCAAATTTGGTGGATTTTTTCCTTTCTTCTTGTCCGTTTTGCAGGATGAGAATAATAATAAAAAAAATTGACAAATGTAAACAAACCACAGACCAACACAATCACAAAAAATCTGGTAATGTCACATTAAATTAAAAAAAAAAAAAAAAATAAAACGAAAACATCATAATTATAGGGAAAGAAAATCTTATTTTTTCATCACTAATTCATTCATAAAACAACCTGATTCAACAACAACAACAACAACAGGTTGTCACTAATTTCAGAGACACGCAAAACACACATTAGAAACACACCGAATTAATGGCATTGATAATTTTATACGGTAGTTGTATTTTTGTGTGTTATTAAATTTTTTTTTGTTTCTTTTCATTACGAGTTTTAAATTTCACATTACTATTTGCACTTTCACATTGTGTTGTTAGCCTTTATACACACACACACCTACACTGTAAATGCAGCTAAAAACACATGACAAACAAAATATATAAAACAGTCATGTCAAATTTCGAATCATCATCATTTGTCAACCAAGTGAAAATGATAATAAATTCGTTTATTTTAATTGAAAAAAAATTGATTAATCAATCAATCAATCTTATTAATAAAAAAAATGACAAAAAATGTTGTTTGACTACTTACCAGGTGATGGTTTGATTTTTTTTTCAGATGATAATAACGGTGATTGTTCGCAACGTTAATGATAATGATGATTATAATGGTCGTCGTCGTCGATGATGATGATGATGATGATGATCAATATTTATTTAAACATGATTTTTATTTAATCGTGGATTCTTCAAAAAAAAACAACCAACATCATCACGGTGGTTTTTTTCGGATTCTCGTTTCGAATGTCTTTGATGACGAATTTCGAATGGTTTTTTTTTCTTCATCCACAACAATATATCTGTTTGTCTATTTGTCTGTCTGTATGCTGCTGCTAATGCTTAGCACGTTTGACATTGGACATAACTACGACGACGACGACGACGATTAAATCGATGATGAAATATTGTTCATGGTTCCGCTATATTATGTCAATCATTTTTGTCGATTATTACGTAATATATTGATCATTACATTCCATAAAAAAATTTCCAGTCCATCAATTTACGTTTTGTTCTTCCGTTGAAGGTTGCGTTTATTTTTCTAATTTTTTTTCTACGAATGAAACAAGTTTTCTATTTTCATTCATTTTCAACGATCATGATGATGATGATGATGAGACAATCAACAACAAGTGAGGGCAATAACAACAACAACAACAACAACAACGACGACGACGATGAAAACTTTTCATTATGCAACGACAATGAATGAATGAATGAATTTACATTCGATAAGACGTAATAATAGGCCACACATTTGAAACTTTTTATTCATTTCATTTCAAAATATATCAAAAACAGAAAATGTAAATGAAAATCAAAACAAAAAAAAAAAAAAACAAAACAAAGACTTAATGATAGAGATAGAAGATTAATACATACAACACACAATATGTGTCATATATTTTGGATGGATGAACAGAACAGAACTGAACATATAAAGATTAAACTGCCATTAGAATACAGATAGTAATACAAAGTAATAGAAAATAACCGATTGTGGCTGAAATTGAATTGAGAAAGAATAAGAAAAATGAATTATAAAAATTTGTACAAAGATTTGTCAACATATCATTGATGATTGGTGTGATCGATTCACATTCAACAGTTTGTACAACATTATCAACTTCGATAGTTATTGGTTTCAATTGTTGTACAGTTGGTTTTAGCTGTTTTAAATCAGAACAAAGTTGTCGTACATTATCAATTTGTGATTCATATTGTTGACATTCATCAATAATATTAACAAAATTTTCATCAACATTTTTCAATTGTTGACGAGCATCGATCATGAATTGATGAATTTTGGCAAATAAACTTTGCAAATCTTCCGAATCATTTGATGATGATGATGATAATGTTAAATTTTCCCAATATGCCTGAACAAAAAGAGGCCGTTGTGTTTGACAATAGAGATAATAATCAAAATTCTTTCGTAATGATACATCCATTTCGAGTGTTTGTGGTAATTGTTTAGAATAAAGACAAAAATCTGAACCAGCAACAAGACCAATAAAACTGATTGTACCAAACAATGCAATCATTAACATGAAAATGTAGCCAAAAACACATGAACAGCCACGAAGACAGCCATGAAATAATCCAATGATGAATATGATTGTAAACAATGACAATACAATCAATGTAATTAATAATGCTTTTCGAATATCACTTTGATAGACATGACAATGTTCATGGGATTTATCTAATTGATTAAGAATCTCTTCAAGATTGCCATTATTTTGGATTTGATTTTCGATATCATTCAATGATGGCCGTATTTTTACACTGATTTTATCATATTCAGATTTAATACTTTCGAATTTTTCCTTTATATCGGCTATATTTATTGTATCCAATTCATTTTTGATTTTTGCCATTGATTTATCTATATCATTGAATATTATTTCAACTTTATCGATTATGATGGCTAAAAATAAGACAAAAAAAAAACAAAGTAGAAATTTAATTAAACAATTAAAAAAAATGATGTGTTCACTTACTTGTTTTATTAACATCTTTAATCTTATCAACAAACAAGTCAATTGTATCACAAGTTTTCAATGTAAAATCATTAAATTGTTGTTGACCAACGAAACCAATGATATAGGTGACCATCGTAAGAATAGTGATCAATATAATGATTATTGATGAAAATTGACAACAATTATTACGTTTACGTTGATACTGGTAATTGTTCATCGGAATTTTAGCCGAACTTCGAAAAAAACAAGTACAACAACATAATAGTAAAAGTATAAATGTTAGCAAGGTAAAAACGATACCAGACATAATGGCAAAAGTGGCCATTTGATAGCCATATTCTTGAAGATCATGGTCACGGATTGTTGCAACTGATCGACGAAAATCCAATCCATAACGAGAAATACTATGAAAATCATTAACCAATGTTGATATATTATAGCCCGAACCATTGGTCAATGGTACGGTGTCGAAATCCATTGTTTGTTTGATAATGTGAAGATTCTGACCAACTTGTAGGTTTTCAAAACGAGTACAATAGTAAAAATATCGGCAGTATAAAAAAAGGAATATTGTTATATTATGTTTAACTTGTTGGAATGTTGTAATCAATATCCTTATTAATAATAGGTGGATCAATGGATAACAGAACAGTAACGATATCGGATCAATCAGTCACATTAATCATTCAATTTAATCAAATAGTCAACAAATGATTTTTTTTCCAAGACATTTATAAATGGTTGACAATAGCAACAAATGAAATTTATAATCAAAAATGATTTTTTGAAATACAATGGAGATATGTATGACAATACGGAGATCAAAACTTTGGCTTTGAGTGTGTGTGTGTGATGTATGTGTGCTCATAATTTAAATGGAAATTTGATAATCGAACAAAAAAAAATAGAAATAGAAATAGAAATAAAAATGATATATATCAACTTGATGCAATCACACACACAAACACAGAGAGACAAACAAACAATCCAACAACGGATATATACAAGAAAAAAAAACAATGAATTCGAAAATCAACAAAAAAAGTTGTTATTCATAAACTATGTTACCCGGTTACAATATATATACCACGGAACTTGAGAATCCTGACAACAACAACAACAAGAAAAATCGAATCATCAATTGAATTTATTTTCATTTTTCAAATGTAAAACATTCCAAACCAAAAAAAAAAAATCATGTCATAAAAATTTCTGTCTTTGTCATTTTTTTTTATTTTATGATTCTGATGACAAAGTTGTTAGTCATAAATCAACACCTAGTGTTGATACATTCATAAATATTAGATCGTCAAGATAAGATTATTATTATTATTATCATATCAAATGAATTGAAATAAAGAAGAAGAAAGAAAACAATAATGTATTTGACATACAAAATTTAAAAAAAAAAATTGACAATTTTTCCTGTATATTGCTAAAATGTTTGATTAGTTAGTTGCACGAATAATAATTAGTGATGATGATGATGATGATGATGATTTTTTGAAATAAAATCATGTTTTTTTTCTTACTGTTATTGTTGTACGTGTTTCATATTAATTTAGACTAGAAAATGATGCAAAGAATCATTTGAATAAATCAAATTTTGAGTCTTCTTGTTGTTGTTGTTGTTGTTGTTGTTGTATCCCATTGATTATTGTATTGAACATCCACTTTCATTTGATTGATCATGTGATGTTTGTATCGGTTTCTCTTTTATCTCTTCAATCTGTGGTTCTTTTTCTTTATTGATTTTTTTCTGATCCTAGATATAAATGATAAAAGAAAAATTTTTTTTTTTTTTCGTTGATCAAATTTCAAATTATATCAACAAAAATGTTAATCATTTCAAGAAAATTGGATACATACAACAGCAATATCAAAGGCAAAATATGCTTCACTATTCCATAATTCATTCAATGTTGGTAATGTAAATTCTTCGGGTGCCACTAAACCATGTGTTGCTTTGGATTCCAATGATGGACAATCAGTAGGCACTTTTTGATGAAAACTATTTGTAATAAAAATAATTAATCAATGAATTATTGTTTTCAAAACATCGACATACATGAAACCATTTTCACGGACACATTTTTCCTTGATTCGTGCTACCAATGGCCGTAGATTACGGAAGAATAAATGTTCATCAATTTTGGCATTCATACCATTTTTCACCTGTTCTTTTATCGAACTATATTCACGACATAATTTTTGTGCACGTTGAAAATGTTTTTCACTTTCTTCCAATGCTCGTATAGCATCACCACATTTTTCTTGCGCCAATAATGATTCACCTAGATAGCAATAAGCCTATGATGATGATAATCGAACAATATTTATAAATTCAAATCATCAAATCATTATAAACAAACAAAAACTTACATAAGATTCATATACAGCCGCTTTCAATTCCAAATATGTTAACCATTTATTGAACATTTTATTCTTCAACGATTTAATCGAAGTTGCAGCCGTACTAAACATTACAAATGTATGATGTGCAAGTGATGAAATCAATGATGCATTATGTTTCATTTCAATTGCACGAGCAATGGTCACTTCTTGTGCTTCAGCCTGACATGTTACCTGATAGGCATTGATGACGTGTATATCTAAATCGGAACCAGTGGCCAATTTTTCCGTTAATTGTCCAACCCTAAATGTATCCATGTTAGATTGAAGATGAAAAAAAACAATGAAAACAATAACCACTTACCAATGAGTTTGAATGAAACTGAAAATACCAGCTGCACGTTTTAATGAATTATGTACCTGTTTAGCTGAATCCATATCGATTTTATCCTGTGCTGCGATCCATGTCGAATGTTTCATCAACCATAATGCATATTCATAAAGAATTGAAATCAATTCAAATACACTATCATTATGTTTTTCGGTTGTTCCTGAAATTTAGAAAAAAAATTTAATGAATGAAAAAAAACAAATGAATGAATCGTCCGTATACCGATAACCGAATTGGTCCATTTAAATGGTATTAAATTTCTTAATCTTGAAGTTTGTGTTGGTGAACGATCTTTATCCAAATGGAAACAAAGAATAAATCCTTGTAACAGTGAAAGATAGGTTTTGATTGTTTCATGAATAATGGTACCATCGGAACTTGGATCGGGAATCAATTCAATGATTGTAGCACGAGCTTTCTGTAATGCAACACATATCTGAATTGCTGATGTTTGTGCCGATTTTAGAGGTAGATTAAATTTTAATGCAGCAGTACTTTTCAAAGGATTACGGTGATACCATTGAGACATTTTTTTTTCTTCTAAAAATTATTGTTTGTTTTATTTTTTTGTTCCAGAATTGAATCGTGGCGTAATAAATTTTTTTTTTTTTTTTTTTGATTAATCAAAACAAAAAATTGAGCTATTTTAACCCATTGTAGAAATAGTGAGCGCAGGTGTTTACGCCTCAAATTTTTCAAAAAAAAAAAAAAAAAAAAAAATTAAAGACTTTTTTATTATTGTAAAGCGAGAAAAAACAAATATTCAAGGATAAAATTAAAAAAAAATACACATAAATCATACATTATTATAAATTGAAGGATTTGGTTGAATTGTTAAATATTCAAGGTGATAAATTTGCCATATTTAATCTTTCCAATTATGAGCACATTTTTCACAACGATAATACGTTGTCATTGGTTCATCAGCTGAACGTGTTTGCATTTGAAGATAATATGCACGATTATGTGTACATTTGGGACATTTTTCTTCAGCAATAGATGCCGATGCCCATTGATCACTATCCTTGATGATTTCCGCTTTCAATATTTGTCTTAATGGAACAAATGATAATGAAGTGATACCTTTTTTAAATGATGAATTACATTGATAACAGCTTAGGTCTATATTTGATGGACAAAATGGATCTTTAGAAAAAAATTTCGATGATGAATAACATAATAGACCGCCACAAAAATCACAAAATAATCACGAAATGATAATTCCATGATTTTTAGTAAAATGAAAATTTAGACAAGAATTTTTTCGAATTGGTGTGTCGATTGTTTGTATGCGAACATGTGATGGCCATAATCTTCAACGTATAAACCGGGCATTCGAATTTTCTCACTTCATCATCATATGAAATTGACATTCGAATTTTCATTCGATTAGATTAAATTCGTTAAAATTTCTTACCAAATTTATTCGTTAATTTGGGAACAATAAAAATCATTGATTAGATGATAATTAATGATCAACACAATGACTAGTAAAACGAATGCACCTAGTACGATTTCCGATACGAAAAATCATCTGGCTGAATTGATCAAAAAACGAGCCGAAATGCAGGTATGTTTGTTTTCAATGAAAATTTAAACTATTTGAATATTTGAATTGTTTCACATTTTGAATAGCAATCATTACGGACATTGGAACAACAGATTTACAATTTTGAAGGATCATATCTTGAAGATACATACCAATATGGTAATATTATTAAAGGATGGGAACGATATCTATCGACAAATCGAACGAATCAATCCAGTTCGGATAGAAAAAATGTTCGAAAATTCAAGGAAGCTGATCGTTTGTTTTCCAAATCATCGGTCACGTTTCAGGTATTTGTTAATTTATCTAAATAATCTGATTTTCAACATCTACATTTACTGTTTATAATGCAGTTAGTAAAAGATAATGAACATGGACAGAATGAAGCAGATATACATAATGCAAATAGTGGATCTGAAGATGGTAGGTGATTCATTCAATTCCAATCATCATCATCATTATTATTATTAAATTTCTGTACAGGCGAATCAAATTCTGTTGATGAAAATATGAACTCTTCAAAATTATCCAAAGTATCGAATAAATCGAAAAAGAATATGGCCAAACGACCGAAAAAGGATGATTAATCTGCTCAACATATATTGTTCTCAATTCTTTGATTTTTTTTCCATTATCTGCAACGAAATTCTGTATTTGTATCCGAAAAAAAGAACAAATCGAGAGAAAAATTATGCTGTACATTTATTCATTTATTTTTTCAACTATTATTATATTCATTATTTCATATTTGTAACGTTTTTAAAAACAAATTCTAAACATTAACAACAACATTTTGTAATGATTGCCATGGTGGTTTCATATTGTAATAAAAATTATTAGTAGTATTATTATCATTTAACGATAATAATCGATGATTTTGATTATCTGCAATTCTTGTAGAATCGTATTTTTTAGTAAAAAATCCCAACAATCGATTATTATTATTATGATTATTATCATTATTCGTACAAAAATCGATTGTAATTGATCGTTTCATCTTCATTATTTTTTCCATACTATTCGATCTACCATCATTATCATTATTATCATTATTATTACGATGATTGTGATTACCAAAAAATAATTGTGTAAAATATTGTCGAATAGATGATCTAGTAGTAGTCATATTGATTACTTCATCATATGATGGTAGATCGATTGTCAAAGGCATTTCAATTGTTTTCATTGGATTCATATCATCCAACATTGTTGTTGTTGTCGTTGATGTTGTTGTAGGAACATTATTCAGACCTTGAGCAAAATTATCGGAACATGTTAAGATTGCTTCCGAATAACTCGGTGCAATCAAATAATTTGAAAGACTAATATTATTATCAATAGATTGTGAACGATGATTACATGATGATTGCTGTTGTTGAGACGATTGATGAATATCCATAATTGTCTGTTGTTGATTGTTGTTGAGCAGACCAAATAACTTCACAACCTAATTTTTTTTTGTTGAAAAAATAAAAAAATTTAAAATTTGTTTTTGAAATTTTTTAAAAAATTAAATTATATACCCTGTAATTAACATAGGCAGTATTATATTCAAGAATAATACGAAATGGCCATGAAAGAAGAATGGCTGAAAATATCCAAAACATTGATGGTCGACAATACCAATGCCAATTATACAGGCCTTTATCATCATCAGTGGATAATGTAATGATTGAATCATAAAAATCAATACCATCCAGATCGATACCTTCACGTATTTCAAGATATTCATCAAGTTTAAAATTACGATGAAAAAAATTCGTTCGTTGTCGATCAAATTCTTGTGCCGATTGTTCATCGATGAAAACGAATCCCTTAAAAAAACGTATCCGTGTGATTGGTGCACGATCAATATCGATTAATCTATCGGAAATATCTTCAACATTAAATCGATCTTCATATTGAAAACGTGCATTCGAATATCGTGTATCGATTCTTTTACGTCCCAAACGTCTTTGTGTAATATGATTCGATCGAATTTCGGTTGTAGATGAAGAGGCAGCAGCAGTTGTCGTATTAACCATTTGACAGGCCGATTGATTATAGTAACGTACATAATGATATGATGCTATAATCAAAATAAATGAAATAAACGAAAAAATAAATATCGATTTCAACACACCGATATTTGATGATGATGATCAAAAAAAAAAAAAAAAATAGAAATAGAAAAAAAGAGATAAGAACAACATACCAGCTTTCCACCATACAATTGGTTTTGCCTGTCTCATCTGGTCAATATGATCCATTACATATTGGATACGTTTTCCGTTAACCTATATTTGAATGCAAGAATAGATTACAATGTGGAACAAAGAAAAATCAGTTTTCGGACTTTAAGTTTAAAGAAAGAATTGTGAATTTTTTTTCTGGCTAAGATTTCAATGCAATTTTTCTTTCCGACTTTCTCTTCGAATCAAGATATGTGTAGTGGGTAAGGATTCTCTATTGAAGAATTGCTTGAATGGAATTACTGAAGAACAAAAAAAAATGGAAAAAAAGTTTGCTCATCTAATATGAACATCATATCATGAATGAGGAAAACTTTTGGCTGCTCTATTGTTCAAGAGATTTTTTCGATTTCGTTTCGTTGGTTGGACAGGCCTAAAGAGGGATTTGTGACCCGATTTCTTTATTGTTTGCATGAATGAAAATGGAAAAGTTTTTTTTTGCAGAAAAAAAGTCAAATGGGAAAAAAACGAACTTACCAACACAAATCTAGTTGAACAATGATAACATTCAACCGTATAGGCTAAATATAATAGAAGACCAATGATGATCAATATGGACATTTGTATTGATTGATTATCAAAAATTTGATCACCATTATTGTCATCATTATTGTTGTTATCGTTATCTTCATTATGAACCATACATTTACGTCCAAAATGTTGTACTGAATATGGTCTAGTTTTACATTTATTCGATTTCGATAAAGACGATGATGATAACGGACCATTTATAATCTAATAATGGAATGAAAAAAAAATTCTTTCATTATTCTTTCATTGGTATTAGAGATTATAGAATCAATTAATCATTGAAAAATAAAAGTGATAAAAAAAATTCCTAAGAATTAAAGAATAACTATGTAGATATACGTATAACATGTATGTGTGTGTGTGTGTGTGTTTGGAAAGAGGCATTTCTTAAATTGAAAGATTCGAATTTCATTACGAAAATGGAATGTGGATAAACTTACATTTAATTTGATCAATGTTTGTCGCCAATTATCCAATTGCATATAGAATATCAATAACATTATACCATATATTAATAATGTAAGGCATAAACAACGTCCATGTAATTTATATAATCGTTGTTGAACTGAATTTTTCATAAATGTTTCCCGTAATGATTGTCGTTGTGGATATTTGATCTATTAAGATGATTGAAATGTAAAATAAAAAACCATTAGAAAAATGAAACCAAATTATTAAAAAGAAATTATCATGATTTCTACATGTCCATCTCGATTCATTCATTCATTCATTCATCCATCCAAAGATTGCACACATTCGAACACAATCGATATTTTTTTCCAACAAAAAGAAAATAATCGATTGTTTCGAATTCGAATAGAATTCGAATCATTCTTATTTTTTCTGAAACAATTTATTATTGTTCATCCAAAATAGAAGATTCTTATTTTTTTCCGTTCAATTTCTTAAACTTTGATCAAGTTATCATTATTATTATTATTTGACTTTGGTTTTAGTTCGTCTTCTTTTTGTTTATTTTTTCAATCATAAAACTCCGTACTCCAGTTTTATAGTCGATGAGGTTGATATAATTGTCTTTTTTTTCATGATTTTTCTTATTAACTTTTTTTCCATTCTTTCTATAGGTTTTTTTTACGAAACAGAAATAAATTGACTTCAATTTTTGGTAGCAAAGAAAAAATGATCCAATAAAATGAAGAAAATTCTTGACGTTTTTTTTTCTTATTTGAGATTGGATCATTCTGGCATTCGATTGGACGATTGTGTTTGTTTTTATTCATTTCAAACTAATAATAATAATAATAATAATGGCACCACCATAATTCAGGCATGGAAAGAAAAACTAAACGATAACCTTAATACTAATATATATGACGACAACGAGACCTTATTAAAGCCAATGTGTAGATTGAAATGAAAAAAAATGAATTAAATTATTGCCATCAAAATAATAATCATCATCAGCAAAACAAAAAGATGGAAAATTTCTAAGAAGAATGAAATTTCATTGGCAAGACAGAAAAAAAACATTATTTCTAAATTATAATTGAGAAACGGTAAATTCAATATTATTCGATCGAATATATTATTAAGGCCGTACATCAACAACAACAACATTGAAAATGTCGAAAACAATCTCCAATAGAGAAAATTGAATGAATGATATATCATTAAAAATAATTCAGTTGATGGAACAGAAAAACAAAACAAAAAAAAAAATGGAAAACAGACAAACACAGATGCTAAATGCCAATGGCAAACATGGAACAAATATACGAAAACAAAAACAAACAAAAAAAGAAGACAAAACTTTTTTTGTTTTGCTTTGTTTTCGTTATTTTTGTTGTTGTTGTTGTTGTTGAATGGAATTCTGACATCTTGATGATGAACACGCAAATACTATAGCCTGTGTGTGTGGGTCTGGAAACCAGAATTGGGCGAGGCGAGAATTGGAACCATAATTTTTCCACAATTCTTTGGCCTTCATTTTTTCGGTTTTTTTTTTCCCAGTTGTTTTTGTTGTTGTTATCCCAGAAACTTTTATGTTTCTGTATTCTGAGCTGAATTTCCTGTTTGTTTATTTTTTTTTTTTTTTTGATTTCAGATTGAATTTGTTAGTCATTTATCAGCGGTTCAATGGCATTTTTTAGAAATCCATCTTGGATCGTTTGGTTGAAACACTGAAGATGAGAATAAAAGAACAAGAAGAAAGAAAAACTAAAAGGAAATGGGATTCTATAGGATCATTTTGTTATTGTGTGTGTGTGTGTGTGTGTGATTTGAATGAAGAATGAAAAGAACAAAAATTTCATTTCTTCAATAACAAATTTTTCTTTTTCTTTTTTTTCATCTTGGATGAAAATTATAGTCTGTGTGTGACAAGGATACATCTAGAGATAGAAAAAAAATGAATGGATCGTTCCTCCTTTTTTTTTTTTCTCATTCTTAAGAACCAGAAAGCGAAACGAATTCCATTCGAATTTCCGTTTTTTTTTCGTTAAACATGGCGAACATCTTATTCAAAAAAGAGAAAAAAAACACGATGAATTTTTTTTTTGAAATGGAAAAGTTTATCAACAATAAATGGTACTATTTGCTAAGCAATAACATAACGAAAAAAAAAATAAAAAAGAAATCAACAACAAACACGAGAAAGAAAAAAAACACACACACACAGGAAACCAGGAATTCTATAGGGAACCAACCATCACCACCACCAAAAAAAACGAAGAATCTTTCATAAAAAACATTCGAATTTTCTATTTCCACATCACCATCGCATCATCATCATCAACAGCAACAACATTATTTTCGACCGAAGAAAGAAAAGGGAAGTAAACAGCAGCAGCAGCAGCAGCGGGGGGTAAAAAAAGAATTTCAATTTCATGAATGTCAGAATTGTTTGTTGCCTGAATGCCATACGCACACACACACACACACACAAACAAATCAAATCAAAAAACATCCGAATACAGAATAAAGAAGAAACAAAAATGTAGGCCTAGTCCAAAAATAATGTAAATAATAATAAAATGAGAAAAAAAATCAAAGTGAAGTCCATTTTGGAACAAGCAACAACCATCACAACAACAATATTTCTATGTCAAAAGTAAAAATAGAATTTTCAGAATATTAAAAAAGAGATGTTTTGTTGTTTTTGACATGATGTGATGTGATGTAATGGTGTGATGACCAATGACAAAAAAAAAAAGAATGTGAAGCATTCAGATTTTGGTCAATTAATTAAGTGAATAGAATTATGTACAAAAAAAAAGAAATTTTGAATAATGGAATTCCGTTTGTTCCAGTATATTCTGATGATGATGATGATGATATTCATTGCCATCAAACAAATTGAGTTTGAAATGAAAATTCAGAATATTCTTGAATACAAGAGAAAAAAAAAAAAAAAAAAAAAAAATTTCTGGTTCAATTATGAACCAGAAAAAGACAACGCAGAAAAAAAACAGCAATAACAACAACAATCTTTGCATGTTTTTTTTTTTTATATTCATTTTTGTTTGCTTATGAATATTTCATAAAAAAAACACAAACACGAACACACACAAACACATTCAATATACCAATATACCATGCATATCATTATCATGCTATTTTTTCACAGTTTTTTGTTGTTGTTGTTGCTTTTTTCGGATGTTCCTGGAATCCTGATAATCAAAACAACAACAACAACAACAACAATAACAACATGAAATGAGAATCTCTTTTTGAGATAGATTCTCTAGAATAGCTAGGATTTTTTTTTATTCTCGTTAATTCTATTGTTGTTGTTATTTTTTTTTTATTGTAAATGACAACAATTTTTTCATCATCATCATCGTCACTGTTATCATTGCCATTTTCATCATTATCAAAAGAGAAAAACAACCGTGTGAAATAGGAGAGGGAAAAAACATCATCATTATATAAGGAACCAAGGTTGATGATGATAATGATGGTGATGGCAATGGATTTTGATGATGATAATAATCCCTCGTAATAATAATCATCATCATCATCAGTAAGTTTTGGCAACGAAAAAAAAGAGAGAAAAAACTTTCATTATGTATATAAATCACCATGGTATCATCAACAACAGAAAGAATTATAGAGCGAAAAAAAGTCAAAAAGATTTCTGTAATTTTTTTGTTTTGTTTGTCTGCAAAGCTTTTTGTGATTTTGGTTTTTGGGTAGAATGAACGAAAAAAAAACCAAACCAAACCAAAACAAAACAAAACTTCTCTAAGCTTTTTGCAAACAGCATCCTGCATTTATAATTAATGAACATGAAAATGGAGTGAATCTTTTTTTAACCTTAACATCAATGGTTTTTAAATGTCGGATAATCAAAAAAAAAGAATGTTTTCATTTCATTTCATTTGAATCATGTTAATGAATAATCAAAATGGACAGAATTTGTATGAAAACATGGATGAAAATGGCAAAATAATCAGGAAATGATAATTTTGTTCATTAGAAATGTAAATGAATGTAAAAACATATACAGTCATACACAACAAATTTGTTTTGCAAGACAAGAATTTGGAACCAAATTATTGCTAAAAGGGCCTAAAAGAAATGAATGGTTTTGGGTAGAATGAACGAAAAAAAAGCCAAACCAAACCAAAACAAAACAAAACTTCTCTAAGCTTTTTGCAAACAGCATCCTGCATTTATAATTAATGAACATGAAAATGGAGTGAATCTTTTTTTAACCTTAACATCAATGGTTTTTAAATGTCGGATAATCAAAAAAAAAGAATGTTTTCATTTTATTTCATTTGAATCATGTTAATGAATAATCAAAATGGACAGAATTTGTATGAAAACATGGAAGAAAATGGCGAAATAATCAGGAAATGATAATTTTGTTCATTAGAAATGTAAATGAATATAAAAACATATACAGTCATACACAACAAATTTGTTTTGCAATCGAATGAATGAATGAATGAATATTCCATACATGAACAGAGACATTGATAAATCGAAAATTAAAGTGAATTGAAATGCACTATGAATGGTGGTGAATATAGTGAATGGAATATTGGAAACCAAATGAAGCTTAAGGATGTGTGTGTGTGTGTGTGTATGATTGCTGGTCTGGAATGGAATCGAAATGAATTACATTAAATTATGCATTATATACACGTCGTACACATACATACATACATGCATATGCACATCTATCTATCTATATGTTGAGAATATATAAGAATAATATTCTCTCTTTGTATATTTTATGGCAATAAAATAAAATGAAAAAAAAATGTTCACCATAATCATCATCATCAAAAGTATAGTAGTATGATTATGGCAATAGTAAATGTTTATTATGCAAAATTTGGATGCAAAGCTAATAAAATGGCAAGAATTTTTTTCCCATTTCCTCAATCATCATCGGTTATAATGGATTTCTTCATCTCTTTATCATTAATAAAAATCGTTTCAAAAATTTAAAGAAAAAAAAATTCAATTTAAAAAAAATAAGTAAAATTCCCAAGTTTAATATATTTTACGCTATAAATGGAATTTCGGTTAAAAATATGTGGATAAATTCTTTGAAATAAAATGCCAATAGCAAATTGGCTAAAACGGCTGAAACAAAAAAACAAAAGAAAATGGATAAAAAAAATTGGCTCCATAAAGAATTTGTCGAAAGAATATTCTACAGAAATGTAAAAGAATGTTTCTGATGAACCGAATAATATACTATATACTATTACTACCAACTGTGTTCATTATGTGTAAACTGTGTTCAAAATCATTCTCTCTCTCTCTCTCTATCTCTATTCAAGAGGAAAAAATTCGATTCAATTATTATAATTATTGTGAAAAGCGGCGAGAGAGAAAAAATTTCACATCATTGAATGAAATGAATGAATAAATTGGTAAAATTAAATTTGGCAAAAAAAAAAAAAGAAATTCAAAAAAAAAAAACAAAACAAAAGACAAAGGGTGGCAATCACAGTGTGATAAACAGTGAGACTGATAGATGTATTCGTGATTCGAATACATGAGAAAAAAAATGGAAAAATTTTTTTTTCATTTTCGATAAACGATCCTAATTAATTTTTTTTTATGGCTGAATAAAAACAGGCCCATAAATTAGGTTTTCGAATCTTATTTTTTTCCACTTTTCTCTTTCATTTTTTTTTTTTTTTTTTTTTCATAATTTATACATTGAAAATAAAATTGAGATATGAAAATGAACTGTATGCGAGAAAAATTCAGGCTAGAAAACAAAATGTCCATTATTGACTTACATGATTGCCATAAATCAATTTATTCTGCAGATGATTCGATTGTTGTTGTTGTTGTTGTCGTGGTGGTTGTGGTATTGTTGTTGTTGATGATGATGATTGCTGTGGTTGTTGTTGATTTTCCATTTTGTTTCAAAAACATCGATGTTTATTAAAATGAACAAAAATTTAAAATTTAAATTGACAAACGCAATTTCATGTAGAAAATGTTCGAACAAAAAGTAGATAATGAATGATGAACGATTCGATACTATCGAATCATTCGAATACAAACATCTTCGTTGGAAGTGAAAAATTCAGAAAATTGAGAATTTTCTTGAATCAAAACAAAACAAAAAAAAAATCTATCGATCGATCGATTGAAATTGAAAGAAAAACAATCAGGCAAATTGAATTCTTGATGACCACTAAACAAATAAACAACAACAACAACGACTACGACGACAATGAAATGAAACCGAAACAAATTAAACTATTTTTCGAATCATTGAATAGATTTGTGGATAGAATAATTTTTACAATACAGCACGGCATCAGCCCCAAATTCCAGCTGCCACATTTATTCTTTTAATTTTGTCCAAAGAAAAAAAAACGATTCTGGCAATTCGAATTAGGCGCTCGAATTTTTTTTTCTTGTCTTCACTGGTGCTGGCCAGAATTTTATGCGTGTGTCCAAATAAACAACACAACAGAAGAATAAAAAAAAAAATATAATTTCACGATTCAATTAAAAAAGGCAAAGACATATAGACACACACACACAGAAACACAGAGAGAACAGAAGCAGCAAATAATACAATCAACATAATGTTGAAACATTATTTTTTTTTGTTGTTGTCGATTACAATTTCCAACAAATCGTGATCGTATGGCATCTATATATATATATACATAGACATGAAATGATCATTGATGATGCTGGATGGATGTGTGTGTGTGTGTTTGTTCCAAATTTTTTTTTTATCTGCTATGGTTTACAACAAAACCAACCATAGAAAAGAAAGAAAAAAAAAAACATTGGAACATGAATAGGTTTTTTTTTGACTTGATCATCTGGACCATTTTTTGGTTGGTCGGTTGGTTGACTGTTTGAAAATTCTGTTCTGTTCTTTTTTGGTGGTGGTGGTGGTGGTGGGCGTCATATTCTCCAAGATTCTTAAAACTACTACCACTACTACTAGCAGCAGCAGCAGCATCATAGTTACATTTTGGACAAAAACAAAATGATTGAACGAAATAGAATCCAAACTTTAATGGTATGATGATGTTTTCTCCCATCCACAAACCTTTTTTGTGGCATACAATTTATAAAGGAGGTAAAAAAAACTTTCATTCAAATTGTCTTTTGTATTTGTGTTGAAATTTTCGGCATGTTTCTTTATCGATGTACGGTTGACACCAGACACACACATACACGATTCGGTAAATGTTCATCAACATCGTCGTTGTTGTTAGATCATTTTTTTTTTTTTTTTTTGATTGAAGCAAACACTTAATTTTCTTAAAGTGTGTCTTGATGTTATATGTTACATGTTACAATATTGATGATGATGATGATGATGATAATGATACCCTGTAGTACACCATTTGGTTTAGATCGTCATCATTCTTTTTGGTATTCATCTTGTCAAATCGGTCTATATAAAAAGAAAGTAGATTAGTAGATGTATTCACACATTAGGCATTGAAGTTATTTTTTTTTCAGTTTCGGTTGTTTGAGTTTATTCTTTTTTTTTCTAGCTTTAAACGAATAATATAGATGGATATGTTGATTTGCGTATATCGCACACACACACACAGTAATCATGATAGAATCACTAAAAGAAAATCACAAGGGTAAAAAAAAAAAAAAGAATGTGATTGGTATCAGGAAAAAAGTTTCAAATTTTTTTTTTTGGCTGTTATCGAAAAAAAGATGCTTACGTTTGGCCAAATAGGAAAGTGAGTGAGCGTCAATTTTTAGGATAGACGAAAAAAAAATTCTGGAATATCAGCAGAATTTTTCTGGATCAGCAAATTCATCATCATTGTTGACGGGGAAAAAAAAATTTGGAATTTGACGAATTATCTCTTATCCATCGATCAATCGAATACTTAATGAACAACTATCACAATCGATTATGATCATCGATTGTGATAATGATGATGATGAACGATTACTATCGTTATGATCGATTCGAAAATGGCCACCACAACGACAATCATAAATTCGATGACCATTGTCATCTTTTTTGAAAACGTATGAATTAGAAATAAATGAAATTTGAAACAGAAGAAATGGACAGCGATGGAAGTTACCTTTGTAAAAATCATTTAGATTAATTTCATCATTAATGATTGATTGTGGTGATTTTTGTGCCAATAATGATGAATCATATTTGAATTTTTCACGTGAATCACTTAGAATTGTAGCTGCTTGATTTAATTGTGAAAATTCTGGTTTAATCATCATTTGACCACCATCATCATCATCATTGGGCAAATTCTGTTGCTGCTGCTGTTGTTGTTGTTTATCTGGATGACATTTAAGAGCAAGTTTTTTATAATTTCTTCGAATATCATCAATAGTTGCATCTTCTGTACAGCCAAGAATGGCATATAGATTCTTATCATCGTTGTTGCTGTTGGACATGTTTTGAATTAAAGAATTTTTCAATTCAGATCATCAAATCAAATCTAATGAATTATAGAACAAACACGTGTAGTGTGTTTGTGATGAAACTCAAGATGATTCAATGTGCCATCTGTTGTCACGGAATTGCATTCACCCGAGATCACAGATCACATGTGATTTAAAGATTTTGGATTTGGATCGTGAAAAAAAATGAAAGCCCGAGAATTGATTAAATTCAGTGTTAATCCACTATTGTCGGAAAATCCAGCATTACCCGTTGGCTATATCCGTAATGCATATTACAATGGTATAGGAAGGTATGTTTTTCATTTCATTTCATTTGATTCATATATTTAATTATTATTGTCGAATTCAAATTCAAAATTTAGATATGTTTGCCAATTACAACGTGTGACGATAAAATTCTGCAAAAACAGTGGCACATCCCATGGTGTTCGTGATTTCATCGAAAATCGTTTGCTGGATTTTAGCCGCCGTAATCCTGGAATTGTTGTTTATGTAAAACCACGTCTACATCGTACACCAGTAATTGTCAGTGAATATCTTAATGGCCAAACACAATGGATGAATATACGTAATTTTAGTGAAGTAGAAATTGATTGGTGGCTTGATTTTATTCGTACACGATCTGGTTATGAATTAAGTCAGCTAATATCTATGTATAATGTTTCAACACCAAGTATTCAAGGTGTATGGAATCCATTCTTGAATCGGCCAACCAATTTAACTGTACAACAATCATCATTTCCTATTGCTGAACGTAGCCAATATGAACCTGAATTACCATCTGCAACTGAACAGTTAAGAATTCTAGTGGAAAAATTGAATCTAACCGATGTGGACGAAAATCTAGTCGTTTCGAAATGAATGAATGATCGTGGTTGAATAATAACAAATTTTTATTTCATTAATCAAAATCAATGGGGAAACAAATGGTTAAATTTTTGAAAAGAATTTTTGTAGAAAAAAAAATATTTCTTGAAATCCTGAATTTTAATCTAATTTTTTTTTTTTTTTGAACGAAATTCCATTACATTCGAATTCTAATTCAGCAGCATTTTTTTTTTTAAGCAACCGAAATATTTGCTACCATCGGTGTTCGTTGTTGTTGTTGTTGTTGATCGATACCACAATTAGCGCCAACATTTTTCTGACAACGATGATGTATATGCATCTGGCAACCATTACAACGTACACCTTGATTAACGCAACCATAAATCAATGATCCACAATGATTACAATATGTTGGTTTTAAAAATGTTTTTGGCTGAAAATGATGTGGCTGCTGTTGATGATCATCAACATCATTCGAATCATTCGAATCATTTGTTGGACAATTAATTGTTACCGATTGATGGCAACGTTTATGTACGACCATACGACAATCTAGTTTATTGAAGAAAATAGAAAAATCAATCGAAATTGTTTTTTTTTGCATCAATTTTTAATTTTTCACTCATACCTTGACATTGATAGCCTTGTTTACCTATACCAAAAATGAATCCATTACAATGTGAACAAAATGTTGGCTGCCGTAATAAAGTGGCAACAAATTTATGTCCATTAATTTGATGGACACAAGGATTAGCGGATGTTGTACAGGGCATTTTTTTTTTTTTTTTTTTTGTTGATCAAAAGTGTAAACAAAACAAACAAATATTTTGATCAATGATTGATTGTGTAGTTGCAGATTTTTTTTTCTTGTCTTTATATTTATATATAAATATATCCCGTCATCATAAAATATGGTGCAATAGTATGAATCTACTACATTCATATATATATATATAGAGAGAGAGAGAGAAAGAAAAAAAATCTATCTACTATAGTCTATGTCGCTTGTCTTTGTTTAGTTGTTAATCCTGATTCAACTCATATATCTAAAAAAAATGCAATAACTTTTTCAATTCAGACTCCACCCAGCCAATTCAAAAGAATTACCATTACGTCATGATAATAAAAAAAAAATCATTATTGAATACAAAAACGTCCTTGTCACAATCATCATCATCATCATTATTATTTAACCAATCTGTTTTGTTAACAAATTTGTACTGCCCATCATCACATGATGCGTTGTAATTATTTTTTTTTTCATTATTTTCTTTGATGCTGATGATTAAATTGATTCTAATAAGGAAACGCAAACACACACACACACATACACATTTAGTACCAGTTTTTTTTTTTTTTTTTTTTTTTTTGATTGATAAAAATTGAAACAAATGAGATTTGATTTGGCTTTGGTGAAATTCTCGTTCATTGGATGGATGGATGGATGGATGGATCACAAGACTTTTTTTTTTCTTGTTTGACAAATTATGAAATCAATTTTTCCAATGAATGAATCAATTCACACACACACAAAATCAATGATGATGTTTTTTTTGGGTTTTGGGTCCATCAAATTTTATTGCATGACATTTTGTTTTCATAGTAAAAAAAAAAATATATGTAAAAAATGAGCAATTCTTAAGAAAAAAAAAAAAAAGAAGAATGGAATCTTTCAAGTTTTGAATATATAAATGTGTGTGTGTGTGTGTGTGTGTGTGATTATTATGAATTATGAATACTGTATATAATATGTAAAAAATATCATGTATAGAAAAATATCATTCGTTGAAAATAGATTTGAATAAAAATATTCAAAAAAAAAGATATGTGAAGAGAAATGTTTAGTGGAATCATTTTCATCCATTTGAGCCAATGTGTATTTTTATATTATGTTTAGTATGGATATGATATATTGGAGTATTTTTTTTTTTTTTTTTGTTCTGCATGTGAACATTATATTATATTATGCTTCGGAAGATCAGATTATAATGATAATATATATGTAGAAAAATATATGTGGTTCATATGTGTGTGTGTGTGTGTGTGTAGAATAAAAAAAATCAAAGATATCAAATCGATTGATTAATTGATGTAAAAATAAAAATTTAAAAAATGTTGCTGAGAGAGATCATTGAATGTGAATGTGGCAGATATAAATCATGATGATGATGATGACGATGTGATGGTGATGGCTATTCAAAGTTTTTGATCATCATCCATCATGAATGAATGAATGAATGAATAAATAAAATTGAAAACAAAAACAAGAATCACAAAAAATAAATAAAGTTGAAAAAAAGAATAAAAAAAACTCATAAAAAAAACAAATAAAAAAACCAAAAATCAACGAAAGAAATAATAATGGTGATGAATTGACTGTTGCTGTTGTTGTTGTTGTTGTAGATAAGTTTTAAAAAATGGCATTTATCATCTTGTGTCATATTATGGCAGACATTTCTTCACAGATTGTGCTAGTGTTGTTGTTGGCATTAACGGTTGTGGTGGTTGTCACTACCTGTTGTGTCCAATTATTATTATTATTATTATTGTTACCATCATCACCGATAGCAGCCGATGAGATCAATAAATCCTGTCCTGTTGTTGTTGTTGTTGTTGGTGATGATTGATCATGATCATTCAAGCCAACTATTATCTGATGATGACCATTGTGATGTTGTTGATGATGATGATGATTTAAATTATTTTGATTACCAATGGTAGTTAAAATTGGTTTATTAAAAACAGTTGTAGTCGGTGTTTGAAAATCATGAATCTGTGTCATTATATCGGAACAATATTCCGACAAATCAGTACCAGTAAATGTTGTTGATGGATTCGTACAAGCTAAATTTTTTTAAAGAAGAGAATGTTTTTTTAAGAATAAAAAAAATGAATTTTCAAAACATACCAAGAATAGTGATAACATTGGATGTTGGTGAAAATGGTGAATGATCATCACCATTCGCTGTAATTGGTAATACATTATGTAATGTATTATGATTAACATCGGATCCATCATCATCACCACCATTTAGATTTAAATTCATTAAATCTTCAAAACTATTAGAATCGATTGTATAGCCAGTAATCTGTTGTTGTTGTTGATGATGATGATGATTAAGATGATTATGATGATCAACATTTGATGTTGAGCCATCTATAAAATCCGTTCCATGATGATGATGATGATGATCTTTATAATGAATAGTAAAATCATCAAGATATACAGCCGATGAATCATCTTCAGTTGGTGATAAAAATGAATGATGATGATGATTTGAATTTGTATGATTATTATTATGATGATCGATTATTAACTGTTTTGTTGATGATTCTATTTGTTGATTAATTGTTTGATTTAAATCGACCATTGTAATCATTTGCGATTTCATCGATGTATCCAAAATAGGTACCGTATGAAATGTTGCCTTACCATTTTCTGTAATAACTGTATTGAATTTATACATTCCAGGTGCTGCTGCTGCTGACGATGTTGTTGTTGTTGTTGTTGTTGTTGTCACTGCAGCAGAAACCGTATTATCCGAATTGACATCCATCATCAATATATCGTTCGATTGTTGTTTTTGTTGTTGTTGATTATCTTTATTATTATTCTTTTTCTTCTGTGAAACAGATATTGTCGATTGTGGAATCTTATCCGGATGTTTTTTTCGTTGATGTTGCATTAATTTTGCTTTGCTTGCATATTGTTTATGGCACCAATTACAAAAATGTGGATTTGTTGTTATACTACCAACAGTGGCTGAATATGTTTGTGGATTAACAATGGAATCCGAAACGGTTGATAACGATGATGATGATGATGATTGTATTGATTGTTTACTTCGATTTGATGGTGGTAATGATTTGCCTATTTTTTTCAAAATTAATCAATTGTTCTAATTCATTCATTCAACAATTATTCACTTACCTGGATGATTTTTAATAATATGTGCTTTACGTTTAGAGCTTGATTTATAAACTTTATCGCAATATTGGCAATAATAATCTTTTGATGTTTTAACAATTGGCATTGTCAATTCAGGTACGGTATTATATGGAACATCTGGATGACGTTTAGCAAGATGATTGACTAGCATACCACGACGTTTAAAGCCTATTTTTTCGAAAAAAAAATCGTCAAATCAAATTAAATTGATTAATTCATCATTCTCATTAATTAATTAAATCACATACCATAAAGACAAATATGACATTTATAAATATATTCATGATAATTAGGTTGACTAGGTTTGGTTGCCACTTTTTTTGCACGTGGTACTTTAATACGTTGCATTCGAGCTGCCATTTTGGCTATAAATTATAAATACAAAAAAATCAATCACATTTACAAAAAAATAAAAATTATACATACCAGCAATACGATCTTTACGATCAGGTGCATGCATACGTTGTGTATGTTCTTTCAATTTATCTTTACGTTTAAATTGTTTACCACAAATTGAACATTTAAATTCCCAATGATCACTATGGCATAGCATATGTAAACGCAGTTTATCTTGCCGTGGAAATACTTTTGGACATTCGGTACATGGAAAAATTTCATTCGAATGAAATGATTTTAAATGTTTACGTATGATGGAAAAATCTTCAAAACTCTGTGTTGAAAATCATGATAACAACGAATTAAATCAATGATCAATAAACAAATAAAATATTGATACTTACTTTTGTACATTTCGGACAATGAAATAGACCTGTATCCGGATTAATATGTACTGAAATATGTTCACGTCGTAATTGTATATTATCAAATACTTTGTCACATAATAGACAATCATATTTTCTGGGAACATCGGATGAAAATCTGTAATAATCGGAATTTAAATTATGAATCAAACTATACAAAAAAAACCAATAAACACTCACTGATGATATCGAACATGACAGGATAAAGCGGATTTTGTCAGAAATTTTCGATCACAAAAATCGCAAGATAATTTTTTCGCCGATTCATCATGTACTGTTACATGTTTATCAAATCGTTCTTTAGTTGAAAATCGTTTATAACATTGTGAACAACGATAATAATTATCCTTTTCTTCAATCAACATATCCATCAAAGATACATCTTTTGATGATGATGATGATGATGATGATGTAACTGGATCCGGTTGTTCCATAATTGATTGTTGTTCATCAATTACACCGGATGAAGATAATGTCAATGAAGATGATGATGATGACGATGATGGATCGATTGTATCGATTTTTTTCGTTGAATCAACCATCATTGATTCCGAAACATTCGATTCTTCATGTTGTTGTTGTTGATAATCTTTATGAGTTTTCATATGACGATTACGATTATAAACATGATTGAATGCTAGTCCACAGTATGGACATTTATAATTCTTTTCACCAGAATGCATTTCCCAATGTCGACGTAAACTGTATTTACGTTGAAATGTTTTATGACATTGTTGACATTCATATAATGGTTTAATCATCAGCTGTTGTTGTGAATTATTTGATTCATTTGTTTTCAATGATAATGATGATTCTGATAATGATTCCAATGATGGTGATCTTGATGATGATAGAACTGTTGTGGCAGGAAGTAATGGTGGTAATCCATCGATAAATGTAAGATTCTGTTGGCAAGATAATTCAGTGATAGTGGTGGTTATGGGTGAAGTATTTGCTGCTGTTGTACCACAACCATCGACAATTGTAACAACAATCGATTTATCGCCATTCATTTGTTGTTGTTGTTGCTGCTGCTGCTGCTGCTGCTGTTGTTGTTGTTGTTGACCATAATCTGTTGAGTTTTGGCAATCTTATTTCGTAATTTATGTCCAGTTTGCTGCTGCTGTTGTTGCTGATAATGAATACCATTATTATTCGAATCTGAAGTAGAAGTTTTATCAATCATATGGACATTATTGTTGTTATTATCATCATCAACGTCATTCTTAATATCAACAATTTCAGCTAAAAGTTTAATACCAAATGTTTCTGCATATTCCGGTGAATACCATGCTTTTAATTCTTCATCGGGCATAATTGTACGTGTAGACAAAAGAAATAATTTAAATTCATTTGTTGAAAATTCTTTAGCAACCAATTCAATATTTTGTTCAGCCAATGTTTGTGCTGGCCGTATGAAACGTGTCCAATTGGAACCATTTTCATCCGATTGACTTAGAATCATTTGATTAGATAGGAATATAATTAGATTTGATTTCGAACTATATGCAATAATATTCGGTTGATATTGGCTAGTTTCATCGGATAATTCAACCATAACACCTTCGATTGGTCCAAATTGTGTCCGTTTAGGTATTTGTTTTCGTGCAAATACACCTGTTATTATTATGCTACTACCACTGCCATCATTATTATTGATTGTTTCAGATTCCATTTCATGTAAATATAAATATTCAATTGGAAGTGTAGCACGTGCACGTGTAAGTACTGGAAGATCTTGTATAACATTTTCTTGATATTGTAATGTTGATTTTGTATGTTGTGGTGGTGGTTGCAATAAAGAATTTGTCATCGAATTCAAACTAATAACATCCGTATCATTCACATATGATAGGTCATCATGAAACATTGTAACCATTGATTCATGTGATGATTCAATATTTGATACGGCATTTACCGTATTCGAAGAATATTGTAACGATGATGACGATATATTCGTTGTAATTGGTAATAATTGATTTTGTTGTTGAACAAAATAATGATCTATAACCGTAGGTGATGCCAATGTTAATTGTTGATGATTTGCATCATCGATTTGTAATTGTAAATGCTGATGTTGTTGTTGTTTGATGATGATTATGATTTGTTGGACTAGGAAATGTCATTCCATAATCAATAACCGGCGATGATAACTGTTCATTTTGATGTAAAAGATGATGATGATGTTGATGATTTGTTGTTGCTGTTGTCGAATCAACAGTTATATCACTAACGGTATTATTATTGACTTGTTGTTGTATGAATCCATTTGTAGAATTTGTGATTTCCGTATTTGTAACGGACGGTGATAATGATGACGATGATGATGACATAATGACATTATCGCCAATTAGCTGCTGCTGCTGATGATGATGATGACCAGAATTTGTTGTTGTTGTTGTTGTTCGTATAAATCTTTGATTCAAATGATGATTTGTACTGTTTAATGTTTCAATCGATAATGAATCATCATCATCATTGATTGATTCTTTCATTACATTTGTAATAATTTGATTCGATTGTTGTTGTTTTGTCCGTTGATTATTATTCGTATTCGATGATGATGATGATGATGTAACCGATGGTGAATATGGTGTATGATAAGATGATGATGATATGATTGATGAGATCGTTCGATTTTCTGCTGCTGCTGTTGTCTTTGTAATTGATTTGCCATCCGTTTCATTATCATTATTATCATCCGAAACGGTAGTTGATTCGGCTGCGTATTTTTGTTGTTGTTGTTGTTGTGTGGATTGTTTATGATAGAAATTGTTCTGTAAAGAGGAAAAAAAAATTTTTATTCAAAAAAATTTCAAATTTTTTTTTCAATCGAATCATACCTGGTTATTATCATTAGTAATCAGATGATCATAGGTAGTAGTGGCAGTAGTAGAAGTAGTATTGGATTCGGTTGTTGTTGTTGAGGTAGAATTTGATAAAATCGTTTTCGATAATGATTCATTTCGATTATTCAATAATAATGGATCGTTTGCCGCTATAATGAATAGATTTTGATTCTGGTGATCATGATCATGATGATGATGAAATGATGAATTGGAAGAATTTGTATTATTATTATTATCGTTGTTGATTTGAGAAATTGTCACCGTTGTTGTTGTATTCGTTGACATTATTCACAAAGCAAAGCAAAAAAAATATAGAATGATTTTTTTTCATATAAAAAAATAATTTTCCTGATCATCATTAACCTGATCAATTCAATTCATATCGAATTCTTTTTTTTCAAAAACAAATCCACAATCCAGAATCGAATCCATTCCTCATTCCACATTGATGCACTGTGCACAAAAAAAGCTGATTCTATTCACGCATACACTGATGATGGATGGCAGAAAAAAAAACTTTAGCTCCATCTTTGTTTGCCTTTAATCACAACAACAACAACAACAACAAAAGCATTGATGTTTGTATTTGAATTCTGGATTGATGAATGGGTGAGGAACATGTATATACAAAACCACGATGATTAGGAATTCCAATTTTTGTTTGTTTGTTTCAGTGATGAAGAATAAGAATACGGAGGGAGGAGGGGTGGATTGATTTTTTTTTTATTCAGCTAGTGTTCACAATAATAATATTCTTGCTGCTCTAGTTTTTTTTCCATTTCTTTGTGTTTCATAATGGTGATGATGCTGCTACTTTTTTTTGTTTGTTTGTTTGTTTTGTTCAATATAAAAATTAAATTTCTTTTTTTGATTCCGAGGATTCATCATCATTTGTTCTATGTTCGTGTGTGTGTGTGTGTTTGTATATGTTTTGTATGTATAAAAGCTCGCGGTAGTTGTGGTGGTGGTAGTAGTCTAAGCAAGCTGATCTCGCATTCTATATTTTTTTGTTGCTGCTAGTCCCCAGAATCCGCCCCTTGTTTATTTGGTCTAACAAAAAAAAAAAAATCTGGTGTTTTCGATGAGGACCGGATAATAATGTAATTACGCATGCGTATTTTTAATGTTCCTGGATCATTTAATTCCAAACAAAAGATGATGTTTGTGGATGCTTAGCTTCCATGGTTTTTTTTTTTTTTTTTGGTCACACACGCACTATGACATCAAATCATGACACACACACACACACACAACATTATGTCATTCATGTGTTTGCCGCTAGGTCTACTTGGTGTCAAAGAGCTATATAGATTTTATATTAATAGCTAGCTTAGCTATTGTTTTCATGGTCATGTCGGGGGTCATATCGAATCGGATAGAAAGCTGGGAATAATAAAAATTATTAATACATACAGAAAAAAATGGGCGGTGGCTGTTTGCAATGGATCGATTATTTTAAATGATGAATTTGTGTCATTTAAAAAATAACGCGCGACTGGATGGGATCGAACCATCAACCTTTTTGATAATTTGAAAAGATAAACGCGTTTTTTATACAAACACCATATAACAATTGTAATTTTGAAAAAAAATATGAATTTCGTTTTGTTTATTCGGGCGACCTTTGACGCAATTGTAACTTCGAAAAAAGTTAAAAAAATAAACGCGACTGGATGGGATCGAACCATCAACCTTCCGGTTAACAGCCGGACGCGCTAACCGATTGCGCCACAATCGCTGTTGATGAAAATACTACCCATTTCTTCGAAGATGATCAACAACCAACTAAAATTAAAACGGTTAAGCCCCCACATATGAGCAAATGGCGTTTGGTGGGCAATCGAACACTACATGTGGAAGTCTATGGCAACAATAAGAACGGATTTATGAAAAAACCATCATAAGCAAAAAATTGGGTTCGGACATATTCCACTCTATTGAGCATTCGAGCTTCCTTTTTTATTCCACATTTTCACTCTTATATGTTGGAATTTGAATTGATTAATTTAAATTAAATTGATTGAATAAAAAAATTCATTTTTTTTATTTATTGCGTTAAAGGGACATTCATAAATGAAATCATATATAAGTTTATGTTTGATCACTTTCGCTCTTTTCGGCTTTCTCTATTTTAAGCCATCGCTATTTTTTTATTTTTTACGCATGAAATCATACTCAGGCGACATTATGCTAATGCAGCTACCCCACGTACTGTTCAATGGTTTTTGACCACCCGTTTGTTTGATCACTTTCGCTGAATCGTTGTTGCCAGTATTAGCTTTCGGCTGGATCTTGAATTTCTCTATTCTAAAAAGTGTTTGGCATGTTTGGCATGTTTGGCGGCAGCAGCAGCAGCAGCACACATTTATCAGCTGACTCATCATTTATTGCCAATTCATTCAGTGTGTCGGTGTGCTGCTCGTGCTTTTTTGTGTCATAATTTTTCAATTTCAAAAAAAACAAAATAAAAAACAAAAGAAAAACAAATGGAACAAGATGATCGAACACCATTACATCGTGCCAGTTCAAATGGTCAAATTGCATTGGTAAGAAAACTTGTACAGGATGGTGCCATAATTGATTGTCGTGATGAAATGGAATGGACACCATTGATTATTGCCTCATCAGCCGGTCATAAAGATATTGTTGAATATTTGGTCAATAAAGGTGCCGATGTTAATGCAGCTACCGTTAATGGTCAACGAGCAATACATTATGCTGCATCAAAAGGTTGGCTAGATATTTGCCATTATTTAATCGATTCTGGTGCCATTGTTGATGTTCGTGATCGATTAAAACAAACACCATTACATCGTGCTGTTGCACGTGGCCATGAAGATATTGTCAAATATTTTCTTACACTATCGAATATACCGATTAATGCATCCGATATGGTTGGTAATACACCATTACATTTGGCATGTGAAGAAGAATGTGAATCAATTATAAAATTATTAATACAATCAGGTGCCAATATTGATTCTATTAATGAGGATAAAAAACAACCAATTGATCTATGTACTGATCATTCATTTCAACGTTCAATACGTAATTTTATGGCCAATCATCATCAACAACAACAACAAAAACCAATCAAATGATGGAATAAAAATCCTGTCTTCATTTCATATATGTAAAAATGTCCAGAATTTCATTTTTCATGTTTCAGAAAATAAAAGAATTTAAAAAAAAAATGAAAAAAATTGTATGAATGATTTTGCGCGGAATACACGAATTCTTTTTATTTCAGATATTCTGGTAGTGGCAGTAGTAGTAGTAGTAGTAACAGTGGTGGTGGTGGTGGTGGTGGTGGTGTTAAAAATTGATGGATGACTGATTTGGTTCCAAATTGATCGAATCTTGTTTTTGAATTGATGTCTCTGTGTCTGTGGATTTTTTTTTCTTACCAATTGATGATGATCTGGTTTTTGTTGTTGTTGTTGTTGTTGTTGGCCACTTGTATATTTTTTTTTTTTTTTTTTTTTACTACTCCCTTATAATTTTTTGGACATTTTCTCTCTCTCTCTCTCTTTCAACAAAGATGTGTGTGTTTGGCTATCCATCTTATTCACACACACACACACATCACGCATGAAACAAGACATTTTGAATGAATTTTTCAAATTTTTTTTTTCATTTCGAAATGTCGAAATTCATGGAAACATCATCAAGCATTTTTTTTTTCAATCAATCAATCAATCAAATGATGATTGACATTTGACATCATCATCATTTTTGTTTTGTTTTTGTTTTGTTTTGATTTGATTTGATTTGATTTGATTGATCGGATCACAATATTTTTTTATTCTTCAAGAATTTAAATTCGAAATCTATTTCAACATATCCTGTTATAATGGTGTGTAATTAGTTTTTTTTGCCTTTCTCTCTCTCTCTCATTCCGTTACGATCATCATTTCCTTTCCAATTTCCAATCGAATGATTCAAGATAGACGGTTGCACATCAAATCATCATCGACATTTCCATTTATTATTGACATCATTCCATCAGCCGTCATCATCATCATCATCATCAAAAAAGGGCATGTCTATAAAAATGATCCACAACAAGAATTCTCATATTGGCACAATATAGCATGCATGTAAAGAATTATGATGATGATGATGATGATTCTTTCTCTATACAGTTCAAATTCACTACTATAGAATGTAAACTTTATACATCAAAAAAAAAAAAAAATTTTCTTTTCCTTCATTCTTCTTTTCTGGGCAGCAGTCAGTCATTCATTCATTCGAGTCTCAAAATTTCAGGATCCAAAACATCATTGTGTGTGTATCCATCATCATCATCATCATCATCATCATCGTCACATCAAATATGACTGACATTGCCCGACAACGACAATTCTAGATCCATCCATCCATCCATCCATCTAGATTCTATCTTTATTTAGCCAAACCAACTGAAATGAACACTATGAAATGGACATTTTGTGCGCGCGATCCATCTATATTCATTTATCTATCTATCTATCTATCTATCTTTATATCGATCGATTCGTATCCGATCCAAATGAAACATATACAAGCATCCAAATGCACACACACACACACACACACATAAATATGACAGTATAAATGTGAATGTTTTATTGTGAGTGGCAGTGGCATCTTCATCATCATCATCATCATCAATATTATTTTACACATTCTAGAATCAAATCGAATGGAATTTTTTTTTTTTTTTTACTTTCATTCATTGATCTTGATTTGTGATGAGCAAATGACTTATATTTCACTATGTTTATTGTATATTTGTGTGTGTGTGTGTGTGTATGTATGTGTCAAAATGGTCGATCATCATAATCAAACCTTGCAATGATGATAATGGTGGAAAAATAATTTCAATCTGATGATGATCGAATGATCAAAAATAAAATCGAATAATAAGGTATGTTTTGTTTTGTTTTCATTTTTCATTCAAGAATTTTGTTTTGTTTTTTTTTCACCATTTTTGGAATTTAAATTGAGAATTCTGTTTTTTTTTGTTTTTTTTCTGGTTCCTAAATGTGTTTACATCAGCAATTTATATTTATCCATGTGTTTTATAAAGATTTTTTTTTCATGGCATTTCACTTAGAGAAAAACAAATGAATCGAATAAAAAAATTAGATTGCAAGTATAAAAACAATTAGAATATATGACTCATTAACCATTTATGATCAATTTTTTTTCCTATTTCCACTGATGATGATGATGATGATCATCAAATATAATTACAATTAAATATCATTCAAGCAATTCAAAAAAAAAAAAAAAAATTTTTGGATATGATGAGAATATTATTCAATCTGAGTGAGAGAAAAAAATGATGCAAATTTATTCCGGATTATGGCCCATTTAAGATGATTTCAGGGGCCAGATGTTTCGAATATAGTTGCATTTCAAATGTTTCAGAAAAAAAACACTGGATTTTGCTCTTTTTTTTCCATTTCGTTGTTTGTGTTTTTTATTTGAATATCTAGGAATATTCTGTTTATTCGAATATTGTTGAATTCTTTTTTTTTTTTTTCGTTGTACGATATTCCAAACACACAGACAACTAGAGAGAGAGGTCAAATGATCATAACATCAATGATGATGACGTTTGGTATTTTTTTTTGTTGTTGTTTTCATTTACAAATTCATGATCAGAATTTCAAATTAGATTAGCCAAATTTTTTTTCTAGCTATCCAAAAAAAATAGCGAAAAATTCAAACGAAAAAAATTTGGCTAATCGAATCTTGTCAAACTTGTCGATAACAAAATGGTCAAAAACGAAAAAGAAAAAATTAATTGGCAACTAGCTAGTTTGTTAGTTTGTTCTGATTAATTAGAATGATGATGATGATGATGAAAATCTTGCCAGTGAAATTGAAAAATTCAAATTCAAAACAATCTCTAGTTGAAAAGTTTTCTTTCTATGTATCTGAATTCAGCCATTTCCATTATATCCGATCTCTTTCGTTGTTTGTTTGTTGTTGTTGTTGTTGTTGATCACTTGATTTCAACAACAACAACAACAACAACAAAAAAATACTTTTCGAATCCCAAAAGATCATGTTCAAAATATAAAGAATTTAATTTCATGATTTTTTTTCTGATTTTTACAAAATTTGAAATAATAATTTTCAATATATAATGTTCATGATCATCTGGATCCACCATTATGATGATGGACACTAATTTTAACTAATAATAATTTCCTATCCTCATATACTTTCCAGCAACAACAAAAAAAAACACATCGTTATTGATTATGACCGTTGGCACAATCCAATACCATTCGATCGATCCAATCAGACATCATCATCATCATGTTTTGATCATGAAGAAAAAAAAATGAAATGAAATGAAATTCACTTTAATTCAATTAAACATTGCCATGAAAAAAATATGATCATCATCATGAGTATCCGGCCAACAAAATTTTAAACGAAAAAAATGTCTGCATGTGTGTGTGTGTTTTAATGGCTCCCTAAATGGTTATTGGGTAGATATCTTAATAACATGAAAAAAAAAAATTTTCTAATTTCTAAATGACCCATCCATAGAATGGACAAATAAAATGGGTGTATTTTACACCCTTAGGGGTCAACATTTAGTTTTATCCACAACATATTATCAGAAACGATGATGTTTAGAATCTTTCATTATCGTCATCATTTATATATAATATACAGCATGCGCAACACTAATAAAAACTGAATATATCAAAAAAAAAAAAAAAAAAATCTCTGATTTAAATGACAAATACAAAAGACAAAAATATACCTACTACCCTAATGCCAAACTAAACCCAATTACAAAATATCCTCCGCCCATTTATTGCTGCTGCTGCTGCTGGGTACTTTTTTTTTTACAAATGGTCTACTTTCATATCAATTTGATTTTGAAACCATAATGTGGTGGTAGTGCTGACCAAAGGAACATTTTTTTTTGTTTGCAAAAAAAGAATTCTGTTCTGTTTTTCGATTACAGATGAAATTATCATCATCATCATCATATAATCATAGGTTTTCATTTTGTCTTACTTGAATTCATTGATTGATTGATTCATTCATTCATCATCATTATGTGAATATGTTTTGTTTATGTTTTATTTTCTTCATTCAGACTGTTCAAAGTTCTTTTTATCTGTTGTGTTCTAAGGTCTTTGAGGTCATCATATACACTATTGGTGATTTCACATTTTTCGTTTGATGTCTGTATGTGTGTGTGTGTGTGTGACCATCATCAACAGATAAATAGTCATGAGAAATGTGTTTGAATTTTATGGTTTTCCATTATATTTGATTAGTGATTTTTTATTTTGAATTCAATTAATCAATCAATCAATCAATCAACGAATCAGCTAATTAATCAATTAATCACCACAAATCAGCTAAAGAGATAAATTTTTATGTGTTTTTTCTCTGTTTCTTAATAAAAAAAAAATTAATTTGTTCACCGTGTTGTTTTGATCTTTTGCCGCATCATCACAATTTTTAAATTATCATTCATCATCATCAACGGTAATTCGGTTGATTCATCCAGGTATCATTTTTTTTTGTTGTTGTTTGAATTAGATTAGATTCATTTTTTTTTTTTTTTTTTTGAATCAAACGTCCATCATTCTATACATTTTTTTTTGTTCAAATCATTTTTTTTTTCTCTCTCTCTTGGAATCAATATAACATTCTCGGATTCCCATTTTGATTCTGGAATTTTATAGATTTCGGATTTTTTTTTAATATTCTGAATCCACTCATAATTTATTGAACTTTTTCGAGAATAACCCAATCACAATTTGTCATCATCAATCGGTCCACTCAATCAATCAATCAATCAATCACTCACTCACATACCGAGACAGAGAGAGAATTTTTCTTTCATTCATTCATTCAATCGGCATTTTCAAATTTCGATTGTTATGACACCTTATCAAACACACACACACACACACACACACACACACACACATTTACTTAATGGTACAATTCATATATTCATACAAAATGGATCAATTTACCAGTTTTTACTATAGTTCGTTTCGGTTTCTTTTGAACTTTTTTCTGCTAATTTTTTTTTATTTTGTGTTCAACAATTTGTCCAAGGGAAAAAAATTACTGAACAAAATTCAGTATTTGTTTGCGACATTTTTTTTGTTGTGAAGTTCAGTTTATCATTTGTTTTCGTCTACAAACAAACAAAACAAAACAAAAAAAAGATTGACGACACCTTGAAACCCTTACATTTGTTTGGTCTTTGTGCAAGAGCAATGCCGCCGCCGCCGCCGCCGCCATCGCCACCACTTTTTTCGCCAGTCTATGTGCATGATGTCTGTCAATCAATAGATTCCTATATTGAAATTTTTTTTCCACTGATTCAATTTCATCAAGATTTAAATCTCTTGGCTTCAATAGTGGTGGCCCACAAACAAACCAATTCAATTTAATGATGATGATGACGAAAAAAACCAGATTGAAAATGTGAACGTAAAATGAAAAAAATGGAGAGAGAAAAGAAAACGGCACAAATCAACAAATTCACTAATTACGTAATATTTTGTGATATGAAACTATAGAAAAAGATTTTCACTGAAATTAAAATTGATTTTTTTTCGCCATAAATTTAATTCATTTTGATGTTTTGGTTGAATTTTTCTTCTCTTTAACTACTACTACTACTACTAATTCGGAATAAAAATTCGTGTTCATGATATTGATGTTGATGATATGAATCTATAAATGAAATGAATGTGGATGTAAGAAGAAAAAAATTGAAATTGAAATCAAATTTCAATTTACCCCGGTTGATTTGAATGAGCATTTGCTGTTTTGTATTGATTTTTTGTTTGTTTGTTTGTTTGCTAATTTTTTGCTCTGATCGATTGATCGATTTTTGTTGTTGTTGTTTGTTGTTGTTTGTTTGTTTGTTTGTTTGTTCAATTTTTGTTTCATTTAGATTTTTGATTTTCTGAGAAAGAAATAAACGAATAAACCATGAACATGAAGAAAAATTTTTTTTTTTTTTTTGCTTTGTAAAATTAGATTAAAACAAATTTTTTTTTGTTATTTGCCATTGGTTTCGTTTGAACTTTGACATGCATACAAATTACTCACATAGAGAGCTGATGATGATGATGATGATGATGTTCATTTGTTTGTATGGGAATAACACAATAGCCCCCTACCTATCTATACCAACCACATTTTGGTTTTTTTTTTGTTTGTTTGTTTGTTATAAATCCACATTAGATGATGAAAATACGTGTTTTTTTTCTTCTTCTACTTTCGTTATGAATAAAAGGGATTAATTATTGCGCGCCGTAGATTTTTTAATCACAGTTGAATTGTCGCACACACACACACATACACAGAGAGATGATTAAATCCGATGATTAATCCCGAAACACACATGTTTTTTTGTTGTTCGCGGTCGTTATCGTTTGAATGCAGTGATATATATAAGTATGTCTGTGAGTTTGAAACTCTAGGGTAAGTTATACGTGCTTTGATCACTTGATATGGTCCAAAAGATATGAATTTGGTTTGAAAAACTTTTTATTTTTTTTTTTTGCTTTTGATAAAATCCGTGATCTAGAATTTGTACAAAAACACAATGAATGAATGAATGAATGAATGAATGGGCTATGTAATTAAACAAACAAACAAACCAAACTATCATTTTTTTATTATTATTATTATTAGTTTCTTGATTGTAACACGCCCACGCATTTTAATATTTATATATATGGTTATTGTTTGCTGGGAATTGACAATAATAATCACCATGATGATGATGATTGACCAAATGATGATGATGATGATTAATCAGTCATATTGATGATGATGGCCAGATTTTTCATTTCATTACATTTGATTTCATATATATTAATTTATTGCTTTGTTTTTTTTTCTCATTTTTTATTCTGATTTTTCAATCAAAACCGATTTAGAATCAAACAAACAAACAAACAAAAATTCTTTCAACAATTGAAATCAATAGTGAAAAAAAACATGGATATACTTACCGAACGTTTCGATAATAATAACAAAAATGATGAAGAAGATGATGATGAAAACGATTGCGATGATGATGTTGAAGATGGGCTGAATAGTTTGAATAATGGAAAAGTCAAAACCATAATTTCATCGGATATCGATAATGATGATGATGATGATGACAATAATAATAATCAATTAAGAAAAGATATTATAACATCAAAAGATATTGATCAATTATTGAATGATAATAAACAGGATAGTTATCGATTAATAAATGAAATGAATTTATTCAATATTGGCCAATTAACATCATCATCATCATCATCATCGTCATCATCATCAACAACAACAACAACGACGACGACTAGATCAACATCAATCACTCCTATGGTTAACGATATAATCGATATCGAACAATTAGAACGAGATAAAAATGCCGTCTATTCACATCCATTGTTTCCTTTGTTAGGTTTGTTTGAATTTTCTTTAAATCGATTGATTCATTTTATTTATTTATTGAATTTCCATCCAATTCATTAGCATTGTTATTTGAAAAATGTGAATTAGCCACACAATCAATAACGGCATTTGAAACGGATTCAAATCTGGCCATGTTTAATCGTGAAATTGAAGATTTCATCAATCATCATCATCGAACATTAGGAACTAATTCATCATTTTTTACTGATGATCCTGAAGTTGATTCATTGGTTGGTGGTTTTTTTTCGTGTTTTTTTTCTCTAATTTTTAATTTCTAATTGATTTTGAACATTGTTCAGATGATAAAAGCTATCCAGGTGTTTCGTATACATCTATTGGAATTGGAAAAAGTATCACAATTATGTCAGGATTTTTGTCAACGTTATATTTGTATGTATTGTGTTTGCATTGCATTGTATTCTTCTGGAACTGAATTTGAATGATTTTTTTATTTGTTAGCTTGTCTGCGATCAAAAATGCGTTCAGATAATCTAATACGTGGTAATGGTCATCAATCATCGATGAATAATGGAAAGAAAAATCATTCATCATCATCATCAACATCATCACCACATTCATTCATGGATGATGAATATGATATTGATATGGATGTGGAACCTATGGATGATGATAATGATGATGATAGAGATCTAGCGCCCGAAAATGAAGAAGATAACACACCATCATTATCATTTTTGCAAACCACAACAACAATACCAAATGAACAATTTTTTTGCTCAAATTCATCGCCACCATCATCATCATCATCATCATCATCGTCAAGTTCATATTCAACACAACAACAAATATCAACATCATCATTACATCAACCACCACCATCACCATCATTATCAATATCATCACAGAAATCGAATCCATCATCATCGTCATTAGATTTGTTAGATAATATTATATTCAATTGTGGTCAAAAATCACAAATAACGTCCAATAATAATCATGCAACAATTATGTCATCAGGTTTATCCAATTCATCGTTACTTAATTTTGATAATACAATCATGTCAGCACCATCAATATCATATTTAAAATCAATGTCTAAATGTCTTCAACAACAACAACAACCACAACCTCCACAACAGATTTCAATGACCATATCAAACAATTGTGATTCTAATTCTGATTCTAATGATGAAGATGATGATGATGATGATGATGATGATAATGATTTGGTACATGATCTCAGTTTAAAATCAAAATCTTTCAATTCAGAATCCAACATAAATGATAATGTTGATAATAATAATGATCTCTATAACAACAGGAATGATGATCAACGAGAAGTCTCATCATATCCACCTATAGTACAAAGTGATCAACAGAAATTGAAAAAAGTAAAAACAGAAAAACAATCAATCAAGAAAAAATGCTCAAATGAAAAACAAACGGCTACGAACATAAATTCAAATAATAATAGCAAACGTGGTGTTCTGCCTAAACATGCTACATCGATAATGCGTTTATGGCTTTTTCAACATATCGTTGTATGTTATATATTTAAATATTTGTGATTCTTGATAATTGTTTTTTTTTCTGTTGTTGTTGTTGTTTGTTTGTTTGTTTATTTTTAGCATCCATATCCAACGGAAGATGAAAAACGTACCATAGCATCTGAAACAAATCTTACCTTATTACAGGTAAATAATTGGTTTATCAATGCACGAAGACGTATCCTACAACCGATGCTTGATTCGGCCAATAATAGTATTCATCATGGACAAACAAAATCATTATCAGAATCATCATCATCATCATTATCAATGATAAATGATCCTGGATTAGATCTAACAACTAATACAGCTAAAACTGTTACAAGAAAAACGAATCGAAAACATTCAACAACAACAACCACTACGACCACATTGAAGACAAAATCAAAAACAAAATCACAACAACGACAACAATCATTGAATCGATTTTGGCCACAATCATTGGCAAATATTATACAGACAAACGATGTAAATCCATCGGCGAATTGAGAAAATTTTTTTTTTTTGTTCTTTATTATGCTCAATTATTAACAATTAACATCATCATTGACAAATGTCATTTTTTATTATCATTTGATTGTGATATAAAGAAAATAGGATGAGGGCAACATCATCATCATAGAATATAAGTTTAAAACAAATTTTCATTCAGATTTCTTCGATTTCGTTGATGATGATGATGGTGATGATACTGTTTGACGAATTTTTTCAACAAAATTTTTTTGAACAATTTGTTCACATGAATACAGGAAATAAAGACCAATTGCTCTTAATGGGCCCATTGTACTGATTTGTAATAATCGTTGTGACCATGAATAACATGGCATCATACCCGAACATAATGTTGTGACAACAAAACCATTCAGACCGACTGTAGATATGAATTGATTATTGAGAAAATCATTCAAAGATTTTTTTGCAACCTGTTCGGGTGTAAAAAGGCCACCTTCATCAGAAATTAATTCGGTTATTTTTGGTTTTCCATGTTGTTCATTAGCGAAACCCGGTGTATCGGTATCCGGTGGAAATGATACCGTTATACGAATATTATGCGGACGTAATTCCATATCCAATGATTCAGCCAATCCAACTAAGGCAAATTTGGCAGCTGAATATGCTGAATAGCCATAAAGGCCAAATAAACCGGCAATCGATGAGAATATCATTATTCTTGCTGGATTCATTTGGCTTTTTTTCAACGATTGTAAACATGTTTTAATTGTATTCACGGTACCAAAATAATTAACATTCATCATACGATGAAATTCATCCAATGAACATTCATTGAATGTACGTGCGATGGCCGTACCAGCACAACAGATAAGTAAATCTATTGGTCCTGAATCGGATTCAGCATCAAATATAGCTCGTTCCAATTGAAATGGTTGTCGATTACTGATATCCACTGAAAAGGTAAGAATATTCTGTTGATCACAATTGTTTGCCATCGAAATCAGATCGATTTTAGTTTGTTGTAAACATTCTTCATCACGAGCAACAATCGTAACATTTGCACCATTTTTTACACAAATTTTTGCAATCTCCAATCCAATACCTTTAGTACCACCGGTTATAAATACATGTCGTCCATTCAATTGTTTCAGATGACATAATGATTTAAACCATTCATAAAGATAGATTATAGCTAAAATAATGATGAATATTGTCAATAATGTATAAATCATGATGGAATTTTTTTCAAAAATAAATCAAAAAACAGAAACAAAAACGAAAAATCCAACTCAAATAGAAATCACATGCATCATTTATAGATAGTTGATCACAGAAATCCTAGATGGCCATCCAATCGATTTGGCTCCTTTTATAATTGTCATTTTGTACGATGTGTGTGTGTGTGTGTGTGTTTGTGTTACGAACAAATGTATTCGATTGTGTTCATCGATCGATTGATTGATTGATTGATTTGAGTTTTGACTTGATTTGATAATGCTATTGTAATAATAATTGTCATCATTTTTGCCTCATCATCATTTTTAATGATAAAGATGTCGTAGTCGTCGCCGTTGTTGTTGTTGTTGTTGTTGTCGATCAACTGTTATTATTATTATTATCATATAACAACAACATAAATGTTTGTTTGTTCGAATAAAATAAAACGATTTGAAAATAAAAAATTTATAACAAGATTATTCATTTCTTCAAATAAACACCGACGCACGATCCTTGCTCAAGTCAAAAAATCGACAAAAAAAAAAAAAAATTTTTTTCATCAATATTGTAGTAGTGTAGCTGCTGGCAAACTTGCCAAAAAATAAAACCCGACTACGAACGATCAAAAAAAAAAAGTTTTTTTGGTATATTTTTGGCCCAATTTTTTTTCCACTTTCACTTTCACTTTCACTTTTTTTATCATCATCATCATCCATTACCATTTTGGTCGGGTTTAAAATTATCTTCTTCTTTACCATATACATTATCATCATCTTCAAATGCATATATAATCGAAGCCAGAACGAACAAAAAAAAAGAAAAACGATCATTGCAGCATTTGAAACAATCGAATTCAATCATGATGATGATGATGATGATGATGATTTGATTTTCATTTTTCTTTCCGTTTGTTCAATTTAAACTACATACCCGATGGCCAGCTAAATATTGTTGTTGTTGCAGACTCTTTGACGCCCGTTTTGGCCTATATTTTTTTTTTTTTATCTTTCACACACCACAAACACACACACATAGATAGAGAGAAAGAGAAGAAAAAAATTTTTTTGACTCTCACCATTCAAATCTTCATCATCATCATCAAATTTAGTTTTTTTTTTCACTTTTACTTTTTAGAATTGTAATTTTCTTTTCTTTTCCTGTTTTCTCTTGTTGTTATCGCCAATTTTTAGTTGAAAAATTATCCTTTTTAAAAAAAAATGATAATAACCAAAATAGCCGTGTATAGTTGAAATTAGACACAAAAATTTTTTTTTCCGGATTGTCTCGACATCATCATCATATAAATAAATATAGATTCGAACAACAACAACAACAACGATTGATAAAAAAAAATCCGGTACGTACACACTTGATTTGTTTTTGTTTTCATTCATTCATTCATTCATTCAATTCAATTGACAACAGATAGATTTATTTGTGTTTTTTGCCGGTATTTCGGTCCGGCTCGATGAATATTTATCAACAACAACAACATCCTCATAAAAGAAGAGAACGAATGATTATGAATTCGAATAATATCAATCATTCGATCGAATCAATCATCATCGATATAATCGATAAAATAGCCAAAAAAAATACATACATTACATTGAAGAATTAATTCGTGAATTGAATGGAAAAATTTCTTTATTAATTTTGATTGATTTCAATTTAATCCATCATCATCATCATCGTAATTGTCCATTTTTTATAAATTAATTTTCAACTTTAGCCATCCTTCCATACTACTGCAGTATAGAAAATCAGACATACAGACTGATTTTTTTGTTGTTGTTGTCATTGTTGTCAATTTATAATTCATCATTCATTTCATTATCATTTTTCGTCATCATCGTAGTAGTTGTATTACATCATCAATGCCGTTGTTGAATTGAAATCAAATAGATTTTTTTTCATCCTTTCTTTCTATTGATTGTGGCCACTACTTTTTTTTCTTCATTGAACAAAATCTGCCAAAACGAGCCGAAAATATCAACCAACCAACCAACCAACCAAAAAAAAACACTCCAAAAAAATAAATAAATTATATATATTGACAATTGTAATGGATTACAAGGACCGTATCGAAGTGAATCAATTGATTAAAGATAAAATCAATGAACGTATTACAAAACGTGAAACATTGAAACAAGAATTACGCCGTTTGAATAGTTGCCGTGTACAGATTGAATGTCAAATTAATGAACAGCATAAAAATTTACATTGTGTAAGTAAAAAATTATGTGGTATTATTAGAAATTAATCCAATATAAGTTAATCTGAATCAATTTTTTTTTCTTCTTGTTCAAATTCAGATGGGCATAAAAATTGATGATCCAATATATGATAGTAAATTGAATGAATTGGATGATTCAATGCGTTCGAAAGTAAACACCTGTCGAGATAGAATCTATGGTATGTATAAATTGAAATTCATTGTAAGCAAAAAAAAAAAAATTTTCATTTAATTTTTTTTCCCCATTAGATCTTCGTAAAGAACTTGATGTCGTTTTAAATGATATTAAATCAACATTTATTGAATATAATAAATTATTATGACGCTTGTAATAAATTATTATGATATGAGATGGACAATCTATGATATCTGATCATCTTCATCTCCATACAGATCATCATCATCATCGATGCTCATCAAATTTTTTCAATTTTCGCAAAAAAAAAAAAAAAAAATGTGCACACACAAATGTGATTCCGAATTATTCTGGCTGGCTATTTTTTGTATCAATTGATATTTTGCATAATATTTTTTGGTTATATCCGCACATCAAACCAATTGTTAAATTTTTTTTTGTTTCTTTTTTTTTTTTTTTTTTTTTTTTGTTTATTATTATTCTACTGCTTCACAAACATTCGATTCTTATTTTTTTTGTTGTTGTTATTATTATTATATTTTTCACCAATGAAATGATGAATTCCATGAACAATTATTTTTATCCCATTTTATCGGTTCAAAAACATTTGGTTTGCAAAAAAAAATGAAAAAAAATTTGAAAATTTTTTTTTTTTTCTATGATTTAATAATAATGATAATAAATGATACTCGGAAGTGATTTTTTTTTCTCGTCTTTTTTTTCTGGATTCGTATTGTGTTCCATTTGTTGAAAATTGATGGCTGTCAGTCAAAGATAATAATAATAAACTAAACTGTAAGCCGGCCCACACCCAGTATTTTACATCAATCAAATCAAATTAAATCAAATCATCCATTTGTTCTGAATTTAGTCTTTTTAAAAAAAAAAAAAATGGATGGTCAGTTTAATTATAATAAATCGAAAAAAAAAATCCTGTTCATCATCATACACGCGTTAAATTTTTTCATTTAAATCGTGTAGATTTTTCTTTTTTGTCCATCATTTCAACACAATTGAAAAGTTGAATCAGAAATTGAAATTGTTTTTTTTTCTGCAATCCGTTCTTATTATAACGTCCATCATTTGTTTTGGAAAAGTTATTTTTATTATATGGTTTTTTATTTTTCTCTGGCATGTTGTATTTTCATGTTGTGTTGTGTTGTTTAATTTTTCTGAAAGAAAAAAACATACAACCAAATTATATTATTATTATATATTATTATGAACATTTGTGTGTTTGATCATAGCGAAGTGAATTACTAGGAAAAAAAAAAAAAGAGAAAAACTAAAAATAAAAATGATCTGTATAATAATAATGATGATGATGATGATGATGATAATTATTATTATTTTGATCATCAATGTAACCAAAACATTTACAGAAAAAAAACTAAAAATAAAATGATCATATAAAGGAGACTTTGATTCGAATATTCGGATATTCGAATGATTTTTTTTTTTTTTTGAAATCATCAAATTCGAATCCATTAAAATGTGATGTTTTCATACGTTACACGTTACACACGTTACATGTTGTTTGCATGATTGTGTAAAAAAAAAAAAATTTGGAATAAAAATAATGATGAGATGATGGTTGAAACTGAACAATTATTCAATTGGCTCGAATTTATCGATAGAATCATTAAACATGATGATAAATTCATTGAAAATAATTGTATAATTGATTATAAGAATATTAAATCATTATTGTGTCCAATTATTTTTCGTAATCCACATTCCATCGATAGATTATGTATTGATTATATTGAAAATGATGGTAAATTGTTTGAAAAATGTTCCAATATAAATCGTAAAGATTCGAAAAAATCCAATCATTATCGTTCGAAAGGAAATAATAGCTATGGTCATGGATTATGGAATCAATGTCTTCATTTTTATAGCCAATCACTACAGTTTGCTCCAGTATCATCATCAGTTGATTATGAATCCGAATCATTACCATTAGCATATGGAAATCGTTCAGCAGCAAATTTCAAACTTGGCCGATATGAATCATCACTTTTTGATTTACATATGGCAATCAAATATGGTTATGGTAAATTTAAATCCGAAAATAAATTACGAAATCGACAAATTGAATGTCTATTACGATTGAATCGAATGGATGAGGCGAAAAATATTTCCAATGAATTTGGAATCGATTTTGCTGAATTGAATTCGAAACCGATTGATAATCAAATACAAAAAGAATCTGAAAAAATGGAATCTGAAACTATGGAATTTCGTGATAAAAGCAACAGAATATTTTCATCAAAAGTTCGATTATCATGGAATGATCAACATGGTCGTGGTGTTTGGGCTGGTGATGAAACAATTAAATCTGGTGAAATTGTTCTCATCGAACGTCCATATGTTCATGTTTTGTTATCATTTTTCGAACGTCGCTTTTGTCATCATTGTTGCCGACGATTGTTGGTGGATGATCAATTTGAAATTTGTCACAACTGTTCCAATGTATCATATTGTAGCCATGAATGTCAAAAAAATTCCTGGCACGAATATCATCAATATGAATGTTCGATTCTACCGTTTCTTTGGCAATTTGGAATCGGTCATCTTGTGTATCGTTTAATGGCCAAAACAGATATAGATTTGATTGTCAATACTTATCAAACATTTATGAATAAATCATATGAAGAAATTGAACAAAACTTGGAACCATTTATAGAGCCGCCATCCAAATCTACATTACAATCATCAACATATAGTTCATTATTTTCATTACAAACTCATCAAAATCATACAGATTCAATAAATCTTGTTGCTTATCGAATAACGGCAACAATCATTATTGAATTACTATTTCGAACTAATCGATATCAAAATCAAAATAATGATAATATGAATCAAAAATCAGATCTAAAACAAATTCTTATTAATGTTTGTTTTCGTCATCTTTGTCAAACAATCATAAATTCACATACAATAATGGTTCCCAGTGGTGATCATGATGATGGCCATTCTATTACACCGATAGCAACGGCATTTTATCCTTCTTTATCTTTATTAAATCATAGTTGTGATCCAAACATTCAAATCAATTATACAAATGGAATCGAATGTATTGTACGTACGAATCGAACAATTCAATCAAATGAACAAATCTACAATTGTTATGGAATAGATCATTGTTTACATAATTACAATGAAAGACAACAATTATTGTTGATCAATACATTGTAATTGTTGTTTTCATAAAAAGATTCAAATTCAAAATAATAAATTTAAAACAATAATGGTTCTAATGATTCGAATCACCGTCAGATACAAATGGAATCGAATGTATTGTACGTACGAATCGAACAATTCAATCAAATGAACAAATCTACAATTGTTATGGAATAGATCATTGTTTACATAATTACAATGAAAGACAACAATTATTGTTGGATCAATATTTTTTCCATTGTAAATGTCAAATTTGTTGTTTGCAACATAAAAAAGATTCAAATTCAAAATAATAAATTTAAAAAAAAAATTCTAATGATTCGAATCACCGTCAGATGGCAATAAATTCGATATTTTTTTTTGTTTTGTTCTGATGCGTTCTTGAACATAAGATATCAAATGAAATGAAAAAACCTGATTTGGATGTATTGAGATGAATATATTGATTGTTTAATCGATCAAGCATTGATGATTAAAAAAGAAAATCAACGATCAGGCCATAAATGATTAGTAATCATAGCAATAATATATTAGTGTGTCACCTTTGGAAAAGACATCATTCTTTAAAATTTCAAAAAAATAATAAAAAATGTCATATCGTCAATTAATCAACGGTAATTCTATTTTTCGCCAAAATCTTATTGATTCATTTCGAACTATATCAAATGTTCGTTCACTTTCATCGATTGTAAGTAAAATTATATTTTGATTTTATTTTAATATGATAAAAAAAAATTAAAATTTCAATCACATCAATCGATAGCCAAAAACAAAATTATTCATCAATGGAAAATTCATTGATTCACAATCAAATGAATGGATCGATTTACATGATCCGGCAACGAATCAAGTATTGACGCGTGTACCAATTTCAACAAGTGATGAAATGAATTCCGCAGTTGATGCAGCTAGACAGGCATTTAAAACATGGTCACAAACATCGGTGCTCACCCGACAGCAAACAATGTTTCGGTTACAGAATATTATACAGAAAAATAGTGTAAGTCAAGTTGAAATGATTTATCTAATGAAAATTAATTTCATTTCCATATAGAAACGTTTAGCGGAAAGCATTGTTCAGGAACAAGGTAAAACAATGAAAGATGCTGAAGGTGATGTTTTACGTGGTCTTCAAGTGGTCGAACATGCTTGTAGTGTAACTAGTTTATTACAAGGTGAAACAATGCCATCGATTAGTCGTGATATGGATACATATTCATATCGGATACCGTTGGGTGTTGTTGCCGGTATTACACCATTTAATTTTCCCGCTATGATACCATTGTGGATCATTCCATTGGCAACAGTTTGTGGCAATACATGTGTAATTAAACCATCAGAACGTGATCCAGGTGCATGTATGTTATTGATGGAAATGTTGGAAGAAGCAGGTATGCCACCAGGTGTTGTCAATATTATTCATGGCCAACATGATGCCGTCAATTTTATTTGCGATCATCCGGATATTCGTGCCATATCGTTTGTCGGTTCTGATCAGGCCGGAAAATATATCTATGAACGTGGTTGTCGCAATGGTAAACGTGTTCAATCAAATATGGGTGCCAAAAATCATGGTGTAATCATGCCCGATGCAAATAAAGAACATACATTAAATCAGCTGGTTGGTGCTGCATTCGGTGCTGCTGGCCAACGTTGTATGGCATTGTCGACGGCCGTATTTGTTGGACAATCACGGGAATGGCTACCAGAATTGGTTGAACGAGCAAAAAAATTAAAAGTTAGAAACGGTATGGATCCGGAAGCCGATCTTGGACCAGTCATATCACCACAGGCTAAACAACGAATCTGTTCGCTTGTACAAAGCGGTGTGGATGAAGGTGCTCAATTATTACTTGATGGTCGTGAAATTCGTGTGCCAAACTATGAACAGGGAAATTTTGTTGGACCTACAATTTTATCCGATGTAAAAACTTCGATGAAATGTTATCGTGAAGAAATATTCGGTCCAGTTTTAGTCGTTCTTACCGTTGACACATTGGACGAAGCAATCGAATTAATTAATCGTAATCCATATGGAAATGGTACGGCTATTTTTACGACAAATGGTGCAGCAGCAAGAAAATTTACACATGAAATTGATGTTGGACAAGTTGGTATTAATGTACCGATTCCAGGTATGATGATGATCGATGAAAAATTTTTTGATTGAAATTTTTAATCTATTTCTCTTTATAGTTCCATTATCAATGTTTTCCTTTACCGGTTCACGTGGATCATTTTGGGGTGATTTAAATTTTTCTGGAAAAGCTGTAAGTTATTCAATTTTTTTTGTGTTTTTTAAATTTTTCTAATTTTTTTTTTCAAAGGGAATCCAATTTTATACACAATGGAAAACGATAACCCAGTTATGGCGTGAACAGGATGCAAGCGGTTTTGTATCGGCAACAAATTTCCCAACCATGAAATGAAAAAAAAATAATAATTGAAACAAAAATAATTCCAAATAATTCAGAATTTTTAATTTGAAAAAAAATCTCAAATCCATCTGCCCATAGTAAAGAAAAAAAAAACATTCATAGATTATATCCTTGAACTTGATGGCAAAAATAAACTTTTATCGGAAAGATTTTATCATCAACATGACAGGATAATTTTTGGGAAATTTTTTTTTCTTTCTTAAACATCAATGAATGAATGATGATGATGATTGTGGCTCATTTTATTGATTTCCATTATTTCGATGATTTTTAGTAACCAATTAATTGATCATTATCAATTTATTTGGCACATCAACTCACACTTTGATTGATTATAATTTATATTCATCATTACTGAATGAATGAATATCAGTTTTGTTGTTGTTGTGATGGTGGTTGTTGTTGTTTAGTGTGCACGCGTGTTGGACAAGTATAGATTTTTTTTTTGGTGGTGATAATACACACAACCCCATCAATTATATAGCATCGAATTTTTTTTTCGTATTCTCATTTTGATTTTTTGGGAACCTAGCCCAGAGATTAATACTCAGACGCAACAAATATAAACCAGAAAAAATCAAGGTGACCGTCCTTGGTTTTTTTTTCTATTCTGTCCCTGATTTGTTTGGATGGTCTGACATCCTTTTATTTTTTGTTCGATTGTTTTTTTTCAATTCACTCTCTGTCTGCCAATATACCATTGTCTTCCAATTTCTTCTAATTTTTTTTTAAATTATTAATTTTGAAATTTAAACGCACACTTTAACAACAAAAATGTATCCTTTAATACAACGATCATATCGTAAGATGATGATGATGATGATGATTAATGGTCATCACTATCAACGATTATTATCATCATCAACAGCGACAACAAATTATGTGCTAAATGAACCTAGTGAACCAAATATTGTTACTGCTGAAATACCTGGTCCACAATCACGACGATTAATTGATGATTTGAATAAAATTCAAAATGCAGGTGCCATACAATTGTTTGTCGATTATGAAAAATCTATTGGCAATTATCTTGTAGACGTGGATGGTAATACATTTCTAGATATTTATAGCCAAATATCATCAATGCCACTTGGCTATAATCATCCAGCATTGATTGAAGCCGTAAAAGATCCACGAAACATATCATCATTTATTAATCGACCTGCATTGGGTATACTACCACCGAAATCATTTAATGATCAATTACATTCGGCTTTACTTTCGATAGCACCATCTGGTTTGAATGAAATTCAAACGATGGCCTGTGGTAGCTGTTCGGTTGAGAATGCATTGAAAGGTAATTTGAATGAATAAATCAACAAAAATTTTTCCAATTTAATAAAAAAAAAATATCGTTTCTTCCATTATATATAGTTGTTTGTTTCTATTATCGAACATGGCAACGTGGTCAACCACCAACCGAAGATGATATGCTTACATGTATGACAAATGAACAACCTGGTAGCCCAAAATTAAGTATCATGTCATTTATGGGTAGTTTTCATGGCCGTACATTTGGAGCTTTAAGGTATGAATGATGATGATGATTTGGATTCGATATCAGATTTCAAAAAATTTTTGTCCAGTTGTACACATTCAAAAGCAATACATAAAGTCGATATACCGGCATTCGATTGGCCTATTGCCGATTTTCCACGTTATAAATATCCACTAAATGAATATAGTGATTATAATCAACGTGAAGATGATCGATGTTTGGCTAAAGTTGAAGATCTTATTGAAAAATATAACCGTAAAGCAATACCTGTAGCCGGTATGATTATTGAACCGATACAAAGTGAAGGCGGTGATTATCATGGATCGAAATATTTTTTTCAACAATTAAGAAAAATTTGCACAAAACATCATGTTGCAATGGTTATTGATGAAGTACAAACTGGTGGTGGTCCAACCGGTAAATATTGGGCACATGAACATTTTGAAATGGATCAACCACCAGATATTGTTACTTTTAGTAAGAAAATGTTAATAGGCGGTTTCTATTATCGGCCAATGTTTCGTCCGGATAAACCATATCGTATATTCAATACATGGCTTGGTGATCCATCAAAATTAATACTTTTGGAACAAGTAGTACGTGTTGTAAAAGAACAACGACTATTGGAACGTATAGCTGAAACTGGTGATTATCTATTAGACCATTTGAAACGTATACAAAATCAATATCCATCAATATTGATGAATGCAAGAGGTATTGGTACATTTTGTGCAATTGATTTTCCAACACCATCATTAAGAGATCAAACTATTAAACAATTACATCGTAATGGTGTACATTGTGGTGGTAGTGGTTCAGCTACATTACGTTTTCGTACAACATTAACATTTGAAAAACATCATGTTGATCAATTTATTGAACGTTTTGATCATACACTTCGATCATTATCGAATAATAAATGAAAAAAAAAGATTACAAATCCCAATATTTTTATTTTTCATCTCTTTCATCTAATATTTTGGATTGATTGCATTTGTTCTTAAAATATTATTAAAATGATTAATTCATAATAATAGAGTAATAAATTGATGATGAAAAAATGGTGGTAATTTCTTCTATTTTTTTGTTTGTTTGAAAATTTTCTTTATACATCATCAAACAGATAATGTTGTTTTCTTTCCTTTAATTCTGGATAATGCGTATAGAATCGTAAATCTGGATTACCCCAAATACTACCACGTTCAGTAAATTTATCCAATTCTGGATGAATTATATAATTATCACTACGTGAAAATGCTTTACATGCCATTGCTATCAATGCTACTCCAGCAGCAGCTAATGATCCATATGCAGATGATTTATCTGTTTTTTTAAAATTATGAATTAAAAATTTGTTAAGTAAATTAAATTTTTCTATGATGATTCGAGTTGAAAAGAAAAACATACACAAATAACCATAGATAAAACCAACAGATCCACCACCAATCAAATGATTGAAAAGATCATCTTTTTGACCACGTATATTGGCTACAACATTTGACACGGCACCATATGTTGCAAATGATGCGGCTAAAAAATTATTGATTTAAAAAAAAAATTATTAATCAATTTTCAAAAAAAACAATATACATACTAACTAATGATGCACGTTTTGCAAACAATAAAATTGATGGTTTCCATCGGCCATATTCAGCAGCACAAACATCAAATGTACCCCAAGCTGTACCAAATTTCAATCCTAATGCAGTGCTATAAAACAATTTTTCATGTGGCACAGCATAATCAGGTTTTGAATAGAAATAATTGATGAGAAAATCTCGTTTTTTGTCATAATTTTCTGGATCTTTAATATATTCTTTTTGAATATGTGGTATGAACCGTCGGAATGGTGCATGATGTAAATCAAATCGGATGTCTGGTATATCGGAAATTGTCATTTTGATTGCAAAAATCTGTATCAAACAAATCAAAAAAAAAAAAACACGAAGACAACAACAAACCAAAACAATCCAAAAATTAATATTCGACCTTTTTTTTCTTGATTTTTCGGAAAGTTTTTTTTCGGTGCAATGATTCAAAACATTTATTTTCGGCATATTTCTCGCATGTTTTATTTTTCTATCAACAACAACAACAAAAACATCATCATCGGTCATCATTTTTATTAAATAGAAATTTTTTTTTTAAATAAAATGCTTGGTGCATTTGTTCTTGGTGATGAAAATTTCGATAATGATGATATCGATATAAATGATTCGAATGAAATGAATAAAGATAATCCTATTTATCAATTACGTTTACTTGATCCAAATCATAATGATGGCCAAATGTTAAATGTATTCGAAGCAGCTGAAAAAGGTTCAATTGAATTGATGAAACAATTTCAACGAATGGATCCAGAATTAATTAATAGCCATGATTCTGAAGGTTATACACCATTACATCGTGCTTGTTATCAGAATCAAATCGACATGGTTAAATGGCTGATAATGAATGGTGCAAATGTTTGTGCACGTACCAATGATGGTTGGCAACCAATACATTCGACTGCACATTGGGGTCATACGAAAATCCTGAGAATATTATTAGCATATGGAGCAAATATAAATTCACGTACAAATGGTGGTAATACACCATTTCATTTGGCTGCCATGCGTGCCAATTCAAATCGTCATCTAATTGAATATCTATTATATCATCCTGATATTGATCACGATATACGTAATGATGCTAATGATACGATTTTTGATGTTTGTAAACGAAATTCAATGCTCTATAAACTATGGAATCTTTTGTAATTTAACTATTGGTTTTCAATCAATCAATGTACATACATACCTACATAATTCTTTGTAAAAAAATAAAATTTATCTCTGTTTTTAGAATGTCCACTGGATGTATTGCAATAAAATCAGCCGAAAAAAAGAATCTAAATTAAAAAAAAAGAAAAAAAATTCAATCATTCAAGGACAAAATGATCATAAAACAAATAAGATGATAGACAAACCATAAGATGATAGTAAAAAAAAATAGCAAACAACATTCTTATACCGGATGATTACTAAAAAAAAAAAAGAAAACAAAACTTTGTCCATCGTGTATCATCATCATTATTTTATGTTACTTTCATCTGTTGATGAAGATCATTTTAATTTTCATTTTAGCCACAATTTAACCACAATTATTATGGATGATAATTATCATCATCAAACGAGGCATTTGACAATTTTCTTCTTCTTCTTCTTTATTTAAAACACCCTTAAGGTTTTTCCGTTTGTTTATTTGTTACATTCGAATTCGAATCATTGTCACCATCAACAACATACACATATTCAGTGACAGGAAACAATGATTTTATTCTAACAAAATTGTAAAAAGATTCCATAACCTTTAAATGTTTCAAATTCATGATCTGAATTTGAACAACAAAAATTGAACAATGCTAACATGTGTGATAAATTATCATGCAACACTCTTTTTTTTGCCTTTTTTTTGATTTAAATCACATTTCCGGTGTACGATGAATGATTTGAATGATAAACAAGGTAACGTGATGGTTAATGTTGTTGTTGTTGTTGATGACGATGTTTCGATTGGCAGCATTTTTTTTTTTGATGATGATGGTCATTATTTATTGTTGTTGCTGTTGTTGTTTTTTTTGCTATTTAATTTTGAATTTTGGCTCACACAATTTTGTTCATTTTCCCATGATCATGACATTCAATGATGATGATGATGATGTTCATCGAACTTATCATCATCATCATCATCATCTCTTTCTTTCTTGTGTTAAAATCAAGGTAAACACTCTTAATTTTTTTTTATTTCCACAACATCAACAAATTCAAGTGTTTTACCAATTTGATTTTTTTGTTTTGGTTTTTTGGTTTAAATTTTGATATAAAATGAAAAGGACCAAAGAATTATTATTACCTGATTAAATTTCCAAAAAAAAGTGTGACCTGAATATGATGCATGTCCTAAAAAGTGTCATGGCCATTTTGATTTTTTTTTGGTTTCTGGAAAAAAAACCCAGTGTATAACATGCTTAGCAAGCATTTACCAAATTTTTTTTTCTTCCAATCTTTACACACACACACAATTGTTGTGGTTATATTTTTTTTTTGACTGGCTTGGCCATCCTCCCACCTCCACACCACCAATGTATTCATGCATGCATGCATGCATATTTAACCATTGAAATGAAAATTGAACCAACTTTCTAATATATACAAAATATATATACAGATCCACTACCCCCTCCGCATTTTTTTTGTCGTTGTCGTCAATTGACATTACAATAACAACAACAACCAACTGCTGCTGCTGCCACTATCACACACACAGGACTAAATAGAACAAAACAAAACAAAACAAAAAAAGAGCGGGAAAATAAATCTTACTTATATCACACATCATGAATATTGTGAAAAAAAAATGGCTGAGAAATGATGAGGATTGTTTGCAATTTAAACTTCTCTCTCTCTCAATCTGCACAACATATAGAATCAATATATGTAAAGTAGTATACAGCATGATGATCGTTGCGCGAGTTTTTTTTTTGTTCATCACCCTCATCATTATGTCGATTTTTTTTCTTTACTCTCTCTCTCTCCCTCTCTGTGTATGTATCAATGTTTAGTACAATTCTTTATCCCTCCCTCACTCTATCTAGTGTGTTGTTCATGGCCATATATATAATAATCAATATATTGTCGGTTGGCTTGCTGAGAAGCACATTTATGTGTTTCATTAAACGCGCGCGTTTGCTGAAAACAAAAAATAAAAAAATGTTAAATTCGGTTGTTGAGCCCCTTTTTTTTCGTAAATAGAAGAAGAAAAAGAAAAAGAAATGTGAGAGGGTGGGAGGGAGGTAAAGAGAGAGAGAGAGAGAGAGTGTCGAATGTTATGGTCCTCATTGTTTCGAGCACTATATATTTACCCCGATATACGACCAATTTGGTATGCATTCATTATCGATGACTTGTTGGGTCAACATCGTCGATATTGAATCTTTCTATTTTTTTTTTGTCCTTGTTACACATGTTGTTTGTGTGTGTGTTTGTGTTTGTGAAATTTTTTTTTTCGTTCAATCATCTTACACGCCACACACAAATTTCATCATACATTTCATGCCATTTATTTTACGACCGGAAGTTTCAAAGTCCGATCTTTCGTACAAAAAAAAAATTCTTTGAATATTTTTTCAAATTCATTATGAATGAATCAACCAAATCACTATATATATTGTAAACGAGCAACAAGTTCTTTCTACATACAACATACACACACTAATCAATGTCGACAATATTAAAAATCAACAATACGAAAGTTATGACGATGATGGCCATGATGATGATCATGTCTCGTAAAAAAAACGTTCTTAATCATCATCATCATCATCATTAAACATAATGGTGGTGGTGGTGGTGTGTACAACTTGATGATGATTGTATGTATATGGTGTAATACCATTTGTCCATTGTTCAAAAGATTTTTCTGTTTCTCACACTTTTTTTTTGAGAGAAACAGAAAAAGTGGAAAAAAAAGAAAGAGAAACAGTATGAGGTAAGCGTTTTATATTTTAAATTCTGATTGTCTGATTTCTTTTTTTTTTTTTTTGTTTAGTTTCCATAGAATTTTGTCGTTTTATTTATCATCATCATCATCATCATTCGAAATAATGTCCCATCTCATCATCATATATATAAGATACTCATAAGCAGGTCTGGATTCGTGGCGATATTTCATAATGATATATATATGGAATATTTTTTTCTATTCATTTTTGTTGTTTATTTAAAAAAAAATTCGAATATTATTCATTTTGGAACAATGATCTGAAATGTTTTTTTTTAAATATTTGAAATTTTTATAAACAACAAGTCAGAATAGAATAGATATTACAATATATATATTTTAATACAAATCGATAATATTGCACTAGTCCCGGCCTGTTTAGAGTTGAATATTCATCATCATCATTTTTTTATTTTTTTTTTTTTTTGCTAATCTTGATTTTTTTTATTTAGAAAATAAAAGCTGTAGTATTTGTGATAATTTTAAAGCTTGTGTCGAAATAGCGTTAATTTTGAGCCTAGTGGTGGTGGTGATGGAAATAGCTTCATAATGAATTTCCGTTTTAATTTGGCTCAAACAACCGCGCAATCTATAATAATGTAAACAGTGAGTGAAAGAAACAAAAATGACCCATGTCTGTGTGTAAAGGTATTTTTCATTGTTCCAAATTGAGGAGGAGGAAAAAGAGGAGAAAATGGAATTTTTTTTTCGAACAATGAAAAAAAACCAAAGCTGCAGCATTAAGTTTTCAGTGTTTATGTTTCATAACCCCAGTAATAGTCAAAAGGTCGCTATTGTAGTAAAAAAAAAAAAAATTTAGATCACTTGGATCTCTCGGTTCAGGTATTAATGTGAATTACCATTTTTTTTTCCACACCACACCATTGTCCTCTATATTTCATCATATGTGACCTATGTGCCGAACAAAAAGAAAATGTTCCTGAAACTTTGGGCCAAATGTCCCATGTTTGTTCTGTCCTGGTGGCCATTTAGATTATCATTCAGATTGATGACTATTGTTGGGTGTTATGATCGTTCGTTTTTGTTGTTGGTAATCAAAATTCAAAAAAAAAATTGTCGACATTTGTTGTTTTGTTGTCCCCAAAACACACGCACACACCTACCGATCGTGTGTGACCCTTGCAATGTAAATCTCAATTTCAATAACAACGACAACAACAACAACAACAAACAACAGGGAACCTAGATTTTATTATTTCCTTGGGTTTGGTCGCCATTTTGATTGCCAAAAAAAAATCACAAATTTTTTTTCCAATGGATCAACACACATTAGGGTACCAATTTTTTTTTTACTACTCTGGAACACACACACACACAAACACACCTGAATCAACCCCATCCGTTACCCCTATTATGTGTGTGTGTGTGTGTGAAAATAGTCATCCGTTTTTTTTCACTGAGAAGGATTGTTTTTGTTAAAGATTCGAATGTCAATCAGGTCTCTTTCTCATTCTCTTTTTGTGTATTTTTTTCCAGATTAAAATTTCAATGTCTAACTTGTCTCTTCACTGTTTGTTGCCTACAACCCAAAACAAAGCAAAAAAAAACTTTCGATTAAGCAGATGTTTTAGTTTTCGAATCATTTTATTACTGTTTTTTTTTCACAGATAACTGAAATGATGATAATGATGTTTGCTTTTCGATGAAACGTTAAGCAGATGATGATAATGATTTTCAAAGTTAACGGTTGGTGTGGTGGTGGTCGGTAACCAAAGATGATGAACAAGAAGAAGAAGAAAAGGTGAAACCTTGAAACAAATTTTTTTTTCAAGCTTTGACTTTATTTAGGATCCAGAAAATTTTGACCAAGAAAAAAAACCACATGATCATCATTTTACATCGATCCTAAAAAAACCATTATCATCAGCAATTACGCAGTAACGAAAAAATCATTTTTTTATTTACCAGACAAAATCAAAAGCCAAGCAAGCTTTCATTTCAACCATCCATCCATTCATCAATCCATTTTGTGTTCATTTCCTTTTATCAGCGAATGTCTGAATGGCAATTACAAATGGTGTGTTTGTTGTATACATGCTGCTTGTGCTTTGGATCGTTTCAAACAAACACACACACACACACGCACAGGCAAAAGAAATGAACGATGGCCACGAATAATTTTTTAGACAAATGGGCCATTATCATTGTTTTCAAGCTTACCGAACAGCCAACCAACCAACCAACCAACCAACCAACAAACTAACCAACCGAAAGATAGTGTAGACCAATCAATCCAGTGAAAAAAAAACTATGCCGACATTATGATTGAATAAATGAATGTGAAATTTTTTTTTTATTTTTTTATTTTGGCAAAGACGAAGAAGAAACAAATGAACATTCTTCTGAAAAAAAACGAAAGAAAAATTTGAGCCTATAGCAGGCGCGGACAGACACGCCATATACAAATACAAACTAAATTTTGAAATTGTTGAAAAAAGAACCGTTGCCAACAAAAAAAAAAAAACCATTGCCCATAATAATAATCAAGAACCTCTCTCTTTTCCCATTTAACCTTGAACGACAAACTGCATATATACTATATACATATTAACCTAAAGCAACCTTCGACTTTCGATGATGAAAATAACAAAAAAAAAAAAAATAATGGATGAAAAACAGATAAAAACAAACGGTCAGAATTGTATGTAGAATGGTATGGTGAAAGCATACAAAGGGAAAGGGTCATCATCATCATCATAATGGATCAGCGAATGCGCCAAGTTTTTTTAAAACACAGAAAAAAAGGCACATGACTATTACAATCATCATCATCATCATCATCATTTGATGGTCCAAGGTCAAATGATGATGATCATGTGTGGCAGCCATGTTAAATGAATGAAATGAAAATAAAGATAAATTCGGATAGCAACAAACAACAAAACAAAAAAAAAATGCTGGTTTTGAACTATAGCACCAACTATAGACAACTTCAGACAAACATAAACATAATATAATAACCGCCACCGCCCTTGTTTTATATCATCATCCGTCCGAACACACACACACACGAACATAAATCTCAAGTCGCCACATCCATATTTCAATTTCGGTTATTATCGGTGGAGCCATCCATTTTCAAATTCCAATTTCATTTCATCATAAGACATGGCATGGCATTTCACCCCAATATATACACGATTGTCGTACATATTGAACATGAACCGAAAAAAATTTTTTTTTCGGTTTTACAACCCTCCAGTCTTTTTTTTATTATTAGTTTATATAAATGGTGGTTGGTTGGTAAACTTGTAACAAAAACAAAATTTTGGTTCGTCGTCGTCGTCATCATCATCGAAGGACATGAAACCAAAATCAAACCAAAAAATAAAAATACCGAATTAGTCGTATCATGTTGATCATCATCAGATAGTGAAGACATGAAAACAACCAAAAAATCAAAATTGCAATGATGATGATGATAAATAAGTAAAAAAGAATTGTATGCCATGTTTTCGGTTTTTTTTTTCTCTCGTCTTCTCCTTCAAATATAGAATATAATTGATGTCGTGTCCTTGATTTTGGCCAAGTTTATAATATTATGGGTTTTTTTTTATAGGTTCTGCTGCTGTTATTATTATTATTGTTGTGTGTGTGTGTGTGTGTGTGTCTGTGTGTCAAACAAACAAACAAACGAACGAAAAAAAATCTTCACATTTCAAAAGTCATTTCATTTACATTTTTACATACAGACCAATGTTTTTCAATGTCATATCATTTTTAGTTTTTAGTTTTTGGAGGATAAACAAAATGAAATGAAGAAGAAAACCAACCACCACCACCCACCACCAATTGTTTCTACTTTGTCGATTGGTAATAATAATTTCGAATCACACAAATTCTTCATCGAGAATAATCCAAGATTCTTGATTGATTTTCTATATTTCAAAATTTTTTTTTGTTATTCTATCCTATGCCATATAAGCGGATTGAAAAGTAGAAAAATGGACATTTTATGATTATCATCATCAACACCGAACAAGCAATAATGGCCCTAGGGACACATATATATGGAATTTATTTATATGACCCAATATTGTACAAGAATTACAATTCTTTTTTTTTTTCGTGAAAAAAAAGTGAAAGATTATATTTTTTTTCTTCTTCTTTTACAAATGACAGAATTTCTGTTTTTTTTCTCCTTATGAAAATCACAAAAACATTCATTCATTGATCGGTATTTGTTGCTTTTAGTTGTTATGGTTGTCGATCATAATTCGAATCAAAAGAAAAAAAAACATATGAAAAGAAGGAGAAAAAAAAAAACCTTGAACCTTGACCATTGGCCATGATGATGATGATGATGATGGCCAATCATAATGGATATTCCTTTCATGTGTGTGTGTAAGTTCATGGTGTATGTATGAATATAGTGTTTATGGTCATCATCATCATCATCATCATCACCTGAAAGTTATTGAATTTCTTACCATTTACCTGCTGGCCATTATTATTACTGCTTTCTTCTTGTTTTTGCTGATTTTTTTTTGGCGGGCCATATAATCATCAAACTGAATGAACGAGAATAAGTTTCACATGACAAAAGAGTTCTTTTTTCTTGGTTGCGAATTTGAAAATTTTCAACAACAAAAAAATATGGCCATATTTTCTTCTTCTTTTTATAAATACAAAAAAGATTTGTTTCACTGTGTGTGTATGTGTGTAGCGTGTACCAATTGTTGCTGTTGTTCAAACACGGATTTCACAGATGGACATTTGTAAATGATTTACGTTTGCTTTCTTTTTCTTATTTTGTTTTTGTTTGGTATTAAAACCAAAGGGGACCATAAAGAACGAAATGAAAAAAAAATCAAAAACAGATTTTTTTTCCGAAAACGGAAAGGAAAGGAAAAAAGACGATTTTCAGGTTTTTTCTGCTGGTTGGTTGGTTGGTTGGTTGATTGGTTGAATATGAATTTCATATTTGAAAAGCTTTTTCTTTGATTTTTGGGCACAAAGGATTTTTCTTTACATTGAACATCTGGACACAAAATTGAATTCATTGAAAATGATTGAAAAAGAAATCAATTTGTCTGTATTATCAATACGAAATAACTGAATGCAAACAATATGATTGTAAAGAAAAATTTACCATCATATATAACCAGATCGTAGATATTTAGTTGAAAATATTCATGATAAATTTCAATCATTTCAAAATAACAAATTTTCGGATTGATTTTCGCTTTTTGCCATCGATCGGAAATCTGATCCATTATGGTGATCATTTCTGTTTCATTGTTGATGGTCATCTCGGTGCCGGATTGATATTGATATAATTTGTTCAATAATTTTTTCATCATTTTCGATTTTAATGTTTTTATCATAATGATTTTTGATGATTGTCGTCCATTACGTTGATGATGATGAAAAACATTGACAATTTCATTTAATTCTGTTTGAATATTCATATCCAAATAAATACAGTAAATAGCACCGATAAAATGTATACTAGATACAATGGATTGCATCAAAGCTGTTTGACCAATATAATAACTTAATGGTGTCATTATCATATAGAATGTTTCACCAATTACATAGGTAATCATTGCATAGCCCCAAATTTGATGAAATTCTTCACTGGTTGTAGCCATCAATCGAATCCGCATCATACATTCTTGTTCATTGATTGTGTTTGATCGAATATCGTTTAACATTTGATGAATTGTTTGTTGGATGCCAAATTTGAAATAAATAATAACAAAATATGTTAATGATTCATTCATAAAAATCATGGATAATACGTAGATTTTCAAACATTTTGATATGGTTGGTGGAAATTGTATTGATTCTACATTGGATAAACCAACTGCATAATAAATGAATAGACCATTTAAATTACAAGCAATTAAAAGTATAATCGTTATGATTCGATGACGTTGATTATTTGGTAGATAAACGGCTTCAAATATAGATGAATTGAACAATGTAATTAATCGTTGTCCATTTAATGTATAGTAGATATAGAATGATATAAATAACACAAAATACAATGCATCATTGACCAATTCAATCATTTTGCCAAATAAATTCGGACTAACTTGCGATATTCGTTTTGTGTAACGATAATATTCATTTTGATAAAAATCATATATGATAAAAACATATGAATAGATGAACAATGTGATTAGAATAATACTTTTAATCAATGATCGACGATGATGATGATGATGCCAATCAAATTGGCTAAATGTGAATCCAATTGATCTAAAATTCAATGTGAAAAAAAAATTAAAAATGAAATTACAAAGTAAAAAAATCATTTTCATACGTATAATAGTTGACAAAAATCCGAAGTGGAAATATTCGAATATTCATCATTTTTTTCGAATCGAATTTGCCCAATTCAAATGATGAATGACATTTTGGAACACACACACACAACTCAATTCGATGATGATGATGATGATGATAATGTATGCACCACATTGTTTATCGATCCAATTTCAATATAACAGATCAATTAATCAATCAATTGATTAATTAGTGAAGACAAAAATATAATCGAATTGTTTCGAAACGAAAAAAAAAGCAAAAAAATCCAACTAGTGCTGCCATCGTGAGGACATTGAGCTAAAAATTAAAACATGCGCAAACACACACACACACAAACAACCGGATGTATATTTTCTACAACAGAAATGAATGGTTTTTTAAAAAAAGAAAGAAATTTTAATTTATTTTCATATATGATTGATTGACAAAAAGATGGATAATTTCCATTGGAAAATACAAAAAGATTATAAAAATACAATTCGAAGTGTAGTTAGTTAGTGAATATTTGAAAAGAGAGAAAAAAGATTTAGTTGAATTTGATGAATACAAATATACCATGATTATTGATTTTAATTATTATTACACTTTGTTGTTTTTGTTGTTGTTGTTCTTGATTCTGTTCATCTGATTGGCAGCAGCAACACGAGCTTGAATTTTTTTAAAATCCGGCATTGGACGTGCACGAAATACGACCGGCGGCGGCGGTTGATTTGTTGATGATGATGTTTTGCCATTTCCATTATCATTACGATGTTTTAGTTGATAAATTTTGGAACGATATTCAGTACAAAAATTTGGTGTTCGAGCTTTAGTCAATGGACGTTTGGATTTAATTTTCATTGATTTAATTAATGGAATTTCAGCAATTGGTTTGGCCGGTGGCTGTTGTTGTGCTACATCATTAGTTTCTAATGATGATGATGACGATGTTGTTGTTGACTGAACACGATTGGATTCAGTTTCAATTCGGCGACGAGATCTCGATCGAATTTCAGTCAATAAAAGTGGTGGCCGTGGTTTGGTCAATTTATGTCGTTGCCATAAAGTTTTTGGCTGATATTGCCGTGCTGAATTCAAAAAACGTTGTGTTTGTTCGGCCATCGATACGTATTTTTGTGATGGTCGTTCAGTTTGAATTCTTTTTGGCAAAGCAGTTAATCGATTAATAGTATCGATAGACATTGTTTTTTTAGTTACTTTTTTCGATTTTGGTGTTACTGGTTCACGATTTTCTTTATCAACGATGACAAGATTTACATTCTTTGTCGATTGTTTATCATCATGATGATCCAATTCTTTTTTATCATTATTAGCATCATCTTGTTTATCATCATCTTGATTCAATGTACGTGAAAATCGTTTCCAATATTTTTTCGATCGATCTTTGCTAATATTCATCACCATTGGTTTTGATTTTGTCACTGTTTCATCATTTTTATTCTTGTTATTAATAATACCATGTTTTTTAAATATGAACATTGGTGTTGCTTTACGATTTTTAATTTTCAATTTTTTTTCTTCATCAACATTCAATGTCGATGGTGTTTTAATCATTCCATCGACATCAAAAGATACGGCCAGAACATTGGTCGAAGATTCTTTTTCATCATCATTAAAACGTACAATAGGACTTTTTACCAAATATGAATGACGTTTACATGATTGATCAACATTGGATTGTGCCGGTTCTTTCAATTCATCCGAGGATATTTCATGAAAGTTATCCATTGTTTCTTCTTGTTCGGTTTCGGACAATAAATCTTCAACAACAACAACAACATCATTAGTTATGTTTGATACGCCATCCATTGATTCATCATTAATTTCATTCGAATTTTTTTGGATACTATTCTCATCATCCTCATTGTTATTTGATGGTTCTGGTGGAATCATTTCTTCTTGTTGTGATTGTACCTGCTGGTCACCGGTCAATTGTACTTGATCCAATACTTGAACCATTTTTGTCATATTGAATGAAACATTGTTGATTTCATCATCATCATTATCATCAATTTTTTTTGAGCTTTGAACAGATTTTCGGGATTTTCGATATGAAAGGCTTTTTCGTTTACCGAATTCAGCAATGGTTGAACGTTTTTGCCGCAATGGTGTATGACCATTCTGATATAAACATCGTAATGGTGTTTCACGCAATTCATATTTGGATGAAAAATTTGGTAATGATGTTTTATCCAATTTAGATTCCGGTGTTTGATATAAAGATTTTGAAGATTCATCAGAAAAATTTTCTTTAATTGATTCATCATTAACATTATCATTAGCATCATTATATTCATGATTTTTCACTGTTTTATGAATGTAAATTTTTATATCAAATTATTAGACAAAAGACAAAAGAAATTATTTTTTTTTGTTTTACTTACAAAAATAATTATCATCACCATCATGATTAGATTGGTCATCCATTTGGTTGAAATCAAAAAAATGTGGTGCTTCATATTCCCAAACTTCGTTTGTATTTTTAGACGATTTATTATGATCGGCGACAATTGTCGAATCCAATTCATCACCAACATTAAGATTATCAGCCATAATTTATTTATTATATATTCGTCGATAAATTACAAAATCGAAATTCGTTCGTTAAATATAAAGTCAATGGTAATGGTAATGTGATAATAATAATGAAAATAAAACAAAAAACAAAAAACGAAAAATGAATCGAATTTCACAACGTTTTTATTGGATTACGAATTTGACGGTTGTAAAATTTGCAAAGAAAAAAAAAAGTGCTACTGCTGCTGCTGCCGCCGTAGTCGCCAATGGAGAGAGAGAGAGAATAGAGCAGAAAAAAAGCGCGCGCGATAAAAACTAATAATAAACATTATTGTTCGATTTACACATGCGTAACGGCTAAATTTTTCAAAAAAAAAAAAAAAAAAAATTTCTCTTGCCTTTCTTTCTCATCCTCCTCCTCCTCAGCGTTCTCATCAGCAAGTTATGATTTGATATTTTTTTTGTGTTTTTTCATTTTGACCAATTTTTTTTCTATTTGATTTTTTTTTTTCGTTATTGATTTACATCATTCCAATTCAAATAATGGATCCACATCCAACTTTACGAAAAGTAATGTCTACATCTGAATGTGCATATCGTTCAATGATAACAACACAATTGGCACGTCTATTGGACATTGATTCGGAATTCAATTTTGACCATAACCATAATAATGATGATGATAATCATTCAATCAATGACAATCAACGATCAGCTACGGGTAAATAAATTGAAAATTTGAAAATTGATTCAAAAAAAAAAAAAATTAATCAATTAATATTTCAGTATTTGGTGCACCACTTACACATGAAGGTATATGTTCGATTAGTCAACTGATTGAATACATTTCAAAACCAGATCAAATCATTGAAGAAGGTATTTTTCGTAAAGCTGGTGTAAAATCACGACAAAAAGAATTACGTTCATTGATTGCTACTGGTCAAACAATTGATATTGATTATCGAAAATTTTCCGTACATGATTGTTGTGATCTATTGAAACGATTCATATCGGAGTTGCCACAATCAATATTGACGAATGGTTTGCAGAAATTTTTTCTACAATCATTGAAATTAGAATCAGAACAAAAAAAATTGGACACAATACGTTTGTTGATATTGTTGTTGCCGGCACCAAATCGAAGTTTTCTGTTCGAACTTCTTACACTGTTCGATAATGTTGCTAAACATTCGAATCAAAATCGAATGAGTATTGAAAATTTGGCAACAGTTTTTGCACCATCCATTTTTCATTGTCAATGGTCAATGTCATCGAAATCTTTATCATCATCATCATCATCGACGACGACGACCACTATGGCAACAAATTCATCACAAAATCTTTCATCAAATTCTGTTCAAAATATGCTTATTGCTAATCAAGAATCGATTCAATGTTTAACAATGATGATACATAATGTAAGGCTGATATTTGAACCACCAGAACAATTGATTCGTGATGCAACCGTTTTTATTTCCAATCATATTCGATTACAAAAACGAACATTACAATCATCTGGTTGTGAAAATTTGGTTAGTGTAACAAATTTATCGGCAATTCCAGCAGCTAAATTCTGTGCCACAACTGTACAATCATATTCAGCAAAGGATTATACTGAAAGACAGGTTTGTTTGTTTTTTGTTTTTTTTTTTTTAATTGGAATTTTTTCTATTCGAATTTTCTTCATCACCTATATAGTTGGCTGAATTATATGCACAAATGCAATCGATGGCAAACGAATCACCATCGATACAGAAAAAATTGAAAAAATTTAATCATATTAAAACGGGAACACCGAAAACAGTATTGAAACGTGATAAACAACAACAGGAATTGATAAAACAATCGTTGAAAAAATCTTCATCCGTTAAAAAATCTGATAAAGGATTAAAATCATTGTTCAAAAAAATGATGACACCAAATAGTGAACGAAAACGATCGATCAAGTTATCGTCTTCTTCAGTATCATCTTCCACAGCATCTTCGCCTATTATTACGCCAAAAAATAGATCGAAAATTTCAACACCAAAACATCGACGAGAATCAATGTCACCGCGATCGATTATTCCTATTGATGAAAAATTGATGGCCGAATTACCGCCAACTCCATGTTGCGCGTAACGATTCAAAATTGACAATAATTTCTAAACGAAAACCAAGTCAGACATTTCATGAAACCAAATTACCGATTGCAGTGACTACTTTCGTATCAAATGAACAACAAAACAAGAAAAAACAACATTTACCAACGCCAATTCGTTCATGTTCGAATTCTATTATTTCATCCACACGACTATCATGTCGCTATTCACAAACTCAAATTCCATCAATATCGGATCGAATTGGCAAAGAAAATCATTTGAATAATAATGTTAGATTGCCAATGAAAATTCTATCATTACCTACACCATTACGAAATAATAATAATAACAATGATGATGATACAAATTATAATGATGGTGAAAATATACGACGAAAACGTGTAAAATATCTAACATCAGTATATGAAGAATTGATTGCATCACAAAATTCATCATCATCATCATCATCGACTACTGTCAAACAACCATCATCACGAATACCCATCATTAATCGTTCACTCATAAATAATGCTGATACAAATGAAGATCTTTCGGAATATGTATCATTAACAACAGTGTATACAAAAACACCATTGATTGAACATAATCGACATTTATCATCATCATCATCATCATCATCATCGACAACAATACCAAAGATTCATCAACGTACATCAAATTCAATGCGTTTATATTCAAAACATACTCGATTATAAGAGATATAAAGATAAAGATTCTTAATTAGTAATTGCATAATAATTGTTTTAATTGAAAAATTTTAACCATTAATATTAATAATAATAAAATTCATCGAAAAGTCATATTGTTTTTTATTCATTTATATAGTGCACAGAGATTATTATTATTTAGTAGTAGTTTGTAAATAAAGAAAGAAAAAAAACAACAAAATATAAATGGAAATGAACAAAAAAGAAGTGCCATTTTTATATATTTATTTGAGTTTTATTATTATTTTGATATATATTATTCATTTATTTATTTATTTCTTCACATTTCACGTCGTGGTGTGACGTAGCCAACAATACCAAAGATTCATCAACGTACATCAAATTCAATGCGTTTATATTCAAAACATACTCGATTATAAGAGATATAAAGATAAAGATTCTTAATTAGTAATTGCATAATAATTGTTTTTTTTTTAATTGAAAAATTTTAACCATTAATTATAATAATAAATTCATCGAAAAGTCATATTGTTTTATTCATTCATTTATAGTGCACAAAGATTATTATTATTTAGTAGTAGTTTGTAAATAAAGAAAGAAAAAAAACAACAAAATATAAATGGAAATGAACAAAAAAAAAAGTGCCATTTTTATATATTTATTTGAGTTTTATTATTATTTTGATATATATTATTCATTTATTTATTTTTTTATTTCTTCACATTTCAACGAATTGTCGAGAATAAATCCAATGCTGATTTTGTTTCTTTTTGTGATCGTGCTTTTGAGAATACATTCCAGAAACGTAATGTTTCATCACCGGCACCTGTAACAATTGATTCACCATCTGGTGACATTGCCTATGTTTTTTTTTTTTTTTTTTTTTTTGATGGGGAAGATGAAAAACAGAAAAAAATGATGATGATGATTAGTGATAATCAAATTAAATATTATTAATAAATAAATAAAAACATACAAGATATAAAACACGACATGTATGGCCAGTTAATTTAGCCACCTGTACTAATGATGGATATTTCCATACAAGAATTTGATTCTGTGAATAACCATGTGTTGAAACGAGTTCAGATGCATGTTTAGACCATGCTAGATTGCAAACTTGTGATCCAGTATCTACACATTGTATTGGCTGCCCGGTTAATGTATTCCAAAATCTAATATGACGATCAGATGTACCTCCACCGCTTGCCAATAGACCATGATGATGTGGTGACCATGCGATTGCTTTAACAGCGGCTAAATGTTCTGTATATGTTTGTACCGGTTGATTTGATGTTTGATTCCATATGAATATCCGATTGTCATTTCCGCCCGATGCTAATAGCTGATTATCTGGTGACCATTTTAAGCCACAAACCTCTTGTCGGTGGCTAAGTAGTTTACGTTCAGGTATTAATGAAGCTGAACGTATATCTCGTTGATATATATAACGATCACGGGAACCACTTGATAATGAATCACCATTCCATGCTAAACAACCAACACGAGAAGAATGGCCATCAAATTGTTTGATACATTTGAGTGTGGCTACATCCCAGATTTGCACGAACCCACGTTGTGTACCGACAGCGACCAAATGTCCCTGAAATGAATAAAAAATGAATAATCCGTTCAATTTAATCTTAACCAATTGAACTTACTCTTTCGGACCATGAGACTGATGTAATTGAATTAGCGGTTGATGAAAAATCGCATAAACGTGTAACTTGACTGGTGCAAGCACTCCATAAATAAACGCTATAGCCAAGACCAACGCTTAGAATATTCGTTGATGACCAATCGACCAGATTTAAATAGAAATCATCTTGTAATTCTGGTGCATCAAGTATTTTGAATGGCATTTTTGATATTTTACGAGCCGTCTTTCTTGGTGATCGTAACATTTTCTGACTTTTTGGACTAATTGGTGATAATGAATATGGACTGGTTGGTTCGCTACGTATTTCACGTGTACGAAACTATACGAGTAAAAAAAATGAATAATTAATGATCATTGCTTGATAAATTGGGTAAAATTTCCCAAAACTTACCCGAAAAACATTGCGATTCATTAATGGTGTCAATATTTTATGTTCTTCAATCTGTTTATATTCATTAATATCTTCAATTTCAGCACCCAATAATTCATTTTTCAATAAACATTGATATGCAAGACCATTACGAAACATATCGGATTGAGATGAACTACCGTTATTATTATTACCACCACCGCTACCACCTACATTACTACCCGATCCATTAATACCACCAACATTTCCCGGTGTAGTATTCATATTTGTTGTACCATTAATAGTTGCTGATGGTGATGATGATGATGATGATGACGAATCTTTTGGTTTATGACGCATCATTGATGATCTAGTTGTTTCTTTTATCATATTATAACGTAAATTCCAATTATGTGGTTCACGTATCGGTATAAAACGATCTGAACATTCAGGTGTAGTACATGAACGATAATATTGTGCTGGTGATTTTAATGGTGGTGAATATAATATCGATGGTGGTGTAAATACTGATCTCATTGTATCCGTTTTTAATGTTGATGATGATGACGATGATGGTGATATTGTTGTTGATATTATGTATGGATCACAATCAAATTTCGATTGTGATGATGATGATGACGATGTTGTTGTTGGTGATTTTACAATATTATCCATGATTGATGATTTTTAAATATTTCGAAAAAAAACGGTTCCAAATATATCATGTCATCATCATCATCATCATCATCATTCATCAAAGTATATTATTTTGTTGTTGTTGCTGTTGAGTAGTTGTCGATCGATGATTTATCAATATATATATCCAATATATAAATTCAAATTTCTATCGAACCAAAAAAAAATACAAATGGATATGGAATATTTAAAAAATAGTATAAAAAAAAAATACACAACTATCAAAAGATTGGATCGATGATAATAATATAAGAAAAAAAAATAACAGAAATAATCAAAAGAAGAAACAAAAAATCAAAACACTCATCAAACACACACACACACACGTCGAATCATCATCATCATCATCATGGATTATCAAGGGATGGATAAAAAAAAATAGTAGTGGCATTAGTAGTAGTAGTGGTAGTAGTAGCATTGCTTTTATTTTTGATTTAAATGAATTTAGGTAATAACAAAAAAAAAAAAAAAATTCCAACGACCATTTTAACTAGTGGTATTGTATTGTATTTTTTTTTTGTCTCACTATGACAAACCATTTTAAATTTATATGCTGCTAGATTCATTAGTAGTGGTACTGTTTTGTGTGGATCAGTCCATAATAATATTATTTGATTCGATTTAAAAAAACACAAAAATGATGTCGCATATATCGGTGATGTTTTTTAAATTTCCGTTGGAATAAAATCCAAATGGCCACGCCTTTTGTGTGTGTGTGTGTGTGTGTGTGTGAATGACATCATCCACCATTGGTTGGGATTTAAATTTTTGTATTCCATTACAAAACAAGAATCGTGATGAAGCGGGAATTTTATTTTATTTTCTTTTGATTTCAGAATTTTTTTTTAGAAATCCAAGGGGAAGTAAGAGAGCGGAAATTACGATAAAAAAAATTTAAAATTTAAAATTCAAAAATATTTCATTTTTCCTGTTGTTGTTGTTGTTGTTGCTGTTGCTGTTCATCAATTTCATCATCTTCAATCAATTTATTGTGTACACGCATTAATCCTTTAAAATATTTAACCGTTTTTACACGTAATTCCAATGTAGCATCTTCATCACAAATAAACAATGTTTGTGGATGTAATTGAAATGCTGATACTGTCCACATATGATTAACACCTTCTTCGATTGCTTTAGATAATGCTAATGCTTTATGTACACCGGTAATCAATATGATTACTTCACGTGAATCCATTACGGTGCCAACACCTACGGTCAATGCTTGTCCTGGTACTTTTGTTAGATCATTTTGAAAAAAACGTGCATTAGCAACAATAGTATCCAATGCTAATGTTTTAACACGTGTACGTGATGTTAAACTTGATCCAGGTTCATTGAATGCAATATGGCCATCAGGACCAATACCACCGACAAATAATTCAATACCACCATAATGGCGGATTTTCGCTTCAAATTTGTCACATTCCTCATTCAAATCATTTGCATTACCATCCAAAATGTAAGCATTTTCTGGTTGTATATCAATATGTTTGAAAAAATTTTCATACATAAATGAATGATAGGATTCTGGATGATCACGTGGTAAATTAACATATTCATCCATATTGAATGTGACCACATATTTAAATGAAATGGTTCCTTGTCTTTTGGTGGTGAGATAAAAAAATTTTTAAACAAAAAAATCGATTTTTTTATTAATTTTTTTGTTTTTGTTTTAATTACCTATAGAATTCAATCAATTTACGATATGTACCCAATGGTGTTGAACCGGTTGGCAGGCCAAGTGTAAAATAATGATCTGGTCCTGGTCGAAATCGACGGATACGTTTACGAATATATTTGGCTGTCCATTCGGATACCATATCATAATTATCTTGAATGATTAATTTCATCGTCTTCTTCTTCTTGTTGTTGTTTGATGTTGAGTTTTTTTTTTGCTATGTTTGAAGAATTAAATTTCGCAAAACAAACATTCAAATGAATTGAAAAATTGATCAAAACTGGTTTTTTTTTGTTGCTGTTTGTTTGTAATAAGTAAATTAAAATGAAAAAAAACAAGCTCATTAATTTTTTTATCTCTTTTTTTGTTTATCTTATATGTGTGGAGATGTGCAACGACAACAACAACAACAACAACAACAACAACAACAACAACAACAACAACAACAACAACAACGATGGCTTTTATTTTCTTCGTTTTTTTTTATCGTTCAACACATCATGCATTTCACTTCATTTATCGTTAATAAATCTGGTTATTAGATATATTTGTATGGTTGTCACTATGAGCAACCATATTGATATTTGTTTGTGTATGAGAAAAAAAAATAACAAGTATCATTTAGGATTTATGGGACACAATCATTATCATTCAGTCATATTGATAATCAATCAATCAATCAATCACTGATACATCCTGTCGATACATACTGTATTTGTGTTGTTCATATGTGCGTTCGATGACACACACACACACAAATGGAAAACACATTCGAATATTGATGATTTTTTTTTTTTACTGTATTGATTAATTGGTTAAAAATTGGATGACCATCTCAATAAATTGGCCCAGTGGGGTATATGATTTGCGCTTTTGGATTGATTGATCAATTGGGCCCATGTCATGTGTGATATAATTTGAAATTTTTATTTTTTTTTTTTTTTAATAATTGAAATAAAAAAAAAAAAAAAAAATCTTTCTTTCTGTTTTCTGTTTTTTTTCTATCCAAACGCTGAACAATGAATATAAGTCGGTTTGATCTGGTCTTTTGATTTGGTCAGATCACCATAATCAAACATTGAAAGTTCATAATTAAATTGAAAAAAATTCTTTATACGACCAGCAGAATGTAAACGTATGACAGCATGACGACAACGTATATTGTATGTTATATTTGTTGGTTTTTTTTCTTCTGAACAAATATCTTTCACCGATTCAGGTGTTCCATCAATTTCCATTGTTGTTGATGTGCCACCAATTTCAACATAATCATTCACAAATTGACTACATGGTCTACGAATATATGGAGTCTTTAAAACTTTAAAACCAAGCTGATAATTAACAATATGAACATTTATAGTTGGAAATAATTCAATACGGCCACCAAATTGTAATAGATAAACAGTACAAATTGGATAATATGAATCTATTGTATGTGTACCATTCCAATCTGGCTGTCTATATGGTATGATGAGTACATTACATGGTTTTGGATTCATAATGAACATTACTTGTATATCAAATCTAGAATGTTGATATGGTAAATAGAATTCAATTTGCATAAAATTCTGTGATGATTTATAGCTAATATTTGGTTTACAAAATTCATGTAATCTTTTTCTATGATTTTCCTTCATTCACTAATTTATGTTCACCATCAGTTGGTATTGTCCAACCAGAATAAACATTCCAACCATCAAATAGATCAATATATGACATTTGATATGAATTACTATCATTACATTGGAAATTAATGGCAATCAAACGTACACGAATCAATGTATCCACTGGTGATATTATACGTGTTAAACAATGTTTTTCTTCACGTATACTTTGTTCATTTGGATCAGGCCAATCAACTTGAAAACGAAAATAACCAGGTGAATGTGTTAATGTACGACAATTAAAACGTTGTATTGGAAATTTTTTTTGATATTGATATTGTTGATGTATTGAAAATATATCATTATGGTCATCTGTTGTCAAGTATATTGCCAATATGAATGGATAGATATGAAACATTAAAATGATTTTTGCGAACATTTTTCTTTTCTTTTTTTTTTTTTTGCTTGCTTGAAAACTAGAATTTCACAGTAATAATAATAATATGATTATGATGAATTTTGTGGAATTTTTTTTGTTTGTTTGTTTTTCTACACATTCATAATACATTGTTGTATAGAGAATAATTTGATTTTTTGAGAAAAACAATTCGTTTGAATCAATTTATGAATCAGTAATAAAAACATTCGATTTGATTTTAATCCGAAACGGTTCGATTGATTATATAATAATTATTATTATTATTGTATTGATTACATGCCAACAGGTGGTAATCATCATCAACAACAACATCATCACCATCATCATCATCATCATCATCATCATCATAGCCATCAACAAAAGTCTGCAAAATCAATGCCTAGACATCAAAAACCACATTCAAAACAAACATCAAAACAACGTCAACATCATCAACAAAGACGTACAAGTACAACATTGATTCGTAGACCAAATTCGGATACTAACAAACAACAACAACAACAACAACGTTATTCACCACCGGTAATTAAACCAACACAAGGACAAGAAATAACATCGGAAACACCAACAGTTATGATTGCACCAGAAGATTATATGCACATCTATCATAAACGTTTACCACCATTACAACAATCACAACAACCACAATTAAGCGATGTGAATAGTCCAAATAATCAAAATAATAATGATCAATTGGATAATCTACCTACAGTTATGATTGCACCAGAAGATTATAATCATATTTATCATAAACAACAACAACAACAACAACAACAATCGCCCGAAGACGAAACCATTAAACCACCAATGGATGATACAAATATTGATTGTTGTCAAACAGCATTGATTGCACCAGAAGATTATATTCATATCTATAAACGTCAACAAAGATCATCGATGATAAAATTAACGAATCGTTCATCATCACAACAACGGATAATTAAATTTTTTTCGATTATTGATAATGATCTTTTAGATAATAATAATAATGATAGTGGTGAACAATTAAAACAACAAGAAACGGAACAATTATTTAAATGTTATCCACGTTGTCCATCATTATGCAATAGTAGCATTACACGGATAGGTTTACGACGAGAACAACAACAACAACAACAACAACAAACGGCCAGTTTGACTGCTTCACAACAATTGATACCAACAAGATTAATGGATGCCATAAGAAAGTTTATTACATCACAAAAATAATAAAATTTGTTTGTTTTTTGAAAAAATAAATTCTTAACAGCAGCAGTCTGTGTTAATTATAATTCGTTTGTTTTTGTTATAAATCACTTGAATTAACACATCATAAGAAAAATCATCTTTCAATCAATCCATTTGATCATTGAATGGATTTTTTTTTTTGTTGTTTGCTAACGGCTGGGCCCTATTTTTTACCTGTTGATTGATTCGAAAATAAAATATGATGATGTCATACGACTAGGTTGATTCAAAATACAACCAGTTTGTTTTTCATTGAAATTGTATAACTATATGTGGATGATTTATATAGATGACCACCAATATTGAAAATATATATGGTCAAGGTGTGAATTCCAAAAAATATGAAAGTGAAAAAATTTGCTGTAATCAACAGGTTTTTTTTGTTGTTGCGCCACTGGTACTATAATAGTTGCAATATTTTTATTTGAATTTCTCATGAAACATGAAACATTTCAAATTCATAAATTTTTCCATCGATGATAACTGATGTCCGAACTATTTGAGCAGAAAAAAGAGAGAAAAAAGAATTAGTTTTTTTTGTTACTTTGCAAATACCGAATGGTTACCAAAGAATTTCACAATTTATCCCTTATTTTTTTTGATTTTCTTCTTCGATGGTTTAAAATCATAAAATTATCGATTATCGATCAGTTTTTTTCCCATATTAATCATTCAATGATAATTGGAAATCATTATCATTTTAATGATCAAAATTAACCACTCAAAAAAAAATCAAGGATGATAGCCTGAAGAAAGTGTAACTTGGAAAATTCAAAGAAAAAAAATTATCAAATTTCATATTTAATTAGTATGATGTGAAGTGATGTGTGTGTGTGTGTGTCACAATATTATTATAATTAATATCAACACCATCATGATTATTTTTATAATTTAATAAATTCAAACAAGATGATAATGTGTGTGATTTAAAAATCAACAAAGATAACAACAGAATCAAACAGTGGTTTTTTCTATTCATTCATCAAAACCAATAATATTGCAATATATTAATGGTCAATAAATCGATGACGATGATGATGATGATGTTGTTGTTGTTGTCGTTGTCGTTGTTGCTGATGTTGTTGTTGTTGACAGGTTTTAGCCGTCATCAGCCGTTGCAGCAAATAAAATTGAATGATAAATATTTTAAAAAGTACGAATTTGAAAAAATTCGAAAAAAAAGACTATATTGGCGGCCATATTCGAAATGATTAACCTTTACAAAAAATGGAAAAAAAGAGAAGAAAAAAAATCTAGATAAGATAAGCAAACTTAGATGGATCGAAAAAGAGTATGGAGAAAATTCAATTTTTCATTTTTTTTTCAAAGATGGACAAAGTCGGCCATCGATTAATTAATGATCTTCATCAAGGACTTTGGAAGAAATGATGATGATGATGATGATGATCAAAAATGAAATGAAATGTCCATCATCATGATCAAATATCGGAACATGATGACGAAAGAAATTCATTCATTCAGTCATCATCTGAACTTCGAATGAAATTTCATCCAATAAAAACTTGTTGTTGTTGTTGATTCTTGTTTGATTTTTTTTTTCATTCGGCTTTTCACTAAACTCGTTTATCATTTTTTGATCTTATTCAATTTTCATTCATTTGATTCATTTTTCATAAGTGCGATAATCGAAAAATTCTTGTGGCATTATCATCATTATCATCATCCTGAAAATGAATTTTTCGACCACGATGATAAAATTAAAAGTCCATGTCCATTATGGTTAACCATAATGGTCATTACAGTGTCGATTGTTTATGTTAGTACAGAAATTTCAATCAAACAAAATTCTATTGATCATCATCAACATGATAATCATCGATCGAATGTGATTATGAATAAAAATTCAATTGTTGATCATGAAGAACATGGTGAAGAGGATGATGATGACGATCATGATGATGATGATGAAGATGAATCCATTTCTGGTCGTATAATTTCAATATTTTATGAATTGGAATTATTGCGTTCGAAAATATTTCGGGAAATTTCCACCATTAATAATAATCGAAATAAACAACATGATGATGATAAATATGATGATTATAGTGAAATTTTCAAACAAATCAGTAAACCATTACATGGTTTAGCATCAATTTTTATTAAACTTCAATATGAATTATCACAACCATGTAATGATGCATTGATTCATTGGTTCAATTCATTACGTGATCAACATTTATGGGCATTTCGAATGCTTGATTCCAATGGTCTTATACCACATTTAGGCATTCTTTCTGGTCCAATATCAAATTTTGGTGCATATGATCAATGTTTAGCTATTAAATCTGGTGAAATTCGTGGCCAATATTGTATGATTGAAACAAGATTATCATCATCATCATCATCATCATCAGTATTGAAACAACGGCAATCCGAATCATTAGATGAAAACGATGATTTATTTATGAAACATTCATCATCGAATGATACAATTTGGATGGAAATCCAAAGAAATCGTCGATTATTACCGGCAGCACGTTGGTATCTAAGCGTTTGTCTACCATCACAATGTACACGTAAAGATGTTCAATATCTGATTGATGATCAAAAATTATTAGCAGAAGTGAAAAATTGTCATCATTTAGATGATGGTAACTTACCGAAAAACAATGTAATATTTCTCACTATTTTCATCATCATTTTAATCATCATTTTGTTCACCATCATTGATCGACGATATGTGAATCGATCGAATAATGTCGGAGAAAACAAATCTATTAACCAGATTAATCAACCACCATCAAAAGATCGAATCGAATCCATTATTGATTCTGTTCGTTTGGTAAACATTATTCTTATTATATATTGGCATACCTATATGTTTACATGGAAATCATCGATTCGTTTATCAATGGAACTTTTTCAAACATTTCTTCAATTATCACCCATACAATTGATGATAATTGGTTGGCCATTAATGGAATCAATGTTATTTTTGGAAGCATTACGTTTATCATATCAAATGTTTCGTTCATCAAAACAATCAGATAAAAAAAATTTTCAAAACATTTTTCAACATTTCTTTTATCATTTCATACAACGATGGTTCAATATTGTCATTTTATTATTCTGGATGTTTACATTCATTCCAATCCTATCGAATGGACCACAATCATTTCGATCCGTCGAAGCATTAAATGAATGCCGTAATGAATGGTGGAAAATATTATTGTTTGCATCGAATTTCAGTGATCATCAAAATAGTTGTCTATCACATATATGGATCATTGCGGTTGAATTTCAGCTTTTCATAATTATTCTACCATTCATTTATATAATAAAACGTATGAAAATGTCTCGTAAAACGGTAATTAGTTTCGTTTTGATTACAATAATCATTGCTTGCATTGTAACCACATCTTATTATCATCAATATGATCGTAATATTAAACAACTTGTTCATGGTACAATGATATCGGAAACAGGATTTTATGGAAGATCTTTTTGCAATGAATATATCACCATTATTTCATCTATGTTCATATATTTTGGGATTATTATTCGGTTATTGGATATCGATAAAATCTAATCAGAACAATAATAATAAATGGCCAAATCTTACGCGACGATCCAAAGCTATGATGGTGGCAATCATATTGGCCATAAGTATTGTGATTGGTTGGTTTTTACTATTTCATCAATCATCACATTGGTCACCAATGATATCAAGCATCATACTTGGATCATATCGTTTCATTTGGTCAATGTGGTTGATCATATTATTCATTTTTATTTGTGATTTTAATGCAATACTGGAATATTGTTCTGAAAAATCCAATTTGATTCATATGATTAGTCCATTAGCATTTCAATCATATCTAATACATTATTTGGTCATTATTGTTCGTGATTCACAACGTCGTCAACCGATTGTATTTGGCCATATGAAAATGTTTGAAGAATTTCTACTCAATCTTTTCATAAGTTTATTATTAGCATGTTCGATACGATATTTTGTTAGTGAGCCATCATGTCGAATCATTCGATATTGTTGGAAAACAATGGCCAAAGTGAATTCGGAAAAAAAATCCAAATGGCCATCAAAATTATCAATAAAATCTTCTTCACGATCATCATCTTATCAAGAGATGGCAAATATTGTCGACAACAATACAAATGACAATCATCATCATACTGCAAATAATTCAAATGAAACAATCATTGATCCAGCAAGTATATCGACATCAGTTGAATTAACAGCATTATTATCATCATCATCATCATCATCGAATTCTAATGGAAAAAATATGTCACAAAATTAGTCATCATAGTTGATAATGAATTGTACAAACCATAAATGCCAGTGTTCCATATATTATTTGCCAAAAAAATTTCACAAAAAAAACATACACACTATTTGTATGAATCATTAAACAGATTATGTTGAATTTCATTTTTTTGGGTTATTTCTCATTTTCACTAAAAATAACATCTATGAGTGCTTCCCAATACACAAACAAACTAGCTAGAATATATAAAGAATTAAAATGAAAAGAGAATCAAAACATGATAAAAATAGAATCTCACCACATTCATAGAGGTTTCGTCGAGGTTATACAAAGTTTTTCTTTAGCCATTGTTGTTGTTGTTGTTGTTGTTGTTATGTTGATTCTTTCCATTCAGCACAAAACATGATCATGTTGATTTTGAATTGATGAACAAAAAAAAAAATGGATTCACGATTAATTTTGATATTAATATCATCATTGATCATCAATATATTAATTATTGATCAAAATCAAATTGAAGCTACTACTGCATTACCATCAGAGATTAATATTGGTGCTATATTCAAAAAAGATGATCATCATCTATTGAAAGCATTACATGATATTGTTGATCGTATTAATAATGATAAAAAAATTTTACCACGTACAAATCTGACTATAAAATCACAATATATACTATCAAGAGATAGTTTACGTGCAGCAAAAATAACATGTCAAATGTTAAAGGAAAAAGTATGGCTTATACTTACATCACGTTCTGATTCAGCAAATCGTTTTGCAAGATCAACAGCCGATATGTTACATATACCACATCTATCCATTCAATGGGATTATCGTTCTGCTTATATTGATAATGTAAATTTTCCTAAACATATGAAAGATTCATCATCATCATCAATTTATGATGATGATCCAGCATCAATGTTGATACGTGGTCCAAACGGTGGTTTCTATATGATGGATCCATCCATTTCAGGTAATGCTGAAACTGGTTTTCGTTTTTCTTCAACATCTGGTTCATCAACATTTCGATCAAGAAAACATCATCATCATCATCATTATTACCACCACGTAATTATCAACATCAAGAAACAATAACAAATATTCAACATTTAACATTGAATATATATCCTGATGCAACAGAATTATCGGAAGCATTAAAAGATTTTGTCGATACACGATCATGGAAATCATTTACATTAATATATGATAGTGATGATGCATTAATACGTTGTAAAGATCTACTTACATTGGCAAATCTATCGAAACCAGGAAAACCAAAAATCAAAGTTTCTGTATTAAATTTTGTTGAATTTGATGCAATGGCAAGATTACAATCAAAAATGTTGCAAAAAGTTCGTCGTCGTAGTAGTATTCAAGATCGTTTTAATATGTCAATAAAAGATCATCGTGGTGCATCATATTATCACCGTAATCGTTATCGTCCATATAATCCAATGCAAGATCAATTACATCATTATCATCATCATCATCATCATCAGCAGCAGCAACAACAACAACAACAACATCAACATCAATGGTCATCAAATCTGGAAGATCTTGAACATCAAATGCAACAATATGTCTATATGAAATTATGGAAAGAGATTAAATCATCGGAACATAATTTTATATTAAGCTTACGTTTTGATCGTGTTCTGGATATTCTACGTGAAGCAAAAAAAACAAAACGAATGAGTGAATATGATAATTATTTTATCATAACAATGGACCTACATATGTATGATCTGATGGAATTTCAAAATATTGAACCATTACCAAATATAACGGCATTATCAGTGGTTAGTGCACATGGTCAAGAAATCAATCTCGGTACTGAAGATGAATTATTTGCGCGTGGTGGTGGTTTTTATTCATCACCATTTCTAGTCACAGGAAACGGTATACGGTCGACAAAAAAATTAAGCACAGATGAAGCATTAATATATGATGCAATGACATTGTTTGCACGTGCATTAGATGATTTAGATCGTTCACGGCCAGAATTGATTGTTGAACCATTTGTTGAATGTGATATTATGTCTAATCCAAGTGATAATAATAATAATAATAACGATAATCAAGATCAATATCAATATCATCAACGGCCATGGCCATTAGGCATTCATATTATTGATTATATGAAAAATTTACATAGTCGTGGCGTAACCGGATTGCTAATGTTTAATGATCAAGGCCTAAGGGTTAATTTTACATTGGATGTTTTACAATTGAAACCAAATGGTTTGAAAACAGTAGCCAAATGGACACGTTCAGGTGGAATAATTTCACTTTCAAATTATACATTTTATGATTCATATCGTGAAATATTGGAAGCAATGAAATTTAAAGAATTATTGATTACGGTACCACCATCATCAATACCATATGTATCGTTACGTGAAGATCATGAAAATCATATTGGCAATGATAAATTCTATGGTTATTGTGTTGATTTATTACAAGAAATTGCCAATGTTTTTCGTCAAGATTTTCAAAGTGATTTTAAATATAGTATTCAAATATCACAGGATGGTCAATACGGAAGACCAGATAAAGAGACTGGTGAATGGAATGGAATGTTCGGCGAACTAATACGTCATCAGGCTGATTTAGCTATTGCCGATTTGACTGCCACCTATCTTCGAGAAACAGCAGTAGATTTTACAATGCCATTCATGAATTTAGGAATAGCGATTTTATTCAAAAAACCAAGCGTTCCAGAACCGGAAATGTTTTCATTTCTTAAACCATTTTCCGTTGAAGTATGGTTATATTTGGCAAGTGCATTTTTGGGCATATCATTAATGTTATGGATAATGTCAAGAATATCACCATATGAATGGGAAGCACCACATGGTTGTGATCCAGAACCAATGGAATTATGTAATCAATTTTCTATTGGCAATAGTCTTTGGTTTACAATTGTAAGTAGATGATATTGAATCGTTGAATGAATTATTCTTTTGTGTATCTTTCAATCAAAGGGTTCTCTTATGCAACAAGGTTCCGATCTGGGACCACGTGCATTATCAACACGTTGTTTGGCAACGATTTGGTGGTTTTTTACATTGATCATTATTTCATCTTATACGGCTAATCTTGCTGCATCGTTAACATTATCCAGAATGGCACCAGCAATTTCATCGGTTGAAGATCTTGCAAAACAAACACTGATACTTTATGGTTGCCGCAAAGGTGGATCAACATGGGAATTTTTTGCTCAATCAAACAATACAATCTATCAACGAATGTTCAATACAATGGAATCAAATCCTGAAGTTTATATCAATAAAGTTACCGATGCTATTGAACGTGTTCGTAAAGGTGGCTATGCATATCTTGCTGAATCATCAACAATTGAATATCTTATTCAACGACGTTGTGATTTAATTCAGGTGGGCAATTGGTTAGACAATAAAGGTTATGGAATAGCTACGCCACCGGAATCACCTTATCGTACACCGATATCGAATGCAATCACCGTATTACAGGATCGTGGAACACTTTATCAGCTAAAAAAACGTTGGTGGGTTGAAAAAGGTGGTGGTCTTTGTACTGATGATACGGTATTTACATCGGCTGCTGAATTAAAAATTGAAAATCTTGGTGGTGTTTTTCTCGTACTAACCGTTGGTGTTGCTATTGGTCTACTGTGTGGTTTCATTGAATTTGTATGGAAATCATTGAAAATTGCCCGTGATGAACGTGAATCGATCGGTAAATTGATTTGGTTAGAAATGTTTCGTATCTGTACTGGTGGTGGATCATCACGTCCAGTATTTCAACCATCATCATCAACAATCAATATGACAGCATTAGATCAATCAATTATACAGAATCCAAATCAAAATGATAATGATAATGATTCACCACGATCATCTACTTATCGTCGTACAAGACCATTTTCAAAAATATCATCATTTACATCGAATTCAATGGCACAATTTGATAATAATAATTATTATCCATCATCACCAACAGCTATTACTGGAAGTATCAATGGTGGTGGTGGTGATCAAACAACAAGTGGTGGTGGTGGTGGTATTGGTTCAAATTCTGATTATGGATCACCATTACGAATGCGTCCAACATCATCATCGAATCGTGGTAATAAAATAATGGATAATAAGAATAATCAAGATAATAATAACAATGCATCATCATCAATAATGTCACCATTAATATCGATGAATTCAACAAAATCATTGAACAAATTGAATAATATTAATTATAATGGTCAAATGGCATTTGGATCACCAACAAGTTTTAAATCACAACAGCCATATAATATGTATTGATTGATTGATTAAAATTATCGTTTGAAATATAAAAAAATTGGAATTGGAAATTGATTAAAGAATTGTTTTGGTTTTAAAAAAAAGAATTTTCAAAAATCCAGAATATCGATATCAACAATCGATTCGAACGTTTAGGTTCGATTGTTTTCGATCATCATCATCATCATCGTGATTTTATTTACGTCTTGGCCATGTTCCTTCGGTCATACGATAGAAAATTTCATCATTTTTATCACGTTGACTTTGATTTCTTGCTGCTGATGAGGATCCATCATGACGATTAGTATTATCATTGGTCATCGATCCTGATTGTTGTTGTCCATTACGGCCATTTCGTTGCTGTGGACGATTATCATCCATCGAATTTTGGCGATGATTAGAACTGGTTTTTTTATTATTATTATTCATCATTATGCTGCTGCTGTTGAATATTGTTGTTGTTGTTGTCGTCGTCGAATCAATTGTTTGATTATGAAAAATATGAAATTTTCATTTCACATTTCATTCATCAAATGAAATTTGGAATGTGGAATGCTTGTTTTTATATATGGCCGATGTGTTTTTATAAAAACCATAATGATGATGATGATGATGATAATGATGATGATATTGATACAATGTATAATAATAGTTCATCGACACCGGATATTTTTATTATTATTATTATTATCCAGTTGACAATCAATTTGAATGATGAAAAAAAAGAAACAACCAACAAACCAACCAACGACTGCTACTGCAAAAAAAAAAATTAATGTCTAGCCAAATTGAAAATTGCCAATTAGATACAATGTATCTTTGGTTAATAATTAATTCATTCATTTGTCATTGTGATTCAGTGATTTAGTGATCATCATCATCAT